ACCTAACCTAACCTAACCTAACCTAACCTAACCTAACCTAACCTAACCTAACCTAACCTAACCTAACCTAACCTAACCTAACCTAACCTAACCTAACCTAACTAACCTAACCTAACCTAAACCTGTTATTGCCTGTGATAGACCCCATCATTTGTATTGTATTTCAGTTGATGGTATTGGGCATTGCTATTGCCATAGTTTGATTGATGTACATTGATTCATTCACAAGTCTTGCACTTTCCACTATTCCGTCTATACCGCTGTCATAAGCCCATTTATGATCAAATATGACAAATATGAAAGGCATGCTTGGGTAGATACTGAGTTATGGTGTCAGCAGTTGCACTGTTCATTGTTGGGGTCATCAATTGATTGGGCTATATATATGAGTCTCAGATGCTACCACTGCTGTGCAATTGTTGTATGCTGTTGTGTCATCCCACAGCATCATTGTCGTTATCAGACTTGGAGTGTGACTTGTAATGAAAGGATCTCAATTAGTGTTGATTTGATAGTGTGTGTCTTGGCTTATTCATGTATATTCACTTCTCTCCACATGTGCACATGGTATACTGGCCTTCAAACATCTGTCATTTGTGATGTTAGCATTATGAGGAACTTAGTATGAGAATGCTCCTTATTCAGTTTGAAAATAGACAGATTATTGCAGTCTACACTCATTGGATCACATGGCAAGCATGTCATTGAAATGAGCAGAATGTATGTCCATGTCAGATCTGCATCGCAAGGTGCAATGCTTATATTAAAACTGAGGGCATGCATGTATTCTATATGATTGTACAGTGACTTACTTCTATGACTTGTTATACATGTGAGGTTGTGACTTGTCATTGAAAGCATATAGCATATTCAGACTTCCCTTATTGGGATGTCATGTGCTGGGAAAATCTGCCAAACATGTACAAACAGTCCAATATTTGGCATTGTTTGGCCACACCTCTCTCTTCCACCAACCACCATCATCTCTGACATATCACATCTATCAATTCACACCTGTTTCGTCATGAACCAATCTCAGTCTGTATCCTTCATGCATGCTCTATTGTTCTTTACTGACAATATCATAGATTCACCTGCCAGGTTCCGGGATGTGGCCGCACTCTGACTACTCAGTATGCCTTGGACCAACATCTTGCACAGAAGCATGGGCCTCGTATGTGTTTCAGTTCATATTCCATTCCTGTGTTGTTGACATGTATTTTAGATGTGTTGAACAAGGACTTAGGAAAGAAAACTAAGACTGTTGTTGGGGCTAGTCATGCAGCCCAGCCATACCCCAAGGCCAAGCCTATTTCGCGTAAGTTTCATCATTGTAGATTCCATGGCTCATTGTTCATGGTCCCTGTTATGACAGTTCCAAAGGATAACTTGAGCCCTACTATTGAGTCATCCATTCCATCTTTCCCTTCGTCTGTTCTGCAAGGTACGACATCTATTTTTTGTGATGTCGTGCAATTAATAATATGCAAAATAATAAGCCACGGATCGCCCTCGCTCAGCCTTGGAATCCAACGACTTCCTCGAAAAGATTGGCTTCATCTGCAACACTGGATTCAAGACACTGCACTGTCTTGAATGTGAAGTCGCAAGGCTGCCTAGTGGCGTGTTGACGCATGCTAAGAGCTATCATCGGCTCACTGTGCCTGATGGTGCGGAGAGATTGAAGGAAACTGTCGCTCACTTTGGCATCTGCACCAAGGAATCCGACGTGGTGTTACCTGCTCCATTGGGACCACCTGTCGAGAAGCTCAAGGTTTCGACTGGTGTCAGATGTGCTATGCCAGCCTGCACGTATGCGGCCGGCGCGGACAAGACACTCAGTACCCATTACCGTGAGGTTCACAGTGATTCTGGCCTACTCCCTGAGCAGCGCGGCATTCCTGCGTCAGTCCAGGCATTCTTTCCTGTTCCACAGCGCTTCTTTGCTGTCGAATTATCTCTTGCTGGTGTTCCCCGGAAATCCCCATTCCATGTCTTTCTCCGTGACCTCTATCCCCACTTCCCTGTCCCATTCGTTCCTATGTCCATGGAGGCGCGCGATGTCGACCCCCTTGTCCAGATGACACTCTGGAACATCCATCTCGAGCCCTATGTGAAAACCCAACAAGACATCGATAGCCTTGTATCTCTTGCCAAAATCCCTGCGAAGAAAGAGGATGTCATAGGCGGCTTGCACGAGCAGGTCATCCAATATATGGCGCACACACGTGGATTAGCCAACAATGCTGACTATGAGATCAAGCGTATGCTCCATCAGTATCCAATGTATGCATCTTGATGATTTCCAGATATACATGCTGACACTTGTTCTATCAACAGCAACCAAGAAGATGGTTCAGCCTGGACGCCTCACAGCAGCGCGACCACCCTTGCAGCGTACGCGGCGCCAGTGGCTGCCTTCATTGCAGCAGTATTGCGAACCAAGAACAAACATCCGTGTCAGTACAAGTTCCCCCTGAATCAGTCGCAGGAAGGTCTCGTGTGGCGTCTGTATGTCGCACTGGAGAACAAGACAGATGAGCGTATGGCTCTCATCCACAAAGTCCTCTATTCCCTTGTTGGCATACCAGCACCAGGTGCCAGCATGGCCAAGTGGAAGTGTCCGCTTATGTGTTGGCTTGCGGTGTCAAGCTTACGGGAAGATGGTCGCTTTGTTCTTGCCAAGGACTACACGCCTATCATTGCCAAATGGGAGTACGCTCTTCGCAACCTCCATCTCTATGAGGCTTGGTCTCGTCACACTGAATATTCAGATGACCTCTTTGGGTAAGCCATTGCATTATCAAGGAGAGTTCAAATACTGAATACATTGCATACTAGTTCTGTCAGATATCAATGTTCACAGTATCTCGCAGATGGACGACCCTCGCCATGGAACTCTCTTCGTGCACACCAACGCTACGCATCATCATTGGTCATCCGCCAGGCATCAGCACCCAATATCACATGGGCCACGGACATGTCATCTGTCAATTGTCTAGGTCGCAACCTCGAGATTGCTCGCCTGCGCACTGGCCTGCAGAAGCTGGTGCAGAGTGTCAAAAATCGTATGCACGCCCTCTGCAACGGGAATGATATACCTGTGAAGGTACCCTCCGATCTTTGCGAAAATCTCACCGATAATCGTGTTGGCCATTCATGGCTCTCAACTGGCTCTTTCACCGACTCGTCACAGCCTTTGCTCAAGGTCCTCTTCGAACATCCGAGCTACTCGCTGGCGGACGTTGACGATTCTGGCACGTTCCGATGGCACTACGGTGGTCTGAGCGCTCTTCGCAAAGACCTAGCCGACCTGTCAGAGGAGCTCGCTGTTCTGTGTTTCATGACTCCTGCTCCCCCTCCTCGTGGCACTGAGTTTGTCGACACTCGCCTCAGCAATTCCCAGATTCCACGGAACATATACAAGAACTATGGAACATGGTTCATCCACCAGCGCACCAAGACATCTGCACTCACGGAGTCCCTGTCATGGACACCCACGTTATGCCCAGAGCCCGTTGCAGAGTTGCTTGACTGGTACCTTCTTGTTGTCCGCCCCGTTGAGCGCACCATCTCGTATGTGCTCGAAGGGGAGGAGAGTTGGGCAGCACACAATGAGTTTGTCTGGATGGCCCATGGCGAGCAGCTTAACTCTGAACAGTTTTCCAACATTCTCGAGCGCATCACCGACACATACATGGGCATAGGCCTATCACTCCAGTACTGGCGGCATATCGCTGTCTCGCTCATGCGCGAGTTCATTCCACCCTCCAACATGGCTGACAACTTTGGTGACAAGTCCATGAATCACAATACCAACATGGCTCGTCGTGTCTATGCACGTGAGGTTGGACACCTCGCTTTCCTCACCACAGATGCCATGCTCGAGGCTCGCCGGTTCTGCGAACCTTGGCACAATGTTTTGGGACTTGGCAAGTTGCCTTGTCCTGTTGCCCTGCGTGTCTTGGACTACGGTACTGGTACTGGTGCGAATCCTGCGCCAAACATTCCCCTCGGTGCGGGCGTGGCAGGTCAGCCACCTGTTGACATTGCACAGCTTACTACTGTGATTTGCAGAACAGTCACATCCACGATGAATGCGAACTTTGCGACACTCCAGGTCCACCTCGAAGACCTCGTGCGTGCATCTGTTATGCAGGGACTTGCTGCCCAACAACACTCTTCCAATGCCCAATCTCATACCCCTCGTCCCAACCAGCTTCACCAACGGCAGACTGAACGCCGCCACCAGAGCCTATCTTATACCCCTGAGCAACGTCATAGCCCCATCACCGAGGATCATTTCTTGGAGCCAATGGATATTGATGGGCTTCCTAATCATCCAGTGGCTTCTACTTCCAATCTTGGTCCCATCGATTTCCACCACAACAACCTCCCTGGTACTTCGCATGAGCCGACCCAGCTTGTCGGAACCCCCATTGACGAGGTCCCTATGATCTCACATACCAATGCTCTGCGCGAGCTCAGGAAAGCTTTGAAGAATAATGCCGCAGAGTTCACTTCGGAGAGTCAGTATCAGCTGATAGCCTATTCCCTCTCACGTGACCGCAACATCATTGGCGTACTGCCAACAGGTGGCGGGAAAAGTGCATGTTATGAAGTCCCAGCTATCATCCATCCTGGACGACTCTCTATTGTCTTTGTGCCATTTGTTGCAGTGATCCATGACCAGCTACGGCGTGCAGCAGCCAGCGGTACCAAGGCGGCCAAATTTGTCGCAACAATTCCTCCTGCAGATGACTTGCAATTGTTGTTTGTATCATGGGAACATTGTGGACATGCAAGTCTTGTCAGGTCAGTCCAATATTCTATCCCATCATGTGATGGTACTTATGTTTTATAATAGCTTTATGAACAAGGAGAAGACTCGTATCCATCGTGTTGTGGTCGACGAGGCACATCAGATCCTCACTTCGCACGAGTTCCGCCCACAGTTGAAGAACATTGACAAATTGCGGAAGATAGCGCTGCCCAAGATCTACCTCACAGCCACCCTTGTCCCAGATCACGAAAATGCCTTCATCCAGCATATAGGCCTGCAGCGCGATATGGTCAAAGTCATCCGTGCACAGACGGGCCGGAAGGAACTACGCTATCACAATGTTCACTGCAGATCCAAAGACGACATCGAGGCACTGGTGGTCAAGCTCACCTATGAGTGCTATCAAAGACAATTTGTCAAGCCAGACTCGCGGATCATCATCTTTTGCCACTCAGTTGCAAATGCCAACGCCATGGGCCCTTTGCTTGGCTGCCTGATATATCATTCAAAGCTATCACCTCAGGAGCGACATGACACTCAAGTTGCATGGACCACAGGGGCCACAGCAGCGCACCGGTGCATTGCTGCGACCAGCTCATTTGTTCATGGAATAGATGCCCCTTTTGTTGATCTCATCATCTTTCTCAACACACCTCATGGCGCAGTCGATTTCGTACAGGCCGCAGCAAGGGGAGGCCGACGAGGCCGCCCATGCATGGTTGTACTTGTACACCACACCGAGATGCTCACTGTCAAGGCTCCTGACTACAGTCTTCACAAGGTCATGAATGACTACATGGTGAATAACACAAAATGCCGCAGGAGGATACTCTCTGCCGCTATGGATGGGGTCGAGAAGTGTTGCGATAGGGAGAATGGCGATGAACTCTGCGATGTCTGCAACCCAAACACAGAGATGACAAAACTGATCAAATGGTGCAGCAATGGAGGCGCACCACATTTGTCAGCATGTCTCCAACACTTGCCAAACTCCCAAGGTCATCCAATCAATGTGGACGATGATGACGATGCCATGTATGATGGCATGGATGATTCTCTTTTTCAACAAGTAGAGTTCACTGATGATCAGGTCAGCTATTCCCTCAGTTCAGTATGACATGTCTATTAATTTTGCATTATAGCCCATTGAAGTACATCAGGATATGGTCAAGAAAGCTGGAGTCGAGATGAGTGCAGCAGGCGCACAAATTGACGACATATTGCGGCAGAAGCACTCCGCAGACTTGTCAAGATATCTCATCAAACTCAAGGGTCAATGTCCAGTCTGCTGGTCACTGAAGGGTATTGTTACACCCAAACATACCCCTTTGTTTGCAGGGTGTCGCAGTACCCTTAAAGTGCCATTTGTGGCAAATGGCATTGGCTGGCAGGAGTACAAACATGGATCCCAGCCACAGGACTCAAACATCAATTATTGCTATGGCTGTGGCGTGCCAATGGGCGATTTCATGCCTGAAGCTCATCGTTCCCATCCACCAGGGAAATCATGTCCTTGGTCTGACTTTATTGCAGTATCAACATGGAATGTATTCCACACTCGAGAGCTGTGGGCTGCAGCAAAGGAAGCTTGTAATATTAAAAGAGTCAATACTCTGCAGGATTTCCAATTGTGGTGCAAAGTAGAGACTGATCGTTCTAGATTGTGTAATTCTCTTCACTTGTTCATATGGCTCTGTCAGCATTATGGTCTAGCCTAGATATCATGTATACTCAGCATTGTCCAAGTCCATTCATACAATTGGCCATGAATTCATTGTTTGCAAAGCTCCCATAGCCATGCTATACTGCCCAGCTCTGTACATGATGGGTCTGTTATGAAGCCCCAAAAGCAGTGTTCATGACTCCATGTATGATGACAATAGCCCATCCAATATATGAGATAGCATAGTACAGAGCTGCTCAGTTCATTGACCTCTTACAGGTATACAGTAATCCAATGAAGAACAGTACAAATTTATTATGCCTATACAGTACACTGCAGGACATCCACAAGACTGCATAGACAGCATGCTATGCTGACTGCAGCAATGGGAAGTACATTCAATTGGACATTAGTCAATTGAACTGCATTCAATCAAGCCCATTCAATTAAAGGACATACACTCAAAGTACACTGGGTCGAAGTACATCCAGTCGAAGTACAGACAATTGAAGGACATCCAATTGAATCCACTCAATCAAAGGACATTCACTCGAGGTACCTTCACTCGAAGTCCATTCAATCAAATTACATACAGTTGCAGTACGTACCGTCGAAGTAGACTAAGTACAAAGTACACCGAGTTGAAGTACACTCACTCAAGATACATACAATTGAAGTACAGTTATGCACTCATGCCGGCGGACACGTACGAAGAACGCACGGGGATAGACTAGATATGTACACATTAAAACAATGGGCATGGAGGGGCATTTGCTCGCGGGGGCATGCACGAACGGAACGGAAGACACGGCGAGCAGGGTGAACAGTGGAGTAAAGGGCGAGGAGACGAACAGACAGCAAAGCAGATAGACGGAAGCACGAGAGGAGGAGAGGGAGAGCATCTCGCTCTTCCGTCCATCCGCTCGCTATTCCGTCCGTCCGCTCGCTAATCCATCCATACGCTGCGTCTTCCGTCTGCCCGCTCGACTGCCCGTCTCCTCGACCGCCGTCTTCTTGCCAGCCTGTCATCCAACCCGCATGGCTTCTCGCCCATGCGTTCGCTCACCCGCCCGGCATCCGAGTCTCTCTACCTCTTGTTCGGTGGTGATGCTCGCCCTGTCGCCACGCATCGACGCATCCCCCCCTACTCTCACACCATCATTGACTTGGCTGCTCGTCCGCCAGTCTTATGGTACGTCCGTCTTACCGTGCACTCGCCGTGCCATTTGCCAGGTCGCTTGTCCTCTCATCCTCTCGCGGTCTTGCCTACTCGTCGTCTATACCACTCGCCTCTCGCCACGTCATCCACCAGTCAGCCCGTCCTCGTACGGCCGCGGTAGGGCTGGATGGCGTTGACGTGGCAGAGCGGGCTGTTCGACACGAGCAGACGACCCCGCTCTTGTGCGGGGTCATCTGACAGGCACTGCGCCTCCTCGGAGCACAGTGCGTGCGTCCGGGAGACGGTAGGAGGTAGGGGTGGGTGGCGAGACAGTAGAGGGCGGCGCGGCGACATAGGAGGGCTGTGGCAGCGCGAGGAGGCGGTGACGTGGCGGGGAGTGTCCAAGGACAACCCGTTGTTACGCGGGGTCGCCTGGCGTGTCCGGTAGGTCCTCGACGCGCATTGGACGCGTCCGAGAGACGGTAAGCCGACGGGGGCTGACTGCGAAGGCAGTGGCACACGAATAGACGACCCCGCTCTTCCGCGGGGTCGTCATGGGTGCGCGGGTCGACCTCGGCACGCGTATGGTGCGTCCGAGGGAAGTTGAGGGCGGCGAGGCGAGGTAGCGGGGCTGTCGTAGGGCGGCGCGGTAATGGGCAGCGCGAGGAGGCGGTGACGTGGCGGGGAGTGTCCAAGGACGACCCGTTGTTGCGCGGGGTCGCCTGGCGTGTCCGGTAGGTCTCCGACGCGCATTGGACGCGGCCGAGAGACGGTAAGCCGACGGGGGCTGACTGCGAAGGCGGTGGCACACGAATAGACGACCCCGCTCTTCCGCGGGGTCGTCATGGGTGCGCGGGTCGACCTCGGCACGCGTATGGTGCGTCCGAGGGAAGTTGAGGGCGGCGAGGCGAGGTAGCGGGGCTGTCGTAGGGCGGCGCGGTAATGACATGGCGGGGAGGGCCTACCGAGGCGAGCAGATGACCTCGCTCTTCTGCGGGGACGTCTTATGTGGGGATCTCGGCCTCCGCACGCGCGTAGTGCCTCGCAGAGACACAGAGGGCGGGGCGCCGAGGCAGTGGGCTTGGTCACAAAGACGGAGACGTGGCGGGGGCGTAGAGCACGAGAAACCGACCCCACCATTATGCGGGGTCGTCTGACGTGCGCGGTACGTCCGCGGTACGCGTCGCAGAGGCGGTACGAGGGCGGTAGCGAGATGGGAAGTCGGCAGGGGTGACGCACCTACTCGTGCCCAGTCCCAGCTGGTGGGCGCGTTGTCTCCTGCAAGCTGCCGTGGACGGCGTGTGCTGGGTCGCGCCGTGGTGCCGTGCGTGTCCTTCGTGGCCTTCGAGAGCCAGAGGTTCGTGGTCGGCGTGTGCGCTGGCGACCGAGCGGCGGCGGGCGACCTACTGGCACGGCTTGCTGTTGGCATACTCGGTGCGCTAGTGTCATGTCAGCGGGGCGACGTGCGCGTGTAGCACCAGGGTGGGCATACTCGGCGTCGGCGTTGGCGGTCGTGGTCGTAGTAGACAGGTGGAGAGGGTAGAGAACGACGGTTCGGGCGCGACAGCTGTCGAGCGCCCGTGCGGCATTTTCCGTACACGCGCGCGCGAGATCGAACACCGGCCAACGCGTCAAGAAAAAAAGGAAAAAAAGGAATAGAGAATAGAGAAGGGGCTCAAACGCTCCGGTTGAAGGCTAGCAAGTCGTGGGGCATCGACTCCCCACAGTCAGAAGGTATTCACCTTTGTTTAAGCGACGGAGCACTTTAGATCCGTAGGCTCACTAGTACCTGGCACAGGTTTCCCCAGCCTTCATGCGTCCCGTAGGACGTTCAACCACTTAGCCATAACGGCAATACTGGTTACGGAACGGAATAGACTATATACTATACCGTCGTTACGATTTCTTACTGACTCATTACTTACTGGCTAGTTACCGAATCGTTACTCGTTGTCTGGCGCGGGTTTTTATTCGGTGGTGTGTGGTGCGAATCGCATGCTTTATTCGCAGCTATCTACTGTACACATATAGAAAATACGCCCCGGCCATAAGGACCGGGGTGGGTACGGTGGAAACCAGCGAGCCCGACGCGCGCACGCTGGGGCTCGCTCGAGCTGGATGACCGCCCTACGCGATCGGAAGGTGCCGCCCTTGTGTAGGGCGCGTCGGCGTGTGCGGCAAGACCTGGGCCGTGTTTCGAGGAAGTCAGGTGAGGTCGGGAGCCACGAGAGGGCGATACGAAGGTGGTAGGAGGTGGGGAGTGGGCTCGGCACTGGACGGCTCGGCGTTCGAGAACAAGGCACCCCGCTCTTGTGCGGGGTGTTGGCGTAGGCTCGGGGCGTCCTGGGCCTCCGTTTGACGCATGCGGCGGGCTGTGGGAGCGAGGGATGGGGTGGGAGGCCGGTAGGAGGTGGAGGTGGCGGGCTCGGCACTGGACGGCTCGCCGTTCGAGAACAAGGCACCCCGCGCTTGTGCGGGGTGTTGGCGTACGCTCGGGGCGTCCTGGGCCTCCGTTTGACGCATGCGGCGGGCTGTGGGAGCGAGGGATGGGGGTGGGAGGCCGGTAGGAGGTGGAGGTGGCGGGCTCGGCACTGGACGGCTCGCCGTTCGAGAACCAAGCACCCCGCTCTTGTGCGGGGTGTTGGCGTAGGCTCGGGGCGTCCTGGGCTTCCGTTTGACGCAGGCGGCGGGCTGTGGGAGCGAGGGATGGGGGTGGGAGGCCGGTAGGAGGTGGAGGTGGCGGGCTCGGCACTGGACGGCTCGCCGTTCGAGAACAAGGCACCCCGCGCTTGTGCGGGGTGTTGGCGTACGCTCGGGGCGTCCTGGGCCTCCGTTTGACGCAGACGGCGGGCTGTGGGAGCGAGGGATGGAGGTGGGAGGCCGGTAGGAGGTGGAGGTGGCGGGCTCGGCACTGGACGGCTCGCCGTTCGAGAACCAAGCACCCGCTCTTGTGCGGGGTGTTGGCGTAGGCTCGGGGCGTCCTGGGCCTCCGTTTGACGCAGGCGGCGGGCTGTGGGAGCGAGGGATGGGGGTGGGAGGCCGGTAGGAGGTGGAGGTGGCGGGCTCGGCACTGGACGGCTCGCCGTTCGAGAACCAAGCACCCCGCTCTTGTGCGGGGTGTTGGCGTAGGCTCGGGGCGTCCTGGGCTTCCGTTTGACGCAGGCGGCGGGCTGTGGGAGCGAGGGATGGGGGTGGGAGGCCGGTAGGAGGTGGAGGTGGCGGGCTCGGCACTGGACGGCTCGCCGTTCGAGAACAAGGCACCCCGCGCTTGTGCGGGGTGTTGGCGTAGGCTCGGGGCGTCCTGGGCTTCCGTTTGACGCAGGCGGCGGGCTGTGGGAGCGAGGGATGGGGGTGGGAGGCCGGTAGGAGGTGGAGGTGGCGGGCTCGGCACTGGACGGCTCGCCGTTCGAGAACAAGGCACCCCGCGCTTGTGCGGGGTGTTGGCGTACGCTCGGGGCGTCCTGGGCCTCCGTTTGACGCAGACGGCGGGCTGTGGGAGCGAGGGATGGAGGTGGGAGGCCGGTAGGAGGTGCAGGTGGCGGGCTCGGCACTGGACGGCTCGCCGTTCGAGAACCAAGCACCCCGCTCTTGTGCGGGGTGTTGGCGTAGGCTCGGGGCGTCCTGGGCTTCCGTTTGACGCAGGCGGCGGGCTGTGGGAGCGAGGGATGGCGGTACGAGGCCGGTAGGAGGTGGAGGTGGCGGGCTCGGCGCTGCAGGGCCCGCCGTTGCCGAGGAAACCAGCCCGCGCTTGTGCAGGATGTCGACGAAGGCCCGGGGGTACTGGGCTTGCGTGTGACGCAGCCAATTGCACGCGCGGGCGACCGAGAGAGGTAGGACGGGTAGGGGGAGACAGGGAGGTAGAGGTTACTCACCTCCGAATGCTAACGGCCTTGCTGCCGTTCACCTCCTCGTTTCCCTCTCCATGCGGCTACCGGCGACTCCTTCGACGCGCAGCGCACTTGTTCGCGCCGCACGTTCGCCTGGACGAGCGCGTTGCTCGTCGTCGTGGGCCGTCGGACTTGCCGTGGCTGGCGCGCTTTGCAGGCCGGCTGTACGCGAGGTTCTTCGCCCGACATGTCTTGTCTATGCCGGAGGCCGTCGGGCGTGCGTTAGAGGTGAGATGAGAGGCGGTGGAGGGTCGGCGAGGGTGGTGGAGGACGAGGAGAGTGGGAGGAGAGGGAGAGTGGCGAGGCGCGAAGTGTTGAGCGCCCGCCTCGGGACTTGCCGATTCGGGCGATCGACGCTGCTAGCGCGTCGTTCTTCCTTCCTTTCTCACCATCGCTTCCCTCTCCATCGTCGAACGCTCAGCTTTGCTCACCGCCGTCGCCCACGCCGACGTCGTCTCTGTCCGGAAAAGGTAATCTTCGTCCCAGGTAAGTGTTTTTTTATACGTTTTCGCGCGAGTGTGCCTAACTCGGACCTTACAGATGGCTCGCACCGCCGAGCCCGCCGGCTCCGACTCGGACTCGGACATCCCCCGCCCGCCCAGCCAGCGGTCTGATGGGTGGAAAATGGTGAAGGTGGACAAGAGCAGCACCGCCGACGAGCGCAGCGACAAGAGCCGCACCACCGTATTGGGCAGCCAGAAGAGCAGTAGCAGTGACGCCAGCAGCAGTAGCAGCGACGACAGCAGCAGCAGCAGCAGCAGTAGTAGCGACGAGGATACGTACACGAAGACGAAGGTCGACGCCGGCATCAGCGAGCCCGGGGACGGCGGAAGTCCAGCCCACGACGAGGAAGACGACGAGATGGTACCGGCGCAGCGAACGCCGCCAGGACCTCGCCGTCTGTTCCCGGGCGTCCAGCGACGGATGGTAAGTCTGACTGGGCGTAAACGTGGCACATACTAACACATACATACCTCCAGAAGGGCCGGTTCGTCGCAGTGAAGACTGCGAAGACCGACGCCGCGAAGGACAAGGCTGCCGCATCCGTGAATACGGATGAGGGTCGGGCCTCGAAGGCTGCGAAACCGGATGCGGCGAACGCTGCGACGATCGACGCGGCAAACGCGGCGGTGCCCAGTGACGCAGCGAACGCAGACGGGGCTGACTCGGCGATGGCTGACGCGGCGGACGTGGCGACGGCTGACGCGGCGGATGCTGCGACAGCTGACGCGGCGGCAGCAGTGCCGACCAGCGACGCGGCGGAGGCGGACGCGGAGGCAGCGGAAGCGGAAGCGGACGCGGACGCGGCGAAGGCGGACGCGGACGCGGACGGGGCGAAGGCGGACGCGGACGCGGACGCTGCGAAGGCGGCGAAGGTGGCGAAGGCGGCGAAAGCGGACGCGGCGAAGGCAGCGAAGGCGGCGAAGGCGGACGCGGCGAAGGCAGCGAAGGCGGACGCGGCGAAGGCAGCGAAGGTGGACGCAGCGAAGGCTAAGGCAGCGAAGGCTGTCGCAGCAGAGGCCGTCGCTGCGAAGGCCGTCGCTGCGAAGGCTGAGGCAGCAAAGGCCGCGGCTGCGAAGCCTGCCGTGTCCAAGGCTGCGAAAGCCGAAGCGGCGTCAGCCAAGGCTGCGAAAGCCGTGGCAGCGAAGGCCGCGAAGGCTCAGGCTGCGGAGGAGGAGAGAGCCGAGGCGGTCATCGCGCTGAAGGCTTCGAGAGACGCGAGGACTGCGAAGGCCAATGCCACAAGGGCTTCCAACGAGGCCGCGAAGGAGGAAGCCGAAGCTGCGACTGCGGCGAAAAAACGTAAGACTGCGCAGGCTGCGAAAGCGGCGGCGTCTGCTGAGGCCCTGAGGCTCGCTCGACTCGTAGACCCAGTGCTAATACGAATCCCGAAACTGCGATTGTCGAAGAAGCGAGGCCGCGTGGTAAGTGACTGGTGAGTATATCTTGTGCCGAACTAACATCAATTCAAGGACGAGGATAGTGAAGACGAGGGCGAGCAAGACTACCAACAGGACGACAGTGTCGGGGTTGTCGACCTGGATGCAGACGATGCGATGCCTCGTAGGCAGACTCGGTTCGTAAGTACTGACAGTTCCTTTCGGTGAAATTAGCTGACAATTGACATGCAGAATGCACACACCGAAGCTGCAGCTGCTGCGCACAAGGTCCATATTGCGAAGGCTGCGGAGGAGCATGAGAATGCACGTACGAAGCTGGAGAAGCAAATTCGTGACAAGGGGAAGTTGACGAGGTCCTATGCGGACAAGCTGAACGCGACGCCTGGGAAGGTGTTCTACTGGTCTGAGAGGAGTAAGGATATGAAGTGCTTCAACCAGGGATGCACGATTGGTATGTGTGTTAACCCTTCCATGCTGAGTAGCCTGACTGACATTGTATGTCCAGGGGACAAGCTTCTGAAGGCTGGCGAGCTCGTCTGCGAGCGAGTATTAGCAGGTCATCATGTCAAAGTGAGTGTTCATTATCTTTTGTATTGTTTCTTTCTCCTGAGTTGTATGCTCAGGGCAAGGGAACAAACTCACGTACTGTGCATACGCACTGGCCGTGTGTCTCGGAAGGCGCTCGTAAGCGCTTCCAGATGGATGGCATGCACCGTGGACTTGCGGTAAAGAAGGTAGATCCTGGGATGCTTATCATCCCCAAGGCCATCATGGGTGCTGATGTCGCGATGATCAAGAGAGATGTCGCGGCTTCGCTGGGCAGGCAGGGCGAGGTGAAGGAGATATCGGAGGAGGTTAAGCGGCAGAACCGGACAGCAAAGCGTATCCGGCGTGATGCGTACAAGGCTGAGGAGAGGGCTGAGAAGGCATTGAACAAGGCTGATAACTTGTTCCAGCGCTACAGGGAGAAGATAGCTGGGCCTTCAACCAGCGCTGGACAACCTCCTTCCAAGCGCCAGCGCTTGGAAGAGGAGCTCTCATCTGAGCTTAGTGAGCCAGATCAGTAATTGGGTGTATTATTGTGACCATATCTCCACTAAAAAAAGAAAAAAAAACTCGCACTTACAATCATTTAATCCTACCTTCCCCTTGTATATACTTGCAGTTGTTACAGACCATCCTAATAAGCATACAATATTGTTCATGTACTGCCATTTGCTCTGTGCATAATAGCATGACACTGGCATACTTGCTTATCATCCAAGCTAGATGAAAGATAGCTCAAAAGACAAAAGACAGAATGCTAAGTGTAGAGAGAATCTTATGACTTATACAGATCCCCAGGAATGCCAACAGGTACAGCTTTGTTGATTGTTTCATATATGTTCAAAGGAAAATACTTGCAAGCAAAGATGGCTTTGCTGAGCAGGAATAAGCCTTGTGTATGACTCTACAAATATTTCCAAGTATAGGCAGATTATATGCTATGTTCACAATACCTACATTGGCAGTTGGCACAGCTCAGTAATTTGCTCAGTGTGTGTTCATTTGAAACTCCTCATATTCAAATATAACCCTACTGGGTGGTCTTATAGCTTGCAAGCAAGTGGTGTGGTGGTCTGCAGTATCAATAGAATATTGTGGCATGTTCATATGACCTACATTGTCCGTAGGTACAGCTCTGTGATTTGTTTGGTATTTGTTCAGTGGAGTGTGCTCATATTCAGATGTGGCCTTACTGGGCACAGATGACTGGTGCATGTGAGTTGGACAATATTCCCTGATACAGACTCCCTATTCTACCATCTTCATACCAGCACAATTATGAGCCATTGTCGCTCTGTGGGCTGCCATTGATTCTGTCAGCGAGAATGACTCAGATTGTGTGTGGCTCTACTGAGGGGTCATATCATGTGCATGTGAGTTGTGGTGTGGGCCCTAGTAGTGATGGAGCATTCTGGCACCTTCATATTACTTGGATTATTGCTCAGTGTAGCTCTGTGATTTGTTTGATAGTTGTTCAGCCAAAACTGCTCATATTGAAATGTGGCTTTGCTGAGCGCATGTAGGCATTCTGTTTGACTTGGGGAGCACTCTTCGATAGCGCCAGAATATTGTGCCATATTTGGACTCACTGTAACACTGTTGGTTGTCTCTCTGTGCCTTGCTGGTTATTCTGTCAGCAAGAATGACTCAGATGGAGTGTGGCTCTACTGAGCCATCATATGGTGTGCGGGTGAGTTGTAGTATCATCCCTAGTACTGATGGACCATTCTGGCATGCTCAGACCAGTAGGATTGTTGCTCAGTGCAGCTCTGGGATTTGTTTCATGATTGTTCAGTTGAAACTGCTCATGTCGAGATGCAGCTTTGTTGAGTGCATGTATGCCTTCTGTTTGACATGTGGTCCATTCCTTGATATAGATGGAATGTTGTGCCATATTTGGATTCAGTATAACACCGTTGGTTGTCCCTCTGTGCCCTCCTGAGTATTCTGTCAGCGAGAATGACTCAGATTTGGTGTGGCTCTACTGAGCCATTATGTGGCATGTAGGTGAGTTGTGGTGTGGTCCCTAGTACTGATGGACCATTCTAGCATATTCAGACCACTAAGAATGTCACTGAGTGTAGCCCCGCAATTTGTTTTGTATTTGTGCAGCCGACACTGCTCATATTGAGATGTGGCTTTGTTGAGTGCACGTATGCCTTCTGTTTGACTTGTGATCCATTTCCAGATATAGATGGGATATTTTGCTGTTTTTGGATTCAGTATAACACCATTGGTTGTCCCTCTGTGCCCTGCTGGTTATTCTGTCAGCGAGAATGACTCAGATTTGGTGTGGCTCTAATGAAGCATTGTATGGTGTGCGGGTGAGTTGTGGTGTGGTCCCTAGTACTGATGGACTATCCTGGCATGTTCAGACCACACAGGCCTTCACTGGTGACAGTGCTGTGAATTATTTGGGTGTTTGTTTTATTGAGATCACTCGTAATTGAATATCGCTCAGCTGGGCAGTCATATTGCTTCCGATTGAGTTCAGGTATAGCTCTAAGTAGTCCTGGAGTATTCTGGCATGTTCACACTGTCTGGGTTGTTGTTCAATAGAGCTGTGTGATTTGTTTGGTATTCTGTCATTCTGAATGACTAAGACTCTGCATGGCTATACTGAGTGGCAGTGTGGCTTGTCAGTGAAGTGTGTGTGATTTCCTAGTACTGATTGGCTGTCGTGGCATGTTGAGAGTGCAAAATTTGCCATTGGGCACAGCACTGTGATTTGTTTTGTATTTGTTTCCCTCAAATCACTTTCATTTAAATGTGGCACTACTGAGCGGTTAGATGGCTTGCGTTGGATGTGGGAACCCTTGCCTGAGACAGACATGCTATTATGGTGAGTTCAGACCATGTAGATTGTGAGTTGGTATAGCTCTGTGAATTGTTTGTTGTTTTGTTGTCGGGAACAACTCAGACGTTCCGCAGCTGTGCTGAGAGGTCATATGGCTTGCATATGAGTTGGGGAGTAGGCCCTGGCATTGTGAGCCCATTCTTGCCTGTTGAGAAAGCCTGAGCTGTCATTGTGTGCAACTTTGTGATTTGTTTGGTGTTTGTTCAGCGGAAACAACTTGTATTTCAACGTGGATTTATGGGGGGCACGGAGGGCATGTGTCTGATGGAGAAAACATCTCCTGATATCGACTGACTATTGTGGTGCATTTAGACCACTTGAAATGTCAACAGGCACAGCTCTGGGATTGAATCGGTGGTTAGTTGGCATAATAAGACCAATAGTCGTCCGTGCTTCTGCTCAGTGCACACAGAGGCCAGATATGCTCTGGAATGTCTTTCCTAGCGTACATGGAGTGCTGCCACACATTCAGCAGACCAGGAATCGTAACATTGCATGACTTGGGGATTTGTTCGGTGAGTGATGGTTGACGGTGCAACGGGTGGAACAGTAGCACTACTGAGCGGATGTATTGCTCTCCTTCTGGTTGCCTGCTGTTGACAAGGAATGGATAACAGGTCCCATTGCATGTGGGGACATACAGGTGGTGACGTGTGTACGTTGGCAGTGGGGCACGCCCAACATTCAAAGTTGTTTCAGCCACGAGTGAGAGTGGTCCGATATGCAGTGTGGGTCCCTGTGAGAGGTGCTGAAGAAAAGAGAAAAGAGGATGTGAGTGAGAGAACGACAGTGACGAGCGAGAATGGTCAGGATGGATGTGTTATGCACGTAGAAAGACAGTTTGAGTTGGCGGTCGGGAGTGCCCGGCAGGCACTGCCCAGCAGGGGGTCGTGGGAAAATATTTCCATATATGGTTAGATTGCCCAGCAGGGGCACCGGGCACCAGGCATAGGGGTAGCCAAATGAAGAAACCGAGAACATGGAGGTTCCGGCAGGCATGCGCAAGAAGTGGCTCAGCGTCCCCAAGAAAGCTCCACAGACCGGGAGGCGCGGATCCACGCACAAGGGAAAAGCCGTTGCGTCGCGGGCCCAACGCAGCTCCCGTGACGAGAGTGAGAGGTCTGACACGGCGCTGCGTGCGGGGCCCAGCCGCAAGCGCCGTCGGCGCACCTCTGATACTACGTCTTTCGTACCGGTACGTCGATTTACACTCGCTACTTCCTCTCACTCACCTTCCGATTCAGTCCGATGCTTCGCGCTCGCCCGCGAGCGTTCGGCCCACCAGTAGGAATGAAAGTGTCGACGAGTTGGACGAGGATGCGGACGGGGGCACAGGTGCGGTAGGAGTCACCGCCACGGACGAGGACGAGATCGACGGTGAGGACGATAGTGCCGAGGATGACACGGAGGATAGCGAAGCGGAGAAAGAGGCAAATGATCGCGAGGTTAGGGCCGAGCCGGAGCTCACTCGCAAATGGCTCAGCAAGCCGCGAAGGAGCACGGGGATGGACCGGTACGAGCTCGCGGCTGAAGAAGCCAGTCTCGCGACAGACCGCAGCAAGCTCGCCTTGGAGATTGCGAAGGCCGGCGGGGACAATGCGCATTACGCCGCCAACAAGGTAGAGGCGGCGGAGCGCAGGGTTGCTATTCTCGAGCGCAAGGTCGCAAAGCTCGAGAGCGACCTTGAGGACAGCAACCAGCGCACCGCGACGCTCGAGTCCCGCCTCGCGAAGCTCTCGAAGGACGTCAGGAAGATGCGGAAGTGACTTGTATTGAAAAGGGTGCAACTACCCGCGTTCGCGCCACGGCGCGAACGCGGGTAACACCATCGCATCCCTTCACATTGTCGTCACCCGCGTTCGCGCCGTGGCGCGAACGCGGGTAAATCGATTCACTCGTGACACTGCGCGTAACTACTGTAAATGTATTTGTTGACTGTGGGAGGTCGTAGTATCGCTCGCTAAAATGAATGAATTGACGTGATCGTACCTGCCGTTTGGAACCATCAAAATCCGTCGAGCTGCCGCAGATTTGTACCCGCACTCGCGCCGTAGCGCGAGTGCGGGTAGCATGTGTGTTAATTATTCGCACGTCTCAGATCGTTGATCGAGTGCGCGTAGTTCGGTGGTCAGATAAATGAAACAATATGTGCGCATGCTCAAGAAGTGGTAGTACATGTGGTTTACATACATGCACGATGCGATACACTATCCCGACCTTCCTACTCAATCATCTTCATCACCCCCATACCGAGCACGTTTCTTCTTCGTCGCCTGAAGGGCACCCCGCAATCTGGCGACCTCGTTGATGAGCCGCGCGATCACCCCCTGATGGACGTTCAATCGTTCGGCCATAGGGAGATCCGATGATCGCTTGACATCGCGGATGATCGCATCGGTGTCGAGCTCGTTGAGTTTGCCTATACCAGCATGAGTGTTCCGTTTCTCAATCAAAGAATGACCACTTACGTCTCGCGACACGATGGGCTCCAAAGTTCAAAGGCCCAGCACCGGCATCAACACTGCTTGATGTTCCTGGCGACACAGGATCCACGTCCATCATCTGCGCCACTGAGACGGTCGATGGGCTTGCAGAAGAAGCGGGCGACTGCGACTGTGCAGATGCGATACGCCCGGCCGGCAGCGGGGATGATGAGTCGGATACAACGTTGGGCGGCGATGCGGGCGTCGAGCGAGTGACAGAACGCGAGGGCGAATGCGATGGAGACGGCGCGGGCGAACGCGATGACGAGCGTGCACGTGGTAGAGAGTCGGGTGCGGAATTATTCTGCAGCACAGGTGCCAGGGACGCGCGCGGCGAGTCAACCGCCTCAGAGGCTCGTTGGTCCTGTAGCGAGTGAGCGCGTCACAGAGAAAGACAGAAATACAACATGACTTACCGTGAGCGAGCAGTTGACCTTCCTCCTCATACAGCGGTGACAGCACGTCTTCGCGAAGGGCACCCTACACTCATCTCGCCCGTCATTCACACACCGCTTGCACCGCGCGGCCTCGACCAGCTTACAAGTCAGTAAGCATTGGCTGCGATTGAGATAAAAAGGAACCACGTACCACGTTGTCGAGCATTGGCGGCAGCGGGGAATGCTCCCTGGGGCTGCGATGCCTTCGTTGTTCTTCCCTTGCCGCGGCGCGCTCTGCGTCCGACACACGGCTGAAGTCGAAGTCGTTGGCCTCATGTGAGAGAGGCGGTCCACCTGGGATTGATCGAGCGACTGGTCAGTGCGGCTGGCCAATGGAGAGCGGTAAGCAACCGCTTACCGGACCTGACACGGTCGTTGCCTGCAGTCGAGCAGCTCGCGCGTGAGTCCATAGTCGCGCAACACATGAGGACTTACGGATCCACCACTGCTTCAAGAACAGCGCGAGAGACGCGCTACTGGTCTCGCGCGAGCTGTCCTCTTCGAGGGTGACGTACGGTATGTGCCTCCACATGAAGTATTCCTCCATCGTGTTCGGGAAGTTGCCCTCTGCGGTCCGGTACTGCCAGTTGAAGCAGGTCGCGAGCACAAGGGGGAACTGGTCATATTGATTTGACTGTTTCAGCGACATGAGCCACGGGTCGGTCTGTCAACGCGTCGTTTAGCGCGGCGGTATCTCGCGGCAACACGAAAGCTTGACTTACCAGGATGTGGTGCTGGACGATGTACTGGAATGCGTCCACGAGACAGCGCTGTTGAGCAACGACCGCAACAGGCGGTTGAGCGCCTTGAGTTGCTTAGCGGTCCATTCGCTGGGCTGCGGCGGTAAGTCCGTGAAAATGTACATGTTGTGCACGCGGCCAAAAGCCGCTTTCCGCGCGTTGTCCGTGAGGTCAGCGTGATTGATGGTGAATGCGCACTGAGCAAGCGCAAATTGTTGGAGGTCGTAGGTACCGACCATAGTGATGCGAGCAAGATTGACAGTGGGATTGGGCAGTGGAAACGGCAGCGGTGCGGACAGACCAGTCCACACGGCGCGCACGCGCTGCACGCCTGGTTGAAGCGATACACCACGTGCGAGAAGCGATGCTGGTGCTCACGTGTACTCTTACCCGCAATCGCGCCGTGGCGCAATTGCGGATAACATACTCGGAGTACCCTACCAGGGGCATCCTTTGAATTAAATTCCTTGATTGCCTGGCACTCTGCTTACTATACAAATAATATTATACTTGCGCCTACGTTTACGTCCCAGAAAACCTTGACACAAACAGTGCACTTACCCGTGTTCGCGGGTAAAGAGCATTCACAAGTACGTCTGAGAGTCTCTCAGAACAGTGCACAGTACCTGCGTTCGCGCCGTGGCGCGAGCGCGGGTAGACGATGAAAACAAGGACAGTGTGCCTATTCGCAATCGCGCGGATAGAAACACACAGGGCGCACCGATAGGGTGCCGCAATGATCATCGAGGCGTACCCAGTAATACGAGCAACAGCCCGGGCAGGTGGTTTGATGGACACTCTCGAGCGAGTCCTGTCGCGAGCAACCCGTCGGTATGGCGAATCATCCAGAACATCGGGAGGTGAGCTTGTCGTGTGTCTCGAAACAAGGACACTCTGCTGATGTATACTCGTCTGCCGCGTTATCAACTTGCGGGCGACCGTGTTTCGCACTCACAGAGGTCATCTTGCGTGCACGTACCTTATGCGCGCACAATCTCCGTGTCGGCTGTCTTCATGCGCAGGTACGCACATCACCTCAGGGCGCGGTGGGCTTGCTGGATGTAAAAGAGAGGGAGGCAGGAGGCAGGAGAGGCAGGAGATGGTGGTTGTGGGCAGGAGATCGTGTGAGCGCCCGTCGGTGGCTGAGCAGGTGGCTGACGTGATCTCGCCTGCCCTGTCACTGCACATCACTGACGCACAACACGGAATGGACACCGCATGCGGAGGGTGTAATGGATGATGTGGTACACCACAGATGCATGCCCTCTGTGGCACACGAGCAAGTCGGTGGGTGCCTGTGAGATCGGGCGGGCGCTCGGACTTGCCAAACAAGGCAATGGATGTGCGGACTCATCCGCAATCGCGCCATAGCGCGATTGCGGGTAAGGGTGACTGGCAGAAGGCAGTCGCAGACTCAAACGGAGACTGCATGTTACCCGCGTTCGCGCCATGACGCGAACGCGGGTAAGAGTACCTCGCATCCGCAGTCGCGCCATGGCGCGAACGCGGGTTATGCACGCTGAGATTCATGCTGCGAGGGTGAGACGTTTAATGCTCAGAACGTGAAAATGCCTTCCTCACCCATCCTCACCCCATCCTCACCCTAAGGATTGGTCAAAAAGCCCCTATAATGCCTCAGCTGCACGGACGGCGATGTTTCTATGAGTGCGACAGAACGGGCGAGTCGAGCAGCAGACGAGAGTTACAGGGGGCCGAGCGAGGCGCGAACGGTAGCTGAGAACGCCGGTGGCTACCGGTATCCGGATATGGAAGGTGGGACCGTCAAGCGCTGAGACCAGAGCGTGACAGGACCGTGAATCTTTCGGAGGAAGTACGGATTGTCGGCTCCAACAATGTCGCACACGATCGACGCGTCGCGTCACGCGTCTGTCACACCGTGTCTCACGTCACTCAGGCTTGCGATGTCGAAGGAGCATCCACGGACCCAACGCTTTTCGCAGAGAATCATTGAGCACATTGACCTCATGCTTGTCTGTCAGTGGAGTCAGAACCCGATTGGCATGAGTATCATACCTTCTCGCACGCAGCATGACAACTGTTGGTATTGCCCATCCTCAGCCACTGGCATTAGGTCATTCGAGCACTGGGGTACGGAGCAGATGAAGAAAGCAAGCAACATATGGCTACAACACTCTGTCGCTACATGAGGGAGATCGTACAGTGACTGTCCTATACAGCTTGAGCAGATACATCCAGGGAGAGGGTCAAACGGCATATGGGACAGGTGCGCTTCATGGCGAGCCAGCGCCGCAGGCATTTCTCATGGAACCTAAACCCGACACACCAGCGGTCAGTCTCACACAGCTCGCAGACAAGGTGAGCACTACTCACGAATGTTGGCATAACGGCGCCAGCGCCGCCAGCTCTTCGTTCCTAAACTGGGACAGACAGATCCCGCACTTGTCCACGACGACGCCAAGCAGGGTCAGCTTGAGCTTCACCCGCCCGTCCTTGGTGATGCGCCGGCGCTCGACCTCGATACGACCGATCAGCGGGTGTTCGTCGCGGACGGACGCGAGCGGGGATGGCGCCGAAGGAGCGAGTGCAGGACCGATGAACTCGGACACTCGCAAGAGATCCTGCGTCGTGGGTGAGTAAACGTGATGGATCGGGCGCCACGACGGTCCGAACTCACCTCGTAACTTCGCCCGTCATCCGGCTGCCCGCCCACGTCCAGCCGCGCCACGAACACGTCGAGGTCCGTGTAGTTTGACCATTCAGAAGGCGATCCTGAGTCGGTCGCGACGCCGCCCACGGAGGAAACACGATCAGGTGGACGCTGCGCACTGCTATCCTCGGCAGACGGCGGCGGCTGGCTGGGCGTCATGGGTCTCACGCTGAGCGTGGGTGAGTTGGGGTTCGAGCTCGTCGGGAGACGAGGCAGCGGCCGGCCGGGATAGTGACGTCCCGTAGGCGTCGTCGGCGTCGTCGGTGTCGCTGGTAAAACCGGGCTCGCTCGCTGGACAGTTGATGACACAGATGCGCAAGACGCAACCGCTGCCTCACCGTTCGATGATACAGAGGCATGGGACGTCTGGAGGGGCGGGAGAGCCAAAGGCGACGTGGGACGCACCACGGTCGAAGTAGTTTGAGGGCCTCCACCCACACCTTCGTGCGTGTTCGTGTTTGTGTTGCATGTCAGAGACGAATGTCCAGAATCGAGGGAAAGCCCGGGCCATCGTTGCCCGCACGTAGCACCGTCGGCACAGTGACTGACGAACCCGAGCTACTATCGCTGGATCCCGTCACGGACACAGCCGGCTCGATCGACATCCTCGACGCCGGATAGGGCGCGTCGATGTCTGGACGCCTGAAGCGTCCGATGAGCGGGCTGCGGTCGCGCGGCGGCCGCGGCCTCGGTATCGGAGACGAGCTGCTAAGGGGCGTCGGTGAGGAAAGGTGGGTTTCCCTCGCCAAGCGCGAGGGTGGATGAGGTCGTACCGGGGAGGCGGGGTGTGCAGTAGGGGCAGGAGGCGTAGAGGTGGCCGGAGACGGAGCAGGATGCGTCGCACGAGGTGCCTTCTCCGGAGGGAAGGGGATGTCGGAGAGGGACGGCGGGGGGAGGACGTACGGCGAAACGTGTCGGTTGCGACGCGCCGGTCGCGGCGGAGGCGCTAGGACTGGTGTGGTGAGTGGCTGAGGCGGCCTCTCTGGCGTCCAGGGCAGCTTGTCCCTCTTCGGCGACGCAGGCGACGTCGGTACGCCGTCTCCCTCAGCCTCGGAGGGCGTAATCTCCTCCCAGGAATGCAGGTCGTCATTGGACGACGGGGAGCGCGGCTCACTGTACTCGTCTCTGGTCTTCTCCTCCTTCTCCCTCCCCCGCTCCTTCTCCTTGCCCTTCATGAACAGCTTCCGCAGCCCAACGCTCTCCTTCCGCTTGACGTTGTTACCAGGCGAGGCCGGGGCCGGCTTGTTGATCGAGAACGCACTGCTGAGCAGCGTTGCGGTGCTGGCCCACGGGCTGAACGCAGGCGCGTCGACGGTCGACGCGGGCGAGGGCGGTGGCGATGTATCGCGCACGCGCAGGTCGAGCGAGCGGTGCATCTTCTCGCGGTTGCGCCGCCGGATAGAGCACTCCCGATTACCAACGCCCTCCCTCCCAACGCTATCATCGTCGTCGCCGCCACTCTGTACGTCTCCGGCAGGCCGCAATGACCCGCAATGCGAGCAACGCCGCGGACGCGTTCCGTGTGTCGAGGATATTGAGGCACTCGTGTCGTGGGATGTGCGGGTATCGGGTGTACGGAGGAGATTGACAGTCGTGCTGGACTCGGCGGCATGCTGGCGAACGAACTCACGCTGGACGCGTTGGTGGAGGCTGAAGCCGGTGCTGCGATCGGCCTCCCAGTGCTGTTCGGGCTCGAGCGTGACGAGTTCGACGCTGGAGTCGTCTGAGTCTGAACCTGGGTCGTCGGACGGACCGGACATGGCGGATGAGGGCGGGTCGGGAGAGAGCGGCGAGCGGCGAGACGGCGAGACGTCACGCATGAAGGAGAGGGAATCCGCGGCTGGAGATGCGGGCGGGCTTGTCTGCGGGGTCGCGGAATAGGAGGAGGTTGCGTAAGAGGAATTTGCGTAGGGCGACGAGGGGAGAGTGTAGACGGATGGCGAGGAGAGAATGGCCTCCTGGAAGGAGGGCGGAGGGTAGTCCGGTACAGGCGTGTCCATGACTGTGATCGCAGCTTGAGCACACTGTGATTGAGGGCAGGGGGAGTGAGTGTGATTCTCGGAACGCCAGCGCAGCGCAGACGATACACTGAGATCGCCTCACGCAATCATCCCAAGGCCACAGAGCCCAATGGGTGGGCCTGTGCATGCGATACGCGCTCCGAGAACGACACCCGCACCGGGAATGAGAACTCACCATCGAGCAGCGGATCGCCAGGTTGTCTCGCCGGCTGCGGGGCAGGCTGCCTGCGGGGGCGAGCCTGCGGGGGTGGGGGTGGGGGTGGGTGGATGCGCCTGGAGGCGGAGGGCGGGACGGCGGTGGTGAAGCGAGGCTCGTCGTCGAGGCGTCGTGCGGCGGGGTCGACCTGCCGCTTCTTCTTGGTCTTTGGGCTGCGGATGCGGCCTGCGTTCTGGGGCGGGATGAGGGTGAGCTGGCCGTGGTGGGTGACGATGTGGGTGAGATAGGGGGCGGTGCGGGGGGTGGCGGGCGAGGGGGCGTCGGGGGTGCGCTGGGTGGCCATGGACGACGGCGAGCACGGCGGGCGGACGGCGGTCGAGTGCATGCTGGGGGTGGCGCCAGCGTGGGCGTGGCGAGGCGAGGGAGAGGGCGCGTGGCCGTCGCATGCCTCCAGTCGTCCTCGCCGTCGACCACAGCGCCCACGAATCGCCACCCACGCGTCCCGTCACGTGCGCAATCCGACGCGTTCGACGCGTTTGACTTTGGCGCGTCCCGTCCTCCTCTCCCGCTGCGATCCTCCCCCGCTATGCCTGCACGCACAAAACCCCCCGCAGACATCGACACAATCACGGGATCCATCCCCAAAGTCTTCGAGCAGGTCCAGTCCACACTCGCAAACCACCAGAAGAACTACATCGCGCTCTATAAGCTCCATCTTGACGCTGCGACGCACACCCAGTCCGTGCAGAATGGCAAGAGCATCAAACTCATTGGCGAGCGCGCCTTTGAGGACACTCTCATTGGCATGCTGCTCCGTGTATTGCCCGTCAAGAAGGGTATCAGCGTCGCCGACAGGGTCATCAAGTTCGTAGGAGGCTACACGAAGTTCATCAACGAGAAAGGTGCGTCTCGCGGCCTATGACCGACCTCTCGGCTCATACAACAGCAGCGACGGAGGATGCAGAGGAGAAGGGAGAGGAGGAGGAAACGACTGCGTCCAGATTCGTCTCCCGCGTCCTTCGCTTCCTCCTCTCCGGATGTGTCGCCAAAGACAAGAACGTCCGCTACCGTGTCGTGCAGTGTATCGCGGAGATGATTGCGCATTTGGGCGAGATTGAGTGCGTCCTCCCTCCCCCTTCACCCGTGTACCAGTATTGATGGTCAACCCCGCCGAAGTGAGGACCTCTACTCCTCACTGCGCTCCTCCCTCATGGAACGCGCGCGTGACAAAGAGTCCACCATCCGCTTTCAAGCCGTTGTTGCGCTCTCCAAACTTGCTGGCTCCGAGGATGTGTCCGAACTCGAAGAGGGCGAACAGACCATCATGGACATGCTCATCGACTGCCTCACCTACGACGCCGCTCCGTAAGTTCCTGATATTCCCTCCAACACCTCGTGTCTCACTCAACCATCCCAGCGACGTGCGCCGCTCGGCCCTGCTCAACCTTCCCCTTACCCCCGCAACGCTTCCGCCGATCCTGGCCCGCACGCGCGACACAGACCCCGTCGTCCGCAAGCTCGTCTATTCGCAGATCCTCGAACCCCGCACGCTCACCGAGTCCGGCGAGGTCGGCCTGACGCACCCCCGCGCGCTGACGATCGCGCAGCGAGAGGCGATCGTCCGAAACGGCCTGGGCGACCGTGAGGACACCGTGCGCGCCGCTGCGGGGCACCTCATGGCGGCATGGGTAGACGTCGCACGGGGTGCGGGGCCGAGGGTCAAGAAAGAGGAAGAGGGCGGGGAAGGCGTCAGGGCGTACCTCGTCGACTTTTTAAAGCTGTTCGACTTGGTAGAAGGCAAGATCGCGGAGGACGCGCTGGTCAGCGTGTTCACCGTCCGCGCGGATGTCTTCGATAACGTCGGGTTTGAGGGTGAATAGCCCGATTCTCCGTTTGTTTGCGCGCTCATGTAAAAATCTTTCTCTCAGAAAACTATTGGGAGTCACTGACCCCGGAACGTGCCTTCCTCGCACGCGTCTTCGTCGACCATGCGTCGCGCAGAAGGATAATGCCCGCCTCGAAACCGTCCTCCCCGTCGTCACCATGCTCGCTTTCCGCATCCAGGCGGCCTACAACGACCTCATCACCCGAAATCAGCGCGACGAGGAAGACCGCCTGCTGCGCGAAGGCATGGATGGCGAGGACGAGGACGAGGAGCGTGCGCGGCGCGAGGAAGAGCGCATGGACGGGGAGTTTGTCATCGGGGAGATGCTCCGGCTCGCGGTTAACCTGGACTACGCAGACGAGATCGGGCGGAGGAAGATGTTCCAGCTCGTTCGTAAGTACCTGCATTCGTCCGGTCTTTGGGGGGCGTACAATCACTGACGCATGAGCAGGTGACATGATCTCGCATGACGTCCTCCCGGAAAGCCTCGTCGCACGCTGTCTCGACGTCTTGCGCGTCCTCTCCCCGAACGAGCGCGACCTCATTCGGGTGGTGGTCGAGGTAGTACACGAACTTCGGGACCCGAGCGAACCCGAGGAGGACGTCGTAAGCCCGCCTCGCCTTCCTCTTGTCTTGTGTCACGCTGACTGACCTTCACCGGACTCTAGCCACAGGTCAACGATGGAGAGGTGAGTTTGCCAAGACGCCCACGACCGTGCGTGTTCGGCCGCAAGGCCTCGGGGTTGGGCTTCCCAAGCCAGAGAGCGAGATGACACCCGAGGAACGAGCTCGTGCGGACGCCATCGACTTGAGGTGCCTGTCTCTGTGCATCGGGATGCTGGAGCGAGTGAACGGAGTACGTTCGTATCACTTGGGCGCGCTTCGTCTGACTTCATCCGCGCCTCCAGACTTTTGAAGAGAACTCGACGCTGGAGGGTATCCTCGGCGAGCTGATCATCCCGGCGGTCAAGCGCAAAGAGCTTCTGCTCAGGCAGAAGGGCCTCGTGAGCTTGGGACTATGCTGTCTCATTGCACGGGTAGGAGTTTTCTCGCGTGCTCGTTCAGCAGTTCGTCAGTTGACCGGGCTTTGCCCTCTTAGCGCATGGCGCTGAACTCTTCCAACTGTTCCTAGGCCAAGTGCAGGCTGCGCCGGAAGTGCTCAAGACGAGTGTGCTCCATATCGTGTTCGACATCCTCATGGTGCACGAGGGCGACTTCCTTGGGCCTGGGAGCACGAACGTGAGTGCACCCAGACATCCTTCACTCCGTTCGTGGTCTTACTGACAGACATCAGGGCGACCGGATCGTGACCTTCCTCCTACACCTGCTCGAGACCGAAGAGAACGAGAAGATCCAGGCGCTGCTGTGCATGGGCATCGCAAAGCTCATGCTGGCGGGCATGATCACTGACCAGCGAGTGAGTTTGTATATATACTATCATTTGTCGGTATGTGACGGGTGCGCGTTGCAGGTGCTCAAGAGCCTCGTGCTCGTGTACGTCTCACCTGAGACAATAGACAACCAAGAGCTCCGGCAGTGCCTTGCGTACTTCTTCCCCGTCTACTGCTATTCCAGCCCCCAGAACCAGCGACGAATGCAGCAGGTGTGTTACATTATTCGGCTCTGACACAGAGTGAGAGATGCTGACGGCGGCGTGATTACCAGATCTTCATTCCGCTATTCGAACAGCTCTCAGGCGCGCTCCGTGAGTGGAATGAAGACCAGGAACACGAGCCGATCACAAGCGCACAGCTCGGGCTGATGTTTGTCGATTGGACCGACCCACAGAAAGCTGTGTACGTCACTACACACGACTCGAATAAGGCACTATTGATGAATAGTTTCGCAGGGCGATCGGAAGGAACACCGAGGCGGACGAAGATAGTATACATGTCGACATGGCGGCGGATATCGTAAAGGCTCTCTATAGCAAGGAGTTGGAGAGTAGGTCTACTCACGGAACTCTTAGCTGCTCGGTTGCTGACGTTCTGTACCAGAGGATGACAAGAAGGCACTCTGTCAGCTGCTTGGGAAGCTGTACATCCCCGACACGGTCGACGAAGACAAGATTCGCTCCTTGAAGTTGCTCACGCAGAACCTCCGTGCTGTACGTGCATCCGCCATCCACACATTCTGATTGTTTAACGACGTTCTCGATGTTAGCGCCGTCCTCTGCGGGACACGACGTCGCAGAACGCGTTCGGCAAGTTCGACGACGCGCTGTCGAAGAAGTTCGCGAAGCAGCTCGAGGGCTTCAGCGAGGAGGAGTTCCGTCAACTGGAGAATCTGGATGCGCATGGCGGCGTGAAGAGTATCTTCGAGTTCTTGGACAAGATCGAGCCGAACGATGAGGAAGAGGAGGATGTGAAGCCGGCTAGGAGGGGTCGAAAGCGGTGCGTAGTGACCAATGTTTTTATATCAACGATTGACACTTCTGGTATGTGTCATAGACGGTCGGGCAGTGTCGAGAGCGCGAGCATGGTGAGCAATGCGACGAGCGAAATGGGCAGCGTACCTCCATCGCCCAGAAGCAAGACGCGAGGGAAGGCCAAGTAGGTGCTTTGCACCGTTATGAGTGACTCATGCTCAATTATCATGTGCAGGCGCCGCCGTCTGTCGGAGTCGGACGAGTCGGACGACGACGACGACGAGGGTACCCCAGCACCTGCGCCGACAAGGACCGTGCCGAGGCGTTCTGCGTACGTCTTCGTTGGGCTGCTTAGCTGGATCACGGCTAAATGGGGTTGGTTTACAGGGCGGAGAAGACTAGACGTGCTGTCAAGGCGGCCGTGACGCCGGTCAAGTTTGAGGAAAGCGATGATGAAGTACAGGGCGAGCAGGATGAAGATGAGGACGAGGAAGGGGAAGAGAGCACACCTGTGCCGAAACGGCGAGCCAGACGAGCGTACGTTCTCATTATAATTGGTTCATGGGCACTGATTGATGTTCGACGAACTCTAGGCCGACGCGCGATACGGCTAGTCCTGGATCGAGTGTGGCGCCCGAGCATCCATCCCCGGAGGATGTCGCGCAAGATCTGAGTATGATCACGGTCGAGGACGAGGACGATGCCGACGAGGTGGAAGAGATATTGTGACCCTAATGTTATGGTTGGCGTCTGGCGATCTACGGTATATACCACTATGTTGTACGAGCTATATGTACATCTATCGACTTGTTGTAGAGATATTGTTGTGTCTGTTACTTCAGACATTGGATCGCGGCGGTGGACGCGGTAGGAGGAACGCGGTGAAGAGGCACAGACCCAGAAATCACGAGACCGCGACGGGGGACGAGTCTTGTTCACTGGCCACTCGTTCTAGCCACCTTGCTCTCGACGTCGTCGACTCACCGAGGCCGACGCGGGCTCTGAACAACCCACTTCTGTCTTTTTCTCGAACATACACGCACGCGTTGCGCACGCGTTCAGCTGCCCCGCTAAGCCAACAGCCGCTGCGTTCCGCGCGCACTCGTCTCCGCCCATATTCGGCGACATGCGCTCGTCCTCTGCAGACACTCATCCACACATCCAAGTTCGACAATAGACTGTCATATACATCGTACTCGACTCAGATAGACGACCCATCCTGCACCTCCAGCCTCCGTATGCCAGCGGTCATGGCAGCGCACCCAGCATCCACAATCTACATGCCCATTGTATCTCCTCCCACTCCCGCCCCGTCCCCTCGTCTTTCCGCATTCGAACCGCTCAGCATCAGCGCAAGCATTGAAGATCCCGCCTGCCATGCTCGCCGCGAGTTCGCCTCTCTCGCGCCCGCCCTCCGTTTCCAATATCTAGCAGGCCTCCTCGCCGACTGCACACCCGCAGAACTCCTCTTCATCTCTACCACAATCACGCCTCTTCTCCGACGAGACTTCCTCAAAGATCTTCCCGCGGAGCTCGCTTTCCATGTTTTGAGCTTTATTGACGACCCGAAGACCCTCGCCAGGGCGAGCAGGGTCAGTCGCACATGGCACCAACTCCTGGACGACCAATGGCTATGGCGGCGGATGTGCGACATTCATGGCTACCCCTTTCCCGAAGGCGAGGACGGCGAGGGGAGTCGCTCCGACGAAACCGTCACGGACGAGGACCTCGATGCCATTTCCAACATCTCAGGTGCGTAGCTCAATGACCTTCCTCCCAATAAGCTGTTCATCCAATGTACGTCCGTGTCTTCTAGTTTCTGCTCCGACAGTGTCAACGTTGAGCATGCAAGAGATACCTCCTCCGCCTCCTCCGCCGCGCTTCTCCTATCGTAAGCACTTCCGCTATGAATACACTACCAGTATGTGCAGTATCCTTATACATCGCCGGCTCATCCTCACCACCTCTCTCCTTGCCCTATATATCAGCTTCAAACTGGGTACACGGTGGGAAGCTCCTTCGGATGCACCGCATGCCACTACTCCCGTCTTCTCGACAAATCCCGCCACAGAACCCTCCCGCAGACCATCAAGGCGGACAGGGCACACAACCATCGTCCGCCATCCCCACTTCTGTTGCGATAGACGACAACTGGGTCGTCGTCGGGTTGGCGAATAGCCGCATACATGTCTTCAGCGCCCGAACAGGCGTCTTGAGTCGGACACTGGTGGGCCATGAGAGCGGTGTTTGGGCGGTGAGTTTGGTGCGCGGGAGCGATGGCTCAAAGAGCGCCTCCTCGACCAGGCACGACCGAGAAGCTGAGAACGAAGAAGACCGCTCCGACATCGACGAGATGGACATGGACTTCGACGAGGAGTCCCTCGACCCAGCGGACTACGACCCGTTGATGCCACCTACGCTCCGACATGCGCTTGGGCTCGACCTCGGGGCGAACAGCGGTGCAAAGCAACAGAGACGGCGCTCGGCGTCGGACGTATTCAGCCGTGCGGGCGCCCCGAAGAGCGGGAGGCCGAGGACGAGCGGGGGTCAGAGGGCACGGCCTGCGGCGTTCGGTAAGCCGAGCGAACCGAGCGGGGCGTCGGATGGATGGGGCCAACCGCATGCGCTGGTGGTCAGCGGCGGATGTGACAAGGACCTTAGAGTCTGGGATGTCAAGTCAGGGTAAGCTACGCCGGCTTTCCTCACTGTGATCTGACTGAACGTCCTTCTAAGTTACTGTATATACGTCCTCTCCGGCCACACCTCCACCATCCGCTGCCTCAAGGTCCTCCATGGCCGCCCGCTCGCTGTTACGGGTTCGCGCGACCGCACCGTGCGTGTGTGGGACATCCAGCGTGGGCGACTGCTGCGCACGCTTGAGGGGCACGAGCAGAGCGTGCGCTGCCTCGACGTGTGCGACCGGCGCGTCGTGAGCGGGAGCTACGACTGTACCTGTCGCGTGTGGGACATTGAGACGGGGGCGTGTCTCCATGTCCTTAGGGGTCACTTCCACCAAATCTACTCTGTCGCGTTCGATGGGGTGAGAATCGCGAGTGGCGGCCTCGACACCACTGTTAGAGTGTGGGATGCCGCAACTGGGTACGTCGCACGTCGTGTTGACCGACATGCTTGCTTACTCAGACTGTTTCAGGGCATGTCTCGCACTTCTGCAAGGGCATACCGCGCTTGTCTGCCAGCTCCAACTCTCGCCGACCATGCTCGCCACCGGCGGGTCTGACGGGCGGGTCATTGTCTTCTCGCTCGACAAATCCTTCACGACGCTCCAGCGGCTCTCCGCGCACGACAGCTCCGTGACGGGTTTGCAGCTTGACGAACGATTCCTAGTCACGAGCGGAAATGACGGACGGGTGCGGCTGTTCCGGTTCGACCGGGCGCGAGGGCTGGGCAAGTGCGAGTACGTGAGGGAGCTGACTGAGCCGACGGAGAGCGTGTGGAAGGTCGCGTTCACGCGGGAGACGTGCGCGATCATGAGCAAGCGCGGCGGGAAGACGGTAATGGAGATGTGGAGCTTCAGGCCTGAGGACGCGGGCTTGGTGAGCGAGTCATGAGATGCCCTGAGGCTGCCGCGTCAGATAGAAATTTGTGAGTAGGACTTGTCATTGTTGTATCTTTGGACACTCGTCGTTGTTGTGTTACACACCGGATCTACGTTGTCGTAGCGTTTAGCAAAGACTTTCCGCAGCGCTCAGCTGGGTCCACCCGGGTACAAGAAGGTAGTAAGAGACGCATGCACTACACAATACAAAGGAAGGATTGAAAGATGTATCAATATGGCGGGCTGTTCACAGCATTCGTCGATCGAACGCGCCCGCCTGCTGCTCCCACGTGTTTACTCTCTTCGCCCGCCACCACCGCCAACCCAGCCATGTCGGGACTTCTACCGACTTCCTGAAGGGCATCGTCAACACGGGCATCGTCCTGCACCTCACGGACGGCGTCGGCTAAGTACCATGGTACGTCGCGTCTTCCGTTCGACCGTCGCCCCGCGTGCACTTACCTCCAGACTATTAGGCATGCTCTCGTACCTCAACAGTTACATGAATATCGCCCTCGAGCAGACTGAGGAGCACGTCAGCGGTATGTCACCAGTCGCTATGGTGATCTATTCATTCACTCGCGGGAACACCGGTACGAGTTATTGTCCGTATTGTCTCTAACATGCTCATGGCCATTGCATACCCCAGTCCCGGTCTACATATCCACTGCTCAACTGCCGTGATGCGCTCGGCGGGGTGTTCTGACTCTGGAGCAAAATGTAAGCACCCGCCTTTGCTGATCGCTGCATCTGAGTGGGACGGAATACTGGTGACGTCGCTTCTCCGCATTTCGACGATGTAATCGTGCACCCTTATCCCCTCGTGGTAAACAGCTCGACCCTGAGTCAAGTGTTTAATCATACGGATAAATGCTCCATCAATCCCGAGTCGATGATACTGTCGGCGACCGCTCAATCACGATGACGCACCGCAAGTGAGCTTCACCAGCTCTGTGTCAGTCGCGCCTACGTTTCTACTACCGCTGTATGGTCTGAGAGTCGGCGGCCTCAATTCTCGGTTTCTCGTCCGTAACCTCGCCTTCCTTCTCGCCGTCTACTCCTCCACTCCGGCTCGCACCGGCAGCCTGAGGAAAGATCCGCTTGTACGACACGCGGTCGTGTATGACAGGTCTGCCGTGAAGTGACGGCTACGGACAGCCGAGGAGAGGGCGAGGAGAGGGCGAGGAGGTGAGGATACGCGAGAGGAAAGAAGAACGTACATGTAATGAGTCAAAAGGCCGAGCAGAAAAGCTCCACGGACAAAGGTACGTAACAATAATGCATCCCTGTCCCGCCGGTCTCTACGTCAAGCGATGCGAACTAGAGAAGAGGTACACGTTGCTGCCCTCTTGCCGCATTTCTCCTTGTCCCGCCGCTCTAATCACCGCCCTCTCGTGTTCAAACGGCCACCGCTGACTTCGAAGGCGTCATTCACAGGTTTTCCGGCAAGCACCCGCACCTCGATGCAGCACAGATGGCAGGAAAGCACGTTTGCATTGACTTGTCCGCAGGCCGTCCCAAGACGCCGCAACTCGTCAATACAATTACTTGGAGCGTCGAGCCTTCCTTACACTGATAACATGTAACGGCAGCCTCGACTACGCGATTCAATAGTGTTGGCGATCCTGATCCAATCTGTCGTTCTCAAATGGCATCGCGCATACGGTGTGTGCGATTGGTCTTAGGCTTCAATGTGGCAGTGAGAGGCGGACTCAAATTCTTCTAATACCAGATTACTCTTAGCGAGAGCCCGCGACCGCAGTGAATTGCTGCTTCAAGCGCGAACGAAGACCTCGCAAACAGTGATGTAAGTACAGTATTCGAAGCTCCTAAAAGATGTTTTGCCTCATGGTAGGCATGCCAGCACCCCAGGCGAGCACGTGCTGGAGGCAGGGCCTCATTGACAACCACAGTGGTAAGCCGAGAGACTCGGTGTCTACTTTTACATCATACATGACAGGTATGGTGCCACCATCCCTCAAACTACCTAAAGTTAGGTCAGCCATTCTCGTGGCTCATGGCTTGAGCCCGAATTGCGCTGACAAATTCCTCGTTAATTCAGTTGATCCGGCGTTACCTGCATGCTACAGGTAAATTCGTACCATTTGTCGCATGACTTGCCCATATTGACGAACTCCGTTGCGTCGAACTCAGGCATGTGTTCCCGGAGAAGCCCGCGGCGTTCTCTTCCGCGAGCGATCGCGCCCGCTAGGCAAGCAACCAGTGTTATGATTTTACGTGTGACACGGATACATGTAATTATCCACGCAGGCACGGATATCGATCACGGCGCTGAGAACCAACAAGATGCAGCCTCGTACTCGTGCAGGTATAGCAGCGTCGTAAGCAACACTGTGCTATACCTGCGCGAGTATAAGACACCTGCAGAAGTACGACATTCGCCCTGCAAAACGACGACGACGCCCGTTGCACAACCCGCTTAGTATGCCGAAAGCACAGTCGTTGTACACAACATCGTCCCCGCGATTCCACCCATATTCGCAGAGTTTGCGGCGTGCTCGGAACCGCGAAGTGAGTCAGTTCCTGGACACTCAGTCTCATCTAATGTTAATATGTTGCCATGTGTGCGTGTCATAGATACGATTGCGCGAATCCCTGTCAAGCTACCCATTGTGGTTGATTGAGATGATCCATCTCCTCAGCCGTGAGTACTCAATTTCGAGTCAATAGGCTGTTATATTCATGTGGGCATATCTGTTGTAGACCCTGACGACTGGCCGGACATGTAGAAGTGTTCTGCCATGGTTGCCATAGCTCTGTACTATTCGGAGTGCCAAGTTCTGAGTCGCTCTGCAATCTCGCCTGCTATGTTGATCACTGTTCTCATATTGCTGTCATTGCTGCTCCATATTGCTTACATTGTGTCCGTAATCTCCGGATCAAATAAGGATATCCATATTGTGTGCTACAGATTCTCGCTAGTCCCAAGCAACTGCCCTCAACTTCGGAGACACACCGCAGCCCCGACGTCAAAATCGGCCGTTCGAATCGATGTGGCGCAGACGGCATGCAAACATGTCAGCACGTTCGCGTCAAGACAACACGTTGGACGGTCACGATGGGCTCCGGCGATGTGTCGACATTCTATGCTCGTGCGGCAGCTGCGAGATGGGTCGGGCGCAGGGAGGAGTAGAGGACGCGGCCAACACTGAGGCCACCATATCGGGTGAGTCGCTCCAGTCTCGTCGCCCCATGCGAAGACGACCCCGCCGACAGAGCAAACACATTCCCAGCCTGATGAACCCGGGATGAACAAACCCGCCGAGAAGCAGTGCGCCGATGCGCCAGGCAAGCAGGTGCTTGCTGTGTACGATCTCCGGGCCCGGGCGAGAACGAGTACATTCAAGATGAACACGACCAGGGCAGCACCCCGAGCGAGTACTACCAGGACGTGCGCGGCCAATACAGGCATACCGAGCAGAACCCGCCAAGCAACAGCGCGACGGGGACGCTCATTACGATCATCGCGAGCGCAACACAGGTGAGCACGACCCCGCTGTGAATGACCCTCACCGTTGGAGTCGCGCGCGCTCATTTGCGACATACTCTGCAAGCCATTTCTGGCGTTTGGCTTCCTCGTGAACAGTCCGTGCGTCGTGCTCGGACTTCTTCATCCAACCGTCTGTCTGATCATGTTCGCAGATGGTGTTTTCCACTTCAGCACGCGGAACGTATCCCCGCAGTGGACATTCGTCTTCTCTTCCATGTTCGTCCCCGTTTCACCGCGTCTGGTGCGTCCCCATTCCCTGTGCATGCCCGTTGATGTTCCAGGCAAAGCTTGCTAGCGCCGCCTTGTACCCCGCCGATCCAAGTTCCCTCCGTACCCTCCGGTACGCGCCAAGCTCGAGGCTCATCCTTGCCGTATACGCATATGCACCGATGCCAGTGATTTCGCTCCCGTACTCGCGTCCCACCTGGTCCGAGTTATCACATTCGTTCGGGGTACCTTGAAGCCTGGCGATCCGCGATTCTTGTGTCTGTGCAACGTGTCAATCCACCTCCCTGACGCTCTCGTACTCGCCGTCCATCTGTCCCGCTCCGTTGCCCAAGTCAGAGCGAACATTCGTTCGCCGCGATACCGCTCGGACCTGGCATTGTTCTCGCCGAGCGAGAGCATTGATCCCTTTCGAGGGAGGATTACTCCCTGCTCGTTCCGACTGTTGGTTCGAGGCATAACCATTGCGTAGGATTCTTGATTGTGGAGCTTAGGATAAATTGTGGAGCTTAGGATAGCCGGGTGGATGCCGCCAACGAGCCGTCGATCCATTGACTCTAGATCTTCTCCCAGGCTTAGTGTCGATTTGCGCGGCTGGTCCTTCCGCTTGGACTGTAGCTGTCTGTGAGACACTTCCCTCCGATGTCATATTCAGAGCCTCCTGTCCAGCTCATCCGGCTGCGAGGCGCCAGTGGGCGTGCTCAATTGTTGTGCGGACCGTGGTTTGGGCGTCTGAGCGATCGTCTCCTACGGCCCTCACCTCATACAAGACGCTCGCCGGCTTGTATGGTCTGCAACGGAGACTAGCGCGCGCGGTACATGGCCCTACAGGCCCTGAGGGATCCTACAGGTCTGTCGCGATCGGAGCCGCGACAGACCGTAGAGCCACACTCATACGATGCGCTCTTCTCGCCGCGCACGGGGAGTGCTATATTGCGTCTCATCAATTGAAACACGCCCGGCTCGGGGCGCCGGTCTCCTATGTGAGACCTCTGTATTGTCTCCTACGTAAACATATGCCCAGTCCAAACCATTCATAAAGTCCGGACTTTGAGTCGCCGGCCTTGTTCTCCCCGAGTTCTGCTCGCTGAAAATGGGTGTCGTCGTACCGCTGCTCCTGGCCCTGCTGTCCTTCCTCATCTACAGGTTCTGGCGGTCAGGCGAGATGTCTCTCTTCCGCCGGGCCCGTCTCGTCTCCCTATCATAGGCAGCGTGCACCGTCTTCCGTTCGGATACCAACAGCACACTTTCCTTGATTGGAAGAAGATCTATGGTATGTCCATACTCCTACGTTCGACCGTTTCCGCATGAAGCTGTTTGGTGGTAGGCGATGTGGTATATCTGCAGATCTTCAGTAAGCCTGCGGTAGTCCTCAACTCAGCCAAAGCCATGCAAGAGCTGCTCGACAAACGCGGCTCCAAGTATTCCGACAGACCACGGAGCGTCCTCATATCTGAACTGTACGTCTTATGCGTGAATATAGGCCCCGTCTGTTCTCATACCTCCGTCCTCGCTTCAGGATTGGCATGACGAATAACATTACCATTCTGCCTTATGGAGACCAATGGCGTCGCCAGCGCCGTTGGTTCCAGACCACCTTCCAAGCTGCCTCTGCGCTCGAGTCCTACATCCCACTTCAGCGCCGTGAATCTGTCAGACTACTTGCAGGGTTACTTGACGCATGGCAGAGCAACAAGGACAAGGCAAATCGCGAAACAGGCAAGGACGTCCTTGCAGGAGTCAGGAGGTAAGTCCGCCTTCACGTAATTGCTGGGATGCACGATCTCTGACCATTGCCTACGAACAACGCTCGCTTCGCTCCGACATCGATCGTGCCGCCCTTATAGGTATGTTGGTGCGATGATGATGGAGATTGCCTACGGCCACAGTGTCGCGTCGCTCGACGACGAGTTTGTCGTCTTATCCGAACGTGCGCTCGGAGGGACACTGCAAGCCGCTACCTCCGTCGCGTCCCTCGTGGACTTCTTCCCATTCCGTGAGTAGCCTGGTATATCGCTCTCCTAGCCCTCCCCCTTCTGGCTGCTCTTCGTGGCTATCCCACTCATCGCCTCCGTGCTGACTGCTTGCTCGTGCCTGTGCGTACTCAGTGACGTACCTGCCAGCGTGGATGCCCGGTGCAGGTTTCCTGGCGAAGGTAGCCGAGGTCCGCGAGCTCGTACGCGTGATGATCGACGTGCCGTACGAGCGTGTGCAAGCCTCCATTGTGCGTGTACTTGCCGCACTCCGTTCGCAGTGTATAATGGAAGCCTCGCCTTGAATCTTATGTAGGCCAAAGGAACCGCGCGGCCGTGTTTCCTCACGTCGCTCCTTGATGAGTATGCCAAGGATGGGCAGATGTCTGAGTACGACAGAGCTGATGTGAAGGGCGCTGCGAACATTGTGTATGGAGGTATGCTTCTCCAGTTTTCCTCCATCTTGTTCATCCTCTCACCAGCCCTTGGATACCCAGCGGGAACGGATACTGTAGGCGCCACTCTTAACGTGCCTCAGATAACGGCACACCTACACACTGATTCTAACGGACGCTCTAGACCGCAACCGTCCTCGCGTCCTTCCTCCTCGCCATCGTCCTGCACCCCGAGGCGCTCAAGAGAGCACAGGCTGAGATCGACAGCGTCATCGGCACGGAGCGGCTTCCCGAGTTCGAGGACCGCCAGGCGCTGCCATATCTCGATGCGTTGCTGAAGGAGGTCTATCGGTGCGTCCCGTTCCGTCTCTCCTAGTCTGCTGGGCGACACCGATTACGTGTCAATTACAGATGGAATCCGCCAGTTCCGCTCGGTACGTCACCGTCCTTCCTTACCTTACTGCAGTCGGCTCACTCCGTGCTCTCGCGACGCTGCCGACACTAGTAATCCCGCGTCAGGTCACGGAGGACGACACATACCGTTCGTACACAATCCCAGCAGGCTCGGTGATCATGCCGAACATCTGGTACGCTCCCTCTGTCAACATTGACCATCATTCACGAAGCCGTTTATTGCAGGGCAATCACCCGCGACCCCGAATGTTACTCACAGTCTGCCGATTTCAGGCCCGACCGCTTCCTCTCCGCCACTCCCGAGCAAGACCCTCGCGAGTTCGCGTTCGGCTTCGGTCGACGGTGCGTCTCCAGTTCCACCCCCATCATGTCTAGCCGGCTGACTGAGCTAACTGTTCGCACACAGATCGTGTCCGGGCCAGGCGTTCGGCGACTCCACCGTCTGGCTCGCTGCGGCGCGCATCGTCGCCGCGTTCGACGTCACCAAGGCGCGTGACCCCACGACGGGTGAGGAGATGGACGTGGAACCGAAGTTTGCGTCCGGTATGATCAGGTACGTGTCCATCGAAAACTGCGCGTCGGCGAGGGTGCTGAAGGTTATTGCGGTGCAGCCATGTGCTGCCGTTCCCGTTCGAGGTGCGCCCGAGACTGGAGAGGGTCGTGAAGCTTATCAGGGAGTTGGAGGCTGAGGCTTGAACTTGAAGCTTGAAGTTTATTAGAGCATGCGGAGGCCTGGAGGTAGTGTATTTTGTCTTCGTTCGTGATGCTTATACTAGACTGGTATCAATGGCTGTTGATCCCGTACACCTGTTCGAAGCTGGGTAAGGTTGATTCGAGTAAGAACTCTTACAGGAACAGGCTTCATGGTCATTACAGGGGTCATCGAAAGACGAGGATTGAAGGCGCGTAGGGATGCAGTTTGTAGAGATCACCGTCAGCGGAAGCAGGTCATAAAAGCCTCCGAGTTATGCATAACCAGACGCTTCCTATTCGTGCATATATGGCTGCACAGGTCCTTCATAATCGGCGCCCTGCGTTCGAACCCGGTAAGTTACCCAGCACCACGCCGTGGCATACCAAACCCTTGTCTCGGTATGATAAGCATAATTGACTTCCCCATCAGTACACACATCGAAGTCGACGACGGTATGTTGCTCCGGTGACACGGGCTCCTCTTCTATCATACAGACCACGGGGCTCCGCTTTCCTCCCTCAGCGATGTCGAGGACTACTGTCTGTGGCAGCGAATGAGGCTCATCCGAATCCTGCAGTACGCACACTGAGACTCGAAGTTGAAGCTCGTTAGCCTCCCTAAACGCGCCTTGCCAGACGGAGGACGCTTGCGTCCTCGACCTGGCCAGCGAGGGGCGCGTCGTTTCGCAGAGGGGAGATATCCTCGCCCGTGACCTTGACTAGCTGAAGCGGCTAGGGGTGCCTCGTCAACGACGACCCAAGCATACGCAAAGACCAGCCCACTCACATCAGCCGTGCTAATAGACATCCTCCTTGCGAGCATGTCTACTGCCCGGCCTGCACCGATGTTCTGCACCACACGATTAGCACCACTAGCGCTGCATAGCAAAGCGCACTCAGGCTGAAGCACCTGCGGCCACAGGTCTCCCGCACTTACCTTCCTGAACCAATACACATTTTGCGTCCCGGCGGCACTGCCTGTATTTCGAAGACCTTCCTCGACCTCGACCTCGACCTCGACATGCAGTCGCTCGCCAACGGGCACGTTCACGCTCGGCCTGTCGTCCTTCGGGTCCGCGGGTTGGGCACGACGGCGCATCTGCATGAGAGCATTCTGCTTGTTCACTGGTTTCTTTGCGCGTGCAGCAGGCTTCGACGCGGAAGAAGAAGTGGTAGGGAAGTTCTTTACGAGGAGATCGCGTGCGGCCTGGTTCTTTGGCGGTGGATTGGGTGTTATAGGGCTGCACGAGTGCGACGATGGGTCTCTGTGGCTTTGAGAAGGCAATGTGAGTAAGTAGGAGCAGTGATTCGCTGGGGACGATACACACTACGCGCAGAAACACCTGCCGCATCTCCCACACACCGCTGGTGTCCTGCTCTCCTGCCCTCGTCCCTCTTCGTCGCGCACTGCACTGTCCAAGCTCGGCCTCCCGCACCCATCTTTGGCACACTTTTCGCGTGCGAGCGTCGTTCGCGCCTCACCAACGGACGCCATACGCTCAGCCGCGACTGGGCAGCCATGGCGGTCTGGGGCGACGTGGTCTCTGCAGAACAGGCGATCGCAAGCACAGCGGATGGGGAGAAAGTCGTTGAGATTGCAGGACGAGAGTGCGCAGTGCGCGCCGATGGCTGGGAGGGCGTTGGACATGATGGCGCGAGCGGGTCGAGGTGGAGGTTGGTGCGTGTCTGCGCGCGACGCGTCTGTGGCGCTCCGGTGGCTGAATGTACCCGTCCCTCCTCCTCCTCCTCCTCCTCCTCCTCCTCCTCCTTCGCGTCTGGCTGGCAGTCCATTGATCGTTCCGTGCAGCATTCGACGCACTCCAAAACCTAACGATATATATACATTTGAAAGCTGCGCGCTCGTACATCACTAAAGCTACTCGTTGTGACCTCAACTCCCAAGCTCCAACACCAGTCTCTCCAGCATGACCATGTCGTGCTCCTTCGTTATGAACCCCAAGGCCGCGCCCCTTCCGGCCAGGCAACATCAGTTGTATTCAAATCGTGAGGATAGCGCATCTGGCCGTCAGGTCCGCTCCAGTCGAAGTCAATCAGCCGCGGCTGCCCGGTCGAGTCGACCAGCATATTCACGCGGCGAAGATCACCGAAGACGAATTGTGCTTCGTGTAGTCCCTCGAGTGCATCCCGCAGCTTCGTGATACCGTCTTGCGACGCTTTCGCGTCCTTGGTTTCGTCAATATATTCTGTGATGACCACGAACAGGTCGCCGACCGAAGCTTCCCTTTGGCAGTGCATCAGCCGCGCGGCCACCCCACGCTCGTACATGAATTCGTGCGCCTCCTTGCCGGATCGGTGCACGAACTTGACGACACATCGAGTACCGGTTTCCCCACCGCCATTTGCCTCCGCGACGAAGCTCATCCTGCGTTCCGGGATTCGAGAGAGATATCTCAACTTGACCGTCCTTTCGTTTTTAGCGCGCGCATCAGGAAGGGGTCGAGACGATGCAGGCGGCCCTGCTTGCCCGTCCCGGTGAAGAGTGACACCGTCGTTCGCCTCGTACGACGGGAAGCACGGCGCGGGAGACAGCTCGTCGGGACGGGTGGGGCGCCGCATGTCGCGGTAGTACGTGCCCAGGCCGTCCAGGCATTCCCGCAGGCTCTTCAACAGAAGCGCGATCTCCGCCACATGCTGGGTGCCCGCAGTCACAAATCCCATCTCGTTGGCCTCGAAGCCCGGTGTGGTAGAAAGAGACGCGAGAGGCGGGACGAGGCTCGTGAAGGGCGTGATGCGCTGTGAGATAGCGACCCCGTTGACGAAGATGGCGCCGGAAACGGAGACGTGAGGTCCGGCGATGGCGAGGATGAAGGCGGGCATGCATGAACAGTGCCGCAGGTCGTCGAGCTAGAGAGGGCATTCAGCAGTCATGACGGAACACCGAGCAGCGTGTAAGACGCACCGTTGAATCGATACAGGTTAGCTGGTAGGCTTTCTCGGCCTGTTCAGTAGGGCAACAGTCTCCGAGACCAATCCCATTCCTGACCTCGGAGATGAGCTTCAGCATCGTGCGGTAGCCCGGATCTAAGGGTTTATACAAGCCACAAACAGCAGTCTGACTACCATCAGGCGAGTGTGACACCGTTGCACTATAACGGCCGAGCTCGGTCAAGGCGTTTTCACCGAGGAACGCTTCTAAGGGTGGCCCAATGTCATAATGACGATCTGTCTTTGTGGGATAGAATCGGGTACTGCGCTCGATGAACACCGTGGCGGCCTTGAAGTCGTCGAGAGTGAGGTTGGCAGACTGGAGCGGGCGACGGAGCTTCAGCTGGAAGTCATGGAACACGCGATGGTAGAGAAAAAGGTCAGTCCCACCGAGGGACAGGGGGCGTCCGTTGTGCACGGCCTCGTCACGGTTGCTTGCCTGTGTTTCGAAAAGAGCGCTGTTCTTGGCGCCAGCGGAGGGGCTTTTGCAGCTCTTCCTCAGGTTGTTGACGGCTTCCGCTGTCATTGCTGTTAGCGACGGCGACAATGCATGACGAAAGACGTACTGCGTCGGGAAGGGATGGACGCATTGCGCTGAGAGCGCGCTCGGTCAGCTTCCTCAGAGCTCGAGGTTAGCGCAGGCATCGACACAAAGGCGATTGCAAACGGCTAAATAGCACGACCACATCATGCTCGAGTTGACCTACAGCGTTGTCACCCCATTGTCGCCACTGCTTGTCCAGGTCGATATTCTCGAGCGCTCGTTCTGCCATTAGTGTGGTACAACGTTCGGGCACGTCCAAGGGCTTCGCAAGCTAACATAAAAACAGGCTTGTCAGCGATGCTTTGGGGGTACAGGCCCCAGGTATTACCTCATAAAATTTGACGACCCATGATACATCGGGAGAAGGATCATGAAGCCTGGCTATTGCGGCGGCGGGTTGGAGAAAGAGCCACACTTGATCGTTGCAGAGGCTTCAATGAAGTGAAAGCCAATGTAGACGTTTGTGGCATCATCTCTGCGATAGATGTGCACTCGATGGTAGTTCGACATGGCGATTGACAGGGGGCCGCGGATTCAACGCGGTCACGATCACGTGCACGACGCGACACGACGGGGACGCGTCCGCCCCCACTAAGTAACTGATGTTAGGATGCACCTCCAGACGGATGCAACGAAATGATTGTTGGAGCATACGGTCAGAAACGAGCTCGCAAGCTCGGCCGCGATAGTACCTCGCCGAGAGTGATAAGGGGAGGGGGTATATAGACAGAGTTTTCGTGTACATACCTCACACGATTGCCTTCGGGCATCGTCCGCGCCCGGGATACTCGCGCTCGTCGAACGCCGTTTAGCTTGTTCTCACAATGATAGCCGTCATGACGGTCGTTCCGAGGGAGAGCCAGAGAATGAATGACGCTCAGAACCTTGCCCGCAACATAATACAGTCAGAGAATAATACGGCGAGGTAGTAGTGCCGTCGTTAACACCACTGGCAGGTCATACATGGCCCTGAGTGACAAGTGCGCCAAGTGAATGCAAGCCGCGCGGGTACAGCCCTCTCGATCGAGTGAGGCAGGCAAATTTGGGCTGCCGCTTAGACGACATGACGCTAACGAGCTCAAGAGGGAGACGGGTGTAGGAGAGCTCTCCTCTCGGGTCGTTGACTCAAGCATACGATGGCCGGGGCGGCGGGCGGGGCGGGCCGAGGGGGCGGGAGAGGCACGTGAGAGTCGCCACAGACGCGCGGCGACGGCGGGCGAGAACGCGTGTCCGCATTCGACTCGCCTCCTTCTCCTCGTCCTCCATCCTCGCCCTCCACCCGCCGTGTACCATAGCCCCGCGCCGCCCATTTCCGCCGCGCGAGAAAAACAGAGCGGTCGCGTGCCCACGCGCTGTAACAGTGAGTCCCCACCTTCCTCGGCCTGCTGGCGCCGCCTGCCGTCTTGCGATATGTCCGTCCTCGCGAGACCTGGCGCGACGGCTCCACGCCCCACGACTGCCCGTACCGTCTGCGCTGCTCGCGTGCGTGCAGGTATGATTTCTGTGTCCACTTTTCGACGCGGCGACCAACCGTGGTCTAGACCCACCCCGGCGTGCTCTGCTGACTGCGCCCGTCCCTCACGCACGCTAATGCACCCCCCAGTCTGTCCCACACACACATCCCGCCCGCCATGCCCGACTCCGCCACCGAGTACTTCCACACCGTCGTCCCGTTCACCCCGTACGCCCTCCGCAGGCACCTCCTCGCCCTTCCCCACGAGACCCTCAACGCCGTCGACGCCCTTCTGCGCTTCGTCCTCGACGCCCCCTGCCCACCCACCGCCGCCCACGACGTCCGCGCCGCCTGGGACACCGCGCAACACGAGGCCGCCTGGCGCATCGTCCAGCTCCGCAAGAGCCACCCGCAGCCCGTCCCGCCCGCCAACCTCAAACGCACCCGTGACGACGCGTCCCCCGGACCCGCCCCGTCCGCTGCCGCCGCCGCCTCTTCCTCCTCCAAGCGCGCCAAGACAGACAGCAGCCCGTCGACCGCCGTATCATCCTCGTCAACCACGCCGGCCGCAAACGCAGACGCAGACGACCCACCCGTCCTCACCCTCCACGCGCTCTCCCTCTCCTCCCCCATCCGCAAAAAGGCCGACATCACCGTCCACAGACACTCCCTCCGCCTCACCTCCGGGCCCCTCGACGCCCGCACGCCCGAGGCCCCGCCCATCCCACTCGCCGCGCTCCGCCGCGCGTTCCTCCTCCCCACGCGCGGGAAGGCGCGCCCCCACTGGACGGTCCTCTTCATGCCCTCGGACGTCCCCGTCGCGCCCGGCAAGGCCGGCGCAGAGGCGCGGGGCCGCGAGCGTGCGGGCGAGCAGGCGCCGTCCGTCGCATTCGGCGTGGACGCGGTCCCGGCGGCGGCGCTGAGCACGTCGACGTACGCGGAGGACGGGAGCGCGCGCACGGTGGCGGCGCGCAAGGGCGAGCCGGCCGAGCCTGCCCTCCGCGCGTTCCTCAGCCACTTCCACACGCCGCCGATCGAGCCGAGCACGGACGTGTTCCGGAGCGCGGCGGGCGAGGGCGTGGCGGGCGTGGAGGCGTACCGCGGTGCGAAGCCGGGCACGCTCTGGTTCCTGAGCGAGGGCGTGCTCTGGGACGGCCGCCCTGCCGAGTTCTTCGCCCTCCACGACGTCGCCCCGGCGGACGGCGACGACGGCGAGGAGGCGGTCGAGGGCGTGCGCACGATCAGCGCGACGGGGCGCACGTGCACCGTCGTTGTGCGGCGGGTCGAGCGCACGGACGGGGAGGGGGACGAGGAGGACAGGGTGGTGGAGGTCGACTTCGCGATGGTGGACGGGAAGGAGCAGGAGGGCATCGCGCGGTGGGTCCGGAGGCACCGACACCTGTTCGGGCGGCGCGACGCCCCGCCGCGTCCCTCCGGCTCCGGCCAGGCGGGCCCGAGTACGAGTACGGGTGCGGTGGCTGCGGGGGACGAAGACGAGGAGGACGAGGATGATGAAGACTTTGTAGCGTCGGAGTCGGACGACGGCTCCGCGACGAGCGAGTCCGATTCGGACGGGGAGGGCGCGGAGAGCGTGGAGGACGCAGAGGCGTCCGACGCTGATACGGAGGACGGGGAGGAGGGCGGGCTCGACCCCGCGCACCACCCGCTCCTCCGCCCGGGCGCGATGCCGAAACGCATGTCGCGTGCGGCGATGGAGATGGTCGTCGGCATGGTGGAGAAGGACCTCGTCGGGGTGGCGGGCGGCGGGGACGAGGAGGACGAGTTGGCGGAGTGACTGGGACTGAGCGCTGCGCGTGGTTGTGGTGATGGCGGTGGGTGGACCGGCGCGGGTGCGGACGGTTTGTACGACACGGTGACGGCGATGTTCACGAGCACACTATCATACGGCTATGCATGTCGGCTGCAGGTTATGACACGGATTTTGAGAGTCGGGCTCTGATTTGCCGACGGATATACATGACGCTGGACACTGGGACGCATCGCACGGCCCCTTCTGTCGTGGTCTTTCGCCTCTGAGTCAGGGTGGTAGGTTTCGACTGAACGGTCGTCGCCGGAGTTGAAGGGAGTGTCGTCCCTTCATTCTGCGATGCTCCTTTCAGAACCTCGGCGGGATCCTGTCTCTAGTCCTCCCCCTTCCTGGGCATCGTTTCTTTGCTCGAGGTAAGTACTTACATTGTGACTGGACTTAGGAGGGTCGGGACGCGTCCGAGGGACTGAGTCGCGTCGTGCACGTGAGCGTGACTGCGTCGAATCCTCGGTCCTCGACTCCCTGTCCCTTCCAACTTTGACCACCCAGACTGCCCCCTCGTCGGCGCCATGTCGGAATGGCATCGAGTGCACACACTGCGCAGAGATGGGGCCACAAACGTCTACATTGGTCATGATTTCGTCAGAGCCTCTGCAACCGATCAACTCAGGCCCTTCGTCGACGCCGCCGAACGGAGAGTCGGGCTCTCTGAATCATGCGACGCGCAAACCGAAATCTACGAGGTAACGCCCTAGTGCGCGTACTCCCAAAGCCTCTCTGACAAGCGTGGCTCTGTGGTAGCTTGTGACGGCCTTGGACGTGCCCGATATTTAAACCGACGAAATGGTGGAACGAGCAATCGGGAATATCAATTTTAGGAAGCAGCGGCGATGTGGGTTTACAGTTGCTGTAGGTCAACTCAAGCATGATGTGGTCGTGTTATTTGGACGTTCGTACTCGCTTCTGTGTCGATGCCTACGCTGACCTCGTCTAGCGATCGGCTCCCAACCCGTCACTTCGACCTCTGGCTCTCAGTCCAATCAGCCCGCTCCTCCCCAGTGCAGTACGTTTCTCGCCGCGCATCGCCATCAACACTAATGACAGGGACAGGCGAGGCCACACTTATCCGGAACATGAGGGACCAGTGCACCGCGCCCTCGACCGGCGCACAGAACGACGCTCTCCTTCGGACACAGACGACGAGTTGCGACGAGGCCGTGTACAACGGACGCCCCCTGACGCTCCTCGGGCCGTACCTCTACATCTACCACCGCGTGTTCGCTGACTTCCAGCAGAAGCTCCGGCGCCCGCTCGAGTCTGTCGGCCTGACCACGGAAGACCTGCAGCACGCTAAAGAGTTTATCGAGCGCAGTGCCCTGTTCTATCCCACAAAGATGGACCGTCTGGACAGCCTCAAAGAATACATTGAAACATCCCTCGGTACAGGCGCCTTATCCCATATGCACCTTCGTACTGGATCGGTGCCATACATGCCTGATGGCATGCTGCTTGCTGTGTGTGGTCTGTACTCGTCCACTCAACCGGGTGTCACCCGAATGCTGAAGCTCGTCGTCGAGCTGACGAACGGGATTGGTCTCGGAGGATGTGATCCCGCTGAACAGGCCGAGAAAGCCTACCAGCTGACGTGCATCGATTCAAAGGCACGTCCCACCCGCCGCTCAGCGTTCCATCGTGATCGCTCACTGCCCATCCCAGCTCGATGACCTGCGGCACTGTTCATGCATGCCCGCCTTCATCCTCGCCATCGTTGGCCCTCACGTCTCCATCTCCGGCGCCATCTTCGTCAACGGGGTCGCTATCTCGCAGCGCATCACGCCCTTCGTCAGCCTCGTCCCGCTTATGGCCGACTCCGCTACGTTCCGCGCTGATAACGCGATGGGGTTCCTCAACCCACGGGACGAGCATGTGGGACAGATCGCGTTCCTGTTCAGGAGTCTGCGGGAATGCCTGGACGACCTAGACACATACTACGGCGACATGCGGAGGCCCGCTAGTCTGCCCGGCCCCGGCGAGCTCTCTCCCGCGCCGCACTTCCGGTCGTTCGAGGTCGCTGGAGAGACGGTCGAGCTGACGTATCTCTCCCGGATGCCGGACCACAAGATGGTCTTCGTCGCAGAGGCGAATGGCGGCGGGGAGCAGCGTACGCGCTGCGTCGTCAAGTTTGCCTACCAGTACGGAAAGGCGGCGCACGAGTTCATGTACGCGCGCGGGGTGGCCGCGCGGCTGATGTACTGCCAGAGGGAGGTTTCCGTCGGCGGCTTCTGCGTCGTCATCACGGAGTACATCGACGAAGCCGAGAGCGCCAGGGCGTCGCACGCTGGGATCGCGAAGCTCGGGGACGCACTGGCGGCGCTGCACAGCGAGAGGAACCTGGTCTTCGGCGACCTGCGCTTGGACAACGTGCTGATTGACTCGACTGGGCAGCTGCGGATGATTGACTTTGACTGGAGCGGACCTGACGGCGTGATGCGCTATCCTCACGATCTGAACACTGACATCGCCTGGCCGGAAGGAGTGCGGCCTTGGGGGTTATTGACGAAGGAGCACGACGTGGCGATGTTACAGAAGCTGACGTCGGACCTTGAGAGTTGGCGGGTAGTCGGGGAGTAATGGTGTTAGAGTGTACGCAGCATTAGAATACATGTACCAATCGTAAGCGGACAACTGTATCCATATATAAACCGAGTGATTGAATGCGACTGTGCAAGCGAGCAATTCAGTTATCGGTCCAACTTGCAGCCTGAATCGTTCAGGTTAGCTCCTGTACTGTGACCTAGCCAGCGGCCGATCTCGGGCGGAAGTGTAGGTCATCCTGCCCATGCATATGCACGATGACTATCAAGGGTTGTTGTACTCTGTCAGGCCTATCAATTCGTTTACATGTGTGGTCTTTCAAACACAAGTTTTTGTACTCCCGTCCAGTTGTATGCCATGTAGTTTTGGTGATATGTAATGTCCCATTAGTCCACGTTATAAGTTACACGTCTACCATGAGTGAACCAAACGTCGTCAGACAGCTTTCACCTTGACACCCTTGCATCACGGTCAGCCTTGGCCCTCGCAACTGCCTCCAGCTCGGTGAAGGTGCCGCTTTTGAGGCACATTTGGCGGAAGATTCCACCTTCTTTTTGTATGAGGTTGAGTGGCGTGTCACACTCCGCCAGTTCACCTTTGTCGAGTATGATCAGGCGATCATAGTCGATGACCGTGCGCAGACGATGCGCGACTGCAAGAAAGGGACTTTCAGATATGTGCACACACCTTCCACCATGCTGCGAGCTCACCAGTCAAAAGCATGGAGTCGTTGAACTCCTCGCGGATCGTCGCTTGGATCTTGGCATCGGTCGCAAAGTCGATACTACTTGTCGCCTCGTCCAGCACGATGATGGAGCTTCGGCGAAGCAGCGCCCGGGCCATAGCGATGAGCTGTCTTTGACCTTGCGAAAAGTTCGAACCTCCAGGAGAAACTTGCGTTTCGAGAGACACGGTCGTTTTTGCGTCCGTTTCAGTGGCAGTCGTCGAAACCGAAGCAATCGTTCCTTCCCTACCCTCATGGCCTTCGTGAATGGACGTGGCTCGAGAAGTCGCTTGGGACGTCCGCTGTGACGCGAGTTGGCTGTCGGTGATCATCTGCACGCGATGGAGAACGTCAAGACATTCGCTATCCTCATGCTCATCTGCAACGTTCAGGTAAGTGGTGGTACATGGAAGTGAGCACCGGTCAACTCACGGAATGGGTCAAGATTGTCACGCAGAGTCCCAGAGAACAGTGTGGCATCCTGAGGGATGAACGTCTAGTGGGGATGGGCATCAGCTGAAGCGCCTCACAGTTATGTCAAAGATACGCACGATCCTCGAACGCAAGTCGTACAAGCCAACCGTCGAGATGTCGATTCCATCGATCATGATGCGGCCACTGGTGGGGTCAACAAATCGCAGGACACTCATGGCCAGCGTCGACTTTCCACTTCCAGTACGGCCCAGCAGGCCAACCCGCTCTCCCGCCTTCAGGCTGAAGGAGACACCCTTAAGGACAGCGGGAAGCTCGGGTGCATACTTGATCACAAGATCCTCCACGACGACCATTGAGTCTTTGTTCGGACCTGATGACGACGGCCAGTAAGCCGGCGGGCGGTTCGACTCGACAACGGCTGGCGGCTCCTGGGGGAGATCAAGGTACTCCACCACACGTTCAACAGAGCTGAAAACATGGTTACACCGATGAATACAAGCAAAAGCGTTGGAGTAACTCACTTCAGATCAAGCTCAAGCGCTGTCCAGAACCGGCATGCCCAGTAAACACTCGTGGTGAACGCCATAGCCGACGTGATACAAATACCAGCAGTGCCCGCTTCAACGTAGCCAGAGAGAGCGAAGAGGGTCGTGGCCAAGACACCAGTTGCACCGAGCGTGTCGAAGTACAACAGCAACCATCGGTTGGTCATCCAGAAGGTATACCACATTTGCGTAGTCAGATCTACCTTCTTGTAGAGATCGTCCAGGAACTTCTGCTCCGCTGAGAACGCGCGGACAGTGACGATGCCCTCCAGCAGCTCGTTGAAGTTAGCAAAGATGGGACTTCTTGAGTTCGACTCCATGCGACGAATGTCGCGGCCAGTGTTCAGGTATCCAACTGCTGCGCGGCGGTAGAAGAAGCCTAGAATGGTCGCGGGGACAACGAACAGAGGGAACACGACACTGAGAACGAGCATTAATGAATGTATTGTCGTTGCGTAGCCACTGCACTCACACGACAGTAATGACCGATGCAGCGAAGTTGGCAAGAGCTGTGTTGACGGCCTGCAAGGAGCTTGCCAGAGAGCCGTCGACCGTCTCAATGTCCTTGCTGAAGCGATTCAGCATGCGACCTACGGAAAAATCAGTCGCCTCAAAATATTGTCGACTGCATGCTCTGCTCACCTTGCGGCGTAACATCATGCCAGCGCATGGTTGCACGCACAACTGCCACCAGCAACCGACGGAATAGACTACGAGATGCCCTCAGCGCGCCAGTATACTGGGTAATGACCCCGGCAATGTTGACAAGACCGGCAGAGAGGGAGATCAGTGCGTAGATGCCAACGTAGAACAAGGGATGTTCCTGAGCTGTAGGCCAGTTCATCCCGATGGCCGACATATAGGGTACGGGATGATGACTCTTGTGCGCGAAGCGGATGTTGTAAAGCGTTTCGTCCAGAACGGCCTCGTGCTCAGGAGTTGCGAAAGAGTTGAATGTGTACGTAGGAATGTTATTATCCTCAGGGTCGTATGCATTACCCCAAATCTATCAGGAGGGAGTCAACCTTTGATCATCACTCCACGGGCGAGGCCAATATCTTACCTTGATCCACACTTTCTCGGAGACACCGAGAACCTGCCGGGAAGAAGTTGGTCAGAGATAGCTCGTAAACTCAGTGGTGAAAGACGCACCTGGGTCAGGATGATCAGTGTGAAGAGAATGACCCACGTCCAGTAGGATCTATGTCACGGTCAGGAAAGGATGCCATGGCATATTGAACGATGAGAGCGTACGAGGCTTTCAGGTAGGTGTTGTAGATCGACCACTTCACGCTACCAGTCTCCCTCTTCTCATCTTCAATCAACTTCCGAGGCTTCTTATCATCCTTCTTGTCAGGCTTTGCATCCGCATCCTCTTCCTCCGGGGCCTCGGCATCAATTTCGGCGTTGGGCTCTTTTGCCTTCTCTTCAGCTTCGACCTTCTCTTCCTCCTTGTGGGCTTCCACCGATTCGTCGTGGGTGATGTCATCAAGAAGACCGCGTGCGCGAAGATCCTTGACCGTTCCCTGAGTATCGATCCGACCGTCAAGCATGCGAACCAGGTAGTGGGCTCCCGGGAGCACGAGCTCGACATGGTGGGTGACCAGGATCTACCAGACGGTGACTAAGCCGCTCCCTTAAAAGGTCGAGTAAGGACTCACCACAGTGCGATTGGCGAGGAGTGGCCCACGGAACAGCTTATCGAACAGTAAGCGAGCCGTGTGGCTGTCCTGCAAGGAACGTGAGCGTTGTACTCGGATCTACACCAGAAGCTGTTACATACCACAGCGCTCAGAGGATCATCAAGGAGCACATATTTCGTAGGCTGCAGTACGTTTAGCGTTTACCCCAACCCGGATATTAGCACTTACAGCGTATACCGCGCGAGCGAGCGCAACTCTGAGCACATATGTTGAGATTCGTCAATAGAACCGGACAGGGCGACAGTCTTACCTCGCCTTTTGGCCACCCGAAAGGCTCACGCCGCTGTGCATTAGCGTCAGTCAGATGACCGTGACAACCACGCCATCTCACGCACCGAGCACCGATCTCAGTAGCGTCGCCGTCTTCGAGAATCTCCAGATCTGGCTTGAGCGCACAGCACTCCACGACTTGGTTGTACCTTTCCTCGTCGTATGGATACCCGAAGAGGATGTTGTCCTTGATCGACTGGTGCCGGAGCCACGGCGACTGCGCGGAGTACGAGATCGCGTGCATCAAGCCATGCTCGTCCACCTTCGACGAGTTCTTAGACATCACGATGCGGCCCTCGAGGCGGGTCATTTCGCCAAGGAGCGCCATCTACAGAAGCGAACATCCACAGGTCAGCTCGCCAAACGGCTTCCCTCAAGGTGCAACTCACCAACAGAGCAGTCTTCCCGCTCGCCGTCGGGCCAGTGACGACCGACAACTGGCCCTCCGGGAACATGACCGTGAGATCACGCAGCTCGAATCGATGGTCCCCATTCCCGTTCGTCGTGCTCCCAGCCGTCGACTGATTATCCACCGCGGTCTCCGCGTCGTCCGACGTGGTCGACGGGAGCTGCGACTGCGCGCGCGACTTGCGGGACCACGACCAGAACTTCCGGCCGTTCGCGTCCTTCGCCTTGTCCTTGCCCTTGTCGTCCTTCTTCTCCTCGACCTCGTTCCACTTGAAGGAGGCGTTCAGGAGGCCGAGGCCCTCGTCTTCCTCCGCTGCGGGCGGCTGGCGGCCCTTCTTGAGAGTCGAGACTTGCTCGTCTACTTCCTCCTCGTCGAGATAGGTCGCGATACGGTCCATGGCTACACCAGCTTGAAGAATCTGAACTATCCACGCCGGGATGACGTTAAGCGGAGCGCTGGAACCGCGAGGGTTAGCCATACAGAGCTTACGCGAAACGCACAACTCTTACCGAACCATGTTGAACAGCGCAATAGCCTAGCATCCCGTCAGCTCCCCGAAATCGCACACTGAGACGGAGCGCTCACCGTGAACGCAGTGCCGACGGTCAACTCGTTCCCCTGCACGACATAGACAAAGAAGGACGTGACCGACACCAAGATCGGCGCGCATATCCATATGAGCGAGAACATGACCGAGTTGAGGCGCGCCTTGACCATCCACTTCATCTCGACCTCGCGCGCGTCCATCGTGCGATTGATCCACTGCTCCTCCCACGCGAAGAACTTGATGAACTTCATCGCGCCGATGAGCTCGTTCAGCACGCCCATGCGCTTGTCCCGCGCGCTCGACACGCCCTTGTGGATGCGCACCGCGCGCTTGCTCACGATGCTGTTCAGCGGCCAGCCGACTATGAGCACGACGAAGCCCGCGAACGCGGACAGGCCGAGGAGCTGGTACAGGAACGTCGCCGCGATCACGATCTCGAACGGCGCGCCGTAGATGAAGTACGAGCCCGACACGACCTGCGACATCCGGTTCGCGTCGCCCGCCATCAGGTTGACGATCTTGCCGATGTCCGCGCCCGCCTTGGGGTCGTCGCCCTTGGAGCTCGCCTTCACCTCGGGGCCCTTCGCGCTCTTGCCCGCATCCTTGTCTACGAGGCCGGAGAAGTCCTTTCGCTTCAGCGCCTTGTCGTAGATCGCCGCCATGAGCTCCGAGCGGATGCGCGTCGCCGCACGCCGGCCGTACCAGAGGTGCTGCACGTCTGCCTGCGCCTTGCAGAGCGTCGACAGGAACGCGAGCACCGCGTAAATGTACGCGAGCGCGCGCTTTTCGGGGGTGGGGTGCTGGTGCACGTCGAGCGAGTCGAGGATACGCTTGAGGAAGAACGGGCTCGCGTAGTTGAAGACCACGCTCACGTACGTCAGCACGAAGTCGAGGATGAGGTCGAGCGAGTTCGCTGCCCAGAGCCGGCGCAAGAGCGAGCTTCGCAGTGTGCGGCTGAACTTGATGTAAAGGGGCCGCGCCTGCATTGTCGGGCTCAGCGCCCAGACGTCCGACTCACTCAGAGTAGTGTTCGTCCCCTGTGGATCCAGTTGGCTTGTGATACATGGGAGTGAACAAGAGACGTACGCGCTCGACGAGAGGCAGGATCCATGTGAAGGACATCCAGCCCCAGAGTGTCGTGTAGTCTTCTGGTGAGATGGATTGACCCTACACCGAAGTGTCAGCAAAAATGTACTCTGTGAAACATGAGCTCAAATGATTGGACTCGTCCGCTTGAGCAGTATCAATCTCGATGTCTCCCTGAATGTATATTCAAGGGCGACGCATCCTGCTTGCCCTAGGACCAACACGCTCTGCCCGATTCTGCTGCACAGGGGAGCACGGAGGCTCCTCGGACATCTCGGATATGATGCCATATGACCAATCGAACACTCACAATTTTATCCTTTTCAACCTTGCCACTCGGCACGTCCAGCGGCATGTAGAAGACGACCAGAAGCAGGAGCCCAATCGCCGCCAGGTTCGCGATGTGCCCTGCGAGGACGAACGGCGCAGGGGATGGATAGCCGCGCACATTCGAGTCGAAGAGCACGCCGCCGAACGTGAGCACGCTCGTGACGAGCTGGAGAGTAAAGAAGACCAGGAGGTCGACGGGCGGGGTCGCGGACGGCACGGCGATCGGGCGGACCGTCGCATAGAGCCAGACGGACGCGAGCGCGAAGCCTACGAGGGCATGGTGGACGTCGACCGGGCTCACAGCGAGGCTGTAGCACGCGAGGCCGAGCCAGACGAGGGACTCCGTGAGCGCGACGAGCGCGAGGACGAGGCTGCGCCAGAGCGGGACCGGCGGTGCATCTGCCTGGGCTACGCGCTCTGTCTTTTCGTCCGCGTCGAGAGCCTGTGCCTCGGGGAGGGTGAGGAAGTTGCGGAAGGGCCGCTGGATGGTGGCGACGGCGGTGCGGACGAACAGGGGCCTGGGGAGAGTGCTGGCGAGGAAGACGGCGACGAGGACGAGCGGGAGGACGGCACTCCAGAACTCGCGGACGCACGGGCTGGCGAGGTCGAGGATGCCGCCGCTTGTGCGGCAGATGTGGATGCCCATCGCGAACGATGGGGGCGCGACGTCCGGATGAGGTGGACGACGAGAACGACTCGGAGCGATCGGGTGAGGACTGGCCGCGTTCGCGCGTGAGATAAACGCGCCTGCACGCGTCTTATGGGCGCCTGTTTGCTCTTCCCAAGCGTGTTCTTTGCTCGTCCTCCTTTCCCTCGAGGCGTCGCTCCGTTCAATCACGGCTCTCTCATTACAGCATCTTTCGTACGCGCTGTAGCAACGACACGCTCCCTGTAGCGATTTACGTCCGGCGGAGGCAATCGACTGCGAGTATATCCAGGAATTATCACCACCCAGGACTGCGAGGAAGGATCTCGACTCTCTGTGGTACGTTACTGTAACGATAGTCTCGGTTGGTCTATCACATGTGCAGCAACCATTCAGTCTTTCATGAACGAGGCGTGTCTAGCTAGAAGCGATCTACCAAATGACGGAATCGTGGCATGAAGGTGCGCAAGCGATGTTCATGTATTGCTTGCAGCAGCTGGAATCGATGTGATCTTCTTCGCGCCTCACTGTGAATGATACTGGCCCACGAGATCGTCCAGGTGAGCGATGTGCCATATCTTGCTGACAACTCCTCAGTCAAGCTGAACGCACAGGTCGGACATTTGCCGTCCACACTGCAGAGAGAGTTTGAGTTTAAGCTTGCGAAAGCACCCACAGTCTGTCTTCCGTTGTCACGCCTCCTCCGTTTGCCGCTCTACAGAAGACAGTCATTTCTCAGCACTCTTCACAGGGCTTTCCATGAACTCTCAAGCGACATATCCACGCGAGGATCGTTACTTAGCGACCTCGGGTATAGGGTTCGGTATCCTTGGTGCACGTACCTGCAGAGGGATACGGTACCAGTTCCGTTGGTATAGCACTCGTATGTCTCGCCCTTCTGTTCCAGGGAGTCGCACATAAGCCGCCGTCTTGACGTATTTACACTGCCAGTGAGAATTTAGCACCCGTACGCATACGGTTGCGCCATCTGAACGCTACCATATTACACGCTGTTGCGCTGACCACTACGGCTCTGCAACATATGCGGATACTGCCCGTAGACAGATCTCGAAACAGTATACTGTACGCTATGCAAGCATTCCCAAGACGCATCGCGCGCATTGCGTTGACTGACCGGAGGAGAGCCTTCGACGCGTCGGAACGCGCTGGGCTGTGACCGCGTCGCGTCGGGGCCGAGACGCGTGCCACCGCCACCAAGCGACCCATGATGATGAACTCAGCATTTATTAACCGCAACAAGCAAGCAATGTGCTAAGACGCGGCGGACGCCGGCCTGTGCATGGGCGGGCGTTAAAACGCGCCGCCCAGACCTGCGCCCCGTTCGAGGGTAGTGTAGTAGTCTGTACGCGTGAGGATTTGTACTGTAATGGTTAGGCAGTCAAGTCGGGGAATGAAGCAGTGTCTAGTGATGTAGTCTGAGGTCGGGACGTAGCTCGCATGATAATAAATAGCGAATAAAGAAGAAATAAGTGGGAAGCATACTGTCCATACTCGGCTCTCCGGCGTCCTTCTCCTAGGGATGCAAGCCGGGATTGCTCCCCTAGTGCACGATGTGTCGATGGTGGTGATGGGTAGGGTGTGGGGACGGTACTTCGCCGTGCAGCTAGTACCGTTTAGTCTTCGTCGTCCTCGTCGTTCTCCGCCTCTCCCTCGTCCTGGCCCTGGTCCTCCTCTCCGCTCGGGTCTCCGTCTTCTTCGTCCTCCGCGTCTTCTTCTTTCGCTTCCTGTTCCTGGTCTTCTTCGCCCCATCCGCCTGGCGGGTCTCCCGTCTTCGTGAACGCATTGCTTTTCCCAATGAACGTCGCGAGGGCGTCTATCCCCTCCTCTGTGCCGAGGATGGTCGGCAGGTCGATCGTCGTGCTCACCGCGCGTAGGGTGCGTCGGTATTTCTCGTATCGTGGGCAGTCCTGCAGGACGTGGCGGCGAGACTGGTATGGGTCGCCGCATGGGCAGTCGATTGGCTCGGTAGGTACGAAAGACTTGTAGTACTCGCCTATGAAACAGTGTCCTGTTCTGCATTGAAGCGTGCGTCCGAGTAGCTCTCGTGGAAGGGTGAGGAATGGCTTTCTCGGCTTCGCCTGTGGTGGCAGGCGGTTCGCCGTCGCGAAGTGGCCTTGTGGTTGCGTCTTTTTCCACTCGTCGATCCACGCATTCATCGCGCGTTCTTTGGCTCTGCGTAGTGCATTTGCTCGTGTTGCGTGTTGGTTGGGTCCTTCGCCCGCAGTGGCTTCTTTCGCTAGTGCGTCTGCGATCTCATTTCCTACAATGCCTTTGTGGCCTGGTGTCCACGCTACAGTGATTCGGTGCTCGGCGTTTGCCTCCAGGAACCGTATGACGAAGTTTCTGAAGGTGATCGATTGTGTCTGTGAGGGGCCTGGTTTCGCCTCGAAGATGGCTGAAATTGCGGCGGTGTTATCGGCGTAGAAGTGGAGGTGGGTGATGTCTCGTGCGTCTTCGCACTGTAGGTACTCTTCGATGTCGACCGCCGCCTCTGCTAGTCCTAGCATCTCCGCGTCGTAGACCTCTGAGCTCCTGCTCATCGCGATTATCCTCTTGAATAGTATCTTGTTTTGTTGGGCGACGACAAAGCCTGCGCCGACGCGTCGTTTGCCATCCTCTGTGAGTAGAGAACCGTCAGAGTAGATCATCGCGTTCTTGGGTGATAGTTTTAGTTTACTTAGCTTTCCGTTGTGTGCCTTTCTTGCCTCGTCTTTCGTCACCCCTTTGACCGCTGGTGTGATCACCAGGCGTCCTCCGAAGTCGGCTGTGGTCTTCTTCCATGGGGCTACAGCGAGTGGTATTATGCGCTCGTCGCGTGGGTCTGATCTCTCCGCGAGCTTGCAGAGTCGAGTGGAGGCCGGGGGAGTCTTGCGGCGTGCTGTCACCTTACGGTGCGTGGGCCGTGGCGGGATTGGAGTCGAGGTCGGGAGTGCTCTCCATCCCTCCGGGAGGCGTTGGAGGATCGGGCTGTGTGCGCTAAGTTTGTTGAACCTGATCGCTGCGCGGTCTTTGGTGAGCTCTAGGTGGTGTCGGATGGGCATGATTGCGGCTTCGATTTCCATCGCTACGACTCTCGTCGTCTTGAAGGCGGCGCAGATGAGTCTCAGAGCTCTGTTCTGCACCTTCTCCAAGACGTGTTCGTGTGCTTTCTTGCCTTTCCACCAGGCTGGGCATGCGTATGTCAGGATCGGGCGGACGCACGCTGTATACAGGGTCCTCAGGTGTTCTTGCGATAGTCCTCGCACTGTGTTTGCGAGCATTCCCAGCCCGTTGACGGTCTTCTCTGCTCGTCCGGCCATTTGTTTGACATGGTGGTCGAACACCAAGCGACCCAGCCTGGGCGCAGGAGCGCGCCGCTTACCTAACCACACGCATTTGTGCTTCAAGGTGGCGGGCGGCTAGGACCTGACCAGAACCGTTAACGATCGCCAATGGAATCCCTCAACCTCAACAACCTCGCCAGCTCGCTGCCCCCACCCAACCTCGCAAAGGCAGAGAAGGACCTCACGGACAATTTTAAGGGTGCGCCGCCCCCCGTTCGTCGACATCCGGCGATGCTGACTGACCGGGCCACTTAGCGGCTGCGCTCAGCCTCACGACTCTCTACCGCTGCTCGAAGCGCACATCCAAACGGGCATACAATGCAGGCTACGCAGCAGCATGTCAAGATCTGCTCGTCATGATCCAGCAGGGGGTCTCCGCCGGTGAGTCGAGCGACTCGGACGGCCAGGGCATGACCATCGGGCGCATCATGGACTACGTCGAGGCGCGGCTCGAGGCGATCAGGTCGCGCGAAGAAGAGGAGGACGAAGACGAGGAGAAGGATCGAGACAGGGAGCGGTCGAAGCCCGGGACGAGCACCGCTGCGCCCGCGAAGCCGGCGCCCCCCGCCGCGGCTACGAAGCCCCCTGCTGTGTCCGCACCGACGCCCGCGCCGACACCGAGCGCCGTCTCAGCAAAGTCCAAGGACCACGTAAGTTCCTCGTATCCCAAAGCGCCCCTGCATCCCTACAGCTCAAACCCGCAGGTCGCCCTCGCTCCACCAACACCGTACACCCCATCTACTCTCTCCGCCAACTCCATCGCGGCCTCCTCGCCCTCCCCGCTCGGGCGCACCGCAAAGTCCCGCCTGTACGCACTCGCCAACGCCAAGGATCCATCCATCCTCTCCGCCACCCCCGCGCCGTTCGGCTTCGACACGCCCAACACCGCCGTGTTCTCCCCGCCGACCGGCGCATTCGACCTCAGCCCCTCGCCCGCAGACGCGCCCGTCGGCTCGAAGCGGCGGCACAACATGATGCTGCTCGACGCGCCCGTGCAGGCCGCCGTGGAGAGCGGGCCGTCGACGCGGCGGCGGACGCGGAGTGCGCGGGGGGCCGCGCTCGCGGCGGTCAACGCGCAGGCGCACCAGCAGGGCCTGCACATCCAGGACCACAACGTGGGCGCGGACGCGATGGACGTCGAGGAGGAGGGCCGGGAGCGGAAGCGCGTCGCGCGACGATAGTCGGCTCGGCGGTCCCCCCGCCTCTCGTTCCCCTCCCTTTCTCTCTAGGTAATCCCGTGCTATGCGGTGCAGACGGACACGCGGACACGAGCGCGCGGGTGGCGCAGTGGGGTGGCGGGTGCACAGGCGTGTATGTTATCATTATGGCAGACCGAGACGACCGCGACGACTACGACCCCATGCGCGTGTAATCCATATGTTATTAGTTTCATCCTTCCCTCCTTCCCCCAGTCCCTCTCCACCCATTGACCATTGACCCTCGGTTGACTTACATTGTAGGCTTGTACGTAGGCACAGCAGCATACCAGCAGCATCATACATACGCATCCCTGTATTCACAGTCGTTCCCTTCGCATGAACATATCGGCCATGTTTCTCTTTACCGGCACCGTGAAGAGATCAAGTATTTTCGTGAGTAGGTCCTAGGAGGAAAAACCCTCGCTCCGCGGGCAGACTTTGTGATGTTTCCCGTGCATTGGAGCCTAGAAAAAATCTGGTTCTTCGCAAAAACAGAACAAAGTGGCGGATGCAGGTTTCGAACCTGCACCCGATTAAGGTGCTTTCGTTATGTAACTTACACTTATGGGCACAAAAGTCAAGCTACTTACTGTGGCTGACCCGGTAATGCAAACGCGTTTGCATTACTGTCCCACACCCGCAACTTGAAGCTACTTTGATTTTTAGCCTGATAGACTCAGTTTTATACATCTTGAGCACACCTTCGAATATTTTAAGGTCAACCGGAGGGCGGGAACATGCAGTTTGCACGCCTGAAAACGAGCGACTGGTTTCGCCCGCCAAAACTGGCGCGGCGGAATAGGCGCCGAAAATGCACCTTCCGATTTTTCCTGAGCTGCAGAAAGCAGGTAGCTCCTATCGCGTCTGTGATAATAGTAAGGTGACATGTAGCAACATCATGCAATTTTTCCTGTGCGAAGTGATCCTACGCGCAATAAGCAAAATGGTCGTTTGCATTAATTTACTGTACCAAATTGCATTATCGGGTCAGCCACAGTATGTAATGCGGCCAGTTCAGCACGGCACCGCGACGATGATGGTCATCTCCTGCGCTCATCGAGCCTTGTTCTTATCTCGTGAATTGCTGCCATAACCTCCTCGCAAATTGAATGGCAGACTGACCACGGCAGCGGCCAATGGGGCCACTTCGTACGCTACGTCGGCCCAACCCAACCACGGCAGTCGTCCGGGGTGACACCAATATTCGCCCCGTACATCTGCGTCGAGAACGGTGTCTTGACTACTGTGAAATACCAGGTCCGGTGTCCATGATCCGGACCTCCAAGTCTTGGCGCTTTAGTACGGTGCAGTACGCTTCGACATGCCTCTGCGACAATAGCCTTTCACTTGATCACGGGTGGCTATACCTATTGTGTGGCTCCTGCGTATGTTTTTTGTTTCGTCCCTCCGCCCCTGACCGTTCTGGTATAAATACAGCGTCCGCGTTACGCCATCCCCGTACCTCAACAAGGCCTATTCGCACCGCTCGTCTCCGTTGCACCAGCATGCCCCCGCCACACCTCCGACCCGCGAGACGCGCCCTTGCCAGAAGCCATCCGAGACAAGAACACCAAACGTATACGCGTTACGGCCCAGCCTGCCCCGCTCGCCGGTCCGCGCGTATGCGCACGGCCACCTCCCAGGCGTCGACCTGGTCTACGTCTATGGGAAGCAGTGGTCCGCCGCGGTACGGACCGCCCCTCGTCGTCAATGACCGTGCTGCACGCGCTCTATAGCGTTCGGTGGTCGCAGTCCACAGGGCCGTTCGCGAAGAGCCACAGTTCTAGTACGTGTTCATCTCCTCATCCTTGAGCTGTTCATGACCTGACCTGTCTGATCCGCACAGTGGCCTGATCATAGGACACGTTTCGCGTCCCGCACGGGCGTGCTCGCGTGTGGAGTCGGTTAACACGTCCGTCCAGGGACGGGGGTGAGGATCGTCATCAGACACGTACTCGTTCGACCGCTCACTAGCTTCGCAACAGACTCCCACTCACGGACACTGCTGTTAGACGGTACTCCGGCTCCGGCATGACACGGCGATTCCACACATCGCTGTCCTTCTGCAGCTGTGCAACTGCTGCGGAGACGCTGAGAGAATGGTCGGCAGCGCGCCTCATCCAGTACTACTATCTGCTGCCATCGGTGATCCTATCATCGGTTTCTCTATGGTTGAAATATAACAGCCTTCGAACCAATATGGTGTCTACGAGAGCAAGATGCATTGTAAATGGTGCTGTTTACTGCTGAGTTCATGGCCCATAGCCACCTGAGCAATGATCGTTTGTTCCGTTCCGATGAGGTACTTATCGTGAGTTGAGCGCTCGGTGTGTGGTCAGCCTTGACTTGTTCAGCATTGCGCTTCTCGTGTCCACGCTGTGAGTGCTATCCAACCTTCTCTTCTCGAATTCACCCATAGTTCTCAGCATAGCGGTGCGCGATACAAAACATAGCATTGAACTTGCTGTACAATCCGCGCCTGATCGCGGTGTCTCCTGACCAGTACCGACCATCTAGATGCGTCTACACCAATAGGTATGTACGTAAATCCTCCTCAGATCACAGCTTTCTCATGAGTAGACGCAGTACACTTTCGCACGCGAGACCATGAGCGTCTTATATCATCGATCGTGAATGAGGATCATCCCCAGACCTATCATATCTTCCACTCCCTCACTCTAAGCCTTGAACACTCGCAGGGCGATCCGAAGACTAGGACATCCTTACGATTGAGACGAGCGCTTCAGTACGTTTCGTTGCGTTGCTTGATTCGAACGCTGGTACGATTAACGCACGTCTTTGCCTTCGCCTGGCAATAGGCCTGTCGTGACTGCGACGTCGCAGTAACATCGTTGTGATCGAACACTCACCGTCCGTCAGGATGACCACTTGGTTAGTCAGGTGTCGCCTCTTCCATGATCTAAATTGCTAAAATCCCCAGCTTTGCACGGACTGATCGTAATCGAGCCATCGAACTCCCGACTGGAAACTGTTCAACTGGCACCATGACGAGCGAAAGCGCGTGAGTGATGGCTAGACTTATTGCTTCGCGATTCGTCGTTGAACCAAGACACATCAGCATATACTCTTCTTCCTCACAGGGGGGAGAGACATCCACCGGGATGGCCGGCGCGAGGATCTCCCGCATGCCCATAGAAATATGGGAACGGATAATCGACCTTATGGCGGAAAACGTCAACAGACATTGGAGCTTGCGAAGGTCTCCTCAGTGGAAGACATTGATATCATGTGCCTTGACTTGCAAGGCCTTGTACAACCGTGCGAGATGGCATCTGCGGGGAAACATCATCCTCCGCAATCGAGCAGACGTAACCTCATTCTCAAGATTGCTTCGCACTACGCCGTACCTTCGACAGACGATGCGATTCATCACGATATCCGGTGGCTCGGGTGCACTCCCTCTTCCCGTCCCACATCTCGGAACGTTCGCGATCATGCTCGCTCGCTATCTCCCGAAGATACAGACCCTCGTCATCAGCAACGCCAAATGGGGCGTGGGCTCCGTTCGACAGAAGGACATCGTGCACCTAGCTGCATTCCACGCCATCGAGGAGCTGACGCTGGATTATGTTTGCTTCGCGACGGTGTCGCAGTTCTCGCAGCTGATATCCGCCCTGCCGAACCTGCAGTAACTTTTCTGCACCGACATTGACTGCGATTGCAATCCGGGGGAGCAACCGCCGCTACTCCCGCTGAACCGCTCGCGTCTCCGTGATATCTCCCTATCGGGCGACATACATCCCGCCATCCATGATTTTCTGTTTCGCATTGGCAAAACGGCAGAGCTGCTGGCTCTGAGCATAACATATCCTTAGGCATGATCAGGATTCGGGAGTTACTGGATGCATGCGCGCTCTCGCTGCAGTATCTCGGCCTAGGACTGAAATTCAATGGCGTCGAAGACCAGTCCCCGGAGAAAATCAGTATGTCTCTTGGCCACTTGTATTCGGAGGGGCCGAAGCTGATGTATGGCATCCACAAAATCTCGTAGGCGAGCAGATCGACCTCAGCGGTCTCAACCTAAGCTCTCTGCGGTTCTCGGTGTGGTGCGTCCTCGACAGCAACTACGCGTGGATCCCGCGCCTGCTCTCCTCCTTAACGTCGTACCACATCACCCATCTGCTGATCAATTTCCACGTTGGCAAGAGCAAAGGCGCTGCGGAGCGGCTGAGCGTGCTCCTCCATCGGCTCGAGACGGAGGGCGACCTGGCAGAGATCGACTGTTGTCTCTCGACTTGCTATAATATCAGGCAGGGCAAGCTCCAGCTAGGCCTCGCGATTCCGTCCGCCGGCCCACCTGACGAGCCGTTGCGAATCTCTGATGATGAATGGTCAAAACTCGTCAGAGGGAAGATGCCCCGGGCAGACAAGCGTGGAATACTTAGGTTCGTCGTGACGTTTCTCGCACACGACGTGTTCTTACTCGTGTCTGCGTCTATCGTGGCATTCTGAAAAGGACGATAGTCTACTAATGTAGTTCGTTGAAGCATGTTTACGCTGTACGCTCACATATAGAGAAGGTCTGCGAGTCATTGAGCCTGCTAGATCGCGTTGAGACTACTCTGGCGTTGAAGGCGTTGAAGGACAGGAGGTGCTCTCGTCGTCAATTGATCTCAATGCCTTAGCGACTACAAGGTGGTTTCTAATATTCTCATCAAACCTCAATCTGCTGAACTTTCTACTACGGTCTTTCGACCGTAACGTACGTACGCCGGTGCGTTTGCGCGCATCGACAGTGTAGCTGACGTATGACTAATCACTGATAATCAGCGGCAGACGTACGGCGACGAGTTACTTCACACTGGCGGCCTTCGGCGAGTAGTATCACACTCCTGGCACCAAAGCAACAGCGCGTTACCGCCACTTTTGGCCGCGCAGGCCGGCTAGACTTCCCCACTTACCGTGATCCAGATATCAACAAACTGACTCAGCGCTGCCAGAGATATCGTTCAATCTCTCGAATACAAGTACTGAGCAGTCGTTGAAAGCGACGAGCCCGACTTGACGCCAGAATACTTGCATCGCATCGCCACGCACTGCTACGTCGGTAGGATGTCATGGTACGTGCTCAGCCATTGATGTCGCTTGGATACTCTTTTATTTTGCCCAAGATTGTTTCTAGATTCCGTCGGAAAGTCGAAGTAGCCGTGCTACACAAGCCTGAGGCCGAATGCAACCATACTTGTGTTCTGCGCCGCACCACGGAGGTTTGAATGTAGAGCGCTTGAGCCTCCCTTGGATCAGGTACGGCTCCTTTCGCTTTGTCCAAGGGCCTCCCATATTCAATACGTTTCGTATGCACTGATACAGCCTCCAATAGGCTCGTGGCAGCGAGCGACACTGATCTTGACCAATGTCATTGCCCCTTTGTGACGATCGGGACACAGCGCAGTATGGACCGTCCGCACTGGCTTTTCTCGCTCGGCTCGCCACAGCAAGGTGAGCGTCAGCAGGTCATCTAACCTTCGCTTTGACCGTTTCCAGGGCAATTGGCTTTGTTCTCGCCCCTGTGGCGTGGCCCCCGGGCCACACTGCTGCCTATCAATCCCTGCTGCTAATTTTCGTGGTTGACCACCTGCGTCGCTTGTTCTCCCCTTGCTTTCCCTGTGCTTGCTCACTCCGAACCATCATGACGACCTGCAATTGCACCCCTGCAAGAGACCACGATCCCGAGCTTATGCGAGATGTACTCCCTCAGCGTCCTGCCGATGTGGACGAGATCTTGGCTACGCACCTGTTTCCTGGCATATACCCCTCACTCTACTTCGGAAGGGGCATGTCTATCGACGCGCTCCGGACAAGCAGTGTGGAAGAAGTCGCAAACGCGATGGATGATGGCGGCTGGGACACACCGTTCGACAAGGTTCGAATCGGGAATGACCACAGAATCCAAGTTACAGTGGACGTAAGCACCAGATTTATAATGTTTTACTTGCCAACATCTCTGACTGTTCAATTTATGCAGTGGCCCGATCACGATCCTCAAGATACGGAATTCAAGAAAATCATAGCCCTCGAGTCGGCAGACGATCCTTAAACTCCCTTGAATAAAGCTGAGCTTGCTATCGCCGTTGGTCGTGTCGTGGACAGGGCGATGAAGGTAAATGATGCACTCTGTGAGCGAGACGTAATAAATTGACAGTCCCTCTCGTAGCGCGTTCTGAATAACCGCCCCGGAGAGCATCGCTGCTGGGCGGTGAGCACGAATGAAGAAAACGGCCTCACATGGCGCTGCGTTTACCTGGTTGCCATCCACCACGCTGGCGGGTTCACCTATCAACCTGAGCTCCAAATCGCTCCATCGAGACCACCTCATCTTTTCCCTGCGATCGTCAGGCCACCCACTTGCGCTTGCGTCCGGGCCAAATGGAGTACAGCCACGGGAAAGTATATTCTTCCTTGGCGTCCTGGTCCTGTCAGTGTGCCACAGGACAAGGCCCAGGGTGCCCCCGGGGGCACTTTTCCGTCGGTGTATTTTGGCATGGGCGATCTCAGCGTCTACACGCTCACTAGAACCACCGAGGAGGTCCTGTCGAACAGGATTCCCGGCGGATTGGCCACACCGTTTCGAACCCATAACGCCTCCGAGTCATTGAAAGACAAGATCAGGATCAGGGTCCATGTATGTATTGGTCTTCTCTCTCGACCTGACTGTGTGACCTCCGTCATGTACTAGTGGCCCAACCACGACGATGACAGCACGCACGTCGCGCAGAACTTTTCACTCAGGACTGGCCACATCACTGTGGTTCAGCTCGCGCAGTCTGTCAGTAGCGTCGTCAAGAGGGTGATGGAGGTGAGCGATATATTGTACTTTCACTCGGACGGTGTCGATGCTAAACTTACCATTTTCAGCATTGCATGCTTGAACGCAACCGCCCGCCAAATCACTGCTGCTGGGGGGTTAACGAACTCAAGCAGTATGGCTTGACCGGCGAGTGTGTCTATCTGTTCGCTCTGCACCATGTCGGTGGGATGACTTTCCAGCCCGAGCTCCACGTCGCGCCGTCCATGCAACCGCACCTGTTTCCTAGTCCACGCCCTGCCACCTACGAGGACCTCGTCGCTGCCGGGCTAGCATGAGATGATTCCGGCGGAAGCCAAGCCTAGGGCATATATTGTCCAAGCTCCTGAGGTTTGCTGGCTCATGTATTGTACGGTAGCTTGGACATTTCACGTCTTTCTGTATGTACTGTATCATAGTCATGGCTTCAAGCTCCCTGCAATGACAATGCCCATCATGATCACGGTGATGTACGATCGCTGAAAGTCGCCGTCCGTATGGTTCGCGGCACATTGCTCATAATGTCGCGCTCGACGTTGAGCTGAGTCCTTCAGGATTTTAGACGTGAGGCCTTGAGGACTGACGTGAGTATCGCATGAAGATCGCCCACTGGCATGGACACGGTGACCGGTCTGCCACTGCACGGCGGCGGCTAGATCTCTTCGTTCAATTTATCTGACTGTACCAATGACATCGTCCCTAGGGTGATACAACACTTGATAGTAGTTGATACTAACTATCAATCATGCCCTCCCGTCATCGTAGTCAGACGCGATGCCATTCCGCCAGTCGCCTGTTGACCCTCCTCCTCCAAACGAATCGCCTCGACCGGGCCCGCCCGGCGCGCGCCTCTGGTGACGCGGTCACATGCTGTCTAGCGCCAGTCTTGCCGAGGAGCCTGAGGGCGCCTGCCGCTGCGACCGACGACGATGCCTCCTCCTCCTCCTCGGCTGACTTATTTGGAGCATCCATAGAGCTACAGCCGCGCTCATAGTCTGTTCTATACCTCCTCGGTTATCTGGTGGGCGTATCTCTTGTGTTACCAGTGGCATCACGGACGATTGACAATTTGCGTTCAAGTTGGAGCTGGCTGCACTGCCGGCCGATCGACATGGTCAAAGATGGAGCTATCACGGGAAGAAAAACTAGCTCAGACCTTTGTGGATGATGTTCAGGAGGAAACTCAAAGCATTTGTACCAGCGAAGGTGAAAATAGAGACCATGTCGAGGCGTATGACGAGGTCAGAATGTGGCGAGTACGTGATTTTGCCTGTTCAGGATAGTCTGCCGCAAAGCTTCGGTTCCGTCGAAGGTAGATCTGTGGATCATAACCCCTATAAGACACAAGGCCAGCCAATGAAAGGCAACTCCGAAAGGTGCTTTGTATGACGTAGCACTGGAATAAAAGCATATCCTTGGTGCGTCGCTGTCTCCTGGTCGTCACCCCTAATTAAGAGTGTCACGTATGGTAAGCTCTGGAGCCACGACTGAAACTCGTTTCATCGTTGAAAGATATCAACCGACTCAGCGTTGCCAGAAATATTGTTTGATCTCTCGAGCGCAGGTGCTGAGCATTCATCTCGGAGCTCGACTTGACGCCGGAATGCGTGCATCGCATCGCTACTCGCATCATCGGTAGGATGTTCATGGTACGTGTTCAGCCATTCACGCCTCCCGAATACTTCTTAAGTTCACCTAAGATTGTTCCTAGATTCCGTCTGAAAGTCGAGACAGCAGTGTTACACAGGGCCGGCGCAGCCCTCATTGTGTTCTGCGCCTCACCACGGAGCTTTGAACGCGAAGTGCCTGAGCCCCTCTTGGGTCGTGTACGGCTCCTTTCGCTTTGACCTAGGCCCTTCCGTATTCAGTGCGTTTCGTATGTGTTAATACAGCCGTCAACAGGATTGTGCCAGTGGGCGACTAATGACACGGCGCTCGTTCTTTGTGAGGATCGGGACACAACGCAGTTTTGACCATGCGCATTGGCTTTGGCAATTCTCCTGCTCTGCTGACCACAATGCGGTGAACGTCAGCAGGTCATCTCACCTTCGTTTTGGCCGTTTCAAGGGCGACTGGCTTTGCTCTCGCCCCTATGGCTACGTACTCCCGGGGCCAGATTGCTGCCTATAAAGCCCCGCTGCTCATTCTCGTGGTTGTTCATCTGCTTCGCTCAACCTCCTCTTGCTTTCACTGTGCTGGTTCACTCTGATTAACCATGAACGCTCCCGCCTGCAAATGCACCGTTGCAACTCGCGATCATGAAACTATGCGGGATATCCTCCCTCAGCGTCTTGCTCCTGTCCCCGACAGATCGGCTCGGAGATGGCCTATGAACTGCGATCCTTCGGTCCACTTTGGAAGGGGTATATCCATCGACACGCTCCTGACAAAGAATATAGCACTCATCGCGGGAATGATGCATGATGATTGGCATCCGTCGTCCAAGAGATTTTGGTCCGGCAACGACCAGAAAATATACGTTAAAGTGCAAGTGCGTATCGTACTACTGTTTCCTGCTCGTCAGTTTCTCTGAGCGTGTCTTTCCCCTCGCAGTGGCCCGATCACAATACCCAAGATACGCGATACGCGGAAACTGGCATAGCTCTCGGTTCAACAAACTACGTCAATAAAGCCAAGCTTGCCATCGACGTCGGTCAGGTCGTGGACGAGATGATGGAGGTAAGTGTTGCACTGAGTAGATCAAAGACGCAGATTAGTGACAGCCCCTCTCGTAGCGTGTTCTCGCAAACCGTCCCGGAGAGCACCGCTGCTGGGCAGTGAGCACGAATGAAAAACTCGGCCTCACACGGCGCGACGTTTACCTATATGCCCTCCATTATGTCGGCGGGTACACCTTTCAGCCTGAGCTTCAAGTCGATCCATCGAGGCAACGTCGGTTGTTCCCTGCGATCAAGGCACCGACTGCAAAATGCCCCTGCACCCCGGCCGAGAGGAGTGCAGCCACAGGGATGTATGTTCTTCCTGGGCACAAAGCTTGTTTGAAGGCCAGCGACGCCAAGGACCACCCTGCGGGGGTTTTCCCGACGGTGCATTGTGGCAAGAATGGGTTCAGCATCTACAAGATCCTATCGACCGCTGAAAGCGAACTAGCGGGGATGCTGCACGACGACATGGACACACCGTTCCGAAAGTACCCCCAATTGAGCAAAATCAGGCTTGCGATCTATGTACGTGTCGATATACCAGTTGGGTTCCACCGCTGACTGTCTCCTGCGTCACGTAGTGGCCCGACCATGCTGAGCTCACGCGTCAAGTGGTAGACATACCAGTCGTGAAAGATGGCCTTCACATCACTAAAGCTCAGCTTGCGAGGCGGGTTTGTGAAATTACGGCCGCAGTCATGGAGGTTAGTAGCACGTAGAACTTCGGGACAGCATCGGTACTGATTCCCATCTCAGAAATGCAGGATGGCCACTCCGCAACAGCACTGCTGTTGGGCCATCGCCACAGAGAAGGAATACGGCTTGACAAATGAGTGTATCTATCTGTTCGACCTGCACCATGTCGGCGGCATAATGTTCCACCCTGAGTTCCACGTCGCACCATCCAAGGCGCCTCATTTGTTTCCTTTTCCGCGGTGCAGGGCTAGAAACGAGGCGGCTTAGCCTTCAAGCAGTGCTGAAAGAGATGGTTCCAGATGGCCAAGCGTGGAGCATGGGCCGTCGCATTAGTCAACCAAGGTTTACCGGTTGATGTAACTACGCGTAGCTGGGACTTTTCGCGCCCTTCTGTATGTATCGTAGCTCTCTTCAATGTCTATGCCCGTGATGTACGACTACTGTGATTGCCAACGAACTGCCACACGCGACGTTCAAGCGGCGTATACTAGGTCAAGTCACTGTAGCACACTGTCGACGGCGACGGCGCCACGTTCGACTTGGATCCTGGCAGCAGAGCCGTTCACCATGACTAGCCTCCCAGATACTGACGACTGACGATCCCCATCCGGCCTCCCGGTCATATCACACATCGAACGAAACCCTCCGTGTACTGTTCATCGCATCCGCGTGCTACCGTATTGAATACTGGCTCTGGCTCATGCCGCGGCCTGGCGCCTCGAGTCTCGACCGTCTCGCCCCTCTCGCCCCGAGTCCCCCGCAACGTTGACTCTGAGCGACGGTGGCCCAACCGCTCACAAAAATCTCTGCGACGGCGACGTCCACATCGAGTGCGCCATCCGGGAGCTCGAGCGCAGACTCGGGCTCTTCGAGAAGCAGGGATGGTAGCCTGCACGACATCTTCTGCTACGCTATATGATCGTACGTCGATCCCGCCCCGGGCCGGGCCTGTGACAAGTACTGTCCGGTGCTGAACGATGTGTGCGGTGTATACTCCCTGAGTGAGTCCATCGTGTGCTGCATCCCCGTGAGCGGGTCTCATTAGTATCTGGCGTACCGCGCCGAGCGTGGAGCGTGGAGCAACGGACATATTCGCGCGCGCCGCGGAAGCTAATGATCGGCGACGCGGTCACATGCTGTTTAGCGCTGGTGTCGCTGGCGCCCCGGCGGCGACCAGTGTCGGTACATTCGAGCAGCAGTGTATACCCGCCATCCTCTTCCCATCCTTCGTCCGAGCTCTTCGAAGTATCTATAGTGTTTTGAACCCGCTTATGGCCTGTTCGTCACCACCTCGGTCGTCTCGATCTGGTGGTAGTATCTCTTGGGCTACTGGCATCTCAATTTGCGTGAGAGCCCACCGCGCTGTCAGCCGAACGACAGGGTCAGGGTGAAGTTTTCATGAGAAGACTAGGTTAGACAGCTGCTGTGTATGCTCAGGGAGAGACTCGATGCATCTGCACCAGCGAAGACGAACATAGCCACGAGGCGTCAAGGCGTACGACGAGGCCATAATGCGGTGAGTACGTGAACTGCCTTTTCAGGATAGTCTATCGCGCTCAATGGCAAGATCTTGGTTCCGTTGCCCGAGGAAGCCTGGTCAATAGCCCCTATAAGGCACGAGGCCTCCATGCAGCGGTCACTAAAAATCGAGTTCGGGAAGTGTTTTGTGCGCCGGATATGGAATGGAATGAAGGAAAATCTGTGGTGCGTTGCCATTGCCTCGTCGTCAACACTAATTTGGAACGTCATGTGCAATGGGCCACCGAGCTGCCAACCCGTTTCGTCGTTGAACGAGTTTCAGGTATTGTTCTCCCGGGTGGTTGTTGAGGCGGTATGGATGACAGGTGCGTCACACACCTTTATTGACACAGCATGACGTCTTATGGACCTTCTCAATAATTGCTTTGCTGTGAACGGCTTTAGCAGCCTGTGCCTGGGGTGCTTCGCGGAACGTGTTCGACCGGGGAAGACGCTTTGACATGGGCGCTTAGTGACCTGCGCCACGGTGGCCACCCTGTTCAGTGTCACGCTTATTCAAACCCTCCATTCCGCTGGAATCTCGCCATCTCGACAATTAGCTTCCTCGACAATTGTAACACACTGGTATCCGAGGCACAATCGATCGCCGTGTCCGACCAATCTGCCGGCGGTACGCGTCAGGCCTCGACTGCGGCACACCGGTCAACAAACCCTGTTCTACGGCTCCAAAATCTAAGCAACGCTAGCCGTGCTTCTCTCGGAAAGCTTCTCCGCAAGGTCCGGTGGATACCTCACGCTTGAACTCGATCTGTGCGCACGAGGCTAGCGACAGGCGCTTACTACTCGTCAAAGCGTAGGCGCTCATGCGACCTCTGTCTCTGGATGGCTTTGGTCGACGCGTTCATCTCCTCTCTTCGACCCGAAGTTGCGTGGCGGCTTTCCCCAGTGTATACGAACGTCCTCGAGTGGTCTAGCCCGAAAAGGAACGTTCTTCTGGTGCAGACTTAGGAACGCCGTCTCTTGGGTCTACTGTGGCCACGGGTCACCTCTGTGCTTGCCGAATCTAGGATTGCCAAAACAAGATGCGGTGACCACAAGCCAGATCAATTCTTCCTATGGCCATATGTGGCGCTCGCTTTGTGTCGTCGCTTGGAATGCCTTGGAACGTGCCGGGCTTTGACATGGTCTGGTTGCTTTGCTTTGCTGTCCGAGTCTGTGGCCCGTTGCGACCCCCCTATCTACCGTGGCGTATAAAAAGCGCTTCTTGTTCCACGAACATCCAGGACACCGACGTCGAATACCCTGCGCCACGAAGCATCTGCCATAAGATGATGTACCAAAACCCTTCCGCCTCCTACACTCCCGCGGTCAAACAACTATCCCCTGACGTTAAGCCACGCCTTTCACCCGTGTATCAAGACCCTGGCTTGAATGCTGCTCTGGTCTATCAAACCATTTACTGCAACGCAAAGACATCCGCACTCGACAGCGGAGTCTCTTTACACTATTTGTCGGCCACTGCAGCCCCGGAAGTCGCATCGTTTCTTGCCTGCGGATCTCAGCCTATGCTTCAAGGCGCCACATTCAACTCGATCACACTACTGGTACAGGTGTGTGACAGCATCGACTCATTTGCACAGGGAGCTATTCAGACTGACGTAGGTCTGTTTCAGTGCCCTTTGCACCCAGCGACACGCGAACCCATAACCATGCGACTCATGTCATGCGGTAAGCGTAAATCGGTCGGTCAGTTTTGTAAAGAGGCTGCGTTGCGGATTACGTCTATCATCCAAGGGAGTCGCAGTTCTGTGATGTACGGCGTCGTTGGTCATACTGACAATCGGTTGACAGAGGTGTGATAGCTGTATTCAGCTCCCCGTCTCATCCGGTGGCGTCGTAAGACTCTCAAGGAGGGATCTCTATCTGGTCTCCTTCCAACATGTCGAAGGGACAGTCTTCAAGGCCCATGTCATTCTGGAAAAGGAAGACCATACATCCCTCTGATGCGCAATGAATGATTTGTTCGCCACACCTATGCTGTTAAGTAACTTAGTCGTCTCTGAACACAGTACTGTACTTGGTCATGATTGTTAGTCTTAATAGTGCTTCGTTATCGTGTTTGAGACAACGAGTTACGAGTTGCAGACATTGTGACCTGGCCTGTCTGACTCTGCACGTACTCACAGTGCTGTACATATATGTTGTGTCCGTCAGGAATCTTGGGTGACCAAAATCCTGGCCCTATATACGCGGTCAGTGCGACGTGCGCGTCGTGGGTCACGTGACCGTGTTGCTAACTGTACGTTCACAGCGCTGATCGCTGATCAGTTTTGCACCTCAGCTATACAGTCCAGCTGTCCGTCACCAAAAAGCGACTCTGTGCTGCGGGGCTGCCTCGACCGCCTCGACCGCCCTCGCCAGCGCCATACGCGCGGTATTTTCCACTGTAACTCCTCAAAGTTCCGCTGTACCGTGACGTTCCCTCGACTCGGAGCCGTTGGCGTCATTGTCATTGTTGAATGACTGTCTGTCGTTGTTGTCATTCTGAGTGAGTTCACTCGTTACGTGCCGCCAACTTGCATCGTTCATGCTCTTTGCATTCCTCCCCACAGCCTAGACAAGACTCGGACACGAACATTACTGCCATCAGTGGCAGAATCAGCCATGGCAGATAGGCCGATTGCTTCGCTGAACGAGGATCACACAGCTCCTCGTGTACAGAAACAGCACGTAGCGGTTATCAGACAAGATCCACATCCCCGCCCTCGCGCTGCGCGAAAACCGGTATACGCATCTGACAAGAAGGCCATTTGCGAACTACATTCGTCGCATCCTGGCATAACACATCAACAAATCGCCGACCGAATTGGGGTCAATAAGACCACGGTTACTAGGATCCTCCAGCGAAAGGAAAGATGGCTGAGGTCGAGGCATGTCGAAGGCCTCAAATTTGCACGAAAACGGTATTTAGTCCTTTCGTTGCATTGTTTGAATCCTTGCCAATGCAGCGTGCAGGGTCGTCAAGTATACATATGTTGAAGAGGGCTTGCAGGATTGGTTGGGAGATTGCATGGATGAAGGCAAGATCGTGACCGACAAAATGATCCGAGATAAAGCCTTAGTAATAGCAGAGGACGAGGGAATGAGGGGGGGTGACGGTGGACATCCAGTCTTTTTTCATTGCGGACGCACATGGCTGCGCAAGTTCAAGGAGCGTTTCGGCATCATTGACGGTGTCCCTACGCGCCTTGGTTACACTGCAACCGATTTGGCTAGAGAGAGAGCGTATGGCTACTTTCCGCTGGATCTCCGCTTTTGGGCTCAGCTGCCGGACGAGCATGGAAATATTCCGGAGCCCCCGCCTATCACCAGAAGCAAGTTGGACGATATGGACCGCGAGATCCACGGCCCTTTCGTTATACTCAGGCCGCGTGCAGCACCTGCATCGACGTCGCAACCAGAGATGGTTCCGCCCGACTCAACCTTGTCTCCGAACGATCATGCGAATCCATCCGGAATGCCTGGGCCCAGCGTCATCCCACTCCCCTCAGACCAATATTTGCAGCAGGAAATCGGGGCGTCAGGCAACGGTGCTTGGTACCCCCCGATAAACTTGGGTGTTGGCCAATCATACCAGGGGCCGAACTCCCAGAGCTCCTTTCAAGAGTCCTTCATGCGCGGAACACCGCTCTAGACGTAGTTCGTATGAATCCGCGAAAGAAGTGAATATATACTGACACCATCGTTCGTGTAGGTACCGTCCACTAGCTGGCATCGACTACCGTCTACCTCCTGATGAGATGACGATGCCTGTTTTCGCGTTCCCAAGACCCAATTCCCCTTTGATCGTCCACTGCCATGCCTTCGACCTCCTCCAATACGTCTTCCTGTACTTGTGCATATCTTCTCTTGTTCGTTCCTGTACATTACGCTATCGTGTATCACGATGCACCTTGTATCAGCGTGTCGACGTGATGCGCATCGGCCAAGTATCGTTGCATACCTGTGCCATACTACCTGCGGCCCGTAGCTCCCAAACTGTTACCGTACATATATATTGCAACGTCTGCCAATGTATCCCTAATGTACTCAATCGAGTTTGGATCATGTGAGATGCCTTCTGCATTCCGTTCCGCGTCGATGACCCTAAGGGATCTTGGAGGCAACTTGGAGGGATCTCTGGCAGAGGCCTTTAGATGTACGATACTTGCCATATCTACTGTATAACGCAGAGACGGCGCTGTCACACATCGAACACGCCAAGGCGCCTAGATGTCGTGACTAGATGGAATACCCTCCTCCTCCTCCTCCTCCTCGACGGTCAAGCTGCTCGCCGGCGCCTGTGGCTCTCGAGGCGCTCGTGGGCGCCTCGACCGTGACCTCGACTTCGTGAGCATTCAGTGACCTTTGCTCTCTGTTCGCAATCGCATGCAACGTTTCCTCCCTGGGTAGTACAAGCTCGGTGCCCATGCGCATGATTCGTTGACTTTCTTGTCACAATACTAGTCTGACGCTGACAGCTCGCCTTCGCTTGCGTGTAGCGGGCCCGCCGCTCTCGAGCAAGCGACGAGTGTCTTTCATACGACTCATCGGTGGAATCTACGCAGCTAGTCAGCCCCTTTGCTAGCGCGGACCTCGGCGTCCTCCTTCGGCCATTCTGACTTGCTCATCGTCGACAACAAAATCACAGAGAACAGGTCCTGGTGCACCATGACACACGAGCTGTACGAGAGGATTGAAGCGGGTTATGGTCGCCGCAGCAATGATATCAGCCCGTATGTAACCCCTTGTATCTCATCGTGAAATGTATTGATTGGAGCAGTGATGCGTATACAGCTCTCAGCAGCGAGGCGGATTCTTGGTCACGCAGGGTAGATGACTTTGTACGTCGTTCTCTCTCAATCCCCACGTTCCACTGTTTCTGAGACCCGTGACCAGCTCCGGGATTCAGTTTGTGGGAAGCGGAATGTACAATCAAGGTCTACTACACTCAGCGATACTTCGTCACTCGGAAAACCTCTCCGCCATCCGGTGAATGTCTCACGTGTTTTCATAGGAATTCGATTTGTGCGTACGAGGCTAGCGACAGGCGCGTATCACTCGTTAAAGCGTGGACACTTGCACCTCTGGATGGCTTTCGTCGACTTGTTCATCTCCTCTCTTCAGCCCCAAGTTGCGTGGCAACTCCTCCCAGTGTATTCAAATGTGGTCGAGTGGTCTAGCTCAAAAGGAATGCTCTTCTGGTGCAGACTCAGGGACACCGTCTCTTGGGTCTACTGTGGCCATGGGGCTCGTCTCATCCTCGTACGTTCTCTTGTGCAGATTGTGTCTCGGTGATAAACCCAGAATAATCTCTCTAGTAATTCATAGGTTATTTTGCCTAGCGTATAGAGCGTAGAACAGTAAGGCTGCACTGTAGGTCGCACGCAGGTTTCACGCTCGCAGCACGTCCCGCCTGTGATTGAGTCATGTGATCGCGACCGAGCAGCGCGTATGCATAATACCATGAGGCTAAGTTATGTGATAGGCATACTGCCTCTGAGCAAAAGCATACCTCGCTGCATCTTGCTTTGCAGTAGACCGTGTTCGCCAGCATCACCCTCAAATTCTTCAATTGGCTGAGCTTGCACATGAATTCCACCGGAAGCGATCGGGTGGTACGCGATATGCTTGTACGTGGCGAACGACCACTTTTTTTAAGTCTTTGCTCGTCAACCTCTATAACTCCAATTCTCTGCAGCTTGCAAACAATCCCAGTATCTCCACCACCCAAGGTCCATCGTTGGCGACCAAAAATCCGGTATCGCCCCCATCTCCGGATGATCCTCAGTCAGACTACCGGAATATGTCATGGAATCGATTTCTCAAACTATGCAGGGCGAGGAGGAAGGCAAACAGACCTCCTGATGCCCCCGTTCGGCCGCGGAGACCATTTCATGCTTCTGACAAGAAAGCGGTCTGCGAAATGCATGAAGCCAATCCGGGCTTGACACACCAGCAAATCGCAGATCGGTTCGGTATCCACAGGTCCATGATCTCTAAGATCCTGGCAGAAAAGGAGACTTGGCTGCAGTCGAAGCACACTGAGGGTGTCAAGATTGCTCGGAAAAGGTGCGATCAGTCGGGATGCGGGAGAATGACTCACAGTATTGAACACACCTCTTAGGTTTCTCAAATATGACCGACTCGAACGTCCCCTCAAGTCCTGGTTGCTGATATGCAGGAAGGATGGTGTCTTTGTTACCGACAAGATGATCAAGGAGAAGGCTCTCCTGGTGGCCGAACAGAAGGGTATGCGCCGGATCGGCGGCGACAACATTTATTTCCACGGCGAGCGAGCGTGGTTGCGGGGTTTCAAGGAGCGATATGGCGTCGTGGACGGCGTTGCAACACGCCTCGGATATACGCCTATGGATCTTGCTAGGGAGAAGGCCTACGGTAACTTTCCCCTCGACGACCCATTTTGGCTCTATCTGCCAGACGCGTCTGGTAACATTCCGGAGCCATCACGGCCTCCCAAGCAGAAATATGACGACTTCGAGTTCGAGGTCCAAGGCCATATCCTGATCGTCAGGCCGCCAGCACGTCATGACCGCGCGGCACAGCCTTCGCCGGATGCACCGGACCCGTCAAATGGGCGATCAACCTCCCAACTTCCATCCGAACTTTCATCAGGTCACCCCGATATGCTCGTCGAATCTCCTTGGAGTACCGGGCCTGAGCATGGTGGCGACCGAACGTCATCCCTTCACGATTCGCACTACGACCAGTCATCCGATACCTATGCTCTGAGCCCCTTTCTGGAGTCGTTCATGCGCACAACGGCATCCTAATTGTTACTATGTGCGCTACAGGATGTTCGTACAAATCCGGTACGTCAAGTAGGTTCCTTACGTGACCGCATGCCAGTGCTGAAGCGTTGTTTCCGTATTGGTATCCCTTCGTCTTCGCCGTTAAGATTCAAAAACTGATAGCGTTGGTCTTCCCGCACCACATAACACTCGTCCCTCTCAAAGGTAGCAGGATCGAGTCATAGACGCTGGTCGTTCTTCGCATGCGCAGTCATCCGATGTCGCATCACAGTCCTCTTCACTTCTCCGGAATCTTTTTCATGGCCCCTGTGCACCGTACCCTCACATCCGAGCCATGAATCCGATCCTTCCTCCACTGACTATTCGGCTATCGGCCAGCCTGACCGGCACGACTCCTTCGACCTATCCCTGTGTCATACACGGAACGACTTCCAGGAACCATTTCTCCGCGGTATCAGGACTCCATACAAGTGACTAGGAGTAGAACTGGTTGGCTACCAATGGCTGCAAATGATCAAAAGCCGTCGTATCAACGAGTCGTAACTGAAAGTGTCTAAACGTACGAGGGATACGGGATTTGATCGAAATCATGACGACAGTTTCTCCGACCTATGATCATCACTTGCGCATCTCATTCTGCTCTCGCATTGCTAACTTCACCCTGCTATGCTCAAGGTACCTAGTACCCTCCGGCCAATGTTCGTCGTTTGATGTATCTCCTCGGCAGTAGAGTCGGTAGTACTATGCAGCCGGCGGTACACATCATTACATGCCACCTTTAAGTTTATACACCTTGCCTACTACTAAGATAAATCATACTTCTACTGTGCTGTCTTCTTCTGGTACTAGCACTACTCTGTGTATGCATGGCGATTAGTATACTGTTGCAGTCTCCGTCTTCGTGTCCGCCTGTCAGTCTATTTCAATTAATTGTCCTCCAATTTCAGCGCTTACTGACATCAGCAAAAGTCCGGAACGGATATAATGCCAGGGAGAGATTGCGAAGGCTGCGGCCGATGATCAGCGCATATTAGACTATATCAGGCGCTCAACAGCTCGACGTGCATTTAGCAGACGTCGCCAGGCTGGAGCACCAATGCCAGGCTTCGCAATGCCATCCTGTCATGCGTACGCGATTGACAGCGATGACAAGAGTTGATCTTAGGAATGGCCGACTCTGAGACCATTTACAATACAATCCCGACATGCTTTATCATTGTAAGAGGGTTGGCAAGTCCCGAGACAAAGTACTGCCTGCCGTACGCGCGTCGCGACTCGGAGACCGCGCCAGAGCGGGCGTGAACTCGGTGACCGTGCCACCGTGCGTAGCGCGCGGGCGCGCGGGGCGCCACCCGGTCAGAATAGCAGTTCACAGCACATTTCCCATCTGGAATAAAGGCTCAGGGACCAGCGCGATGGAAAGGAGACAATAAAATCGGGTTTATAGTGATTTTATATCATACTTTGGTGCGGTTTTGCAAGCACAACGGGACAGTCATGCCAACCATGAGACGAGCGCTCAACGCGTCGCAAAGTGTGTCGTAGCGGGACCGGCAGAGCCTCATCTGCTGTGTTGACGGTTTTCTCATGCAGGTACGAGCACACACATTCGAGATCGAACGTAATGGGGGCAGTGACACTTACTGAGGAATGAGGATAAACGGCGAGGGACAGTCCCCAAACGGGCGCTTGCGCGATGCCTGCCTGGTCCGAGTGAAGGGTCCGCCGTACTCAGGCTAGTGCATTGAGTCAACCATCAGCGGGAATAGAGGAATACTACAAAGGTGCATAGCCGAGGTCGTCAACGGGATCGTCATAATCACCATCCTCTCCGTCTTCTGGGCCCAAATCCTCCTGCACACCACTGTCTAGTTCGGCAACACCTCCATCGACTCCGTCATCGACGTCGTCCTCGCCGGTACTGTCCGAGTCCGACCCATCTGAGGGGCAATATCCATAGTCCTGCTCCTCATCTTCAAGAATGTCGTCCACTTGAACAGTGTCTTTCTCGGATACCGCAATTTCGGCTAGGTCGTTGGCGTGACTTGGAGCATCTTCATCCTCGCTGCCTTCGTCTTCGTCGACATCAGGTACGTCGTCCCATTCTTCCGGCTCTGTACTCTCGCATGCCCTACTGACGGCAGCTGCACCTTGGGAGTCGCTTGTGTCTGCAGCTCTGGTGAATATGGCCTCCGCATCCTCGTGGAGGTGGACAGAGCCAGATCCCCTATGGCCAACAGCGCCGCCTATGTATCTCATGAGCATGTCTCTGTCTACGAACCTTTCCGTGGACAATTGGTCAATGGTCAGTCAAAGCGAAATGAGTTGATTGGTCGAATGCTCACATGCCCACATAATAGTACTTGTAATCCGAATGATGCTCGTCTGCCTGTCGAACAGCAGACGGTGGGAGGTAATCTTGCGTTCGCCCGTGAGCAGAGGCTGGCATGAGATGGCATGCTCGGATGACTTCATGCGGGTCGATGAAACCGAGAGCGCTTGGATCTGTGTGGTCGACGAAGCCAACACGATGTAATCGGCGAGTGCGGAAACCTCCTGGCTCATCGTAGTCATATCCAAACCACCGTACCCATAAGACATCCATTCGCTGAGCATACTTGGTTGTGCCGAAGACACCCTTGACCTTCACATCGAAATGCAGGACGCCAACAACACGAGCATACCAGTATGGGTGAGTAGCAGTGTGTGCATGGTTGTTGTCGCCGTCGTCATCGTCGTGAGCCAGGAGCATAACGTCAGCGTGAGTTCGAGGATTCACCGAATCTTGGGCGCGACGCTTGTCGTACGTTGTGTAATTGATGCGCAGGACCTTGTGGAAGTAAACACGACTGTGTTCAAAGCGTATGGTGTCGCGATCTTCGTCAGTAAATCCACCGTCTTCATCACCATCATACGACCGGCCTCTGATGCGGCCGAGTAGATGGTTCCTCAAGTTCACTTCGAAGCCCTGCAAGAGTATGACGTGGATGTGAAGCTTCAGGTGATAAAACACGTACGTTGAAGGCAGGATCGGCCCTGTGGGCATGAAGCCATTGTCGCAGGTTCTCCGAGTGGCTGGCGTCATCGGAAATGTGGTAGTGAGCTGTAGGTGGTGTTTGAGATGGCAACGACTCTGACGCCTCAAATCGCAGAGCGGCAGCACCACTGAGGAAGTTTCCGCCTCCTTGGGCTGCCTCGGAGTCGGCGAGAGTACCAGAGGTAGGTTGGTCTTGAGCTGAGATGGCGACACGCACCGCAGCACGTTCACAGTCGCGCCTGGCAATTTCGCGGAGTCTTGCGACACGGCGTTCTCGTTTGCAAATCTGCCGGTTGCGCGTCTTCTTTTTGTTGGTATGCAAGTAGTATCGCTTGAGCCGGCGATGTTCTTGTTCGCCCTGGAACCACAAATGGACGATTAATTTGAGGTGTCACACAAGCTCGAATAGGCTTCACGTACAGTCTGGGTATTCATGACATCGAGCGTACCAAATATTGGTATCATGCGAGGGTAGTCGCCAAAAGAGTGCCATTTGAATGTCTGCAGATTGAATTCCTTGCGCTTGCGTCTATTTGTGGCCTGTCTTGTGACCGGTTCAAGTTGCTCCTTGCGCTGAGCTACGGTCTCATTAGCACGCTTTTTGCTTCTGCCCGGATTTGCCGCGCTTGAGCTTCGAGACCTTTAGCAAACTCATGTCTCGGGGCTTTGTCTGCTCGTACCTCTGAGGGGTCGCATGATCATCGGCATGGGTCTTTCCATGGCCGGATGCGCGTTGTCTCATGGCCGCTGTGCGCCGACCCCGAGCAGCTTCTTCTCTGGGAAGTTCGTATGTGTCGTAGGCTTCACAAGTCTCCGCTTTGAAGCGTGCCATCAGCTCACCCAGCGACTTGGTCACGATGGAGAATATCTTGAGTGTTTCCTCCGTATGCAAGCGTAGTTTTGACAGTCCGTGAAAGAGTGCAAATTCGAACAAGAGATCGAGGATAATTTCGTTGTGTGGGGGAGGTAGCAGTCCTTCGAACACGGGGATGATTGTCTGCAAATGGGGTCACATTGAGTCGCACTTTGTAGTATATAACGGGTTTCACCTGAAGTATGTCTTCATAGTCACGAGCGGCCAATTGTTTCAGTGCCGACACGTTCCGATGAAAGCGTCTGATGGTATCCCGTCCGAATGTTGGCATGCTTCGATAGCTGCAGCGTAAAGAATTTGTTAAGGTGTACAAATAGAGGATGGACTAGTAATCCTACCGTTGATTGAACGTTTGAATTCTTTCCTTCCCCTCGGCATACAGAATACGGAGGAGATGCATGAGTAGTGCCTTCCACACTCCGAGCTCACACTCATGCATGACGTCGGGGACAAACATGGAATAGTGGTTGAAGCCGAAGCGACTGAGTCGTTCAGAGAATGCACTCTGGCCGGATGATGAGGAGTCAGGACTCGGGACTATGATTATGGGCAAGATGACGGTGCAGCTTACCCGTGTGGCCGTCAGAGACACTGAACTCAGAATGTTGCTAATCTTCTTACTGCCTAGCGACCAGCCCTTCTTGAAGATGCCCAGGCGGGCGCGCGCGACTAGCCGTTGGATAAAGCTGCTGTCCGTACGCAGTTCGGTTCGGTGTTGCATGTCTTCTTGTGACCCCATGTTTGCGAGCTCGCTTTTCTGAACAAGACATCTGGGACATGGACACTGGGCGAGATAGCGAATACACGCAAGGAGAACCCTGGGTGACATCATGAGGGATGAAGAATCTGGAGATAGGACTACACGACGTACTTCTCGGGATAATCAGCAGCATAAATGAAGAACCGCGGGAAGAGGCGTCGCCAAATGCCGTCGCCACATTTCACAAGACACCCATGTTCGTATGCATGCATGAACTCAGGATCCAGGATGAGACGCCATATGGCATGTATCAATTCCTGTTTGCAAAAGCGTAGGATGTCGGATGATGCCGCGACATTGTAAATCTTCAGATAGGCCTCCTGAATAGTGTCCGGTAGCTAATGGGGAAAATGTGTGAGCCCAGATCGTATGCGCAGATCATCTCGAGGTTGTCTTACAGTGGGCAGGTATGCCAAGTGATGCGCTGCGAAGGAACTGGGCTTCCCACGGATGTACTTCGAGACCCAGCCAAAGAACAGATATACCGGCCAGAGAGATGCATCGCCGAAGCTGGCGAGGCGGGTAGAGTCCGAGTACACGATGAGAGGGGCCACAGCCACTTCGGTCCCAGGAGGATCGGATGGATCGCGTGGTAGGGCTTGTACTTTTCGGTGTTCTTCTAACATCGCATCTGAGTTACAGATGTCCGTGATCACTCGGATATCTTCAGTCTCGACTCCAGAGTCATCGAGGCCGCCTTCTGATTCCGAATCTGAGGTGGGTGAAGATCCCTTGGGGCGACGCCAGAGGAGTTGGAAAGGTAGCCAGTCGTAGTAGCGAGCATCTGCGGACTGTGCGACACCTTTGATGACATCAAGGAGTTTGCGGTAGTGGATGCCAGATACCTCGAACTGCGGACAGGCATCCTCAGAGGTATACACGACCTTTTCTTTAGGGAGACGAATCTTGACAGATGCCTCGTGCCAACCATCCGCCGTAGCGAGGGTTTCCTGAGGGCTGACGCCGACATGGTCGAGGCGGTCACACTCGCGACTGTATCGGAAGTTCTGTAGATCCTCTTTATCGAAGTCGCCAGCAAGGACAACATCGTGGACAAGCTTATCGACCTCCTGGCCAGTCTTCAATGTCGAGCCGGAGTGAGCCCAGTTCATGAGGCGGAAGACTGTTGGATTGGAGAACGGAAACCAGGGATTCTCAGTGAGGTGATCAGCGATTGCCCGGACAGTCCTAGTGATCATGCCTCCCAGTCCTGAGGAGGACGCAGAGGTGCCGCCATGTTTCTGCAGGGTAGGAGTGTCGCAGACGTCATCAAAGGACGCGAACTCAACTGGGCGAATGATTGGCTTGTCCTCGTATCGGCGAAATAGTCCAAATGTGTCGGGTGCGGTATCATGATGGACAGGACGCGGCGGTGGCACAGGGACTGCTGGCTGAGGACTCGGGGAGCGGAACGGAGCAAGGTCTGGCTTGGGAACATGGAATGTAAGACCCTCCGTACTCGTTGGAACGTAATCTTTGAGAGTACGGGGGGGTTTGCGCGCACGCCCAGATCGTCGGACTGACGGCCCCAGTGGGGTGTTAGCCGGCTCGGGACTAGGAGCCGGTACGTGCACAGGCTCCTCGGGAGTGTCATCTCCCAAGCCAGACGGGCCTGAAACAAGGTCCAAGTCCTAGATATGCATTGAGCCACTGGTATTATCTCACATCAATTCTGAGCGCACCTCCAACTCTACACCATCAATTACTGACGTGCTCCCGGTGACATCTGCGTGGCCGTTGAGTCGGCGAACCTTCTTTGGACGAGTTTCGGCCAATCGTGGGCGTGGTCTCCGCTCCTGAAGTGTCCTGGCAATAGTGCTGACACGCTTTGGACAACGGCCGCGATGTATTGAAATTGCATGGGCGCTGGTGAACTTGTCACTTTTGCAATCGGGACACGTCGGCATATTTGATGGAATGATGAGAAGTATCAAAGAAATGATGTATAACCACAGCATCGTCAAGAGCGAGCCATGAAAAATGTACAGCAAGTGGTGGTCAACCCAAATGTGAGTCCGAAAGCGTGGGGACGGGGCGCGCACCAACACGGTCATGTGACATGTGTTCTGCAACTTTGAGTTTGGTGAACTATCTTGGTAGCCGATGTGAAGATGCAATAGTACGCATTCTCTGCATGTCAAATTGCCCTCCGTATTTGCTGAAGTGCGTCGCAATATACAGGTGCTCAAGAACGACTTTTCTGAACCAACCCGGCCTGGCAAACTACCCATCTCGCTCTCCCTCGCCATCCTCGACATCCTCGACATCTGCTCGCTTTCGTTTTCTCGTGTAGTCAACGACGGGATAGCATGGCCTATCATATGCCGCAATCCCAACCCAGCATGTTGGGACCATGAGAGGATCCCGAACCCCACGCTCTTTCCAAGCCGGGTTAACCGCACGAAGGTACGCGTTTGAGATAAACTTCGCCCTGCCAAGCAAGCTGTCATCTCAATATGAGAGCCGTCAGACCAAGTGAAAACTTACTTCGGTCCACCTAGGAATTCCTCAGGGATGGCACAGTAGCCATGGCGCTCCGCATCCAATTCGAGTTGTGCAAGGGCATGGTGAGTGAGACTGAGGTTATTAAATATTCCTTCAATGCACAACTTCAACTCCTTGACTTGATCGCCATCTGGCGTGTGGCTGAGCAACTCATCGATGAGGACGGCGGAGACGCCACAGACTCGAGCCAGAGTACGTGCAGCTGAGCAGACACGGGGATGAGATATCTGACCCGGGGTCATGTTCTTGGGGGCCGGACGTGGCGAGCCCTTGAGTTCCTCCAGTGCGTCCAGGGCCCGCTCGATGTTTGTATTCATCTGCCGGAGATGCTCGACGGCGTGAGGCACTGTGGCGATGATGCGAGCGGTTTCATGATCCAGGGGAGTGAACTTGGGCATGGTGCTCTTCGAGGTTGCGTTCGTCTACGCCACAGGGACAGATAGCTGCGGAGATTCAGCCACCGCCGCGGACTCTGAACCTTGCACACTAACCCTAAAAGAGTTGACCGGAACCAAATCATCGGACAAGACAAAGTTTAACCACCCCTGCCGTCTTCGACCTCGATCTCGGCTCTTTCATTATGCCCAACGCTTCCCAGACGAAGACGCCTACCACCACTAGAGCGAATAACGGCGCGGTGCGTGCTATTGCGAGCCCACTCAGCGGATATGCCAATGAGACCTGGCTAACCGACGATGCACAAGCCGCGGGCTCATTGGCACACCGACGTCGGCCGATGGGCGTCGTCTGGGCTTGGTGCTGGGACAGCCGGCGATCGGCTGGTACGATAGTCATTGGATCGGCCGATGGCCTATTAAGCGTTGACGGTACTAATGTGTACATATGGCGCCTCTATTCCTTACTATGAGCATTGGCGATCCTCCCCGGCTGAACCCATGCGCATCGGGTGTTCGAGGGCTGTATATTTATGGCGTACCGCGGCGTCCCCCCTTCTCAGATCTACCCGTGCGCAAACGACGTTCGTACACAGAATCATCATTGAGCATTGAAGGTCGGATACAACGAGTACCATCGGCAAGCCGGCATTGGCCGATCAACCTCTTGTGCTGAGGTGACCACGGGTGCATCCGAGATGGGCAGGCTCGATTAGAATTAGCAGCCCAAGTGGGCACGCTCAAAACTCATAAGAGAGCATGCCTCGCAGGCCACCGAACGCCGACCGAGCGCAGCCGCAGTGTTGATCGACCGCCCAACGTCGGCTATGCCAATGGTCCTCGGGGAGCGGGCGTCGGCTAGTTGCGATGTCATTCGCTAGCCGACATTGGCTGCGCCAGTGCGAAATGGCGCAGCCAATGTCACGTTGGTGGCCGGCGCTTTCTCACTGCCCGTTTTGAACGGGCTTCGTCGTGCTGCGAACAGAGCGTGTGACCGATTGCGATGGGGACGTAACCGAGACAGGGCCCGCGTTGCCGCAGGCGGTGACGGCGGGCGGCCGGGCGATCCACAGCGCAGCGAGGGAGCGCCCATTTGGCGCCCCAGCCATCCCGCGAGCGATCCGCCGCCCCGCCGGCGTTTTACTGCCTGTGGGCCGATGTTTGCCCCACCAATGGCATTCCAGTTTGCGCGATCCCGCGCAAAGAATGGCGGGTTCGACTCCCCCGCGAGCACCGCGCGGCCGCGCAGTGCAATGCGCCGCAACCGCGCGCAATTTGAAACCCTTGATTTTCCCGTGGATCCATCATACCTGTCGATCGGGAAACACGTGATCGCGAGTACCCTGGGGCTGCGCGCCTCCTCATTCTACCACTTAAACTTGCAGGGCGACCGCCGCTTCTCCCACGTCCCCAACGCAACATCTCGCCCATGACCGACTCCTCGAGCTCAGCCCCCGCCTCCCCTCGTCCCGCCCCACGCGGCGCTCGTATCCGTCCATCGCTCCACCCCGTCTCGCACGATACCGCCCCGCTTGCTCTGGCCGCCGCCACTTCGATAGCTCCTGCGGCCGGCCACGCCGACACCCCAGGGACTCCCGCCACTGACGTCGCTCACTCCGCGCTTGGAGTCGCACCGGCTGCGGGCGCTGAGCTCCGCCGAAACCCCGCAATCCGTCGGTCCGCGCGGCGCGCACCCCCGCAATACCCGCCGCCGCCCGCATACGAGACGGCGGCTCTCCCGTTGGATGCACTCGCGCCGCCTTTCTACGTCCGGCCCAGCGAGGATGCGCCTGCCATGCCCCGCTCGCTCGCGCCTCACGACGCATTGGCTAGCATACGGTGGATCGTCGAGGACATGAAGCCTCACCCGTGGTACGTTGCCTTTTCTTTCATTCTAGGTTCCATTACTGAATCTTTCAGGGTGCACTACGAGGCGTACGTGAAGCGCACCGGCCTGTTAGTGACGGCGTCGAAGGTGTCGAGCGCGCAGCAGGGCGCTCCTTTAGTATGGTACATGGCAGTTTGGGCGTCGACGGAGCAGCAGGCGATGGACTTAGAGCGGTACGTGGAGGATCTGTTCGAGGAAGACGGGCGGGATGTTATTTGAGGTGGGCGCCGCCCACATTACTATCCCGTAGTACTACTACACACGTTCTGGCTACACCACTACATATATTCAGTGTTTGCGACACTCAGCTCGCTTTCTCCCAGTCGACTTGTCACTTAGGCAATGCGCTCGCTGCGAAAGAAAGCCCGGCCGACCCGGGTAGATGTCTTCATCATGGCCAATCCGCCGCGCAATCCGCGCATGAAATGCCCGCCTCTTGCAAGGGCCTGGCGCCGCGCACGTAGACGCGCCCTAGTACAAGCTGCGTACAGCCGCTCGGTTTCTTTTGTAGCCGACGGTTGGCCAATCAACGGGTGTGGGTTGTGTATAAAGCGTCGGCCGCCGTCGGCTGGCCCTATACCATTGGTGGTTTCGGCACGTCGGTTACTCTATGATTATAGGGCAAAGACGCTGCCTGGTGTGCTATTGCCCAGCCAGAGTTTGGAAATCGCAAGCGCACTACTGGTGTGACCGGCAATGTGTCGGGGCGCCCTGACAAGGCACCACGACTAGAGCCACCAGCCCGGGATTCACAGGTCACCAGTACTCCGGCCCGTTCAGCAGCGCCTGCCATGTCACGTCCCGAGCATCAGGGATCACCTCCGCAAGCTGCACGCAGGTCAGCAGCAGCAAACAGCAATGACAGAGAGCTTAGCAGCTCTGCAGAGAACGACAACGAACCAACCAACCTCCGAGTCAGTGATCCTCAAGAAGACGACGACACTGGCAGCTATGACGAGTTCATCGAACTTCTCGCTGTCATGGGACGTCACAAGCATGCCAAGGGTGCAAGCCCGAACGTTGTGTACGTACCATTCTTCCCGGCTGTCAATAACTTAATCTTGATGCACAATAACATCACAGGGCACGCTACGAAAAGTACAAGGACGCCGGAAGATGGCTGCCTCGGGGCATCAGCCCCGTCTGCGACGTGAAGAGCATGCTCACCGTCGGAATAACACTGTTTGACATACCCGAGGAAGACTGGGAGCTCACTGGTGAGCTCGGTAAATAGTGAGTCGATCACCCCTGGCTACGGACTCAGTCGATGCCAATAGTTCTGCTGCTGATGTGCGGACTCAAATGCTCACCTAACAGTGAATACGACGAAATCTTGAAGTTCGTGAAGCAATACAATGCATTCCAGGCCATGTGCCCTGTTATCACCGCTCAGCTTGCATTATTCGAAAACAAACCTGACGCAATTGCAGATCTGGCAGAATTCGTGAGCCGCATGCTCCGCATTCTAGCCATTTCATCACTGATCATACTCAAGCTCGAAAGCAAAGGAGGGAAGGCCCGCACTGATGACGTGCAAAAGGTCAAAGACAGCTGTCTCAAGTACTTACCTGAACTAGGTCGCTCCGACATCCAAAATCCTCCGGACAACCTTGCCAAGGAACTGCGTGGCTTCGAGAATCTTGCCACTGGCCGCCTGCTTACCCCGCGCTCCATGCGTGATGTCTTCGACGATAACCCTACTCAGTGAGTGTGGTCATGCTCCCCGTGTTTGGCCGCCTCATCCTCACCTTCCATCTCCCTGAGATTTTGTCTCAAGGCTCGCCTGGGCGAGCGTGCATTCGATGCTGATGACTTCGCAACGTTCTTGTACCCGGAGCACCATTACGACGCCGGTGATCCATCGGAACACCTCCTCATGTCGCCGTACCTTCTCGCTGTGAGTACCTATAAGACATCAATTACTCCGCTCGTGCTCTGCGCTCACCTCGAAATGCTCGGGACGACCGTCGACTACCCCAGAATTTTCGTGCTATGTACCAAGGCAAGAAGAGTGCATCTACTGGACAAGGTGAAAGCAGTAGCAAAGCCAATGCAGGCCGCCCTGTACTCTTCAAGATGTGGAAGGTTCAGACGGTCACGCCGGAATATATATGCTATTGCGCTTTCATTGTGAGTAGCCAAAACAAGCACTCGAGACAGCATACACTCACTAAATCACTCCACTAGCTACGCTTTGGCTTGACATCGCAGCGCTTCTGGGACGAGAACGACGGCGAACACATTGGCAAGCAATTTTATAATAATCTCATGCTACTCTTCGAGGATGAGGCGTGGACGAAGAAGACCCTTGCATGGTGGAACAAGTAGGTGAAACTCGTACTGGTCAGGTGTCATGTTTTGATGGGGTCGCTACGACTGCACAGGGAGATCTTTGGCAAGATGACCCACGAGCTCGCGCCCAACGGAAACCCTGTTCAGCGTCGTAACGGCCCGTCAATGCTTGAGCTCATCAAGATACGCCGCTTGGAGCGTGCGCGGGCAGCATCTGCGACTCCCGCGCTTACATCTCGGGGACCCAGCGAGCAGATCGAGGGCGCAGCAGATGCTCGTGATGACGAAGCCCAGGAGACAACTGCGCATGAAGGAGACCAGGGCAGTCACAGTGGCGAAGAGGAGGACGAGGGCGAAGGCGGGGGCAGTGGCGATGGCGACGGCGACGGAGGAGCTCACTGAGTCGGACGTGCCGTCTGTCACTCGTACGTCTTCCTACTAGTTCTTGTGCCCCTGGCAACTTTGCTTGTACAGTATCTGTCATCTTCGATTCCTCTCCTGTCCGTTCGTGCGAACGACACTTCTCAAAGCTTGCTAATGTATTCTACTACTGCCAGTGCTCTTGAGACGGTGTGCTGTAAATTGTACAGCAATATTTGTAGCATCATCTATAGTAATAATCAATCAGGCACCGCAGCCTTCGTTATTCGATCTCCATTGCGATAGTCTCCTAAGCTATTAGCTGGATGGTGCAGATTCACTGCGGCGCGTACTCGTTGTCATTGTCTCATAGTTATGGCCGACAATTCTCAACTATCTGCCAGCCAGGATAAAACTTGAACACAATTCACCTGTGTTGCCGATACCTTGCGCAGACGTTGTCGTGAGCCGTACATCATTGCCCTGACATCAGCAGTCTGGCACATCATTACGAATCATTTACCAGCTGCCATGGGAGACTGCAATCCCCGGTGGCGAGTTCACAAGCACCGGAGTTTACTTATCTAGCTCGGTACGTCTCAAAATCCTGGCGAAGATTATCATTCATTATCAACTTTGGTATTCGTTCCGGACTTTTGCTGATGGAGCAGCCTCCGATGGCTCCGCGTGGCTCTTCACGGTCGTAGTCCTTACAACCGATGTCACTGTATTGTATGTGTAAATATCATAACTCGGCAACAAGCTTGATCATGTAGTCTCAAAGAACGTATGTCATGGTACATACATAACTCACGGTGGGGCTCGATCGAGGAGGCGATCGAGCGCGATCGGCGGGTGTCGGTGAGCGATCTGAGCGCCTAAGCTCCAAGATCACTGGACTCGGAGGACTCGCCGGGCCAGTGTCGTCGCTTGGTCGTCGTCAGTGCCTATGACAGCTCACACAATCAATCTCTTGTATACTTTACTGTGCAGTCTACCTTCTCCTCGCGCTTGACCTACCCATCGATTGTGGGCACTGTAACGGTCGGACGGCCAGCGAATCTTACACCCAGTCCCCCATACTTACTATCACTCCGGCGAGTCAAGTGGTGATTGCGTACTACCAGTCAAACACATACTTCGGTGAGCTCGAGTAAGTCATTCCGACAGCGCTCATCGCCGCTTCTGCATTGCTCACGGTCCAACGCCCGGACACTCTGATTAGCGGGCAGCGAGAGCTCTGGGACTCGGGCACTTCAAGCCGTCTATCAAGTACTATTGGGTTAACTCCCACCTTCAAGTCGCTTCACAGGAGACCCGTCACCCAATCATCCATGGCATCCGAGTCGTCACACGCTTCTCCTACAGTGAGCCATGAACAATACCTCCCAATCTTTGTCTGGCGATCTGACTACGACCTCGGACCGGGCACGCAGTCACTCCCCAGAACTGTATTAGTCTACAATGGTGTCCATGTGTCCGCGGGCAGTTCAGGCTCGGACGTCCCCTTATCCCGCAATCAAAGTCGCGAGAGTGATGCATATCCTCCGTCTCCCAGGCCGGTATCACCTCCAGACTTCTGCCGTGATCTCACTCCTCTCGACATGGGGATGTACTCTTATTGGCAGTTGAAGCGCCTCGAGAGAAGTACTAGGGAACTATTGCGAGATCCCGACGCCCCACGTCGCTCCCGCAGGCCGTTTTACGCCGCTGAGAAGAAGAAGGTCTGCGAAACGTACATTGCCAACCCCGGTATCACGCATCAGAAACTCGCAGACATGTTCAGGGTCAACAAGAGCATGATTACGCGAACTCTGATGAAAAAGAGCCGATGGTTAGCGTCAGAGCACACGCCGGGGTACCAGATTGCTAGGCGAAGGTACGGAGAATTCGTGTTCATCACCATGCTTACTATCACCCACATTCAAAATCTCAGTAATTTGAGATTCGATGACATCGAAGACGAGCTCGATATGTGGCTCAAAGATTGCACGGCAAATGATATCCCAGTAACGGACGCCTGTATCAAGAAGCGGGCATTCACCCTCGCCGCTGAATGCAATATGCTAGAGCCTGAGGTGGCAAAGGCATGTTGGCCTGCCCCGTTTAAATGCGGAAGAACGTGGCTTCGCAACTTCAAAGAGCGATGGGGGATTGTGCATGGGCAGGTTACCGGCTTCGGACTCTCTGAGAAGGGGAAAATCAGGAAGAAAGCGATCGGGGCCAAGCACCCGTCCTTCTACTCGCCACCGGCATCATGGCATATCAATAGCATTCTCGTGGGCCTGCAGAAGCTCAAGGATGCAGGCAAGTTGAACACCGAGCCGGAACACGACAGCGATCATACATCTCCAGGCACTCCTCGCTCGTCGTCATGCGCAGACTCTTTCAATGGAACTGTCGCGCCCCTCCGTTCTGGCCCGATCCTCGAGGTCCCTTCATCAACACCACAATCCGGTGGCTCTCTTGTTCATGCCCCAACCCCCACGCGTCTTCATAACTCAGATTTACTCCTCCGCGAAGGACGTGTCCCAGAGATACTAGCCACGCGCTACGGAGACACGACGTGCGCCTCCGAGAGTCCTGAAACCGGGATTCCTTGGGGTGACTCTGGACCTGACGCTCTCGGATGGCATGTATCTCACTTCGATGACAGCGGGTACGGCCGTCCGGTCATCCCGGAGTCCTTCGTTCGAGAGCAGACGGAGTAGTTGATCACGACTCGGAGCACGCCTACGGCACTTGGAGGATTGTGCGAGCGCCCTTGGTGCGTCCATGTACCCTGTACTCCCAGCGTGTCGGCTAATATGTGTCGTTGCGTTCTAGAGAGATTCCGCATGCGATCTTCATATACAATTCACAGGTGCATTCTGTCGCGTGATCTTCATATTTAGGTCATCCATTTTGCCACTGTCTCCTCACACTCTTTCTGAAGCATTGCTTGTCCTCAATAACGATGAGACTCGGAAAGCACTCTGTGCTTCGTGCTGTAAAGTTATTGATGTCTTGTAGGGTTCTGATGATATGCGAAGGTATTCACTATCGATGTGTACCATGCAGCCAATTGATTCGCCTCGAACATGTGTAGAAGATACGTACGAAGTCGAATTGGGGTACCCAACTTTATTAAAGGCAGTCCGAGTCTCGAGTTGACTTCGGATACGCCGATGTGTGACTGCCGGTTCAAGTTATCCTGGTCGCCATCTACACCCGGCGGCGTCCGAGTCGTGCACAGGCTAGTCGCGCCCCAGCCTAAGAAGAGAATACTGTAGCGATCTAGTAACACGCATGCTAGCTTAAACATGCGCCTGAAGCTTGTCTGACGCGAGACGGCGAGCAAGTGCTCACTTGCCTCAGGACCTGAACATAGGCTCGGTGTCTCCGCTCCCCAGTCAATCTCGAGTCTTCGACTGTCCTGGTAGAGGCCCAATATAGCAGAACACGTCCATTCCTTTTTCCACAGGTCTCACCATCGCAGTAGAACCATGGTACACTGTGTCCGCACGGGATTTCGGGTGAGTGAAATACTGGCCGGAAACTGTACCTACGCGATCGGTGCGCGTTGTACTAGAGCCACGTGATCGTGTTGCCAACTGTGTGTTCACTGGCACCGCTCCAGCGAGCTGCCCAGTGCGAACGCTGATCAGCTCTGCACCTCAATTACATGTAATTCAGCCGTTCGTCGCCAAAATCTGACACTCTTCTGCGGGGCTGCCACGGCTACCTCAACTGTTCTTCACAACGCCATAGCGCGGTGGTGTCCGCTGCAATTCCTCGAAATTCCGCTGGTGCGTTCCCGCGGGCTGTTGGCATCGACGTCGTTGCCATTGTTGAACGATTGTCAGTGCCCATACAGGAATGAATGTCTTTGTTGTCATTCGAGTGAGTTATCTCACTATGTCCCGCCGACTTACATCGTTCAAGCTCTTGGCCTGCCGCCCCACCCCACAGCCTAGACAAGACTCGGACACGAACATTACTATAATCAATTGCAGAATCAGCCATGCCAGTTAGGTCGATTGCTTTGTTGAACGAGGATCGCACAGCTTCTCGCGTACAAGCACAGCACGTAGCGGATATCAGGCAAGATCCACCTCCCCGCCCTCGCGCTGCGCGAAGACCGGTATACGCATCTGACAAGAAGGCCATTTGCGAACTACACTCGTCGCATCCTGGCATAACACATCAACAAATAGCCGACCGAATTGGGGTCAATAAGACCACGATCACTAGGATCCTACAGCGAAAGGAAAGATGGCTGAAGTCGAGGCATGTCGAAGGCCTCAAATTTGCACGAAGACGGTAATGTCCTTTCGTCGGATTGCTGTGTATTCTTGCTAATGCAGTGGGCAGGGTCGTCAAGTATTCATTCATTGAGAATCGCTTGCAAGACTGGTTGGCAGATCGCCGCGACGAAGGTACGATCGTGACCGACAAAATGATTCGAGATGAAGCCTTAGTGATAGCGGAGGACGAGGGAATGAGGGGGGGCACCGGTGGAAATCCAGTCTATTTTCATTGCGGACGCACATGGCTGCGCAAGTTCAAGGCGCGTTTCGGCGTCATTGACGGCATCTTTACGCGCCTTGGCTGGACTGCAACCGATTTGGCGAGAGAGAGGGCGTATGGTTACTTTCCGCTGGATAACTACTTTTGGTCTCATCTGCCGGACGAGCATGGAAATATTCCGGGGCCCCCGCCTATCGCCAGAAACAAGTATGACGACGATATGGACCACGAGATCCGCGGCCACATCGTTATCTACGCGCCGCGTACACCATCCGCATCGACGTCGCAGCCAGAGGTGGTTCCGCCCAACTCAACCTCGTCTCCGAACGATCATGCGAATCCATCCGGAATGCCTGGGCCCAGCGTCATCCCACTTCCCTCAGACCAATATTTCCAGCAGGAAATCGGGGCGTCAGGCAACGGTGCTTGGCACCCCCCGATAAACTCGGGTATTGGCCAATCATACCAGGAGCCGTACTCCCAGAGCTCCTTTCAAGAGTCCTTCATGCGCGGAACACCGCTCTAGACGTCGTTCGTATTAATCCGCGAAAGAAGTGAGCTGATACTGACACCATCGTTCGTGTAGGTACCGTCCCACTAGCTGGCACCGACTATCGTCTACATCTTGATGAGATGACGATGCCTGTTTTCGCGTTCTCAAGACCCAATTGCCCTTTGATCATGTCCACTACCATGCCTTCGACTTCCTCCAATACGCCTTCCTGTACTCATACATGTCTTCCGAGTCTCTTTTACGTTTCTACTAGTATACAATACTACGTTGTAGTGCCAGTGTATCATGATATTGGCGTGTCGACGTGGTACACATCGCTCAAGTACCGTTACATACAGTTTGCCATACTATCTACGTATCTCCCAGACTGTTACCGTACACATCAGTATCTACATGAATTGCAGATGATGTACGGTCAAGCTACTCGCCCGCGCCTGTGGCGATCGACGTGGGCGCTCGTGGGCGCAGCAAGCGCCCTGAGTCGACCGTGACATCGACTTCTCCGAGTCCGTGAGCATTTGACCCCCTTGCTCTCTGTTCGCAATCGCATGCAACGTTTCCTCCCGGGATAGTACAAGCTCGGTGCGCATGCGCATGATTCGTTGACTTTCTTGTCACAATACTTGTCTGATACTGACAGCTTGCATCCCCTTGCCTGGCCAGGCGTGCCGCGCCGCTCTCGAGCAAGCGATGAGTGTACAGTCTTTCATACGACTCATCGGTGGATCCTATACAGCTATTCCGCCCCTTTGCTAGCGCGAATCTCGGCGGCTTCCTTCGGCCATTCCGACTTACTCACCGTCGACAACAAAATCACAGAGAACAGGTCCTGGTGCACCATGATACACGAGCCGTACGAGAGGATTGAAGCGGATTATGGTCGCTGCGGCAATGATATTAGCCCGTATGTAATCCTCTTCATCTCATTGTGACACGTACTTATTGGAGCAGTGATGTGTATACAGCTCTCAGCAGCGAAGCGGATCCTTGGCAACGCAGGGTAGATGAGTTTGTTCGCCGTTCTCTTTCAATGCCCATGTTCCCCTGTTTCTGAGACCTGCGACCAGCTCGGGGATTCAGGTCGTGGGCAGTGGGATGTACCATCAAGGTCGATGACACTCCGCGAGGCTCCGTCACTCGATGATGAAAGTGAGGACGATAAACGGTGCATATGCTTGCTGAGCTGATTCAGCAAATTGTATCCAGGCTCAAACCATGGGTTCATCGCCAATGGGCGCAGTGCTGACATCGTGCCTGACGTAGGGCATCATCCGAAGACCGTTGGGAACCATTTAGACTGTCTCGATGCCAGAAAGCGCCGCAGGAAACCGTTCTACGCCGCTGACAAGAAGAGAGCTTGTGAGCTGTATGTCGCAAACCCGGGGATAAGTCATCAACAGATTGCCGATGCACTGAATGTCCATCGATCCGCAATCACGAGGCTGCTGAAGCGCAAAAGTAGATGGCTGCAGAGTGAACATCGGGACACACATCATTTCGCGAGGGATAGGTACGTCTCCGCTTGATGTGAAGGAACAGCAAATGAAGAGAACTCCTTCTAGCACTCCCATATACTACAGGATTGAAATGCGTCTGTACGATTGGCTGAAAGAGCAGCTCCTATGCAACACACCTATTCCCGACAACAAGATCAAGCAGCAAGCATTATTATTTGCCAATCAACTTGGCTATCGTGGGGTCCGGTCCTCATATTTCAGATGTGGACGTACCTGGGTAGCGAATGGGAAGGTGACTGGAACAGGGCTTACGGTACTCGACGTGATTCGCGCCAAAGCTTTTGGACACACTCATTGGGACCCCTCCGACCCTCCGACCCACGAGACATTCCAGTTGACGATCTAATATCCGCAATGCAGTTCATGGAGGAAGACGATGATTTTTGTAAGCCCAATTCGGACGCACCACGTGTAGCTCAGGACGTCGACGTACTGACTGGATTTTCAGACGTCGCATCAGACGACACTCATGCCACCTTTGCAGTCTCCTCTGCTCGCGACGAGAGTCCGCCCGACAAGGAGGAGTTGGGATCCTTCGAAGACGGCGCACTGCCGTCTTCGTATCCCTCCGCGACCAACGAACAGCATTCGCTGCCATGGAGTAGCGCGCACCCGAGCATCCATGGGTAGACGATCATCAACGCCTCACCCTATGGGCCCCGTTCCGAGTCAGTAAGTGTTCTTGTCGCCTGTGGTCGACACAAACGGTTGACATATATATCCGCACTGAGGGCAGTTAACAGTTGTAACTTCGTCTTTCACGACTACCATTCTATCGTCATCCGTTATGAATGCCCTTGTCTCCGTCGTTTCGTCGTTACTACTTTTTCCACACATCTGTAACGCTATTCACCTCATGATACTTTGTACGCTATCACGGGAAGAAAGCGTTGACGTTGCACGTTTTTTCAGCGCCTCGCTTCAAGCTGCACCGTGACTCACTGCACAGTGGTCCATTCAGTCATTGGCGTAGGTCCGATAAGGAGGACGGCTACTGGGCGTTTCGCGCTCGACGCGCTCAAGAAGCGATTGCGCCACCTCGTATCCTGGCTCGCTCCGAGTCGACATCAACGTGAACATTTGGTCCCCTCGCGCTCCGTTCGCAATTGCATGGAAAGTTCTCTCCCAGCTGCGCTGTAGGATCCTAGTCCAAAGTTGTACTGCAAACCTACTTTACTTTTCGTCCCGGCCATGTCTGCGTCGGCGCTATCTGATGGCTCACTGGCACTGGCAAAAACACCACAGGACACTCTGTCTGACCCAGTGCGTACACAACGTGAAAAGGTTACGGCACAGAGCTGACTCCTCCAGCGTTCCGTAGTCGATCAGCCCCAATTCCGCGACACACCATCGTGGAGAGGTGCTTCAGCCACAGAACCTACACTGCGGGGATGAAAAGCCAAAGAAAAGTACGGCCGTGATTATGCTGTACTTACAATCTGGACTGAATGACGTCTACAGGGACTGTTCACAACTCTACAAGGAACAGTGTGACATTGGCCGAATACATGTCTCCCGACTTCAATGAGCTTCAGTTCAATGGCAGAACTCTTCGAAGGCTCGAAAAGCTGTATCGCAGGGTGATGAATCCGCACAAACGATCGAAATACACTAGAAACCCTTTCTACGCATCGGACAAGAAGAAGGCGTGCGAGATGCATCTGGCAAATCCGGAAATGACACACCAACAGATCGCAGATGCACTCAACGTCAAGAGGTCCACTGTAACGAAGGCGCTGAAGTACAAAGCCAGATGGCTGAGAACTGAGCACCATGACTGGTAGAGTCGCCAGGGACAGGTACGAGCGTTACCATCGTCCTGCGCTGCCACTGTTGTTGACCCTTCTCCGATGCCAGTACCTCCAGATTCAACGACTTAGAATTAGAACTCCAAGGCTGGTTGATGCAAAAGTCCGCGGGAGATGTCAAAGTCACCGACAAGATGATCAAAGAACAGGCCATACTCGAGGCGACGCGACTTGGTTATCGCGGACGATCGATACCGTACTTCCATTGCGGTCGTACGTGGGTACGGAACTTCAAGGCCCGTTTTGGGATCGTGGATGGAATCGTGACCGGCAGTGGTTATACTGAAAGAGACGAGTTGCGCGCGAAAGCTCTAGGAAACACCGATATCTACTTTGGTGCCCTGCCAAATGACGGATATATGGGCGACATACAGGAGGATGAGGTCCGCATCTTTTTCGATTCTGCCGGTCCTTCGAACGACCAGTTCGCCCGCTGGGAACGCGAATTTCCCATTTTCCGCGATGCTCTTGCAGCCGGCAACACTCGAGTCACATTCGCCACGTCCAGTTCTCGAGACGACACCCAGACGGGGCCTCAATCAATGATCCTCGCTCATGCCGATCCTGAAGTCGACTCGAACCCCCCTCCACTTGAATATGCCGGAGCCAAGCCAAGCATTCAGCGGTCGGATGATGTGTACATGGGCGAATACCGGTCGAGCTGAGGATCGCCCACTGCGCGAGTGCAGTTGTTGCGTCACGGTGTAGCTCCTGGTTGACACCTTCGAACGTCATACGTGAGTTCTTTTGGCGTGTCTAGTTGGCGATCGAACTGACGAGAGGCAGGGTTCTCATTGTGCCTATTACCCAGAACTCTTCGCGTATATATGTATACATCATCCTCACTGCATTCCGTTGTGCGCAATTACATTTGTTATGATACCTTTTCACCTTGTCACTTTTACTGAGTTTTATCCTTGATGCGCACTCGCTGTTGATATTGTTCTTCTGCTTCGCCTACGCACATGCTTTAATGACTCCCTTTCTGTGTCAGACCTCTGCACGCGTGCCACCACTGTTGTTGTACCATACCAAAACCGTTTAGAATTCGCATCATCCTGCGCCGCGCCCAGCATTGATCTGGGCGTACTGTGCTACGACGTGTTATACTGGTATATATGCATATCTCCCGTAACTTCAAGCACCTGTAGCGAGATGCCAGCATTTTATGATCATCCTGTGCTCTGGACTCCGGAGTGCGACGTGCGTTGCGCGGCCGCGTCCGCCGCCACATATCAAGTTGCGCACGTGATCGCGTTTGCTGTCACGCTTTCGCCATGGTGTTCGAAACAAGAATCTTGTATCTACTCGAAATGCCGCCAAGAGGGGCGGCGCTACCTTGCTCGCGCAGGGCTTTGGAAGGGGACATCGACAAATACAGTAACATTTGAAAGGTAACAAGGCTTCTGAACGTACAAAAATTGAGGACACTGCTATTGTACAAGACAGAATTGATATGGAGAGGTCGGGTGCGCGAGTCGAAATAAGCACAATAATATGAGCATGGTCCAGATATGAGTAACGCAGCTTCGACTAACCTCCATATAAGTTATCGGTCCTCGATGGAGAAGCGGAATATCGTACAGACGCGGACTTAGAGTGCCGCTGCACTGGCGCTTGTATTCGCAGGCTAATGCAGGAAGACAGACACTACGTTGTACCCGGCAAAACTTCTGTGAGGCGCCTGAAAATTGGCACAAAGTACGTTGAGTGCTATAGAATGCTCCTGAATCACTTCACTTTGCTTAGAAAATCATGCCCCGTGCACTGTTCAGGCATGCAGGTCGCAGTAGCAGCCGCATTTAACAGGCGCTTGCGAGTATTACCTTACAAGGTAACTGCCACCACCGTTGCCCGGTGTTAGCGCGAAGTGAATAATTCTCGTTCATTGAACACTGTTATGCATGGTCATACATCATGTGCTCATTTACCTGTAGTTGTTTTCCACAAACAAACTCTTCATAAGTGTGAAACTGTCTGACACTCTGAATATTTGGTGTCGATGTGCCTGCTCATACTACGGTATCGCTGCTCACGCATGTGACATTGACAACAGCCACAAACAAGTGTTCAGGCGCCCGGCAACAATTACAGACGAGAGAGCCTTGCTCTAGCGAGCAAGGGATAACGCAGCACGACTCCCGCTCCTTGCCCACAGGCCCTGTCTCCCACCGTTGCCCTCGACTCGGAGCTACACACACGGGATCAGGCAGGCTCAGGCTCAGGCTGTCGTCTGCGCCGCAAGTGACGGAGCTAACACGATCTAAGTACTCTGCACTTGCTCTGCCCTCGCGCTTGGAAGCTTGAAGCTTGACTTACACTCGCATTGTGGCCATGGAAGCCCGCACTGTATGTCATTAATCCATCGCTCCCCACACTGGGTTCGCCATCGTAATCGCCAGCGCCGCACTGAGGCCACAGAGCCTGACCAAGATCGCGTACGCGCGGCGAACAGCGTCTCTGCTTTCTACTTTGTCTTCGGGTACGCGTGGGTTTGTTTGCGGCGACAAGATGAGCCAACATATTTCCGGTGAATCAGAGGAGTGCACGCCATCGACCTCCAGCGGTACTACTGCGTACGGTGCGTCTCATTGACAGTCTTCCCGACGAGATGTGTGTCTCAACATCATTGTATCAAGGCGAACCGATGTTACCCAACAAGGACGGTGAACCACTCGGTCACCCGCATGGCTTATCATCGTACAATTCGCCAGCAGCGGACACAGGGTTGGTGGTTTTACGAGGTAAACGTGCATCAGCTCAATAGTCTTTTCCAGCATCCGACACGATCTGGGCTCCTCTCCTCCGCCCGAGAGAAAGTGGTTTTCAATGAGAGAACTTCGGCAGCAAAAGCGCAAGAAATTACTAGCGAATCGGCCCCACGACTACCAGGTCCAGCGCCGAAGAGCCTTTCACACTATTGACCGCAAGAAAGTGTGCGAGATGGCGGAACAGAACCCAAGCATGACACATCAAGCACTCGCTACGCTCTTTGGCACAAACAAGACGACAATCACTAGGACTTTGAATGAGAGGACAAAATGGCTGCAATCTACGCAGTTCGAAGAATTCAAGGTCGCTAGAGACAGGTGCGTTGTTTCCCGGTCATCAGAATCCAATGTATGTAATGTAATACCTTATGCAGAAACCCGAATTATGGACTTTTAGAAAACGAGCTTCAAGACTGGCTTTTTAGCTGTGCCGCAGACAAGGTCTTGGTGACCGATGATATGATCAAGGCCAAGGCCATCAGCCTTGTGGAAGATGAAGGTGTAACTGAGGGCTTCGGTGTCTTCAAATGCGGTCGCACTTGGCTGCGTAATTTCAAATCTCGTTATGGCATCGTGCAGGGACATTTTGGCGACTACTCGCAGTCAGTTTTCCGATTGCGAGACAGAGCGTTGGGATACTGGAATCCTCCGCCGACGACGGAAATAGACGATATGGTCAATGGTCTCGCAGAGCAATTGCCCTTCGGCGTGGAGGCTGTGGAAGAAGCAACAATGGAAGAGGACGAGGCCAGCAGGGAGGTCGTCCAGACAACCTTTGCAACGTCCTCGCTGCGCGACGAGCCTCGTTCACCCGCTGCATCTGTGCCCCCTATGCCTGTCGATTCAATCGCGTCATCCTCCGAAAGGAGCTCTGACGCTTCATCCTCTCCCGGTGCTCCCCTTCGCCATCGTGTACCCACCGATACCAGGCCACCTCCACCTGGACGGCCGACCAGCGTTGTCGAATACAGGGCTATTGTTGTAGCCGCCGAGAACTTCTTGACGAGTGGTTGGCCGACCTGGTCCACCGGCGCTCTGTCATCACCAACCGCAGCGTCGTAAGGCGGCCGATACGCAGCGACCAAGTCATGGTCTAGGATGGCAGCCGGCAACACTCGAGTCACATTCGCCACGTCCTGTTGTCGAGATGACACCCAGACGGGGCTCCAATCGACGATCCTCGCTCATGCCAATCCTGAAGTCGACTGGAACTCCCCTCAGAAACTTGAATACGCCGGAGCCAAGCCAAGCGTTTGGCGGTCGGATGATGTGTACATGGGCGAATACCGGTCGAGCTAAGGATGTCTCCCTGCGCGAGTGCAGTTGTTGCGTCACGGTTTAGCTCCTAGTTGACACGTGCTAACGTCATACGTGAGTTCTTTTGGCGTGTCTAGTTGGCGATCGCACTGACGAGAGGCAGGGTTCTCATTCTGTCCAAGTTGTACCCAGTCCTCTTCGCATATACTGTACAATTCAATTCAGTCCGGCGCGGGTTGTGACTGTGACGGCCGCGCCGCCGCCAGGCGGCGCGGCGCGAGCGACGGTGACGCGTGACGCGGACGGTTCAGACGGTGCGGCGGAGCGTCGACGGGCTGTAAACGTCGTTAAAATGAGTGCTGAAAGCCGCCGCCGGAGGCGGTCAAATCTTTGTGCTTTTGTCACAACCGGCGGGACCCTCAGTGACCTGTGACAAGGGTACTTTACCGGTGTGGCGAGGGGCCTTGTGACGCGTGACCGCCGGACTGTATTGAATTGTGCAGTATATGCACATCACCCTCGCTGCTCTCCATTGTTCGCAGTTGCATTCGGTACGACACCTTTTCACCTCGTCTCTTTTGCTGGATTTTTTTTCATGATGCGTCACACTTCTGAATAATTGATATCGTTCTTGGCTGCCATCTCGGACTCAGCGGCCGACATCGCCTACTATACACATGCCTTGATCATTAGTTCCCAACAAGGTCAGACCCCTTCGTGACTACCGAGTACCACCGCTGTTGTTGTACTACCACATCAACTATTCGCATCATTCTGTGCGACCGTCAACCCAGCATTGGTGTACAGTGTTCTGCGTTCCACGGTCTCTACGATGTACCGGAGGCTACATGTATCCCGTGACTTCAAAGCGCCTGTAGCGAAATGCGAGCATCTGACAGCACTTCTGCATGAAGCTTAACTTAACCCCGATATCAAGTCTACCTTGCTCGTTCGAGGGCCAAACACATCATACTATCCTATGTTTTAGCACACCTCCCGCTTGCTCTACACGGGTTAATCATCCACCGTCGCCATCGAGTCCCACCCACGCCCGCTGGCCGCTCCAGTGACGGCTCACACGATCTATACTTGTACTGTGTCCTCGCGCCTGACTAACGCACACAGAGCTGATCGCGGGCACGGTCGTACGACCAGCGGCGGACACGGTACAGCAACTGTCGCCCTCCCATCTTCCAAACCGACGGGTGTTCCGCACAACCTCCGCTGGCGTCCGAGCTACATACTAGCCAGGTAGCACCCGCCGACTCTTCCAGTTCCCCCACCACGGTGACTGGACCCTCAACCACTCACGACTGACGACCACCATCTGGCCTGCGGATCAGCTCGCACATCGAGCGGAACCTTCTGCACTGTGCATCGCATCCGCATACTACAAGTGCTAGCTCACGTCTGGCGCATCGACCGCCTCCTCTCTCCTCCGTAACGTTAACGCGATGGCGACCCAACCGCTTACGAACATCTCTGTGACGGCGACGGCCACATCGAGTGCGCCGTCCGGGAGCTCGAGCGCGGACTCGGGCTCTTCGGGGAGCGGGGACGATGGCACGACCTCGTCTGCTACGCTATATCGTACGTCGATCTCGCTTGGGATCCTTAGGCCGAGGCTGAACAATATGTACAGTGTATACGTTCCTCGGTGAGTACACCGCGCTGGGCTTCTCCAGTAATGGGTCAGCTCCGCATATACTGACGCACCCCCCTACTTCTCCTTATAGCGACCCTCCTCCTGCTCCTCTCCGTCTCCGCCGCGATCGTCGTGCGCTCCTACCTCATCCGCCGTAGACAACGGCAGCTCATCGCGGATGCCATTCGGGACGGCCTCATATCCGGCGTGCCCGCGCCGGGCGTGAGTTTCGAGCGGGCCGCGCTGCTCGCGCGGAAGCCGGAGCTGTTCGACGTGTATCTCGGGCATGCGCCCGCGGAGAGGGAAAAGGGCAAGGGGAAGGAGAGGTTGCATGGCTGGAGGGAGAGCACGAGCAGCGCGGGGAGCGTCGGGGGCGGGTGGTGGAACGCCGTCATGGTGAGTGGTGGCGGGTCTTGCGCGGGGAGCGGGTGAGCTGACCTCTGGTGATACAAGCCCGTGGCGGCGAGGGAGGCGAAGACGTCTTCAAGGAAAAGTCGGCCTGTGCCAACGCCACCGCATTCGCATTCCCCGCCCGTACGCCCGTCAACGTTCGCGCGCTTCCGCCAACGACTACGAACAATCATGCCCATGCCCTCCGTGGGAGCCTCCGTCCTCCCCGCACCCGCCACCTCCACCGGCCTACGGCAACCGGAAGCCGTCGAGCTTTCACCACAGAGCGCCCCGTCGTCTGCGCGGAACGGCCGGGCACTGGACGTAGCTTTCTTGGTCGCCATGCCCGCGCCGCACCACGAGTCCCATCATGTCGAACAGGAGGACGTACCGTACGTCGAGTTTGGCATCGCGAGGGTGCGCGCGCGGGAGGAGGTAGTGTTGGATGAGGGCGAGCCTCACTAACGCCAAAACGTGCTGATAATCTCGGATGGGACATGTACTGCTATTGACTGACTGTTTGTTGTACGACTAATACCTGTATACCTCCGTGTTTCTCGATGTTGTTGTAGAGTACTGCTTTGCGGACTGGTGTATCGATGGATTGCACTCCTACGTGCGACGAGTTGTGAAGTCCCTGGAAGCAAAGTTGTCCAGAGTGATTGTTGAATTGAGTGAGTGCGAACTTGGTATCATACGAACCGTCATATGGCACTACCGCTGGGTCGATGTATGAGATCGGAATCTGAGCTCGTCCGGGCATTGCCGGGAAGTGCTCGCCCGAGTGCAGGCGCCGGTGAGTTCGCTGCAGCCACGAACGACCATCCGCGTATACTCCTCTATGCTGCGCTTGCTTGCGGTATGTTCTATTCCAGTGTTTGACTTGCTGATACGTGAACTTGCTCTAGCAACGCAGGGCGGTCCTTGCCACCGCCGCTGCCGCGGTCGCGGTGACCCAGACTTCGAAGGACAAGGTGCGCACGAGCAGCTCCGTTTCTTCTTTCACCCTTCGCTCACGCTAACTACGCACGGACGGTGTAGCTTCCTATCTATCCTGAACCGACCCGAGATGTTCTGCTCATTGAGACACCTTCCGAGCTCGAGAAGCAGATCGGAAAGGCACGGAGAGCGGTGACCGACACCTACCTCGACGCCCGCGCGCAAGTGCAGGGCGTCGTCTCGCGGTGGATCAGCGTAGAGGAGTCTGTCGAAAGTGCGTCTCGCCCGTCTCCCGCTCCCCGCCTCGCACGCCTCATCCTCGCGTCTGCGCAGAACGCATCAAGTCCCTCGTCGCCCCCGACGAGCCTCTAACACCCGGGATCCTCTACGTCGGCGTCGCGACCCTCACCGGCTCCGTGCTCGCGCGGAACCGTGCCCTCCCCGTGCGGCTCGCCCTCCCGCCCACGCTGCTCCTCCTTTCCCTCAACCACTTCCTCCCCAAGACGAGCCACAACGTCTCCGCGTACCTCGGCGCGCTCGAGGACGCCTACTTCCCGGGTGTCGCGGAGAAGCACGAGATCGCGAAGGCGCACAGCGCGATGACGTGGGCGCGCCTGCAGGACGCGAGCGCGGCGGGCCGCGAGCGGGCGGGGGCAGGCGTGCTCCGTGCGGTCGTGCGCCTCGAGGAGGCGACGGGGCTGAAGCTGCAGGAGACACTTGGGTGGAGCAAGGGCGTTGCACACGCGGTGGAGGGCCAGGCGCGCGGAGCGGCGGTGGCGGCCCAGCAGAAGGTGGGGGAGGCGGCTGCGGTGGTGGCGCATAAGGTGGAAGAGGTCAAGGGCGCGACGGAGCAGAACGTGCACGAGGCGGTTGCACAGGCGGAGAGCAAGGCTGACGAGCCTCCGAGGAGACTAGTATGATAGACTTGTGCGCGCGTTGTAGATGCTGCAGCTGTCCTCCTTAACATTGTGGTTCATCCAAACCAGGATGAAACCGCCCGGATCCTACCAAGCTAGACACTACCAAGTCTGGCTTTCACTTCGACTACGTCGAGTTCATTGCTAGGGTGGTGACTGCTATTCTTCGACCCCTCCTTCACCTGAGAATGCACTTGGGATTGTGTGGTATTGCCATTCTCGGAAAACTTACGCTCGTCCCCGTCGGGCGCCTGTTTGTCCAGCTCACTTTAACCTGACTTGGATCACCGCCGGGCGGGCCGTCTCCTTCCTCTCTCGAGGCTGTCCCATTCTATCCCACTCAACATGAGCACCGTCTTTACGCTGGCGGGCCCGTCTTCCTCGAGCCTCAAGACAGCACTAGTAGGCTCCTCCCGACCCCACGCCTTCCAACAAGTCCGGTCGGTCTCCTCATCGCCCTACGGCCGCACGCACGTCTGGAAGCACCGCCAGCGCGTGCTCCCGAAGCCCTTTGCGCCACAGTTCCCGCAGGTCGTCGTCCGCGTCGACGGGAGCACGTTCACGCACTACACGACGTCGCCGCGCTCCGTGCTAAAGCTCTCCAAGGACACGACGAACACGCCGCTCTGGAACGCGTCGCGCTTCCTGGGCGAGGCGGAGGAGGAGGACGCCATCACGGGCCGGCTGGGCAGGTTCAACAGGCGGTTCGAGGGCCTCGGCGGGTATGGCGCGCAGAATATGACGTGGATGGCGCAGTCGGACGCCGTGGAGGAGGGCAGGTCGTTGAAGGACATGAAGGCGGACGCGGAGTCCGTCATGGGTGTCTACAAGAAGAAGGACAAGAAGAAATAGAGATGGGGGCGTGCTGTCGGTGTGCGTGGATGAGAGGTGCGCGGTGCGGTTGTCGTCGTCGTCGTCGTGAAGGGCTGGCTGACCGGTCTCAGCAGTTGGCCTCCGTTGTCTATTTTACTGGCTGTCGCTGTGCCATCTGTCTGGCGATGTGTGCTCTTTGCAAGCCGTGCTATATAATGGCCGTTCCACGGCTAATCGCAGAGTATATGCTGCAGATTTTGCTCTTGAGGCGACTGTGCACCACTCAACGACTTCACTGGTCCAGCATGGAGCATCCATGTTTCTGGGTTATCGTCCTTCGCGTTCTACTCCTTTTCTGCAATGATGTTTGTCTCTCATTCACACTTTGGTCACGGATTTTGACCTCGTCGCACGGCGAGATGCGCCTCAAGAACAAGTTCTGACCAGCATGCTCTAACGGCCCTCAGGTAAGACTTCGCCGTTATCCTGAACGCGCCGATTGCAGGCCACAGCACACTCGATGGCTGAACACGTCATATTTCTTCTCAATACAGGCTGCTCCATAGACTGCGACTTGCATTCTCACACGAATGAGAAATTCGCTCCACTGGTCTCAAGCATTCTCCTTCACGGCTTGCCATGCCGGGCGCGAGCTGATATTTTTCCACCACCTATTGGGACGAGTGTCAGCCCCGAAGGCGTTCCTCCAGACGTCGAGTGGTGGACTGATGTCGAATACATGGGTTGCGCGGACTCACCTGGACACGTTCGGCCTCGACGAAGTGGTGAGCAGATCGTATCCCATGCTCCCCAGGGTGTTGCCGAAAGGTAGGTGGAAAAGGTCCGCCAGTGTCACTTCCTGGAAAAGCTCGCACTGTGAGAGAGGCAAGGCGAGAGCCGGGAGCAAACTCACGCCTCCAGCGAGGTACCTGTTCATGGACGGAGGACCTCATACGCGTCGAGTTTGCTGTTCAGCGTCTGCAGCAGGTCCGCGACGATCGCTTCGGCCGTCATGACCCCGGTATATCTTCATTGCATCCCAGAGACACACCCAGTTCACGACCCTTCCTGCAGCTCCGAGGACGGGCGACACTTACCTCTTGAAAATCACCTCCCACGCGAGCGCGCCCGTGTATACGTCGAAGTTGCTCATCTCCACGCTCACGGCCTACTCGAACCGCTCGCCCCCGGGGCGGGCATGAGCGCCATGTGCTCGGGGCGCGCGTACTTGGCGACGAGGATGGAGGACGGCGTGTTGACCGTTACGTTCCCGAAGACGACGCCAGAGATGGCGTCGAAGATCACGATCTCGTAGCCGCGTTCGGGCGGCGCGGGTGCGGGTGCGAACCAGGACCACCTGGAGTATTTGCAGCGTGTTTGTCTGTCGTAACGCGCTTGTTGTATTGCAGGTTCGAGCGTAATACACGGTGTTCTCCCTTGGGAGTACTCCTACGCCCTACACCGAATCCGTTCCAGTGAAAACGATCATGCAACGGTCGGTTGGCACAGTAACTTGAACCGTTCAAGCATGCCGAGATCGTGCTCCTTCCGCATCAATCCTAGTCGCCGCATGGTGGGGATCCAATCCGATAGCTGGTCGTTCATGATTGCTGGGTATGATGCACTGCTGTGAGTCCCGGCCCAGTCAAAGTCAATCAGCATGGCACTCCAGTGTTCGTCGGACCCAGCACCACCGGACCTGCGAACACACATAATGTTGGGAGCCCGGAGATCGCCAAACACGAGGTCGTGTTCGTGGAGCAGGTCGACGGCGGTCTTGACGTCGGCGTAGACACTGTGCGGGAGGAGTTCGTTTCTCTGCTCGAACGACCACGCCGTCTCGCCTTCAACCCGATCCATGACGACCATGAAGATGCGATCACAGACGGGGATAATAGCGTGCAGAGTAGGCGCCAATCCGGCCGCGGCGAGGATGCGGTGTGCCTCAGCATTGTACCTTGCGGTGAACTTGACGATGACCTCGACTTCGCCGTCCGGAGTGTCACCAGCTCCAGTCGATTTGGGCATGGTGGCGAAGTAGATGGGCGAACACCGCTGATCTGATGACCTCGCCATAAGATAGAGCTCCCCGGCGCGAGACATCCGATTCGTGAAGGTCAAGGACGGCATGCTGTCCTTGCAGGAGGGGACCGGGACGGGTGACGGAAACAGATGTGTGATGCTGCTGGAGGGAGGTGCAGCGTCGAGTCGCGCGTAGAATTCGGTAAGCTCGCCAGTAGCAAGCTGCACAGCCTTGAAGGCTCGTGCGACACGGAGTACGTTATTGTTCCGGTAGAAGTCCAGACGCAACCGCTCGGAGAAGAGGCGGTCAATGTAGGGTCCATCGGTATACACGGCGATCCCGATCTCGAGAAGATCGCCCCTGATGCTGATCAGGATGACTGGATAGTTGGACCGACGTCGTCGCTGCCGTATCAGCTACAGAGTCCCTCGTCAGCATGCCATCACGGTGCACACACGGATTGGCGGTCAAACCTCGTTTTTATCATCTGTCACCACCCTGGCGTAATCAAGGCTTGCTTGCAGAAAGGCATCCCCATGCAATCCATCCTCGTTTTTGACTTCTACGAAGCCGAATGGTTTCGAGCCGCCCATGGCTATGTTGGGGCGAATATCGCTGATGGGCACGTCCCAGCTGAGTGTGCAGGCAAGGAGATCTTCGAGGAGACTCCCAATGGCCAGGATACGGTCTTCTCCGACGTCGTAGCAATTCAAAGCTAGTGCCATAAAGGAATGGACCTTTCCTAGTTCTAGATAATTGGGTTCGCCCTCGGGGAGCGCAGAGCCGAGATGGCGAAGGCGGTATGCGAGCAGGCCCAACGTAGGGTGGAACAAGGCAACTGGGGGACCGTAATTGTCGTGTGGTCGTCCTGCATGAAAACGGTCGCCGCATTCGTTGAAGAGCTTCTGCACATGTGTAGTAATTCCTTCCGACGGCCTAGGTAACGATGTGCGGACGTTCTTGGCCTCCTTCTCGCGTTCTGATGAACAAGGTAATTGGCCAGCCCAGGGACGTAAGAACACTACAACGTACCTCGAATGACCTTCCTGTGGCTAGCGGCAAGGGCTCCCACGTCGTCCAGACTTTCAAGGGCTGCGCTATGGGTGAGGCAGATGTCCAACACTCAGTAGAGATGACTCACTCTCTGGTGTGACGACGAGGATGTCGACGACATCATCCTGACTCGGTCCTTCAGGGAAAGCGTTCCTCACTTTGGCGGTTGGCCGGATTTTGAAATCCCGACTATCGTGGTATTCGCGAAGCCATTGGCGGCTGCGATCGAGTAACGTCTCGCCGGGTTCCAGCGACAATCCAGGGGGCTAGTATGGTCACTACAAGCGTGACTGATATAAGATGGATACGCACCTTGAACAATGTGTAAGCCTCGGGATCAACTTCCGGTCCAAGTTGTTTGTTGATCACAACCTCGACTAACTTTGAGAGATGCCTGCTGCTGTTCTTATCAACCTCCAAAGATATTTCGAGGGGGTGCACAGGATGGGGAAAGTACACTGCGTAGTCCTCTGGTGGCTCGCTGTGAGAGGACATGATGCTGGTTTGGGAGAAGGGTCGATGTTCCAGCCAAACTCCAGGCTCCTGCCCATCCGTCTTCGGGAGGTAGGGGGCCCGTGTCGCTGAGCCGTACAATGTCAAGTCTCGCTGAACCACCCAATGTCAAGTCTCGCTGAACCACCCACACCTACTTACCAGTAAATCGAGCTCAAAATCTGCATTACATAAGTACATTACGTAAACCCACGCGCAAAATCAAACTCCCCAACCTTACCTCCCTCTACCTCCCTCTGCAGAGTACGCTTGACTCACGAACAAGTTCTATACCAGCATGCTCTAACGACTCTCAGGTAAGGCTTCCCTGTTACCCTGCATGCGCCGAATGCAGCCCGGAGCATACTCAATCGGCTGAACACGTCATATTTCTTCTCAATACAGGCTGCCCATAGACTGCGACTTGCATTCTCACACATGAGAAATTCGCTCCACTGGTATCAAGCATTCTCCTTCACGGCTTGCCATGCCGGGCGCGAGCTGATGTCCTTCCACCACCTATTGAGACGGGCGTCAGCCGCGAAGGGGTGTCTCCAGGTCTCAAGTCGTGGACTGCTATCGCATTCGACACCGTGGGACGCAGGGACTCACCGGGACACGTTTGGCCTCGACGAAGTGGTGAGCAGATCGTACCCCATGCTCCCCAGGGTGTTACCGAAAGGTAGGTGGAAAAGGTCCGCCAGTGTCACTTCCTGGAAAAGCTCGCACTGTGAGAGAGGCAAGGCGAGAGTCGGGAGCACACTCACGTCCCCGGCGAGGTATCGGTTCTTGGCCAGGAGGACCTCGTACGCGTCCAGCTTGCTGTTTAGCGTCTGCAGCAGGTCCGTGACGATCGCTTCGTCCGTCATGACCCCCGTATACCTTCAATCGCATCCCAGAGGCATACCCAGTTCACGACCCTTCCTACAGCTCCGAGGACGGGCGACACTCACCTCTTGAAAATCACCTCCCACGAGAGCGCGCCCATGTACACGTCGAAGTTGCTCATCTCCACGCTCACGGCCTGTTCAAACCGCGCGAACCGCTCCAGGTCGCCCGCGGGGGTGGGCATGAGCGCCTTGTGCTCGGGGCGCGCGTACTTGGCGACGAGGTAGCGCGCGATCGCGCGGCTCTCGAAGAGGACGAGGCCGTCGTCGTCGATGTACGGCACCTGCCCGAACGGCTGCTGGGCGAGGTACGGCGCGGCCTTGTGCGCCTCCGTGGTCATGTCGACCTTGACGAGCTCGTACGGGAGGCCGAGCTCCTTGAAGATGAGCGCGGCGCGGCGCGTCGCGTGCGACGGCGGGTAGCCGTACAGCTTGATCATCGTGCGGGGGCGCGCGTATCGGTGTGGATGGACGGGCAGCGGGCGGTGGGGTAGCGCGGACGCGGATCGAGGTTGGGAGCGAGGCGCGTTTGGGTTCGCAGGCCGTTCGGAGCGCGGGCGTATTTATCTCGCCCACGGACAGAGGGCGAGAAGCGTGCGTGCGCGTGAGCCCGGGGACCTGAAGTCAAGCATAAGGTTCAAGGGTGCGCCGCCACCGTCTCCCATGTCGAGTGATTGGGCATCGGCTCTCGCCGCGGCGCAGGGGGAGGGCGGATGACTGCACGCGCATGGGGAACTTACTACCTGCGAGGGCTGGCCGTGCCGGAAAAGGCGCCATGTCCGACGCGATGCGGAGAACACGGCCGTGGCTGGCGGGTGGCCCGCGGGTGGCGAAACTGTGATTATCCCCATCTCCCCATCTCGGTTCATGATCTGGAGCGTGCGTGCGTGTGCGTCGATGTCGGTGGTGTGAGAAGGACGGCGGATATGACTGCGGTTCTTTGGGTTAGCGTTCGCGCGCAGGTCGCCCGCATTGGGCGGATGCGCGAGCGAGACGTCAGTGATCATGGGTCGATACGCTGGGATGCGGGGCCCATGCCCACGTCAAGCAAACGCGGTGAGTCTACCAATGCAGCATGAACCCGTACCAGCCAACGGGAGCGACCACATAATATTGAGACTGCTTACTGACACCGACTTCAACAGACAGACAGCTCGGTTACCACATTATTTTGTATTGCGGTTCAGCGGGAGATAATCCGTAACGTCTAACGTGACATGAGTGGGAGAGCAGAGTCCACATAGTGTTCTACTGCGAATTTATGTGAGCATTGAGGGACGCGGTATGGTGCGATCAGCCGAGTGCCTGGTAAGTCTCGGGCCTCTACGCCTCCATCGCGAACAGTTTATATTGGTTTGTTGCGGTGTTTCCGTCTCTGCGAGCGGTGAGGATGAGGATGGGGCACAGGCCGCTCGTCAACGCCCCTCCATCGAATCACGTATGCAAGGTCGAGTGCAGCCTGGGCGAGTCAAGCGTCTGCGGACTGGCCAAGCGAGCCCCCGACGGCGTCCGTTACGTCCAGTGCGCTTTGCCATCTGGTTTGCCAATGAGCACGCGGGCTCTTGCGATCGCTCGTGTGCGTTCGGGCCATGTGGGATCCGGCTTTCGCTGGGATTGTCTTCTGAAGCCAGTGCGACGATGCAGGCAGGCCGGGCGGGCGGCGACGGCAGCCCAGTCGACAGGCCAGTGCGGGATTCGTGAGGAGTGCGAGCGCGCCCTCGATGCGCGCGCGTTGTCCCCCTCGACTGTCTGTCGACTGTACAAGCGAGCGTGATTGCGGACTTCACGACGTTGCGGAAGGACTCGCCGTTGTGCAAGTGCGGCTCCACCCCTTCAAGTTCAGCGCGCGCAGGCGACTCGCCGCCAGCTGGAACAGTATGATGATCTTCCAGTGCGGAGGTCGGCCGAGGCAAGATACGGATCCCACTGGGGGTGCCGCTGAAGACCAGGGGGCGCAGACATCCTGCACGGCAACCTGAGCTCCACCCGTGCAACGGCTCGGAAGGTGGGTAGTACGGCGCGCCCCCGACCCGCACTCGTCGTCTTTATCAATCGTCTGCCGACTGGCGGAGCGGGCGCCCCGCGGCGCGTCCGCAGCTGAGAACGCAGCTGGGAGTGGGTGGGGTGGGGGCGCGGGCGTGGTATAGATCTTGACTGGGTATGCCGTCCGGGCCCCAGACCGGGCGTGGCAGGATCTCCGAGTCGCGCTGCGGGTGTCCGGATCGCGGTACAGTCCAATGACGATCAAGGCTGGCGTCGCGCGGCGGGTGCATGGGCGACGACGCGCGGCGGAGTGCAGGTGCGGATGCCGACCAGCTGGGCGGTGTGCGAGTCCGGGTCGGGTGGGGCGCGCCGCTGGGGATGCCCTCGAGAACGCGCGCCTATCCGGTCCAGCAAACCGAATGGAAGGCCGGTTCGGCAGGTGTCGCGGCCCTGCGGGGGTCGCGGGAGGAGGCGAGGTCAGGGGGAGAGCGCGTGGGGTGTATGCGGGGGACTCGCTCGGACAGCAGACGGTGTCCTCAGTCGCCGCGCGATTTGCGGGGACCCGCGGAGCGTCATGCGATTGTTACCGGGCACTGCGAGGAGAGTAAGCGGGGAGCGGGGGGCGACATCCTGGGCGTACGACTCACAAGGAGGCGCTGACTGGGGTCGTCCAGAGCCAATAAGGCCAGGGCTGGAGATACCACGGTAAGCCATAGCCAGGGTGGAGGAGAGGACATGTTCGGGGGATGGGTTGTGCAGAGACTGTTGGCGAGACGGGGCCCTATTTATGCAGTGGAGATAGAGAATCGCAGCGGGGGCCAGTGGCTCAGGTCCAGGGGCGAGGGCTCCTGCCAGCGCACTGTTGCCACGGAGCCGGACCAAGCGGGGGACGGATTGAAGCGACGGGACAAAGCCGTGCACCTGGCGCATGATCGCAACTGGTTACTGGTGTCCGTGCGAGAGACCGAAGCGTTGTCCCCACTGTGCGTATGACGTGTCCCTGCGTCCAGTGCGCGGTAACGTCGTCCAGACAGGGGATGCACAGACGTTGTGGGTCCACGCGCCTCTGTCGCGAGTCTGGGGTCGACGCCGCGGCTGCGCCTTTCGAATCTCGATCGGATGAGTCAACGAGGACCATCGGGGCACTCTTTCTTGCCTGAAGACCTGAAGATGTCGATGAGGGACCGTGTTGGCTGCATTTCTAATGGCATGTTGCGAGCCGGACTTGGAAAGACGGACGCGGGAAGACAGTCACTGCGAGGAATGAGGACAGCCGTGGCGGCCACCGTGAGGCGGAGGACTGTAGTAGATGCTGTGTCATGTCGCCAGGCTTGCTGGACAGGTCGTTGCGGTACCAGTGGTCGGTGGGGTGTAAGTAGGCGGACGGTGATTGGACGGCGGGTGCTTCGGTGAATGCCGCTCTGTGTGGTCCTAGATCCTTACACAGATCTCGCCGATCACAGTTTGAATCTCAAATTCACGACCTCTCCTCTCCCAAGGGCGACCTCCGGCCCAGCGCCGACGTGTATACACCTGTACTTCTACAAACAAGCTACACATTGTACCAAACACCAGACAGCGCAATGGAAAGCATCCCCCAGTCGGACCACAACATCGACGACGAAGATGCATGGGACGACGACTCCGACGACGACATCGAGGCCGAAGCGGAGCAGATGGCCCGTCGGCTCCAGGACCAACTCAGAGCAGATATCGAGCGAGCGCAGCAGGAAGCGAGGGCCCAGACAACTGCCACCCAACAGGCGAGTCAAGCAGTGTCTGCCCTAGGACTCGCACCCGTACAACAGCCTGTTGCTGGCCCGTCTACCTTGACCTCAAGAAAACCACATAGCTCCGATGTCTTCCAGCAACTTGCACACGGAAACGCCCCTGGAACTGCCCGCGAGAGACGGAGCGCCGCCGCCATCCTCACCATGAAAGCCATCCTCGCCTCGGCCGAGAAGAACCCGCTGGTGCGCTCTACGCTCGCCGCATCCACTATACCCGGCGTGGAACACCACAACGTGCTAGACGTCTTCACCCAATGCATCTCCTGCAGACAAGTGACCAAGGCCGTCGCGCAGCACCTGAGCGAAGCCGTCATCGCGCTCGCAAAGTCCTCGCTGCTCTTCGCGTCCCTCCGCAACTCGGACGCGCCCGCCATCCAGCTCGACAAGGGCAAGCGCAGGTGGGACGCCGCGGACGGCCCCGGCGGCGCGCTCGACGACGCGCCTCCCCTCAAGCGCGCCGCGACGGAGCAGCCAGACCTGCGCCACCAGGTCTCCGAGGCGGCCGCGCTCATCACCGACGCGCTCGCCCCCCTCGCCGCGAGCCCGGCGCCCATCATCCACCCCCACCTCATCGCCTCCATCCACCTCCCGCTTCACCAAGCCTTCCTCTTCGCGTCCACGTCCGCCCCGCGCGCAGACGGCCCGCGCGCCGCCGCCCTCGAAGAGCTCGCGGGGCTCATCCAGATGCTCGGCGTGCTCAGCGGGGTCCCGATCGGCGCGCAGCCGTCCGAGTCCACCGCGCAGCCCGGGCTCGGGACGGCGGTGTACCCGTGCGCGACGTGCGCGAAGACGTTCGCGCGGCTCTTCTCGCTGAAGGCGCACCGGCGCGCGCACCTGCTCGGCGCGCGGCCGTTCCGGTGCGACGCGCCCGCGTGCGTCGCGAGCTTCGCGCGGAGCCACGACCTCAAGCGCCACGCGCGCCTGCACGAGCGCACCGCGTACAGGTGTCGCGGGTGCGCGAAGGTGTTCAGCCGCCGCGACGCGATCAAGCGCCACCAGGACAACCGCCGCGGCAGGGACGGCGGTGCGGGCGCGTACGGCGCGGAGAGCGCGTGTGCGTACGCGGAGGTCGAGGAGGTCGAGGTGGACCGCCCGGAGAGCGGGGAGGACGCGGTGCGCCGCGCGAAGATGTGGGACGGCATCGCGGCGGGCTCCGTGCAGGCGGGCGCGCCGCCGGTGTACGCAGACCAGGCGTCGGGCGCGGACGACGGCCCGGAGGAGGGCGAGGTGCACCCGGGCGTCCTGCTGGACGCGCAGGCGGCCGTGCTGCGGCTGCACCCGCTCCTGCACGCGTACGTGACGAAGGTGCTCGGGCACGCGCCGGTGCTGCAGAATCCGAGCCAGTTGTCGTTCGGGCAGCAGTCGGTGGGAGCCCAGGCGGCGTTTGCGCCCCCGCCGGCTGGCCAGCCGACGCTGGCGAGCATCATCGCGAACGCTAACGCGAACGTGGGCGGCGGCGGGCGTGCGGCGCCTGCGACGGAGGCGACCCACGCGGCGTCGTTGGCGCTCTCGAGCGCGCTCGCGCTGTCGGAAGAGCAGACACGACTGCTCGAGCAGGCGATCGCGCAGGCGGCGTTGGCGGCGCAGGCGCAAGCGGAGGCGGAGGCGGCGCAAGAGGAGGAAGATGAGGGCACGGGTGACGAAGAGGACGGTTGAGCGAGGGGCGTGCTCCATGACTTCCAGCTGGAGCTCCGTCGCCCACCCCCTTCGGCCTACCTCACTATCGACGAATTCATGGCCACCGCAAAGTTTGTCGAGCTCAGTGCCCGATTTTATCCAACAGAGAAAGAACGTCAAGATGTCATCCGGCCAGTTTTAAATCTATTGCTCGGTGAAGGCGCCTTGGACGAGAAGCCCTGTTCTACTGGATCGGTGACAGACAAGCCTGATGGTGGTCTGGCTGCTAAATGCGGCTTGTATACACCGCTAGATCAGCACTACAGCAGGATGCTGAAGCTCATCGTCGAGCTGAAAAATGGGATTGGTCTTGGAGACTGTTGCCCTACTGAACAGGCCGAGAAAGCCTACCAGCTAACCTGTATCGATTCAAAGGTGTGTCTTACCCGTTGCTCGGCAGTCCGTCGTGACTGCTCACTGCCTACCCTAGCTCGATGACCTGCGGCACTGTTCATGCATGCCCGCCTTCATCCTCGCCATTGCCGCGCCTCACATCTCCGTCTCCGGTGCCATCTTCGTCCACGGGGTCGCTATCTCGCAGCGCATCACGCCCTTGGTCAGCCTCGTCCTGCCTCTCCCGTGTCTCTGTACAACACCGAGCTTCGGGGCCAACGAGTTGGGATTTGTAACTGCGGGCACCCAACATGTGGCGGAGATCGCGCTTATATTGAAGAGTCTGCGGGAATCACTGGACGACCTGGGCATGTAGTACCGCGACATGCAGCGTCCTACCAGTCTACCTGGCCGCGACGAGCTCTCTCCCGCGCCGTGCTTCCTGTCGTACGAGGTGAACAACGATGCCGCTAGTCGCCGGGATGGGCAAGCAGGGCCGCCTTCCTCGTCTCGACCTCTTCCCAGTGGGCACGCTGAAACTTGAACTGAAAGGACGGTCAAGCTGAAATATCTCTCTCGAATCCCGGGCCGCTCTTCATCACAGAGGCAAATGGCGGTGGGGAAAACGGTACTCGATGCGTCGTCAAGTTCGTGCACCGGTACGGGAAGAAGGCGCACGAATTCATGTACGAGCGCGGTGTGGCCGCGCGGCTGATGTACTGCCAGAAGGAGGCCTCGGTCGGTGGCCTGTTCGTGGTCATCACGGAGTATATTGACGAAGTCGAGAACGCCAAAGCGTCACAAGACGGTATCACGAAGCTGCGGGATGCACTCGAGGGACTACGCGAAGCGCAATTGGTCTTCGGTGATCTTCGCCGCGTGAATATGCTGGTCGACTCGACCGGGCAGCCGCGGCTAATTGACTTCGACTGGAGCGGACCTGACGGCGACATGCGCTATCCTCACGATTTGAATCATGATATTCCCTGGCAGGAGGAGGCGCGACCTTGTGGGTTCATAACGAAGGAGCACTACATGGTCATGCTGGAGAAACTGGTGTCGGAGCTTGGGAAGTGAGGTTACAACGAGTAGCTTTCAAATTAGTCAAAATGCACATGAATATGTATGTCGTTAGATTGTGGAATGCGTCGAATGCTGTCCGGGACGATCTATGGACTACCAGCCAGACGCACAGGAGAGCACTAGAACGAGCGCGTCGCGCGTAGACTTGGCGTAGACACGTACCTACTACATCCACCTGATAGTTGATCCGTCACGGTCATATCCAACCCTCTTCCAGCCATCAGTACGCCAGTTCGTGAGTTTGGCTGAAACATCGACCCTTAGTCCCAAACCAGCATCATGTCCTCTCACAGCGAGCAACCAGACATATATGCAGTGTACTTTCCCCATCCTGTGCAGCCCGTCGAAACAGTGTTGGGGGTACCGGTTAACAACAACAGCAGCAACCTCTTATGGTTAGTCGAGACTGCGATCAATAAACCACTTGGACCGGAAGTTGATCCCGAAGTTTACACATTGTTCAAGGTGCGTATCCATCTTATATCAGTCACGCTTGTAGTGACCATATGTACTAGCCCCCTGGATTGTCGCTGGAACCCGGCGAGACGTTACTCGCTCGTAGCCGCCAATGGCTTCGCGAATACCACGATAGTCGGGATTTCAAAATCCGGCCAACCGCCAAAGTGAGGAACGCTTTCCCTGAAGGACCGAGTCAGGATGATGTCGTCGACATCCTCGTCGTCACACCAGAGAGTGAGTCATCTCTACTGAGTGTTGGACATCTGCCTCACCCATAGCGCAGCCCTTGAAAGTCTGGACGACGTGGGAGACCTTGCCTCTAATTACAGGAAGGTCATTCGAGGTACGTTGTAGTGTTCTTACGTCCCTGGGCTAGCCAATTACCTTGTTCATCAGAACGCGAGAAGGAGGCCAAGAACGTCCGCACATCGTTACCTAGGCCGTCGGAAGGAATTACTACACATGTGCAGAAGCTCTTCAACGAATGCGGCGACCGTTTTCATGCAGGACGACCACACGACAATTACGGTCCCCCAGTTGCCTTGTTCCACCCTACGTTGGGCCTGCTCGCATACCGCCTTCGCCATCTCGGCTCTGCGCTCCCCGAGGGCGAACCCAATTATCTAGAACTAGGAAAGGTCCACTCATTTATGGCACTAGCTTTGAATTGCTACGACTTCGGAGAAGACCGTATTCTGGCCATTGGGAGTCTCCTCGAAGATCTCCTTGCCTGCACACTCAGCTGGGACGTGCCCATCAGCGATATTCGCCCCAACATAGCCATGGGCGGCTCGAAGCCATTCGGCTTCGTGGAAGTCAAAAACGAGGATGGATTGCGAGGGGATGCCTTTCTGCAAGCAAGCCTTGATTACGCCAGGGTGGTGACAGATGATAAAAACGAGGTTTGACCGCCAATCCGTGTGTGCACCGTGATGGCATGCTGACGAGGCACTCTGTAGCTGATACGGCAGCGACGACGTCGGTCCAACTACCCAGTCATCCTGATCAGCATCAGGGGCGATCTGCTCGAGATCGGGGTCGCCGTGTATACCGATGGACCCTACATTGACCGCCTCTTCTCCGAGCGGTTGCGTCTGGACTTCTACAGGAACGATAACGTACTCCGTGTCGCACGAGCCTTCAAAACTATTCAGCTTGCCACTAGCGAGCTTACCGAATTCTACGCGCGACTCGACGCTGCACCTCCCTCCAGCAGCATCGCACATCTGTTTCCGTCACCCGTCCCGGTCCCCTCCTGCAAGGACAGCATGCCGTCCTTGACCTTCACGAATCGGATGTCTCGCGCCGGGGAGCTCTATCTTATGGCGAGGTCATCAGATCAGCGGTGTTCGGCCATTTACCTCGCCACCATGCCCAAATCGACTGGAGCTGGTGACACTCCGGACGGCGAAGTCGAGGTCATCGTCAAGTTCACCGCAAGGTACAATGCTGAGGCACACCGCATCCTCGCCGCCGCTGGACTGGCGCCTACTCTGCACGCCATTATCCCCGTCTGTGATCGCATCTTCATGGTCGTCATGGGTCGGGTCGAAGGCGAGATGGCGTGGTCGTTCGAGCAGAGAAACGAACTCCTCCCGCACAGTGTCTACGCCGACGTCAAGACCGCCGTCGACCTGCTCCACGAACACGACCTCGTGTTTGGCGATCTCCGGACTCCCAACATCATGTGTGTTCGCAGGTCCGGTAGTGCTGGGTATGACGAACACTGGAATGCCATGCTGATTGACTTTGACTGGGCCGGGACTCACGGCAGTGCATCATACCCAGCAATCATGAACGACCAGCTATCGGATTGGATCCCCACCATGCGGCGACTAGGATTGATGCGGAAGGAGCACGATCTCGGCATGCTTGAACGGTTCAAATTACTGTGCCAACCGACCGCTGCATGATCGTTTTCACTGGAATGCATTCGGTGTGGGGCATAGGCCACTTGTGAATGGAGATGGTTTCACAAATTCTCTACATGGCCGGCTGTTACCCATCTTTCCGCCCCGCGTCTAGTCGTCTTGCCCGACGCCTGTATCTGCGAGACTACACGCGCAGGAAAGCAAGAGTACCGGCGCCCCGAGCCGGGCGTGTTTGAATCGATGAGACGCAATGCAGCATTCCTCGTGTGCGGAGAGAACTTGGGCGCACCGTATGAGCGCAGATCCACTATCTGTCGCGAGCCAGGAGGATAACACAACAGACGTGTAGGGTTCCTGGGGCCCCTGCACCGAACAGCACACCATTGCTCCCAGGGGAAAACAGCTGGGGGGAGTGGGCGACGCAAGGCTGGATTTTACATGTCTGAGGAGGATCGCTCGCGGGCGCTTGAGGGATGGAGATGCCGTCAGAAACAAACGACGCAGGTGTTGCATCAGTGCATCAGTGCTCGCGCTCAGTCGCCGCGCCATCACATGTCCCATGCTCTGTGTTGATCGATATCTCTTACCAGTGAATGGGCGGAACCGAGCAGGTTCGAGCCACGTCTGGTGGCCGTGTTGCGAGTTGCAGCGATGCACTCGAGCGTGTATCCAACAAGAGAAAGATGCTATAGATGTATTAGAGAGCACAACAAACACGACAATCAACGTTCAACACCGAAAACACCACCTTCAACCAAAGTGGATCGGCTTCGACGACGCGGACATCGCCGCCTCCTTGAACGCCTCGCTGAGGGTCGGGTGCGCGTGGCACGTCCTCGCGACGTCCTCCGAGCTCGCGCCGTACTCGAGCGCGAGCGTCGCCTCCGCGATCATCTCGCCCGCGTTCGGGCCGACGATATGCACGCCCAGGATGCGGTCCGTCTCCTTCTCCGTGAGGAACTTCACCTGCCCCTCCGTGTCCGCGTTCGTCTTCGCGCGCGAGTTCGCCTGGAACGGGAACTTGCCGACCTTGTACTGCACCCCCGCCTTCTTCAACTCCTGCTCCGTCTTCCCGACCCACGCGACCTCCGGGTGCGTGTACACGACGCTCGGGATCGCGTGGTAGTTGACGTGCCCGTGCCCCGTCTTGATGTACTCCACCGCCGCGATGCCCTCCTCCTCGGCCTTGTGCGCGAGCATGGGCCCGAAGGTGACGTCTCCGATGCACTTCACGCCCGCGACGGACGTGTTGTACTGGTCGTCGATCACGATGCGCCCGCGCGGGTCCACCTCCACGCCGATCTTGTCGAGTCCGAGGCTGGCCGTCACGGGGACACGCCCGACAGAGACGAGCACGACGTCCGCGTCAACCTGGGCAGCAGTTGAGCACAATAAATGAAGGGTGAAGCGGAAGACTTACGGTCGCCTCTTGGCCGCCCTTGGCGCCCTCGGTCTGGATGTAGACCTTGCCGTCGCGCTTCTCAGCAGACGTGACTTTAGTGTTCAGCATGAACTTGATGCCCTGCTTCGCGAGGATGCGCTGGAATTGCTTGCTGTATGACCGGTGAGACAAAATATCGGAAGGAGACACGAAGGACAACGCACGCAATCTCCTCGTCGATGCCGGCACCACCGATACCACCCAGGAATTCAACGACGGTGACCTCAGCACCAAGTCGACTCCAGACGCTCCCAAGCTCGAGACCGATCACACCGCCGCCAATGACAACCAGCTTCTTCGGCACCTCCTTGAGGGAGAGGGCGCCGGTTGACGAGACGATCTGCTCCTCGTCAATCTCGATGTTGCCACCGGGGAAAGGTGCGACGTCCGAGCCGGTAGCGATGATGACGTTCTTTGCATCAATCTCGGTCTCGCCGCCGTCGTTCAGCTGGACACTGATCTTGTTGGGTGAGATGAAGGATGCGGAGCCCTTCACCCAGTCAACCTTGTTCATCTTGAAGAGCGTCTCGATACCACGGGTCAGCGAAAAGACGGCGTCCTCCTTCGCCTTGAGCATGACCGGGAGGTTTAACGATACACCGGACACTATGCGTACAGTGAGTTGGCGGAGTAGGATGCAGTGCAGGATGTGCGTACCATCTATACCACGCCGTTGAATGTCGTGTTGCGTTTGGTGGTAAATGTGCGAGTTGTTGAGCATGGCCTTTGACGGGATGCAGCCGACGTTGAGACATGTGCCGCCGAGTGTCTCGCGCTTTTCGATGCATGCCGTCTGAAAAGGGCATAAATTCAACATGCACGATATGAGCATGCCTCTGCTTACCTTCAGACCGAGTTGTGCAGCCTTGATAGCTGCGACGTAGCCACCGGGACCTGCCACGCCAACGACGTGAGCGCGGAGCAGCTATCACTGAGCCACGCAACTCACCTGAGCCGATGACGACGCAATCATAGGGTTCCGCTGGAGTTGCGAGGCCTCGCGAAGAATTCCAGCGACCGACCTGGAGCGCGGATGCGGTCCGAGGTACACGTCGAGTTACGACCTGATTTGCACGTACGTTTGTCAGCGGTCGGGCGAGGTTACGCGAGAGCAGCAGCGTACTCGTCTAGAGGCCTGCAACATGGTTGGAAAAAAGGGGGAGTGCGACGCAAGCGTCGAGGAAGAGGAGGTGGGAGTCGGGGGGAGAGTTGCACGATGAGCTCAGCGGAACGGGCACGGTCGGACAAACGGCCGACACCTTCCTTTTTCGTTCATAGCGTCACCTTCCTTATTCGTAATTCCATACTATATCGGGCCGGGATCTCGGCCACCTTAGCACTCGATGACCCTTCCTCGCTGTATATGCACAGATATGCACTGTATGTACCTCAGGGTGTGTGTGAAGCAATGCTAAAATATCCACAGAACACAGGCAAAACGTTAGAACAGTTTAGACTCACTGAGTAGAGCACAGTGCACGATTTTGCGGTCGGGAGTAGGGTGAGCCCGTCCGACTAGGTCGGTCACACCACTAGGAACAGTTCCATACAATGCCCACACCCACCTGCCTATGTAGATGCTCAAAAGTATAGTCGCTATGGACGACGCGTCACGCTGCAGACCAAAAACGTGAGTATCTCCTTTTGGTCAGCAAAGGAGACTAGTAATCCCATGCCTTGTCGCTTCACAGTGGGCCCGCAGCCACCGTGATACGCAGAAATCACCGGCACCCCATCGCGGGCGATGCACTCTCCGAATATCCTGAGTAATATGGGACGAAAGAGAGATGGCATGACGGGACCTGAGCAGCACGATAGGGTTAGCTGTCGGGTTAGGGTTGCGCGATCGCTCGTGCTCGCCACCGCACCTGGGCCAAAGCTCTGCGGACGGTCCGCACCAAGACCCTACGTACCGCTCTGCTGGCCCTCCAGTCCCCCAGAAGAGCATCTGCGCACCAGCCTCACCGCCACCATGGTAAGCCGCCCTGCTCGACTACAGACGAGGCATGAACACAGACAGCACAGAACGGCGACAAGCTCGAGGAGCTCGTCCTCTCCGGCAAGCTCTTCAACCCGCCCTCCCGCTCCTCCTCCCCCGTCCGCTCCCGCTCCCCGTCCCCCGCCCAGTGGCCCACCGACGGCCACGACTACGACTACGACTCCGACGCCGACCGGCGCCGCGCGCTCGCCTCGCGCGCCGCGGAGCACGAGTCCATCGGCATGGGCCCCGGGCGCACCGGCGTGAAGGGCGTCATCCGCGACCACGCCGAGGCCGCAGCCCTCGCGCGCTCGCGGCGCACGGAGGAGATCCGCGCGCTGAACCGAGCGATGGAGGGCGCGAGCCTCGGCGGGCAGACGTGGGCGGAGGAGGAGCGCGCGCGCGCCGCGGAGCTCGCGCGCCTCGAGGGCAAGGCGGGCGCCGTCGTCGACGGCCGCCCGCGCGCGGGCAGGTTCGGGCACCTCATGGAGGTCGGCGTGCGCAGCTTCGACCGCGCGCTCGACGAGGACCGCAACACGTGGGTCCTCGTCCACATCTACGACCCGGTGCGCCTTCTTCCTGCCCCTTCGGAAACGAGTGCTGACCCGGCTGCCCTAGAGTCTTGACCGCTGCGCCACCCTCGACGAGACCCTCTCGCGCCTCGCGCGCGCACACCCCTCCACGAAGTTCCTCCACGCGCGCGCGGGCGCGATCGGCTTCGCCACCGCACGCCCCACCACGTCTCCGCGCGCCACGCACCTCGCGCCCTTCCCCATCACCCGGCGGCCCTCGCGCCAGATCCTCGTCCCCGGGCGATATTCCAGCCACAACGACGACGACGAAGACGACCCATACGGCGACGAGAACGACAGCGACGGGGACGGCGACGCCGGGTGGGACGACGACAATGTCGACACGGACGTCCTGCCGACGCTCCTGGTGTACCGCGGCGGCGCGCTCGAGCATACGTGGGTGCGGGTGGACTGGGAGGCGAAGACGGGCGTGGAGGATCTGTTGCGGAGGTGTGTCGCGTTATCCGCCCTTCTCGGTAGTTGCTCACACTGCGGCGTGCATAGGCATAACATCCTGCAGGGTGCGGAGCGCAGGCCGCCCTCCGACGAAGAGGACTTTGACGATGGCGACTTGGTGTTCGGAGGCAGCGACGATGACGCGTGAACGGACGTGCATCCATCGCGTTAGCCGGGATGCTCGACGGACATGAGAAGTGCGAATAGAATAGACGCTGCTGCATCTACCTCACCGGACCCGCAGGGCCGTGCGTCCATGAATCATACACTGAGGTTCTTGCCACATGTATTCACGATCAAACTGTGCTGCTTCAGGCCCGAGTTCCCATCAGGTAGACCCAGGTACGCAACGAGCCGTCCTCCAGCGAAAATGCAAAATTCCCATATAGTGCACTAGACCAAACTAGTGCTGACTGCATATACCTCATCGGGTGACCCGCAGGATCGTGCGTTCATGTATCATACACTGAGTCTTGCCCGTTTTGAACTGTGCAGTCTCGCGCCCGAGTTCGCACCAGGTAAAATCAGGTGTGCAACACGCGGTCCCCCGGCGAAAGTGTAAAAATCCTAGATAAGTATACACGCCCCTCGCTCAACCATCCTCCTCGTCCTCCTCGTCACCCGTGCCCTCATCCTCCTCCTCGAGCGCCGCCTCCGCCTCCGCTTGCGCCTGCGCCGCCAACGCCGCCTGCGCGATCGCCTGCTCGAGCAGCCGCGTCTGCTCCTCCGACAGCGCGAGCGCGCTCGAGAGCGCCGACGACGCCGCATGCCCCTCGCCCGCCTCCGCGATGATGCTCGCGAGCGTCGGCTCGTGAGCCGGCGGGGGCGCCGCCGCGGATGGTTGCCCAAACGACAGCTGGACAGGCTTCTGTAGCACCGGCGCGTGTCCGAGCACCCTCGTCACGTAGTCATGCAGGAGCGGGTGCAGGCCCAGCACGGCCGCCTGCGCGGCCAGCACGACGCTCGGGTGCACCTCGCCCTCCTCCGGGACGTCGTCCCCGCCCGCGTCCCCGCGCGACGCCTGGCCCGCATACACCGGCGGGGGCACGCCCGCCTGCACGGAGCCCGCCGCGATGCCGTCCCACATCTTCGCGCGGCGCACCGCGTCCTCCCCGCTCTCCGGGCGGTCCACCTCGACCTCCTCGACCTCCGCGTACGCACACGCGCTCTCCGCGCCGTACGCGCCCGCACCGCCGTCCCTGCCGCGGCGGTTGTCCTGGTGGCGCTTGATCGCGTCGCGGCGACTGAACACCTTCGCGCACCCGCGGCACCTGTACGCGGTGCGCTCGTGCAGGCGCGCGTGCCGCTTGAGGTCGTGGCTCCGCGCGAAGCTCGCGACGCACGCGGGCGCGTCGCACCGGAACGGCCGCGCGCCGAGCAGGTGCGCGCGCCGGTGCGCCTTCAGCGAGAAGAGCCGCGCGAACGTCTTCGCGCACGTCGCGCACGGGTACACCGCCGTCCCGAGCCCGGGCTGCGCGGTGGACTCGGACGGCTGCGCGCCGATCGGGACCCCGCTGAGCACGCCGAGCATCTGGATGAGCCCCGCGAGCTCTTCGAGGGCGGCGGCGCGCGGGCCGTCTGCGCGCGGGGCGGACGTGGACGCGAAGAGGAAGGCTTGGTGAAGCGGGAGGTGGATGGAGGCGATGAGGTGGGGGTGGATGATGGGCGCCGGGCTCGCGGCGAGGGGGGCGAGCGCGTCGGTGATGAGCGCGGCCGCCTCGGAGACCTGGTGGCGCAGGTCTGGCTGCTCCGTCGCGGTCGCGGCGCGCTTGGGGGGCGGCCCCTGGGGCGCGTCGTCGGGGCCGTCCGCGGAGTCCCACCTGCGCTTGCCCTTGTCGAGCTGGATGGCGGGCGCGTCCGAGTTGCGGAGGGACGCGAAGAGCAGCGAGGACTGTGCGAGCGCGATGACGGCCTCGCGCAGGTGCCTCGCGACGGCCTTGGTCACTTGTCTGCAGGAGATGCATTGGGTGAAGATGTCTAGCACGTTGTGGTGGTCCCCGCCGGGTATAGTGGATGCGGCGAGCGTAGAGCGCACCAGCGGGTTCTTCTCGGCCGAGGCGAGGATGGCTTTCATGGTGAGGATGGCGGCGGCGCTCCGTCTCTCGCGGGCAGTTCCAGGGTCGTTTCCGTGTGCAAGTTGCTCAGAGCTATATGTGTTTCTTAAGGTAGACGGGCCAGCAACAGGTTGTTGTGTCGAAGATGGTGCGGGTGCGAGTCCTAGAGCAGACACTGTTTGACTCGCCTGTTGGGTGGCAGTTGTCTGGGCCCTCGCCTCCTGCTGCGCTCGCTCGATATCTGCTCTGAGTTGGTCCTGGAGCCGACGGGCCATCTGCTCCGCTTCGGCCTCGATGTCGTCCTCGGAGTCGTCGTCCCATGCATCTTCGTCGTCGATGTTGTGGTCCGACTGGGGGATGCTTTCCATTGCGGCGGGTTGCCTGCCTGTCTGGTAGTTGGTACAATGTGTGGCTCGTTTTGTACAAGTACAGGTGTATACACGTCGGCACTGGGCCGGGGTCGCCTTTGGCAGAGGAGAGGTCGTGAATTTGAGATTCAAACTGTGATCGGCGAGATCTGTGTAAGGATCTACGACCACACAGAGCGTCATTCACCGGCACCCGCCGTCTAATCACCGTCCGCCTACTTACACCCCACCGACCACTAGTACCGCAACGACCTGTCCAGCAAGCCTGGCGACATGACACAGCATCTACTACAGTCCTCCGCCTCACGGTGGCCGCCACGGCTGTCCTCATTAATTCATTGCTCGAACCGGATTTTGAGATCCCGATTAGAGTCGTGGTATTCGCGAAGCCATTGGCGGCTACTAGCAGTACGATCGAGTAACGTCTCGCCGGGTTCCAGCGACAATCCAGGGGGCTAGTATGTACGGTTGCCCGATAGTGGGGATTCTACTAGCGCGTACGCGGTAACAAAGGCCGCGGAACACGACGAAGTACGCCGTTGCGCTCGCCGGGAACGAGGGCTTCACCGTCGTGACCGTGGGCCCGGGCTTCGTGGACGTTTCCAGCACCCAGACCGAGCCGCGTACGTCGTCCCTCCTTGCCCTTGTGAGAGAATTTGGTGCTGACCGGCCAGCTTGGGCGTTGCAGCGTCGGAAGCGAACGCTGCGAAGTTTAACGTCTTCGCGGAGAAGCACTGGGTGGCTTTTGCGAGGCTGCACGCGCTGATCACGCCTCAGCAGGCTGTGGAGCGGCTCCTGGGCTGACATCGAGAAGATCGGGCCTGCTGAGTCTGGTACTTTCAGACCACATCCGGAGTTGGACATGAACAATCTGTACAGGAACGCTGGAGATTGCAGTAGCAGGACCATTTCCCGCCTGTGTAGGATCAAGTATGTTATACAATGTACTTACACGAGTTTCAACCGCCTGTGGGGAGACGGTTGCAGAGATCATTGGAGCCCGTCAAAGTGTGAGCCATCCTCAGTGTGGTTCAGACTACGAGGCCCGGCCAGACGTCAGTCCCATACGGCGCGGAAGCTCGCTGCGTCCTCGGGTCCCAGTGCGTCGACGATCTCCAGCACCTTCTTTACCGACTGCTCCGGCGTGAGTGCCTTGTCAGGGTAGTTCGGTATCTGCTTCCGGACGCGGTCCATAACGCGCTTGAGGTCCGCGAGCTCCGCCGCACTCGCTACGTTGCCAGCCACTCGAGTCAGCGACGATATCTCGACACTCCAAAGGCGGCTCACGCGGAGAAGGCGCCGTGCGCGAGACGTCGACGTTCCCGGGGCTGATCGCGGCGACGACGAAGCCCTCGTCCGCGAGCTCCGCGGCGTACTTGGTCATGACCATGTTCTCCGCGCACTTCGTGACGCCGTACGCGGCGGTCCCGATCAGGCGGGTCTTCCACACAACGTCGCGCTCGCCCCCGCCCGTACTGATGACGATGATCTTCTTCGCCACGCCTGCTCGGAGCAGGGGCAGGAATGCGTCGACGGAGTGGACCGCGCCGAGGGTGTTGACTTTGAACTGGCCGTGTGTGAGTGCAATGGAGGCAGTGCGCAGGGGGGACGTACCGCTTCGATGAATTCCGCGTCCAAGGCGTCCATGCTCTCGCTGCAAGGCCGATCATCAGCATACATTCATACATTGAAAGCCCACAATAATGGACGTACTACTCGGTCAGCGTACGAGACAAATTCCCACCCGCGTAGTCCATCTTCGCTGCGTTGTGGATGAGCACGTCGAGTGAGCCGCCCGTAGCCTGCGCGACTTGCTCCGCCGCAGCCTGTCTATCCATTGGTACTTCATGCCGCCGCAACGATGCATGAGAACTGACCTTTAGCGAGCGATGGTCCACAACGTCCGCTTGGAGGACCACGACGTTCTCTGCCGGTGCCTCCTTCGCGACTTTGGCCAAGTGCACTGATCTCTCTGTGTCCCGCGCAGTAGCGAAGACGGTGTTCTGCGGATCCGCCGCCTGCAGAGCTCCTCAGTAAAGAGTCGACCAGGTATAGCGGCACATACCAGCTGGCGAACGATCTCCAGGCCGACTCCGCGGGAACCACCAACAACAGCGTAGGTAGGCATTCTTGGGACGGGGGACGAAGAGTTGCTGCGATGGTCAGAACGTCATACACTTTTATAGGAACGCTCCAGTCTGTATACTAGTTGGCGTGCCGGTGGGGCGCGACGTCTCGGAAGCCGAGGTGGGCAGATGTAGGCGCAGCGCAAGCCTTGTCATTATGTCGCATCATCGGACAGATGTGGGGCCTTGACAGCCTGAGAACATTAACATATATGGAGATGCGGCAGCAGTGAGTCGCGACAATAGCGACGAGGCGGCCAGCGATGGTCACGGTAGCCTGCAGAGGGCTGCCCGAGGCGAGCCGTCGGGCGCAGCGATGCGTTCTATCGAGATCCGCCGGGCCGGGGCCGGTCAGCGCGCCACATCCGAGTCCGCGCACAACGCGTACATCCGAGTCCGGACCCGCTGGGGTCTTCTCACACCTACAACCGTTGAACGTTGTGTTAAGCCTGTTGTCTCCTGTCCACGATTACGTTCTCTTCTCCGCTAAAGTGGTAGCCACCGTACATCGATCAATGCTACGTCGCGTATACTTCCTTCTATGCACTGGGATACGATGACCGGCGTGGCGGATATGACGGTCACGTGTGAAGCGAGGCGTACCAGCAGCCCGCCTCATTATTACTGAGTGAGCTTGGATGGTCAGTTGCAAGAGAGCGAGAGGGGAATGATTGGCGGTGTGGGGCGCAGCCCGCAGGGCTGCCCGACTCGAAGAGTGTGCCTGGACCTGAGGGGCAACGGGTGAGCCGCGAGGGCGGGCGGGTTGATACCGCAGCCCTGCGCTCCCATTGCCACTGCTGGGCCGCAGGGTAGACACGTCGAGCCAAAAACAAAACAAAACAAAGACAAAAACAAAACAAAGATATAAAGAAAAAACACACATTGGGTTTTTGGCGGCGTGTGCTGCGTGAAGAGGGTGTGGAGGGTGGGGAAAACGAGAGCTATTCGAAGGGCGTAGCAGCCGCGGAGCCTTCGAGAGCGGTCGTCCGAGTGGGCGCGCAGAGGAGAGCGATGCGCGCCTAAATCTCCTCCTGCATGCGTAGATGGTATTCTAAGCGAAGCGAGGCACGAGCGTCGCGTAGAAGTGAGTCTACGCATGCAGGAGGAGATTTAGGCGCGCATCGCTCTCCTCTGCGCGCCCACTCGGACGACCGCTCTCGAAGGCTCCGCGGCTGCTACGCCCTTCGAATAGCTCTCGTTTTCTTCCACTAAGACTACACCACTTGTAGCTTACAGGAAGGGGACTATGGTACAACCTTCGCTCATCAATCCCGATGGCGACGAAGAGCCGGATTATGTGAGCAACGACCAAATGATTGTACCACTCACAAATGCGTGGAGGATGGTCAACACAGAGTCGTAGTCTCTGTCTCGCAAGCTCGTCCGACATGAGCATCCAGCTGAGCGAGCAGCGGTTGCCATTGTGGACTGTCCGACTCCGAGTCCTTCGACCGCCGCCCAGTGCTCCGTCACCAGCGCTCTCGCTCACTGGTCGCCGGGCGGGACCAACCCGCTGAGTTTCTTTCATGCTGCACGCAACACGCTTACACTGGCGCGCGTCGGCACGAGCATCGCTAGCTCGTGTCATGCACACGCGAGTCAGGCTGGAGGCAACATGCTTACACTGGACGCAGTATGCTTCACTGGCTCGTGTCAGCACGAGCTCATAGCCAGCGAGTGTCACACACGAGTCAGGCTGGACGCAGCAGGCTTATACTGGCTCGCGTCAGCACGAGCTCATAGCCAGCGAGTGTCACACCGGGTCAGGCTGGACGCAGTATGCTTACACCGGCTCGTGTCAGCACGAGCTCATGGCCAGCGAGTGTCACACACGGGTCGGGCTGGACGCAGCACGCTTACACTGGCTCGTGTCGGCACGAGCATAACACGCTCGTGTCATTCACTGCACACGAGTCAGGAGCATGCAGCAGCAGCACGCTTACACTGGCACTGGCTCGTGTCGGCACGAGCGTAACGAACTTGTGTCATCCACTGCACACGAGTCAGGCTGGACACACCGGGTTCGATGAGCACGACACGGCACTGCTCCTCCTAGGGTCAGCGGAGCGATGTTTGCTTCGCGGCGCCCATCCGGCGGGACTCTGCGAACCGGTTGATCAGCAATACGGGTCATTGGCGTCATCAGTGTTGGACACTGGCTCACAGAGCATGTACGACGAGGCTCGTCGGCTTCTGGACTGGGGGTAACGGCTTCGCCGCAACGCGTCGCCGTACTCGACGTCTTCATATTGGGTATCGCGGCTCACCCGTTGCCCCTCAGGTCCAGGCACACTCTTCGAGTCGGGCAGCCCTGCGGGCTGCGCCCCACACCGCCAATCATTCCCCTCTCGCTCTCTTGCAACTGACCATCCAAGCTCACTCAGTAATAATGAGGCGGGCTGCTGGTACGCCTCGCTTCACACGTGACCGTCATATCCGCCACGCCGGTCATCGTATCCCAGTGCATAGACTCACTTCTACGCGACGCTCGTGCCTCGCTTCGCTTAGAATACCAATACTTATCAGGAAAACTTATACCCTAACTTCACTTGCTGGGAGAATCATCGCGTCACGTAATAACGGGCCTAGACACAACATCTTGATTGCAACAAGGAAGTACATATGCATGAAGAGGCGAGGAAATTCTGAAGGTATCGAGCATGCGCATTGCGTCGTGCAGAGATGCTATATGAGAGCACGTGATCGTGTCCCATCCACGATGCATAAATTCATCAGCCTCCGAGCCTCTCAGACTCTGCCAAGTACTGCCAGTGGTAAGTTTGCCTGAGTCCGCGCAGCATCAAGACTGCGTGCACCTGCTCGGACCTGGGCTGTTGTCGAAGTCGTAATTATTACCGCCTGCCAGCCATGTCATACGCACGCCGCCGCATAACCTTCGCAGGTCTTTAGGGTGCCGCAGCGCTCCATTGACGTCTGCGCAACAGATTGGATGATTGCGCCAATGGATGGTCAATCGCATAGTGTACGTCTCATGAATTGGCCGATCTCTTTTCTCCCTATCGACGTGTTGCCATGCTACAGCCCGCAGGAGACTCTAATGCCAGGCTTCGCCTCGAAGATCTCGCACGACCATACGGATGTCGACGTCCTCAATTCCTCGTCGGAGAAAACGGAAGCAGAAGCAATGCGCGATAAACCATCTGATTCGACGACTGTCACCCGGAGGACTTTCTATGCATCTGACAAGAAGGCCGTCTGCGAGATGTATGTGGCACATCCTGGCATAACGCATCAACGAGTTGCGGATCGGTTCGGAATCAGTAAATCCATGGTCACTCGCATCCTGAAGGACCGAGACGAATGGTTCATGTCCAAGCATGCAGACGGTTCGCGGTTCGCGCGAAAAGGGTGCGGTTGTTCGTGTTGTTGAGCCATCGGCCTCGCTAAATATCTTGCACAGACTGCGTAAATTTTGGTTAATCGAGAATCACTTGAAGCCTTGGTTGATGGGATGTAGGGAAGATCACACCATTCTCAGCGACAAAATGATCAGGGAGCAGGCCATACTGATGGCAGAAAAACTGGGTATGAGAGGGGAAGGCTGCATATATCAGTTCCGCTGCGGACGAACGTGGCTGCGCCAGTTCAAAGAACGATTTGGTATCGTCGACGGCGTGGCTACGCGCCTCGGCTACACGGAGACTGATCTGGCAAGGGAGAAGGCATTCGGTTCCTTCCCCCTCGACATGTGGATTTGGCTCCAGCTGCCAGACGAACATGGGAACTATCCGCAGCGCCCCCCTCGTTGCAAGAGTGAATTCGACGATATGGACTTCGAGATTATCGGCGATTTCGTAGCATATACGCCGCGTGCAGGATCCAGGCCCGCGGAGAGGAGTTTCCTCCAACCCACCGAATCGACGTCACACGAACCGGTCGTAGCGAACTCGTCGCCTCCATACAGCTCACCCGATGCGCCTGCCATGCCATTTCTGTTCCAAGCACCCATCTTGTCTTTCGATACCTCTACAACGTACTTTGCCGGATATGGCGATGATCTCGCTGTAGAGAGCGTTGATCGGTCGCCCCAGAACGATTCGATCCTCGCACCTTTGCTCGGTGAATCGTATGTTCATAACGTATTCCAAGACCCTCTCATGGATGGTGATTTCATGGGAATGGGAGGCATAGGGTCCTAGTTGCTTAGGCGGTATGTGCGACACGAGTATTGAAGTGACTCATACTGACAAGATCGCATGTGCAGACATCTTTGCACCGCTGCCAGTGTCCATCAAGACTGACTATCAAAACCTTGGTGACCGCGTGGTGAAGCTACAGACATATATGTATCTCCCGTCGTCTTGTTTTGCTTATTTCTTTAGCTGCTCGATTCGTTCTCGTGCTCTACGATGCCCCTAGCTCTTCATTTCAAACTTGATTTCGGTGGTCTCATGTTCGCATCGCACTCAGCACGTTTCGATACGCTCGTCTGTCCCCCCTGTGCCCATGTTTTCTAGCTAGCTCTCGGTATCGCGCTCTATCATGTTCTTTACACGTCGAGATCCTTGTTTTGTTCGCATAAATGGTCCGGCCGTTCTCGCGTTCCCAAGACCCCATTTCTCTTTGACCATGTCCACTACCATGCCTTCGACCTCCTCCAATACGCCTTTCTGTACTTTCACATATCTTCCCTTTCGTTCCTGCACATTGCGCTGTACTAGTGTACCATGATGTACCTTGTATCAGTGTATCGATGTGGTGCGCATCGCTCTACATACCGTTTGCCATGATGCATATAGGTTTCACGGTCGTAGCCGTGAGCCAGAACTGAGTGGGTGTTTCTGGCACACACAGTGAGCCGCATACGTTGACCCGCATCCGTTTGAAAGAATTGGTGCCGACTAACCCTGGGTTCGACACTGTGCGGCTGATCCGGAGGCACGCACGCTGCTTGCGCCCCAAGCGGCTCTGGAGTGATTCCTTCGTGACATCGATTACAAGAAGTTGCATTGTTAGGTCGATCTCCCGCGTGTGCAGTAAGAGTGAGACTGTCGTACTAATCACTCCGCTCGAATTTCAACCGGCTGCGAGAGCCCATCACCAAGATAACCGCAAAGGTGAGCCGCCGTCAATATATTCCGAGCACGAGGACTAACCCCACGTCAACCCCTCACAGAGTGAAAGGTCCCAGCGAGTCTACAATTTCCAGCACCTTTCTGACCGATTGCTCCGGCGAAAGTAGCGTGCCAGAGTAACTGGGAACGTTCTTCCGCATAGTGTCCACAACCCGCTTGAGGTCAGTAGACTCCTCCGCGCTCGCTAGATGATCGACGCATGAGTGAGGCACATCGACATCCGTTTCGGAACCCACACGGCAAACTCACTCGGAGAAGTGGCAGTGCCAAACACATCCACGGTCCCGGGGCTGATAAGTAGCGGCGACGACAAAGCCCTCGTCCACCAGCTCGGCGGCGTACTTAGTCATGACCATGTTCTCCGCACATTTCGTGACAGCGTACGCAGCGAGCGCAGTCAAGCGGGTCTTCCACACGATGTCGCGCTCGCCCCCTCCCGAGCTGATAATTATGATCTTCTTCGTCGCGCCCTGCCGGAGGAGCGGGAGGAAGGAGTCCACGGAATGAATTGCACCAAGGGTGTTGACTTTGAACTGATACGCACGGGTCAGCATCCCGCCGGTAGGCTCTACCGTTATGGGAACATACGGCTTCGATGAACTCGGCATCCAGAGCGTCCATGCTCTCGCTTCTAGGTGCGATCGTCAGCACCCATCACCCGTGACAGAAAGCGACGTACTACTCGGTCAGCGCGCGATACAGATTGCCATTCGCGTACTCCATCTTCGTTGCGTTATGACTCAGAACATCGAGAGAGCTGCCTGTGGCCTCCGCGATTTGCTCCGCCGCAGCCTGCCTATGGTTAACCCCTTGGTCTGTTGCAATGTGCACAGCGAACCGACATTCAGCGAGCGGTGATCCACGACATCCGCTTTGAGGATCACGACGTTCTTTGTGGGAGCCTCCTCTGCGACTTTGGCCAAGTGCACAGACTTCTCTACGTTTCGCGCTGTAGCAAAGACAGTGTTCTCCGGATTCGCCGCCTGCAACCATCGTCAGCCATGGATTGATCCAAATGTTGCAACACCGTGACGTACCAATTGGCGAACAATCTCCAGCCCAATTCCTCGAGAGCCACCGATAACAGCGTAGGTAGCCATTCTTGTAGCAACAGGGGAAACAGCAAAGTAAAGTTGATAAGTGTCTCCACGAGTTTGGATAGATAGAACCTGCACGGCGTTCCAAGGTGGGTGTACTACAGTATGTTTAATGTTCGAAAGTGGGGTTTCTTGACAGCCTGAGAATGTTAGTCGCAGGCCCGCCGTGACAACAAGCAGAACATCACTGGACCGCCTTTCGCAGCGCGCGCAAAGGGCTGGCGTGGTTTCTCGGCAAGAGTGCCCCACTTGACTCTTGCATGTGCATCGTGCAGGGTGATCTGTCATCATTGCCATTACTTGCTGCAATAGTGGCCAGAGAGAGGTTATGGTCACGTAGGAGTCAGCTAGAGGAGCGCGCTTCGGCGCGGCGACTCGGCCTGTAATTACTCGTAAGCTTCGATGTGTTCGCAGGCGGTGGTTTGCCGACCGAGATAGCTCGATCGGGGCTAATGAGGTGCGAAAGCATCGCACGCTGTATGTGATGAGCAGCAAGAGAGCGAGAGGGACGTGGGCTAACACCGAGCAAGTTCAAAGCCCCTGAAATGGCACCCGGAGGAGTGGTGGGGTCACAGTAACTGCGGATTGAATACAAACCTAGGACAAGATAAGCTACACGAAGTATGCAGACATCGCACCCTGCTCAACCTAGCATCAGTATCAAGCCGCGACACAGCGGGGATGATTCTCAGGTTACAAATAATGTCAAAACGCACCGCTTTCCTCTGCTTCTGCATCCCTTTGTCCCTCTCGTTCTCCTCTGCCGCATCGTACACCGTAAACTCCCGCGATCCGTCGTCTCGGATCGTCAATATTGAAGCCATGTTGCCGCACCGATAGCAGTAATTCGGCGCTGACCACACCGTGACGAGCTGCTCGTCAAACATGTACTTGTAGCCCTCCTGAACGAGCTGATGAGCGCGGGCAATGAGCTTTAGCGAGTTCACGTGGTTGAACTAGACAAAGCTGCGTCAGGCCGTCGAGACGGAGTTTATAGCTACTGTTCAGTTCACCTCTCGCGTAACATTCTCTCCGAACAGCCAACCTGCGCCTCGCGGGCTGATTGCCCAGTTGTCTATCTCGTCTGGGTCTGACCACATCAGGTCTTCCATGACGTATCAGTCCAAAATGCCCCGCATACACCCATCGACACTCACCGCAGAATGCACCTTCATGCGGGATCTCTTGTGCACGCGAGAGCACCCGTATTTGATCCAGCGTACGGATATCTGGTGACAAGCCTCCGTGTACGCATAATGTCTCACCGTCGATGATCTATTCACCGTAAGTTGGCCATGGAGGTAAAAGGGACATCTGGCGTACGTACTGCGGCGAGATTCAGGAAGTCGAAGACACCACAACATGCCTTCCACACAAGTGCACTCCCGTACTTCTGCTGACACTCATCTATCCTTCCGTGAGGGGTTCGCAGAGACAATGTCTAGGAATACGAAGACAGCACTACATACCATAGAAACCATAGACTTGTGTGATCTGCCTGCTCTCATGGTTCCCTCGCAGCAGCGTCACCTTGTCCGGATACCTGGGTGACAGTGATTGAGCACAACAACACCGCTGCGGGGGCTCGTGCTCACTTTGCTTTCAGCACCAACAACAACGACACCGTCTCCAAGCTATAATGACCCCTGTCCACGAAATCACCCTGCACGCCCCGCCGACGTCTCAGCTCGCCTCACGCCGCACCCGACGGAACACATACGTGCCATGAAGATGTAACTCGTCTGGGGCACGTCCCCACCCTTCCTCAGCAGCTCTAGCAGGTCCCAGAACTGCCCGTGGATGTCGCCGCAGATAGTGACTGGGCTCGAGACGGGCTGGATATTGGACTCCTCCATGAGGATAGAGCGGACGCGCTCGCAAAGGGTCTTCATGTCGGGCTCGGAGAGATGTTGACACTCCATGAGCTGTTCTATCCATCTGTCTGGCTCGAATGGAGACATAGTGCATCCAAGGTAGGCTTTCAGTGCGTGTGATATGTCCCGAGCGGGCGAGCGAGAGTGCGGTGGTACGTTCTTGGGCTGGCGACGTCCTTCAGATACAGGCAGTGTACAGAGCGGATCTACGAGTGTTTGACTGACAGTGCGGGAACTAGTGCAGTCCGCAACACGGTGTTCAGTTAGACTAGTGATATGGGATGAGTGGATGATCAGAGTTTGAGGATGAGCGCTGAGCGCTTTCCGCTACGAGCGCGTCATAGCAATATTATTGCAGCTAAGCTGTGCGTTCAGAATACTCAGAGTCGTCGACACGCATACATCCTAAATTGCGGTAAAATATGACAATCGTAGTATGCAAGCACTTAGATCCCCAAGGCCTCGTCATGCATGTCCGTTCGCCGTCCCGTTCACGCCCGCCTTCTCCTTCTCCAGAAACGCCTGATACAATCTCTCGCATCGTTCGATCGCTCGTGCGCCCTCGTCCGGGTGTTGCTCCCAAACCGTCACAGGCTCAATATGGACGTACTCCCTCCCCCACCGCTCGTTGGCGGCGCTGAACTTGGGGAACACTATTTGGGTGCTTCCATTCGCCGTCGCGCCGTAGCCGTTCTGCGCCTTTGCTCGAGCGGCGTTGTGCGCAGCGGCGGTGGATGGGATGTACCGAGAAGGTGTGAGGGTGATGTGTGAAGCAGCAACGGAAGCCTTGTATGTTGAGAAGAGCACGTGGGGCGACCCGATGAAGCGACACTGCGACAGACCACATCAGCACACACTACCCTCGGTAAAGCAGCGGAGTGAACGTACGAAGTAGAAGAACGCAATCATCAGCAATTCAAGTATATACGGTCTTAGAAGGGCAGCCGCAACGTTCGTCGCAGTGATTCCGGGAGTCACGATATAGTGCTGGACGTCGCTTCTATTCGCCTTCGCCTGCTTGCTGAGCTCCCAAACCATTAGGTCCAGCTGGGCCTTGGATGCTTGGTAGGACGTCGCGACCTTCGTGAGCTGCGGATCGTTGTCGGGTCGTATGTAGCCATCGCGTCGACGGAGGACATCCACAGAACACGAGCTGGCTCAGAGGGACATCGGGCGGTCCACGCGGAGAGAAGCGGTTGGAGAGAACGGAACTGAGGGGAAGAGACAACGATTAATCAGCGTATGAGAAGGGGCATAGGGTGGTATGGGAAATGCTATTCAGCAGCGACAACACATCTCATACACCGCTTCATGGCAAGTTGCTACACTGGGAATTCGTGAGGGTAATAGATGAAGGAACTCACGAGGACATAATGGCCGAAGATGTTACATTGCCATACCATGCCCAGATTATCTGGACTTAACACCCCGACCTTTTGTATGTTGAACATGGGGTGCTTCACGGCCTTGAGTGGCGATTCGAAGCATTGTTTAAAGAAGACAAGAAAGTGTAGGTGGCTGAATGTCGCAAGACCAGCGTTGCAGATTGTATGTGAGATGTACGGGTACCTGACACGCGAGGTCAGCAGAGCGACAGCACAAAACGACATGCTCACTTTTGTGACGCTTCTTTGGAGAATTCTAGCACACTCCGGATGACAGACAGATCCAGCCTATGTATCTCGAGCCGTAGGTTCATCCGGAAGTCCGTCGCGTATTCGTGGTCAGGGGTATTGGGGGTATCGTATTAATGTGGGTATCTAGAAGATTGTAGAGACTTTGTCGCGCCTCTTCAGCACGCTGGGTGCTCCGGCAGGCCATGATGATAGTTAGGTCGCATGCTGGCTCGACCGACGGCAACTCGCTCGACGGGAGCACAGACGTGAAGAAGGGTTGCGCATCTGGCGGGCGACGCTGAGACAGCTGGACGAGCAAGCGGTGGCATGTACCAAAGCCAATACCCCTGCGCGTTCTACCCGTTAGGATGGACGTAGAATAGAAAGGGAAGATATCACTACGGACCCATTCGCGCCCGTCACCAACACAATCAAACGCTTCCTTTCCTCGCGCGTCATCACCTGTATCACCGCACAGTCTTGCAGGTTTCGGTATTTTGACTTGCTGTCCAGAAATCCGACCAGCGTGCAGACCGAAGCGAAAGCACAAAGCAATATTGAGTGAGAGAGCTGGCAGCGGCGACTCAGAGTGGGCCGACGCCTGGACTGAATTCTCATGGGCGTCTACTGTCGTACATGGGAACATCGCGTAGGCGCTCATGGCATATTGTTGCTTGAGCGCCTAGCTACACCCTCCTGCTTCCCAGTCAACATCATGGGCTGCACTTGAGCTGCACTGGAGACTCAGACCCAAGTACTCAACAACATCGTAATTGGGTCTGCCTATGGAAACTACGTCGGATTCAAGCTGGCACTTTGATTTGCGCGCACACTCTCGATTCAGACTCCACTAGTGCTGTGGCAGCTCTGCCGTCATAAACCTACCGAATCTCAATTTCTCACTCGTATCGGCTCTACCCCAGACACAACCATATGGTTCGATTAACAATGGTGGCATTATTTTCTACTGTGTGCTCGTATCGAACTCGAGAGACGGCTTGAAAGAACCAGAATCCGCGGGGCCTATGTTTGCGATGTAGACCAGAAGGCGCTCTACGGCCTCCTGCGGCGCAAGCGGTCTCGTCTTGGGGAACGCCCCATAGAATTTCTTCGCGATCGTGTTGAACTTGGGTATGTTTCCCTCGGGTGCTGGAACGTACATTCATCAGCTCAGTAGGGTGTCCAAGATGAGAAGTTATGCTTACCCGGCTCGCTGTAGGTGCTAGAGACATCCACGAAGCCGGGGCTCACAGCCACGACAGTGAAGCCCTCGTTCTCGAGCTCCGCGGCGTACTTCGTCGCTACCATGTTTTCCGCAGCTTTCGTGATCCCATACACGGCTGTCTCGGAGAGGTGTACACGCCGCACGAAATCGCGTTCGCCTCCCTCGCTGCCTATGAGTACGATCTTCTTGGTGGTCCCCTCGCGGAGGAGCGGCAGGAAGGCGTTCACCGTATGAATAGGTCCTAGGACGTTCACTTTGGACTGGAGAGGGGATAAGTCAGGTACGTCCGCCCGTATACTCGGTACGTACAGACTGTATGAATTCCTCGTCCAGCTTCTCCTCGCTTTCACTGTTGTGAACATATCTCCGCTCAGCCAGACAGACCAGCCGAAGAAACCATAGGAATCACTAATCCAGCAATCCGCGAAGGATGTTGTCGAACTCCAAGCGAGCCGCGTTGTATATGAGGACGTCTAGGCTTCCGCCGCTGATCTTGGCTACGTCCGCCGCTGCATTCTGCCAGACCAGCCTGAGCACACGCGCGTGAAATGGAGGTGAGCATTCGTACTTTGATGGCTTGGTTATCCACTACGTCTGCCTCTAGAATGTGCACGTTCTTGTGCGGTAGTTTGCTCGCTGTATCAAGCAGGTATGTGGACTTCTGCTTGTTGCGTACAGTTACGAAGACGGTGTTCTCTCCGCTAAGCGCCTATACCGCAGAATGTGTCGGGTTCAGCGGGTGAAACAGAACTGCTCATACGAGACCGGGACGTACTAGTTGACGAACGAATTCCAAACCGATGCCGCGAGAACCACCTATGATGGCGTAGGACGGCATGCTCGTCTCAGCACTCGAGCCTACAATAAAGGGGTGGAGATGGTTAATCGCACCGACAAGTCTCGATGTCTCCTTATATCCGTGCGAAGGGTCGCCTGGTCACAAAATGAGTAATTATGGGTCGATATTTCGTCTGCTCATCATGATGTGTCATTGTCGATTTTCTGCAGGGGAGCCCGGATCTGGCAGAGCGCGCAGCCCCACAGCCAAACTCCGTGACATAATGATACCGTATGGGACTACACTGACCTTCTTGCGATTGCCGTAGGATCGGAGTGCCTAGCTTACTCTAGCGTTCTTCCTGCGCAAGTTATTACAGATGCTTCCTTGTCCCATACCGGCGCATGCCGCAGCGCAACCGTTATGATACAAGTCGCAAGCAAACACCTCGCCTAGATATTTCTTTTCCAGCACTCAGCGCTGGTAGAGCTACAGCTTCGAGAATCTACCCCAATATTTTGCGACCATAGAATGTGATAGGCTCGTCTGCAAACCTACATCCGAGCGGCGCCGACGCCGCCCGATGCGTCTATCGACGGAGTAAAATGTGGTGGGTGTTCCTCTTAATACTGCTCATGGTGCAATCTGATGGACAAGTACCTTCATAAGACTGTAAAACCTCGTGTGAGGCGTCCGCAGGCTACGGTACGGTAAATCCACGACTCCCTTCCGGGCATTGTCCCACGTATCGTAACGTGTATGGCGCACATGCCTACCTCCAGCTGCAACACGACTACTGCTCTCAAGGATCATTGATGCGATCGAATGTAGGATGAGGTGCGCTCTGATTTTGCAACGTTCCAAGACACAGAACTCACTGTATGATTGGCAGGAACGCTCGGAAGACCAATCACGCGAGTTGCAATATCGTGCGCAATTTACCTGCGCTTGTGGCTAGCCGGCTGTCTTTCATGACGATGCATGAACCTGGTTGGCACTCAGCCAGTTCTGAGTCGTTGGGAAGGATGATCGTTCCACGCCTTGTGAGTTTTTTTCGCGTGCGCCGCGTGGCCATGGACGTTCACAGTGATCGTGACTTCTACTCAGGCTTGAGAGCCGGAGCCCGACCTACTGACCGCTTTCTAAGACAACCGCGATGATGCCAGTGGAAGTGCCCAGGGTACACAGATAATGTCAGAGCTGAGTTCGTTTTTCCAGATCATTGTCCCCGAGTCCGCCATGTTCTGAGGTCTCCCAATCAATGCTTCTCTGACGACGCGTCCATTGATAACCCTATGTAGGTATGGAGGATCCCAGGCTGTAGGCGTCCGATTCACATCTGACATTGACAATGATCAAAACTTTAACAGCGTCTTTGATCTCGTGATGCACTCGGGCATACCTTCGGCTTCCGGGCTGCTATAGTATTAGTAGGTCTCCTCATCCACCACTCGCGTTGTTGAATCTCAGTCATCATTTTTATCCAAGTAATGTCGTGCCCCCTGAATGACAATGTCCATGACTTCGCCGAAGGGCAGGATCCGGTGCTCATGCACGTCTGGCCGAACAGTTGTGCAATAAAGCGCACGCTAGGCGGGCAGTAAGGGGCCTGTCTCCTCCCACCACTCTTTCCCTGCTCTACATAGTGAAAGTGGTACCCTTTCAACCAAGTATGCAGGGGAAACCTGCTGTGGAAGGCTTAGAGACATTGACGAAGCGAAGTTCAAGTATGACTGAACAGCCCAGATCCGAGTCCGTGGCCGAGGTCGATAAGGTGCTCGCGCCCACACAGGAAATCGACATACCTGATGGTGGGTTGCAGGCTTGGTTATCCGTTCTTGGAGGGTAAGGTCGTCAACCTCATGTCATATGTCTACTGATCAATCTGGGCAGATGGCTTGTGTCGTTCTGTGCCTTTGGGTTCGCCAGCTCGTTCGGAGTGTTTGAAGCGTACTATGTCAACGCGGGCACATCGTCTTCGTCAAATATCAGCTGGATAGGTTCACTTCAGGTAACACTAGCATTGCGCGAACGTACATATCCATCCTCATAGCTTGCGCAGTTCTTTTTCCTGTTTGCCATGGGCCTTCCCGCAGGCAAGCTCTTCGATGAAGGCTACTACCGCTTCGAGCTCGCCTTCGGATCATTGTTCCTGGTGTTTTGGTACGTCCAAGTCACGGTAATCCTAGGGAACATACTTACGGAATTATGATGTAGTATGATGATGCTCTCCCTCGCGGACCCGACAAAGTACTACCAATTAATATTGTCTCAGGGGATCGGTATAGGAATAGGGTCTGGATTGCTTCTAGTCCCCGCGCTCTCCATTCAGTCTCATCACTGGCGGAGAAAGCGTTCCCTAGTCATGGGGATTGTTCTCAGCGGTACGTGTTACAATTTACTCAACCGTTGCCTCATATGCAGGTACTGATCCAAGGTGGCAGGCGCCTCCTTCGGGGGTATCCTCTATCCCATCATGCTCAACCAGCTCTTCAACAACGGCGTCGGCTTCGCATGGGGTGTGCGCGCCGCAGGCTTCATGACGCTTGGCTTTCTCGTCGTCGCAAATTGTGTGCTCCGCACACGCCTACCGAGCGCAAGGGAGCGGCGGAAGGTTGCTGGTGGAAGGGACCTACCGAAGCCGAGAATACGGGATATACTGACGGACACTCCGTATCTGTGGATGAGCGTTGGTGGCTTTTTGGGCCTGTGGGGCGTGTTTCTACCTTGTGAGTAGACAGACAATATACTGGTAAGTACGAGCATCTAACGACTTAACTTGGCGTGCTGCGCAGACTTCTACCTTCAATTATGGGTGAGCCGACATGAGCTCTCGGATACGCTCGCGTTTTACACGGTGAACATGCCCACATCGAAGCCGCATCAACTCAGTTCTCATCTCACCTCTGATAGATTGCGATCCTCAATGCCTCCTCAATCATCGGTCGGACTGTTCCAAACGCCATTTCTGACCGCATAGGAACGCTCAACACACTCGCGCCCCTCGCCGTCATAACTGGCGCACTGGTCTTCGTCATGTTCGCGGCGACGACGCCCGGCGCTGTTATCGTCTTCGCGATTCTGTATGGGGCGTTCTCGGGTGGCTGTATGTTCCTCTGCTAAATCTGGTTTCACTGGGAACTTAGTCTATCGAACGCACTCAGTCATCGCGATGCTCCCGCCCACGCTGGCATCTATGTCTCGCAGCCCAGATGAGATTGGGCAAGTGTACCTCTCCATGACATTACCTTCACGTCATTGCTCACGCATATAATGCACAGCATCCGTATAGGTTTCGGGTACTGCTTCTGCTCACTCGCGATGCTAACTGGGACACCTATCAGCGGCGCGCTCTTGGGCCCACAAGATGACTGGGCGAAGCCGATCATCTTTAGCGGGGTGCGTGTTCATTACTTGTCTTGTGCAAAATTCTCGCTGATATGACGCGTAAATCGATGTAGATCGTCTTGCTCGCAGGAGCTGCGTGCATAGGATACGCGCGGGTACTCGTCGCGAGGCGGAAAGGATCCCGGCGAGTCTGATCTGTGGACACAATCTCAGGGTCATTGCGCTGCGGATGCGTATCACTGGCCTACTGTATTTACGACACCATGGATGAATTGGTGACGACCGAAGTACTTTACGACCATTCATGCATCATAGATTCGTAGCGCCACCCGTGTAGTAGGTCATAGGCGAGAAGTTTCGTCACACTTCTGGCTCACTAATTCCAATGGAGTCTAAGAGAGGCGAGCGAACCTCAAACTGAATTCACGAAGGCCGGCGTTGAAACGTTGATGTGCCATACAGTAGTCATTAACATCGACCTGTGTAGTTCATGCGTACGTTGTACCATTCGCAACCAACGAACCGCGAGGCCAAAATATCATGAAGTTTTACGAGGAGGACTTTGAGTTAACCAGCCTCCCCGGGCCGGCAGGACCGGACGAGCGCGACGCGGGCGGGACAAGGGCGAGGACCTGGGCGCGGCCATGACCATCGCTGAGCGCTCGTTGACCATGCATCAAGCTTCAAGTACTGTCGTCGTTCCATATGCAACTGCCCTCCCTTACGTCGAAGAGATCGTGTTCAAGGTCTCAGTTAGTATGGGGGACTGGTTATCAGCACAGCACGCTGTTGTCTGGCAGAGTAAGATCACGTACGCGGGTCGCTTCATCCAATGCAAATTCTAGGCTCACATATACTACAGTGAATCCTCGTCGAATAAGACCAGAGTCTCAGGCTCTAGCGCTGCGGCTGCTATGTCGCTACCAATGTCATGTTCTAGATCTGCTGCTATAGACTGCCTTCGTCGTTCCGACATGCCCGGCTGTCTCGGAGAGTTGCATGCCCCGGATGTGCGCACTTCCCTTGGTAATCCCTCGCTGCCTTATGTTTACGCCAACAATATCCCTTCAATTTACGGAGGAGCGGTAGGAAGGCCCCGCCGTATGTAAGGGCCCTAGCTTGCTCTGGAGGCGGAAGTTCAACAGCTGCGACGGTGACCGTTGTCCGTACAAGTTATGCGAGGTGCATACAGATTGAAATTAATTTTTATCTAGCTTCTCATGGGCCATGGCGTGCATTGTCGGCCATTCGTTCAGCCGCGTCGAAGGACACAGGACCCACTAATCCAGCTAGTTGCCAAGACAGGTACCGTCCTCCGCTGCTCGCGCTGTTGAAGCTCAGCGCTCAGTACTCAGTGATTATGTTGGTCCCCGCAACGTCGTGCCTCGTAATCGCATATGACTAGCTCTGCGATGTCAAGGACGGACAGGAGCTCAGACACAATCCCCCGGCGAGTCGTGGGGCTATGGAAGCGTTCGGGTACGCCTGAGACATTCTACGCCCCGGAGGGGTCTCCGATGAGTCGCGTTAGTTTCTCATATTATACTGCACACATAAAGCCGTTCCCTAAGCTTATCTTCTCCCCACTAGTACCCGTGCCTTCCTCCACTCATCATGGATGTGATGCCCCCCCAATCAAGCGTACATGAGAAGACCGTCGTCGAGGGATCTGAGACATTGGCGAAGCTCAGTCCAAGTATGCTTGATCAGCCGACATCCGAGGAAGTATCTGCTACCACACAGGCAGCCATCATACCTGACGGTGGATTGCAGGCTTGGCTGTCCGTTTTTGGAGGGTACGGCTGTTGTTATGTCGTTATAGTCGTTTACTGACCAATCCGGCTAGATGGCTTGTGTCGTTCTGTACGTTTGGGTTCGCGAGCTCGTTCGGAGTGTTTGAAGCATACTATGTCAACGCGGGCACATCGTCTTCGTCGAATATCAGCTGGATAGGCTCCCTTCAGGTAAAACAGCATTGTATGACTGCAAGTCCACATACTCACATTCCACGCAGCTGTTCTTCCTGTTTGTTCTGGGGTTTCCCGCAGGCAAGCTCTTCGATGAAGGATACTTCCGCCTCGAGATGGCAGTTGGGACAATTCTCGTCATCTTTTGGTTCGGCCATTTCGCGCTCTCTCCAGTTGTGTGCTCATGGACAATGTGTAGCATGATGATGCTCTCCCTCGCAGACCCGATGAAGTACTACCAGATCATCTTGTCCCAAGGCATCGGCATTGGCTTCGGGTCTGGCTTGCTCCTGGTCCCCGCGCTCTCCGTTCAATCTCACTACTGGCGCCGTCACCGTTCCCTCATGATGGGCCTCGTGCTCAGCGGTGAGAATCAATCTCGCTCAATCCTTGCCTCCATAGAGCCACTGACTTCGCGCGATAGGCGCTTCTTTTGGGGGTATCGTTTATCCAATCATGCTCAACCAGCTCTTCAAAAGCATCGGCTTCGCGTGGGGTGTGCGCGCCGCGGGGTTCATCACGCTTGGAATGCTCGTCGTCGCAAATTGTGTGCTCCGCACTCGCCTACCGAGCGCGAGGCAGCGGCGGAAGGCTGCTGGCGGAAATGACCTTCCGAAGCCAAAAATACGGGACATCCTGACAGACGCTCCGTATCTGTGGTTGAATGTTGGCGCCGTTCTCTGTCTTCTAGGCGTGTTCCTACCCTGTGAGTGGGCAATGCGTCGGTGATATAAGAATAACATAAAGAATTTACAACACCGCTTAGATTTCTACCTTCAGCTATGGGTCAACAAACACAGGCTTTCGGAGACGCTCGCGTTCTACACGGTAATCCTGTACACAAAAAGCCCACGTGAACTAGGTTCTCATCTCTGACAGATCGCGATCCTCAATGCGTCCTCAATCATCGGTCGGACAATTCCTAACGCCATCGCTGACCGCGTAGGAACCCTCAACATCATCACGCCCCTCGCGGGAATAACCGGTGCGCTGGTCTTCGTCATGTTCGCGGCGACAACTCCCGGAGCCGTCATCGTCTTCACCATTCTGTATGGGGCATTTTCGGGTGGTCGTATGTGTCCCCGCTCGACATTCAGTGAGGTGTACTAATTCATTAGGGCAAACCCAGTCAACGCGATGTGCCCGCCCGCATTCGCTTCTATGTCTCGAAGCCCTGATGAAATTGGGTGAGTCACCGTGACTTGGCAGCCTTCCGTACCGTAGCTCATCAAACGCATAGCATTCGTATAGGCTTGGGATACTGGTTCTGTGGGTTCGCAATGCTCACAGGGTCCCCCATCAGTGGCGCGCTCTTAGGCCCGCAAGATGACTGGACGAAGCCGATCATCTTCAGCGGTGTGCGTGTCCGTCCTTTGCTTCATATGGAACCGGTGCTGATAAGAGATTTGTGGGCTTCTCTTCACAGGTTGTTATGCTCGCAGGCACTGTGTGTCTAGGATACGCTAGGGTACTCGCTGTAAGGAGGAAAGGAACACAGCGAGTTTGAATTGTGGGCGGAGATGTACTCCGAGTCGCGCTGCCACTGGTGTGTTACTTCACAGAATACTTATCTACTACACCTTAATAGCAGTTGACCCAAGTGGTTCATGGATACTATTCATGCTTGATATCGACGGCGCTACTAGTACGGTATTATCATCATGTTTGGTGGTAATTAGTCTGAGAATGAGGTCGCGGTTGGGTCGCGGTGAATGCATTCACAGCTTGTGGCGCACCCACCGGCTCCGGGCCGGCGGATCTCGATGATGGGACACGTCTTGGACCACGGCGTCGCTGCGCCGCGGCCAGTGCGTCCAGCGACTCGGCGACTCGGGATCCTCAGACTCGGACTGCCTCAGGCTACCATGACCATCGCTGGCTGCGTCGTCGACGTTGTCGCGACTTGCTACCGTGCACGGCGACCAAGCTCATCTGCAACAATCTCAGGCTGTCAGAGACACACATCTGTCCACCCTGATTTATCACTCCGTGAGGGATTTTCGAGCGGTAAGTTCTCGTACTCCGAGGAACCATTCTTCGGAGGATCTCTCACCTTCCACATTGCTACGGAATCCAGTGATCACCACAAACATCTCAGTGATGCGCCGTCTCGCTGCTGCAGTGGCTGAGTTGAGTCCAAGTGAATTGTACGACAGTCTGACTCCCAATACACAGACGGGACACTGCAATCCCCGATGACCCTCTACCGCTTGTTCGTGTCAAATTCCGGGTATGGTCTGAAAGTTCCAGACTCCGCGGGGCCTATGTTATTGATGTCAAGCAGTAGCCGCTTTACAGCCTGTTCAGGCGTAAGCAGCGTGCCTGCGTTCGGAAAAGCCGCGAAGTGCTGGACCACGAGATCGTTGAACTTCGAAGCGTCCCCTTCGGACACTGCAGCGTCCGAGCTGGTCAGTACCAAATTCTCTTACAAGCAGGGACCACGTACGCGGCTCGCTGTTAGTACCAGAAACATCCACGAAGCCCGGACTCACGGACACGACAGTGAAACCTTCGTTCTCGAGGGCAACGGCGTACTTCGTCGCGACCATGTGTTCCGCGGCCTTTGTTACGCCGTATGCGCCTAATCCAGAGATATGCACGTGTTGCACGAAGCTACGCTCGCCCCCTTCACTGCCCAAGATGATAATCTTCTTCGCAGAGCCTTTGCGAAGGAGCGGCAGGAAGTTGTTGACGATGTGAATGGGCCCTAGTACGTTCACTTTGAACTGGAGGGAGCTGTCGTTCAAGAGTCGTTCAGCATGATCATCGCCAAGTACGCACGGACTGTATGAACTCCTCGTCCAATTCCTCGTCATTGTCGCTATGGAGCAGCATGAATTGAGATGTCGATTTCATCAAGAAGGGCTTACTAGTCTCCAGGCCCGCGAAGTAAATTGTCAAATTCGAGGCGAGCCGCGTTGTATATCAGGATATCTAAGCCACCGCCGGAGAGCCTGCCCAACTCAGTTGCCGCATTCTACCAGGTATTTTGAGCGCGGGCAGAAGACGATATGCAGGTGTGCTCGCACCTTGATCGCTTGCTTGTCCACCACGTCCGCTTGTAGGATGCGTACGTTCTTGTGCGGCAGCTGGGCCACGGTGGCGCGCAGGTGTGTGGACTTGTCCTTGTTGCGGACCGTCACGAAGACGGTATTCTCCTCATTCAGTGCCTATACGGATGGATGTCTGGGTCAGTATGAGGTTGGTGATTTTCCGGAGCGGTACGTACGAGCTGACGGACAAACTCCAGACCGATGCCACGGGACCCCCCTATGATGGCGTACGAAGGCATAGTTCACTACAGGGCTCAGGGTCTCAGGTGTACAGCGAGGGGATTGAGATTAGATTCGTATGTTGCATAGAAGGGTCACAGCCAGACCTTATATCGTGTCCCGCAGACGGAAGCAGGTGTGAGGTTCGGTCTTCCTTTTTGCGCACGCAATCCAACATCCCTCCAGGCCCTCGTAGGCCTTCGAACGGACGTAGAGTGGGAAGCCCCACACAGCTCCGTGTGGGTGCCTTGTCCCCTTGTTGAAGCATCCTATTGTCTTCGCTATTGCACCTTTTAGGTGCTCCTGCCCATATCTTAGGACCGTCTCCGACGTCTCGGACCTGCGCGTTGAGCTTATACCATCGATATACCGAACTCGGGGGAAGTCTCTCGCATCGTCAGCTACTCGGGCTGGCGCGCGATCACCGAAGGAAAAAGTTGAACCTCTTCTCTGTGCCGCTCTGTAGTCGTGCGCGTGCGTATGTTGCGCACTTACACTGGTGGTAAATAAACAGTCCGGCCTGACTCATCTGCTTCCCGGCCTATCCTGGGAAGCCATAGCGCAATGAAAGTTGACTCCAATTCCATTGGATAACGTAGTACTTCGGCGGAGCCGAGGCCGCCCGGTGCGCCTACTGACAGAATGACGTGCAGTGAGTTCTGAACATTCACGGCACATCTGGTGGTCTAGATCTGTGGTTTAAAGGACAGAACGGTTGCACTCGACCGTATTCTCGTTGTAATTGACAGCTTTCAGGACACAGCCATCCACCCGTCTCAGGCTCATATCACCGTCCGGAGCGCACTGATATCCTCACCGTTGAGGCCGGTGACTCAAAGGCCGATGCGGTGGTCGCTAGATGCGGGTGCGTCTGTGACATCCCGAGGTACTCCTATTGATTCACTGATGAGCTGGGTCCGACAGATGAGTATGAGGCCTGTTTGGACTCCCAGTGAGACATAGACAGCCTCCTGCACTGGTGCCGTGTTTGACATCAGTCGCCGAAGAGTTGTTACATATATCCAGCAGCTGGCCGTCGTTCATGACAGTACACGTACAGTACTCGCCACCCTCAGTCTTCTTGAATGGGTTGTCGGATGGATTCCTTCGCAGGTTTGCTCACCCGTAGACCATTCAAGTTAAACCATCCTTTTCTTGCCGACATTGCTCTTCATTGCTCTTCACAGCACGAGAAAGTTCCACCCAGCATTGCACTGAACTTAGTACACCAAAGGCACTTCACCTCACAGCACGCAGGGACTCTCAAAGGAAAACAAGATGTATTACGCTCGAACCCGCAATACTACAAGCATGTTACAATGGACAAATCGCTGCAAACCCGAGTACTCCAGGTTCGCACCTGCACGAACTTGCAACGCCCGAACGCGTTTACGAGATCGTGATCTTCTTCGGCGCCATGTCTGGCGTCGTCTTCGGGAACGTAACGGTCAACACGCCGTTCTCCATTGATGCCTTGATGTTCTCCTCCTGTACGCCAGCCGTAGTCAGCACCCTTGTTGCGGTCATGATAACAGACGAGATATGCTTACCTTGACTCCCTGTGGGAGGGGCAGCGAGCGCGAGAACTTGCCGAACCGCCGCTCGCGGACGGCGTACCCGTTCTCGTCCCGCTTCTCCTCGACCTTCGACTCGCCGGAGACAGAGAGCACCCCATTGTGGACGTCGATCGACACGTTCTCCTTGTGGAGACCGGGCAGCTCGAACGTCGCGGTGACTAGGTTCTGCTGGTTGTCCTCATGTAGGTCCATCCTATCCGTCCGTGATCAGCATCGAGTCCGAATAGGAACGGGAGCAAGGACAACATACCTTGGACGGAGCCAGCGCGAAGATGCATCCCGCTGCTGCAGCTCGCGGCCGTTGTTCTGGCCACCTGTGCGAGCAGAGAAGGCCTCGTCGAAGAGGCGGTCAAAGTCCGCAATGGAGTAGAACGGCTCGGTGAAGAAAGTTGAAAGCGCCATCTCGTTCGTTAGTGTCGTGAAGAGAAGAGAAGGGTATGAGTTGAAGTAGAGCGTAGTCAACGGATGTCTCAAGTGATTATGTTTCTGCTTGAGGGGAGTGAGTGACGAGGGACGGGCTTTTATACGTCTGGGGAGGCTCGCCTGCGGGCGCTTGACAGAACAGTCTGGAAATGTCGTCGAAAACAAACGACGCAGGTGTTGCGTCAGTGCTCGCGCTCAGTCGCCGTGCCATCACATGTCCCATGTTCTCCGTTTCTTTCTTACCGACGAATGATCGAGAATGAGCGGAACGAGCAGGTTCGAGCAGTGTCTGTTCGCCACATTGCGAGTTACACCGGCGGTGTCGCCCGCGTCACCCTCGCCTCTGTATGCACTCAAGCACGTCTCCGACGAAAACACAGATGCTAGATGTATTAGAGAGCACATGAACTGCAGAAGAAGGACGACTCTGGAACGGCATCAAAATGAATACGTCTGCAGGTAGTAAGACATCCGAGCAGACATACAAAGGGAGAAGAGGTTTACGGCCATAGACCTACTTCTTCGGCTTTTTCGCCGGTGACTCATGGCCATCCTCGCGCTTTCTCTTTCCTTCATTGCTCGCTGAATCCAGCTCCTTCTCGTGCTTCCGCCCAGTCTCTCTGAGATGATCCCAGACGACCTTGTCCGCGTATGGCTCCTCGAAGCTATCCGCGTCTGGCGGATAGAACCACCAGTTCAGCGCCATATGCACGTCCTCCTCGCCATCCGACGATGACGTGACTTCGTGCCACCACGAGGCCGGGAGATACAACATCTGCCCTGCGGAAAGTTCGACGACGTACGGAGGACTCGCCTTGGCGAGGTTTAGGAAGTCTGCGGGCGTGGAGTCAGACGGCGCGACCGCCGTTGTGGGCAAATCAAGTTGCTTGTGTAGGAACGCGGTCGCGATCCGGGAGAATGAAGGCGGGTCCTCCGGGTTTTCACTGTCTTCTGAGGCCTCGCCGGCTTGACCGTCACCCATCACAGATCCTCCGTCCAACATGTCCTCGCCCATGAGCGCCTCGTAGTCGTCTTGACCATCCAGGTCTCCAGCGAGCGAGCCGAGGTCGCTGCCGTCTTCGACACGCTCCACGCCATCCTCGTCATCATCCAGCGGAAACCCGTACTGCTCGTCTTCCGCCAACTCCTCCAGCTCCTCACGCAAGTTGAGGTACTCCTTCTCCAAGGCCTTCCTCTCTTTCGTTGCTGCCTTCGCTTTTCCTTTACCTTTTGACTTGGCGCCGCTCACTTCTAGGGCGTCCAGTTGTCTTTTGAGAACGGCAACGCGTGTACGGAGTGCGACTCGATGATCGAGTCCGTCTGCGCGAAGCATCTTGTCATACGCAATGACACCATTTTGGTGTAGGGTGTGCACTGTGCCGTGCGGGTAGAGGTTTTCATGCTCCTGTGGCGGGTAGAGGACGAAGCGCTTGCGTCCTTTCAGCAGACAGTACAGGTTGTCGTGGAAGTCGTGGTGCTAGAAGGGTCTGCGTCAACAGGAGTGCAGCTTGTAGAGAAAACCATACGTACCAGACCTGACGATGTCCCATCCTTTGACTTCCCTAGCCAGAGGTTTGCCTGCTGCAGATACAGGTTTCCCATGATCCGCGGGACCTCCGGAAACTCATCCCTCAACGCGCCCGTCGGCGGTGAGAAGACGGTCAGCGCGTCCCACTCCTCCCCGGAATACTGCGTCGTCAGATACTGGTATGGGCCCTTGTCATTTTTGAGCGACAGGAGGAAGTCGCGGAATGGCATCGAGATCCGTTGCACGTCCGTGCCAAATTGCTGGGTGGTCGGGTGCATGGGCTCTACGAGGACCTTAGTGTCACCCGCTTTTGATGACAGATAGTCGAGATCGGAAGGCTGTCTTTACGAGACGAAGGTGAACTGTAGCACCAATTGTACATTGAAGAAAGACATACCCATTTTTGCGCAGCGAAGGACGGGTCGTTTGGAAGGCCAGTAATTATGGCCGGTTTGCGCTGTGAGACGAAATTCGTGAAGAATTCCGTGGCTGAGAGGTGGGGTTCAGTAGATTCTAGTTGGGTCATACTGGGGGGAGCACGACAACGACGAAAGGATCCAATATCCGTGTTCAAGTCAAGTCTGTTGTCAGTATTGCGGGACACCCTGAGTGAGATCAATCGGTATTCGATCTGCTTGGTCAGCAGGAAAAGTGATCAAATTAGGTACATGGTATGGGGCACCCAAGTCGCTCTGCTCAAGTCTGCTCCCGACTCTGGTCCCTTGAAGAGCGCAGCTCATCTCACAGCAAGCTCGAACGAAAACATGAAGAGGTCTCAAGATCTCTCGCCCCTTGTAGAACAAGGGTCGTCGTCCGCATTTCCAGCGCCGAAGAAGTTCAAAGCGGCTGCTCGCGTCTCGCATGGCATCAGCGTACTTGCACCCGAACACTCCACCAGCACTGCTATGGAGAATGGCGACGGCGAGTGGACGAGGGTAGAGAAGCGCAAGACGAAGAAAGCGAAGAAGACGGAGGCGAAGACTGAAGTGTGTGTCCCGACGCGGTTTGAAATCCTGCGCCATGCCCCCGTTACTCAAGGCACACCTTTTCCGCAGGCGAACCCACCCAAGTTCATGTATGCAAAGGGAGAGATTTTGAAAAGGAGAGAGGCAGTTGGGATCAGCGTGCGTCGTGTGCGTAGTTCGCAGGGAGCGCAGGCTGACTTTCCATGTGCAGGACATTCGAGAGTTGGTCTTGCATCTGTCCGCGGACGCGCCTCCGTCGAGCTGGGTGAGGATAGAGGTACGTTGCAACCTGAATGGTGGCACAACACGATGCTAACATGTGATCCCAGAACCCACGATCGGTGCAGAAAGTTGTCGCGATCCTGGTTCCGGGTATTACCCCAGAGATCATCTCACTGCCGCCTTTGCCTACTTCCGCGACTGCGAACCCAAACCTTCCTCTACCTGTTCCATTACCCTCAGAGGGTCCGGTTGAGGGTTCGTCAACTGGCCTACCCTTCATCGGACGGACGTTCAGTCATGCATGCCCGACTCGGGCGCCCGGTGACCAAACTCGCATGCACTCCGTGCTCAACACATTTTTCCAAGGCCCTATGACGGGCGAGGAGAAGAAAAGGCGGCTCATTGAGCGCGTCAGCTGTATGTCCATTGGTTTACTGTGTGATGAGTTGTCTGATATGTCTTGCGACGGCAGCAGAGCGCGCTTGGGAGAAGACACCAATGCGCTATATCCTCTCCACCGAGCAGATGATCGAGAACGACTATCCTGTACCATCATATATCGCTGAGGTGTTTGAAAGCCACCTGGGTTCCTAGAGACGCCGCAGCCGTTGGCCTCGACGGAGTCGCAGGGCAAGCAATCGAGGATATACGCCATCGATTGTGAGATGGTGAGTCGTGTTGTCCCGGGAAGTGTGCATCGCTCGCTCACCCAGAGGTAGTGTGTAACAGAGGACGGGAAGGAACTCACGCGGGTGTGTATCATCGACTACGAGGCGGACATAGTGGTGTACGACCAGCTTGTCAAACCGTCCAAACCCATCCAAGACTATCTTACGCGGTTCGTCATTCTTGGTCTCTTTTGTCCACTGATACTAAGACAGTAGTGTAGATGGTCAGGGATCACCGCCGAAGCGCTCGACCCTGTGACAACAACCTTTGAAGAGGTGCAGACACATATCATCAACTTACTGTCTGTAATCCTACACCAGTGCTTCTCGGCCATTCACTGGAGTCTGACCTGAAAGCGCTCAAAATTTGCCATCCGCTCTGCATCGATACCTCCGTCATCTACAACCACCCACGCGGGCGGCCATTCAAGCCTGGCCTAGCCTGGCTCACGAAGAAGTGGTGTGGACGGGAGATCCAGAACCGAGGCGAGGGTGGACACGATCCGGAGGAAGACGCGCGAGCATGTGTAGATCTGCTCAAAAAGAAGCTCAACAACGGTGCGTGCTCATTGTGGCAATGCGACGCTTGCAGACTGACGGGCAATTTGTCAGGTCCGGGCTTTGGCGAGTTCAAGATCGACATGGAGTCCATTGTCGAGCGCATGAGCAGGTCGCGATCTGGGGCGATCACTACAGCCATTGTTGACCACGGCAACCCCACTGCGTGGCATGGCAACAAGGCGACCACCACCATCACCTGCCAGAGTGATGAAGAGGTCCTCGAAGGCTTGCTGGGCTCCATACCTTCACATTACTTCGTGTTCGGCCGATTCACTAGCCTTGCCAGGGCGCGCGGATGTAAGTCTATCAGACTGAAGTTTAGTGTGTGATTTATACTAACCTGGGTTTCGAAGGGGTCACGCCCAAGACAGGGGTTGACTCGATTCCCGACTCCGACCCGACTCCCGCAACTCCTGCTGACATGAATGAAGTCCTCTCCACGCTGAACTCCCACCTGGTGAGGCTGTACGCTGCGCTTCCACCACGCACGGCGGTCATCATATTCACGGGCCACTCGGATCCCCGACGGATGTCCGAACTGAACGCACGCAAGAGCACGTTCGAGACGGCGTTGAGGCAGGGGAAGAGCCTGGATGATATCGGGAAGGAAAGTTGGTGGACGACAGTGGACGGGAGGGAGCTTGAGGAGGAGGTGGAGAAAGCGAAGAGGGGGCTGTTGTTCCTAGGTGTAAAGGAGTCTTCGTAAATGACATGATAGTCTCCTGGTCTCGAGTGGTCCTGGCTATGATCGGTGGGTCCTGTAGTTCAAACTACGCCACACATCAAACCGAAGTCTTCGAATGCCAACTGAAACGGTATTTGATACACTGATCAGATTTTCAGAATCAACGGAACAGTGGTCGGTCTCAGTAACGAACTGCAACACCTGCCTTTTATGGGTACGCACTCTGCATAGTACTGAGTGGCGGCAGTGGCGACCGGCGGGTCTTTGTCCGCGCCGCACTTCGCCTGCTCTCCCCCGCTCTCTGCTCGCTCCTTTCCCTCGTATCATGCTTGTCACTGCACGGCAATGCCACACGTAGCTCAGCAGAACGATGTAGACATCATCGAGCTCGACTCCTCTCCCGACCTACGCCCGCAAACTCGCGCTCGGCGAGCCAACCGCCCAGCAGGCAAGGGCAAGAAACGCGCGCAGTTCGTCCCGACGGGCGATGTCATCGAGCTCTCCGACTCGGACGTGGAGGCTCCCGTGGTTCATGTACCGCGAAGGCAGCGTCCCTCGCCTGCAGGAGCGGGCGCGCCTGTGGCGGGACCGTCGCGGGTCGTTCAGCTGCCTTTGTTTTTCCCCGGCTCGGACGACGAGGCAAGTGTAGGCCACGCGTCCATGGCCTCTTCTTCGAAGAACGGAGACTCTGTAGATATACCTGGCAACATGGCCAACCTACACATAGGCCAAGTCGCGCCCGCCGCCGCCCTACTTGCACAGCCTGCGGTTCCGGACGTTCCACCACAGGAAGCGCCAGCAATGCCCGTCGATCCCGAACCAAATGCCATGGTGGTCAAAATCCCAGTCGACGACGGCCCCACTCGGAGGGACGGCTACGTTGCGCAGGTCCTGGAAATTGTGCCCGATGTGCTCCCGGAACATGTGCGCACGCTGTTGCAGCTGCACGAACCCGCCTTCAAGGACCGGGCTGTCGAGCAGATCCTGCATACCCTCTTCGAGAATCCAAACTATCCGAAAGCCGAGTCGAAGGGGAAAGGAAAGCGCAAGAGGGAGGATGCAGACGACGAGCGTGAGGCCAAGAGCGTCAAGGTCGACTACGCGAGCACGAACAGGGAGTTTTATGGGCCGATGTATGCTTTACAAGCTTTGGTGCGTATATCTCATTCATCACTTGTAGCTCGTGTTTTCTGCGGATTTTGAGTGTTTAAGCGGCGCGGGGGTTAGTGTTACGCTCGTGTTTTGGGGCCTTGTGGAAGTAGGCGGTGATGGAGATAGACGCAAAGCGACGCCACCGGACGCACTTCTCGCTGAACAGAAGGACACGTTGACATTTACAGTCATTCCAAAGTGGCATATCACTGTGTCACCGGCTCTTCTCGTTCTCTTACCCGTACAAAGGCTTCCCACCACTTACCTGTCTTCCGGATAAACTGAATGGTACATTTCATAGGAACGGCTTTATGTGGACTTTCCTACCGTCCCCGTGGCCCATGTCCGGGCAACGTTCCGGAGTTGTAGCCAGCTATACGCACCCACGTACATTTACCTCCACGAGGAAGCGAACAGCCCGAACCCTCCTTACAGGCCCAAGTCCGCTTCGTCCAAGCGCCAGCCCAAGGGCAAGTTGAAGCCACACGAGGAGCTCGAAAAGGAGATTGCCTGGGTGGAGCTCAAGTTCATGGCGGAACCGGGCAACGCAGCTGGGGAAGCAGCCAGCGCGCCTGCCGCCGCTGTCGTCGCCGCTCCTGCGGAACTGGAGCCCGAAGACGGCGGCATTGAGTGCGGTTGCTGTTTCACGAACTACGCCTTCGTACGTCCCCTCGCATCCTCACTTGACGCGCGACGCTAACGTGCATACAGGACAAGATGATCCAGTGCCCCGACGCGCACCTCTTCTGCCCGGACTGCATGACCTCGTACGCAGAGAACTGCTCGGCTCGCACGACGCGAACATCGTGTGCATGGACCAGTCCGGGTGCAAGCTCGTCTTCCCGGAGTCCGAGCTCAGGCGCTTCCTCACCCCGAAGCTGCTCAGCCTGTACGAGCGCGTGACGCAGCGCAAGGAGATCGAGGCCGCCGGTCTGGTGGGCCTGGAGGAGTGCCCGCACTGCGACTACAAGGTCGTGATCGAGAACGACCAGGAGAAGCTGTTCCGGTGCCAGAACGAGGACTGTATGGCGGTGACGTGTCGCCAGTGCAAGAAGCCCGTGAGTCGGTGTGGCTTGGAGTTTGGTGTGGAGTCTGATGCCGCGCCGCCTAGGATCACCTCCCGAAGAGTTGCAAGGGTACGTCAGGCTGCCTCCGTCGGGTGGTTCGCACTGACAGCGCCTGCAGAGATGGAGGACGACAAGAAGCTTGATGCACGGCATACGATCGAAGAGGCCATGAGTAGGTCTATGTGTTCAACATCCTGACATCATCTCACATCGTTTCGCAGCTGCTGCCCTCATGAGGAACTGCCCTCGCTGCCAGAAAGGTTCGTAGGCTGTTCACTCGCCTTGGTTCTCTGATTGTTGATGCAATACGTCCTCGCATAGCATTCATCAAAGAGCACGGCGTATGTATGCCTTTTGTCGTGGGTGGGCATGGCAGTGACACGAATTCTCCAGTGCAACAAAATGGTCTGCCCGAATTGTCGCACGCTGTCGTGCTACGTCTGCCGCAAGGTCATCAATGGGTATGACCACTTCAACAACGTACGCGCGTCTGTCCCGCAGATTTCGCTTGCTTGTTTCACTGACTTTGACGATGCCCAGCCCCCGCCCTACAATGGCCACAAAGACCCTAACAAGTGCGAGCTATGGGACTCGGTTGAGAAGCGCCACAGCGAAGAGGTGCGTGTGTGCGCTGGAGATATCTGTTCTATCTTGCTGAGATGCTCTGCTGCAGGTAACTGCTGCTGCCAAGAGAGCGGTGGAGGAATACAAGCGCGCGCATCCAGAAGTGGCCGAGGAGGATCTTCGAGTCGACCTGCCGCCTGCGCCCGTCGCGGGCCCCTCCAATGTCCCAGGCATGCCTCAACGTCCCATGCCGGCCCAGCGAGTCTTCGTGGAGAACGACCCTTTCGGCTTACAAGCGTACGGAGGAGGCCTCGTCATGCACCATGCAGCACCTCCGCCCCCTCCGATGGGCCATCCCGACATCGTGGACATCCAGCGCGGCCATCACGCACAAGTAATGGCAATGAGACAGGCACAGGCAGAGATGCAGAGGGCGGCGCGGCTGCTGCGAGCTCAGGAGCGGCTGCGGGATGTCGCGCATCTGGAGGGTCTGGGGTATGCAGCGGCGCCTCCGGCTATGCCGCCGCTGCCCCCGAGGGCTGCGGCGGCGCTCTACTATGCTGGCGACCCTCCGCCGATGTATGATGCTCCCCCGGCGGCTGCGCCACCTCCGCCTCCCGTAGTTGCCGGGCGGGGTGCAGTGAGGCGGGCGAGGGCGCGCAGATGAGTGCCGGGGGTGGTGCCGGTGAACCCTGTGTTGTTGTGTTGAAATGTCTATGGTCTTGACGTCTCTTGCTTCCACGAATCATTAAGCTAGATTATCACCGCGTATTATGTATGCTCATGCTGCATGCTACACATTTTATGGAAATTACTGTATGTGACAATAAGTGTATGTTTGCTTGTCTCTTGAATTGACGAGCTTGCGTGCGAAGACGAAGAGGAGTGCTCGCCTCCCTGTGATGTATATCTTCTGTGTGATGAATCTTCACAGCTCGGTGACCGACAAGCCGAGACGCCCCGATCGTGATGAACCACGACACATGCCATTTTTAGACATGCACCGCTCGCCATCTGCCGGTGACGGTGGCGATTTCCTGAACTGAGGCTATTGGCATCGTACTACACCCAACCAGGCTACAACCACTGCAGTTCTTGTATCGTCGGCCTAGGCGCAATGCGTACACGCTGTAGGTTTACCGCCGTCTGTTCCTCATGATTCAAGTGGCTCGACCGCTGGATTGGCGCGGGCATGGCCCCCGCTGGATGAGTGGCCATACGATGTCCCAGAATGGACGATAGAAGCGGTCGTGTCAGGGCATGGCGGCAGGGAAGATGCTTCGCCCAAGGGCTGGCCCTCAGCGGGCGTCGCTGCATGCTGCTGGCGGCTGGGAGCCCAGGTCGTCTCCCTCCCCCATCTCCCCGGCCGTCTCAGTCTCAGTCCTGCGCCCGACCCTCGCACAGCTGCAGTGCGACGCCGGCGCACACGCCACGACATATAACGCCTCTTCACGGTCTTTTCTTATCATTCCCCGGCATGCCACTCAAGGCTTTCTTCTGGGTACTTCTATTCGCGGCCGCGGTGCTCGGGGCATCGTACGAGGACTGGCAACACCGCTCAATCTACCAGGTGCGTCTCCTTCTTGTCCTCACTCGTGCTTTGAGTGTCGCCCCGCCACGCCCAATCGAGTCACCTGTGTGACTGGATAGAGTCGACTTGCATACTGTATTCACGCACACGACGGCAGGGCCTGTGAAGGCGCATCACTGTTATCCCTATATCCGCTACCCCACTAGAATCTCTTGCAGGCCGCATACTGCGGTCCCAATGCTTTCATCTGGGACGAGGAGCGTAGCGATCAAGCTACTTAGACCATAGCAGGGGCGGCCCGGCGAGCAGGCGTCAGCCGTTCGTGTGCGCGCTTTGAGAAAGGTGGACGATATGGAAACAGCCTGGACCGCCTGGCTGCCTTCGACGGGGAGCGATGTGGTATACCGACGTGTTGAATAGGTACTGGCGTTGCCTCCACTTGAGAATCCAATGTCTGACGTCCTGTTGTCCGAGACGAGGTGGAGCGGACGGCGCCGGGATACGTGACGTTCAGATTGTGATTGGTGCATAACTTATGGCAAAACGAAATCGAGATATCTCCTTTGAGATCTGGCCATTCGGTTTTCGTGTTCAGTGATTTTTGGTCTCGTCATCTACTTTGGATGCAGTGGGATACTGACTGTTCATGTACAGCTGGTGACTGACCGATTTGCGACCTCCGATGGGTCTGCCCCGGCGTGCGACACGTCCGCGCGGCAGTACTGCAACGGCACCTGGCAGGGCGTCATCTCCAGGCTCGACTACATCCAGAGCATGGGCTTCGACGCCATCTGGATCTCGCCCGTCGTCGCGAACCTCGAAGGCGACACCGGCGACGGCACCGCGTACCACGGCTACTGGACCATCGACCAGACGAGCCTGAACGAACACTTTGGCACGGACGGCGACTTGCAGCTGCTCAGCACGACGCTGCACCAGCGCGGCATGCTCCTCATGGTCGACGTCGTCGTGAACCACATGGCCGCGCCGCTCCTGTCTGCGGCTGCCACGAACGCCTCGGCGCCGGCGGTCAACTACACCGCGTTCACGCCGTTCAACAACCAGTCGTCCTTCCACCCGTTCTGCTGGATCACGGACTACGCGAACCAGACGGACGTAGAGCAGTGTTGGCTCGGCGACGCGGCGGTCCCGCTCGCGGACGTGGACACGGAGGACCCGGACGTCGTCGCGTTCTTCAACGGGTGGATCGCGGACCTCGTGAAGACGTATGGCATCGACGGGCTGCGGATCGACACGGTGAAGCACATCCGGAAGGACTTCTGGCCCGCGTTCGCGCAGAGCGCGGGCGTGTGGAGCATCGGGGAGGTGCTCGACGGTGACATTGCGTACGTTGCGAACTACACACGTGCGTATCTCAGAGGTCCGTTCGCTGGTGGTGGACGCTGACGGCGTGCGCACGGCAGAGGTCCTCGACGCGGTGCTCGACTACCCGAACTTCTACCCGTTGACGCGCGGCTTCCAGAACAGCTCGGGCGACCTATCGCAACTCGCGGCGTCAGTGCGCGAGGAGCAGCAGGCGTATAGGCTAGGCACGTTCATGACGGGCGCGTTCCTCGAGAACCAGGACAACCCGCGCTTCGCGTCGCTCACGACGGACCAGTCAGTGCGTACACTCGTCCCGTCCCGTCGGACCATGATACCGTGATGTGAAGGTAGCTGATGATTCAAATGTTCTCTTTAGCTCGTCATGAACGCAATGTCATGGTATTCGTGCAGGACGGGGTGCCGATCTTGTACTACGGCCAGGAACAGGGGTATGCGGGAGGGGACGACCCGTACAATCGCGAGGCGTAGGTTCTTCTTTCTGTTCCGTCCGTGTGACAATCGACGGAGACATTCGTGCAGGCTGTGGCTCTCGGGGTATGAAGAGGATAAACCGCTTGTCATGCACGTCCGCGTGCTCAACGCTGCGCGCAAGGCCGCGATCGCGTGGAACAACGCCTCCTTCCTCAGTACACCTGTGAGTCCCTTTTCGAGAGGTGAAGCTGACGGGCGATCATCTCACACATTCTATACAGCTCGACTTCCCCGTGGCCTCCACCTCGCAGCTTGCTGTCTCGAAGTCACCGCTCCTCGCGCTCCTCGCGAACACCGGCCAATCGTCCTCGCCGAGCTGGTCCGTTCCCAGCACGAACTACACCAAGGGCGAGGAGCTCATCGACGTGTTGAGCTGCGTGACGACCAAAGTCGGCAGCGCCGGTGCGGTGGCGTGGACGGGGAGCTCGGGGATGCCTGCGGTGCGTGTATCATTTGCGTTGAGGACGCACCGCTGACGCCGGAGCGACAGGTCCTTCTGCCGACGTCGGTGTTCAACGCGAGCTACTGCAACACGCTCAAAGGCGATGTCAGTGGAAACGCGGGCAGCCCGTGGGTCGCGCAGTCATCTGGGAGGGGGCTGGGCTTGAGCGTGGCCGGTGCGCTGGTCGCTACGGCCTTTACCATCTGGTCTCTCGCTACGTGGGCGCTCTAAGCGAGTGGAGCCCAGGTTAGAGTTGGATGTACGCTGCCGTAGTGGTTGTAGACTCGGATGATGGTCGGCTTGTTGGTTGTGATATTTGGGACGTTCGGACAGACTGGACTTTCAGCATGACGATGTAGATCTCTGTACTGTTGTATCAGTTTGTTTTGTAGACGTGTGTGTTGTACAGTACTCAGCTCGATGGCTGTAGATTGTACGTAGACTGTTGAAGGGTGGCCTTGTTTCGGTTGTTCAGTAGTACCGTGATAGGGCCTGGCACAGTGATCTGCGTTCAAACGTTCAAGGTCAAGGTTAGTCTCCCCATAGTCCTAGGCATACCTTGGGCATACCTCAGAGAAGATTTGTTGACGGTGGGGAAGGCGGTCCTCTATGGGTCACGGTGGCAACGAGGACTTTGCTGACCTTGACGTCGGAGGAATGGCACTGCGTCCGACCATAATGAAGGGCGTGAATATTGAATGACGAGTATTAACTCGGTGGTACGAAGCATTGTACGACTAAGATCTCTTGCATTGTGAGAGCAATCGACAAGTTGATTCGGTCGGCGAGCGCGAGTGTCTACGGGATTAAGTCAGATATAACAAAAGTAGGGATCTGGCGGACAAACAGTACTCATGCAAAACTCACGTCAATTTTCCGCCACAACATAGAAGTCTGAACTTCCCACCTCATCGTTAGATGCGGTACCATCAGCAGCGTGCCCTTGATATGCGCGATGCCGAGTCAACAATCCTACTCAGGCAGGGACTATTTCAGCGGTCCGAGTCGTACATCACCGTGGGAGGGCATTGGCATTGCATGGAGCATAGAGGGGCTATGATACAGTATATACACAAATGGGGGACATGTCCGAGCTACCATAAAATACGCTAGCCAGCGCACCTAACTGTGGCTTGGAGGGAGGTAAGGTCTACCTATGCCCCGGGGTTAGCTCGATTAGACGCTCCTTGCCGGCTTGAACAAGCTCCTTGTATGTAGCCTCGCGGAAAGTAGGAAACAGGTGCGGTTGCATGGACGGCGCGATGTGGAGCTCGGGCTGGTAGGTGATCCCAGCGACGTGATGCAAACTGACCAAATAGATACATTCCTTGGTTAAGCCGTACTTCTTGACCGTGGCCATCCCCCAACAGCGGTGATCTGGCGGTGACTCTAAGCGATCGGCGTAGCATTTCTGGAGATGGTATCAGCATCGACGCCATCCTAGCGGAGATACAGTAAGATCACTCACGTCCATCGCCTTCCGGACGATGCCACCGACCGCCCGTGCGAGCTCTATACTGGTGATATGGCCAGTCTTGGTCAAGAGTTGAACGTCCTGTGCGACCTCCGTTCTAGCCTTTTCGTGGTTGGGCCACTACATGACGCATCGGTCATAGTCAGCCGTGCCGTTGAGCGAAGCAAGAATGAGGAGATAAATACATACCTGGACCCTGACCTTGATCTTCTTGCTTTCTGGAATCTTCTTGCTTTCTGGAAACTTCTCGAAAGAGTTTTGGAACGGAGTGGCCAATCCATCCGGGATCGTGTCCGTCCGGTTCTCCACCGTGAGCGTGCGCATGTCGATGCCACGCCTGCCAAAATACACCGACGGGAAAAAGCCCTCGGGATATTTCTCACTTTTGGCCTTTGTCGTCGTTGCATAGGTCTGAGGAAGGAGATACATTCCCGTAGCTGCATTCCAGGTGGCCCGGGTGCAGCCACAAGTTTGTGGCCTGATGATCGCAGGGAACAGTCGAGGTGGCCTCGATGGAGCGACTTGGAGCTCGGGTTGATAAGTGAACCCGCCGACGTGGTGAATGGCGTACAGGTAGACGCAGCGCTTTGTGAGGCCGTCTTCTTCATTTGTGCTCACCGCCCAGCAGCGGTGGTCTCCAGGACGGTTGTTTTTGACTCGCTACGAGAGGGACTGTCACTTGATTCCGTCTCGCCCACAGAGTGCATCACTTACCTCCATCGCCCTCATAACAATCTGACCAACGAGGAGAGCAAGCTGGGCTTTGGTCGAAGGAATTCCAGGACGGTTCGCGGCCTCGAGAGGTACGTATTCTCCGTGTGCCGTATCTAGAGGGTCGTGATCGGGCCACTTAATAACACAATCAGAGACTGGCGAGCAGAGCATTTGCAATATGATACTTACGTTTACTTTCACAAGTATTTTGTGGTCATTGCCAACCCGAACCTGGTCGAACGGCTTGTCCCAGCCAGGATCTCTCATCATATTGGCGATTTCTTCGAAATTATTTGTCCGGCTGAGCGCATCGATGGACAAACCCCTTCCGAAATAGACTGAAGGGTATGACCCGGCGAACAGTTGCCTAGCCAAGTTCTCGTCCACAAGGGCAGGACGCTGAGGGAGTATATCCCGCCTAAGTTCGTAATCGTGGTCTGCAGGGGTGCAATGGCAAGCGTTCATGATGGTTCGTAGTGAACAAGCACAGGGAAAGCAAGGGAATGTCGAGCGACGCTGGTGGACAACCACAAGAATTAGCACCGGGGATTTATAGGCAGCAGTGTGGCCCGGGGACCACGCCACAGGGGCAAGAACAAAAGCCAATCGCCCTGGAAACGGTCAAAGGTGAGATGGTGGCGCTCACCGTGCTGCGGCCAGCGGATCGGGACACTTGTCAAAGCCAATGCAGACGGTCCAAACTGCGCTGTGTTCTGGTCTTCACAAGGGGGGAGAACAATGCCATTTTTGGATTGGTTGCGAATCGACGAACTTGCGATGCGTCGGCTACAATCTGTAGAAAGATGTGTCAACAGGTGTCAACGCAAGGGAAAGGCTCTAGGCCAAAGCGGACAGAGCATTACACGTTGAAAGAAGGGCTCAGGCAGTCCGTGTTCGAAGCTCTGTCGTGCGGTGCAGACTACATTCAGGATGGCTACCGGCCACATTAAGGCTCCCTCGACTTTCGAGCGGTATTGAGGATTGATCCTATGCGACCTGAAGGGGTTTCGGAAGACGTCAACTTAAACGGCTGACCACATACCATTGAGGTCATCCCAGCGACCTAGTGGATGGTAATGCGATATGGCACGCACTCCGGCATTAATCCGAGCCCGTCACTTTCACCAACCACCAGTGCCTCTGTATGAGAGAATGATATCTCCGGCAACATTGCGTCAGTTTGTTGATTACTGGATTACAATAAGGGAGACGTTATTCAGTGTGGCTTCTCGGACAGTCTAGTTGGCAAAATCCTTTGATAACGTACTGCTGGCTAGGCTGGTGTCAGGAGTGCAGTATTCACCTCACGCTGCCAGTGAAGTAGATCGTCGCCGTACGTCCGAGAGTGCTACTGATTTTCATCAATCGGTTATGCATTCAGCTACATTTTCGATACGCAAAACGCTCAAAAGAACGACATACGTGTACCCTCCGATCAGTAAACACTGTGGCGGGTAAGTTCTAGGGATGGATGTTTGATGTGAAGATCCCGTTCATCGCTGAGCTCGAGCCCTTGGGACCGAATGATGATGCGAGCACCTCAGGTCCCTCGATGTCTACACGCCTTCGGTGCCAGAGTAGCTTCATGATAGCTGTTGCATAACAGCTCGATAACTGCCAGTGTAGCCCTCTGCGGCTAAGCGGAATGCGATTATCCCAGAGAAACGTCACTGCGAAGCGTACAGTTGTCAGTATGTGTACGTTGGCCTATATGCCATCGATGCCCTGGATGCCGGACATGGGGGCTCGAGCTAGGTCAGATTCTATGGCGGTACCAAAGTGGTCACGGAGTTATCTTCATGAATTGACGACAGAGAGAGACGACGACATACATGCAATATATTGGTGTTTGCCCAAGCGCGGCTTTATCTGCCGGTGAGCCAAGTAGCCTACGAACTTGTGATTCAATTGCTTGCGGAGCATCAGGAAAGCGTCACTGCGTCTAACTTGTCCTAACCTGTCTAGCCCACCTAACTCGTGCCTAATCCATCTCACTGTCTAACAACTTTCGGCCTCTGCGGCGAATTACATATCTTCAGCAGACATGTATATTACATTGATAGAATACAATGCAGTAACAAATCATAGAAAGAGCATAGCATTGCGAGGCAAATATCGTACTACGTGCTGCACAACTCAGCTTCAAATGCTTCTGTTCACGAGATGTAAGGCTTGGATAGACGTGCAGGTCAAGACAGTGGGTGAGCGGTTAATCGGGTGGGCAGACAAGTGGACGGGCATGCCTAGAGCGAGCAGCGAGAGGATGTAGGTACAGGCAAGCGAGTGGGCGAACAGGCGAAAGAGCTGGCGAACGACGAACGGGCGCGGGAGAAAACGAGCAAGTGAACAAGGGGGTGCGCAAGCAAACGAGCAAGTGAATAAGTGGTCGGGCGAGCGGATGGACGGTGGGCAGACCAGTGGGCGAGCATGCCTAAATAAGTGAGCAAGAACCCGCCATCCTCGCTGTCTTCCCTGCTTGCTCGCGCTGACCTGTCCCCGCTCCTCACACGCCATCTAGTGAATTGCAGGTCCACGGGTCCGTGAGCGGGTGGACGGGTGGCGAGCAGATGAGTGGGTGCACGAGGCGAGGCGGTGCGAGTAGGTCGTCCGACCGCGCACATGGTTCCGAGAGCGGTCGGGGAATGGAGGCGCGGCGACAGGGGCGCAGGCGTGTGGACATTCATCGGGGACAGACTTGTTGAGCACGGACCGGGGCGCGTTGAGCGACGACGTGTGCGTCGACACGTCTGGCGGGGTGGCTTGGCGGGCGCGAGATGTGCTGTGCGTCTTCACATCTTGCGGGCATCAGCAAATGTGCACGTTGCTTATTCTGGGCTTAAACACCTTAATAAGTCGATCAAGGGCATTCAGTGAATAAGTGATCGTGCTTAATTAACGAGGTACCATTTCTTATTAAGGGGCGTGCTACTTGAACTGTCTTAATCAAGCTCGACTAAGTCGTGTGCTAAGCTGACATTAAGACTTGTAATCGTGGATCAAGTGGCCTTCAAGAACATCGATCTATCCATTCAAATCGTTCCATGGGACACAAATATATTCCGGAAATATGCCAATTCATTCTACAGTGTACAGGTCTGTCGTATGGAATTACAATATACTACTGTATTCACTGGCGTACACGAGCTGGGCATGGGCACCAATGACCATACAGAGAGCCGATCCGCGGGCAAGTAGGTAGGTCCATGGGCAATTGCGTGGACAGTTGCGTGCGTGGGCGGCTGGCTGGCCGAACGGGTGCACGGGAGCGCGGGCGAGAGGCGGTGCATGCTAAAAGGGTTGTGGGTGAGAGTGAGTGCAGGTATGTGGACAGGCAAACGGGTGGGTAGGCAGACAGAAAAGCGGGCAGGCCGCAGGCGGGTAAGAGGGCGATGACGAGAGCGTGAGGGAGAGCGGGCGAGAAGGCGACGGCAATGGGCCATTGAGTGCATGGGCGAGCGAGCAGGCAGGCGAGCGAGCTAAGCCAACGAGAAAGCAAGGGTGAGTTGCAGCGCGGGCGACATAGCAAGGAGGGCGAGGGCGGGTAGAGGGCAAACGAGTGAGTGAGCTAGCGATTGAGCGAAGGTGGGCAGGCAAGAGCAGGCGGGCGGGTGCAAGCTAGTGAGAGAGCGAGCTGACGAGAAGGCGAGGGCAGAGAGCTATCGAGAAGGCGAGCGCGGTGAGCTAGTGAGAAGGCGAGCGCGCGAATAGGCAAGAATGTACAGATCGATGGACAAGAGGGCGAGCGAGCGGGCAGGCAAGCACAGGCTCCTCCGAGTCAGGCGTTGTGCGCGCGCGCAGTATTATCTGGTGCTCGGTGTTCTCTAGCGACAGGTTCGGCAGGAGACTTGAAGCTTGAAGGGCTGTACTCACCTTTGTATCTCGAGCCGTGCAATGACTCGAGGCTGCGGCGCCGCTGCGCGCCATGCCGCTCCATATCTGTGCATTTAATGAGGAACCGTGACTTGGGATGCATATGCCATGCACCAGAACGTTGGACGTTGCGATTGGACTTGCGCGTTGGACGTTGGACGGTCAAATGTTGGGTTGGAGGACGTTGACGTTGAGCGCTTGAGCATTGCGGGCGACGTGTCATCGAAGTCTGATTGGATTTCCGTTTAGGGCAAGCCGCTGTGGCACTTAGCACGGAAACGACTGCGCCATTTTTCAACCTTCATCAGCAAGCGTACGTCGTCCAGCTTCGTCCATGAACTGCTCGGAAACATAACTACGAGGCCGCCAAGTACTAGCCCTCGCTCCTGCCCACTGTCCCAGACTCTTGACTTGCCTTGCCGCGCTTTCACCCGTTACGCCGTTCACCTGGGTCTCCACTCGCCACTTCCCACCTCTTCTCACTTCTCGCGGCTCTGGCGACCCGCAATCTGGCCGTGCCGACTCGCACGATTGGGAATACAGGAGAGCATTGAGAAGTAAGGGTGTAGCGAGTACAGAAAGCGGTCAGAAGGCTCGAGATCTGCAGGTATGTCCTCTTGAATTGAAATGCTCATCTTGTCTCCGAGTCTTCTTCCAGACCCCACATTCCAGTACCTGAGCTGCCAGCGACGTAACGAGAAGAACGCTGTGCACGCTGCCAGCAGTGGACATGGGGCATTCGTTCTACGGTTCAGACATTGCATGCGATTCAGACGTGTAGCTGCACGTTCGAACACTCATCTACGGCCGCATGTCACGCAGCGGACACGCTGAGCTGATTTCCAGGTGAGGATGTTGCCGACGAGCGTCCCCGGCGTGTCTAACATCGTCACAACTTGCGAATGACGAGACCGCGGTGCGGTCTACGGGGTATAAGGCAGCACAGTGATCCGAGTCATCGTGCTTGTCGTGCGCTCTTCGAACAACCATAACGGGGCATCGCGCCTAGGTCGCGGTACGTCTTATGTGCCTGCGACTGCCACCTTGCGCGACGAAAGTCACAGAGTGCACCACGAACTGAATTAGATCAGTACCTCAGGTCTTGCCCACTTGCTCGCCGTTCGCTCACACACTCGCCCGCCCATCCGCTTGCTCATTCACGCACGATCGCCCGTGTACTTGCCCCACACGTTCGCGAATCGCACGTTCGGTGGCTCGCCCGTCAACTCGCTCGCTCTCGTCGGGTGACGATGACTCTACAGCAATCAGTATTAGCACAGAATGCGTGCTCACAAGGTGGGCTTTTCGTATTATACGACGAGACAATGGTAGCATATTAGTAGAGGGACTGGCCAGATGTAATGTACCCTCCTCGACGAATCTATATACTATTCGGTAGTCCGTGTCTCAGCTGCCTCGATAATCATTATGCAGACTTCGAGGATTGCATTCGCCAGAAAGTGATTACATACTTGATTGTACGATGTTCCTTACTCATGCTTAATATCTGCTTACTTCTATCCTTACTATTTCGCGCTCGTTTGATCAAGTACGCAAGGAGAGTAAGTGATTTTCAAGCAAGAATCTAAGACGTGAAGGCTCGTAAGGTCCGTCAAGACGTGCTAAGTAACGTGCACATTTGCTGATGGGGCCTCGTCTGCACTTGCCTTTGCAAGACCTGTCCGCCGGGCTTGAAGACACAGTGTTGGTCGTTCGCATTGGTGTGACCTGTCGTGGCCTCGATGTGCGCGTCGACGCGTCGGACTCGCTGTCGCGCGGTGCGCCAGTTTGCAGTTGCTCGACCTCAGTGCTTGGCCTGGCGCCTGCGAAGCGACTACCGAGTGTGGTGGTCTCGCACCACTCGGTACTGGTCTGGACGACTTCGTGACGTTCTTGCGGTGTCGCTGGTGGGATCTCCGGTGGGCCGGACGTAGTTGGTACCGTGTTGCTCGTGTTTGAGACATGAGCGAGCGGGCCTGTCGTCCGCCTTCTCACCCGCCTACTCGCTTACTTGCGTTCACGATGCACGTTCGATGGCCGTGTCTGCGTGCTGGGCACTTGCCCACTGTGCTTGCGGTTGTCGTACGTGTCGTGCTGCACGACGACGCGCCCGCCCACCTGTTTACTCTCCCGCCGAGTCAGCTCCACTCATCGGGCACCTGTGCACGCTGTCCACTCACCGGCCCCCCTGATGACCCTCTCATTCGTCAGATTGCTTGTCTACCTGCACACCCCTCCGCCGGCTCGCCCACTTGTTCGTCCACCCGTCCTTCTGCCCGTGCCCGTGGTCCGCCCGTCGGCTGCATTTGCATGCGGGGCATTCGCCCGGCGCACTCGTGGTCGGCGCGTGTGTCAACCGCGTCCCGTTCGCTTGCTCACGCGGCCAGCACCCGTGTCGTCCCCCGCTTGTGTGCCCGCCGGCACACCCACCCGCTCGTGTACCCACCCGCCCGCGCAGCCCCGCAGTCTTGACTCTTCATGTTCAGCACGGACAAGACCCGAGCTGCCGTACCGCGGCATGCGAGCCGAACCGCCGTCAAAGGCAATCTAGTGGACTTGGTAGTTGTTCATCTTGAGGTCACGGAGGACCTTCTCGACGGGCTCGAGGGTGGTACTACAGAAGAAGTTGTTGTACAGCTCTTCGAAGCGAGCGAGGAGTAGATCGCGACGACGTGAGCGCTGAGTGCTACGAAGACTCGGAAGAATTTACTTACTGTACATCGTTTTTGAACGTTGAAACTAGGTTGGAGACGACTTAGAGCTGTTGCACGTTGCGCAAACTCGCCCAAGGCCGCTGCGCGTCTGCCCTAAAGCGAAATCCAACTCCGCTCTGAGTCACACGGCGTGCGCCTGCATCGCTGGCACGCCTCCCTCACAATGGCGACCCATCCTCGATGCCACCTGGTACTCGTACTCGATGTTGGCTGCTCATGCGAGGTTGCGCAATGGACTGTTCCCATTGTCGCAGGCTCGTTTGTTGCGATCACATCTCAGGTCGGGGCACTCTGGCCGCTTGCTCGGAGCGGCTTGAGTGCCCCATCTACCTGCTCGATTCTAAGTTCTACTCTTCCTGTTCACGAGAAACATATCTGATCGCGTGTCCCTCGTTCAGCTGTCCCGTCCGACTTCGTTGCAGGTAATACTTGCCATCCCGCGTCTCCTTGCACTCGCTGATGCGTCGTTTGCAGCACACACCTCACGGTGTGGCCGCCACCTCGTCGTGATGCTCACCGACAACCGACTGCTTCTCATTGAAGATTTCGAGCGCGTCGTGCGCGGCCAAGTCTCCCTCGTGGACGCCGCGCTCGAGGTGAACATCACGCTCCCCGAGAACGTGATGTTCATCGGCGTCTACTTAGCCTACGAGTTTGGGCGCGTCAGCGTGGTCACGGTGTGTCCCCATCTAAATGTACTCCCCCACGCAGACCTCGGGGGTGTACATCTTCACGCTCGACGCAGTCGAGCACCTGCTCAGAGACCCGTCCATCCCGCCCTCGCGAAACAGCCTCTCCCTCAGGCTCATCTGCCCCTCCTCCTCCCCGTCTTCGCCTGGGCGACACAGACAAGCTCTACGTCTTGCCGGAATGCATACCCATCTACCGCGAGGTGCTGCGATACTCCACCGTCATCACGCCCAACTGGTCACAAGTAGATTGGGTGACCCGTGTCTCACACCGAAGGATTTGTTCGGACAGAGTACTAACGGACACCCGCATAACAGACCTCGCCTCCATCCGCAAAGCCCTGCATGTCATGCATGAAGACTACCACGTCCCCGACATCATCATCAGCTCTTTCCCACTCAAAGCCTGGGTCTGTGTGGCCCTCGCGCCCGCGGCGCAGCCCACCGACACGGACAGCCCCGACACCGACTTCCTCGCCTGCATCTCGGCTTCCGCCTCTGCCGAGCAAGGGGCGGCTCGCCCCGTGTCTGCGCCTACGATGCATGCGCGCTGAGTACCGTGCCTCCCCAGCTACTTCTCCGATGTCACGGTGGGTGACCTCTTCTCCACCTTAGTCCTCGGCCACTTCCAGCTTGCGCCCTCCGTCCCCTCCGCCAACGCAGAGTTCGGTGCGGAGAAGGAGACGCTGCTGGCGCCCGCAGTCGCACACGCGCTGAGCAAGACGCACGCGCTCCTCACGCTCACGCACGAGCACACGGCGGGCCTGCCGGAGGCGGACACGCTGCCGACGGACGAGGAGCCAGACGCGGGCGAGCCCGAGAGGAAGGTGTGGCGGATGAGGGGACGCGAGCTGAGTCGCTCGCAGGCCAGCTTTGGATCACCACTCAACGCGTGCGACGGGGATGGCGGCGCTCCGAGTCTTCCTGGAGCTTGCTCTCCTCGAGGTTCATTGGCACAAATAGTGACGAGTATTGTACTTTGTGTTCGTAGATTATTTGCAATATTCATTCCTGATACCTGATTGCATGAGTGGTTTGATTGGCTTTGGTACGTCTACTGGTCTCCCGGCCTAGCAACCTAATGGTCTAACACTGGTCTAACACATGTCTGATTTAGAAATGGATCTACTTAAGTTAGACACTCGATCTAACGAGTCTAAGTGCCTAAATGCCTGAATTAGGCGAGTTAGACATGAAAGTCACTTTGCTGATGAGGCGCGTCATTGATTCATTCGTGAGTCAGTCGTTGCAGACAGGGTAAACGTCAAAAGTCAGACATAGCTTCCAAGAGTCAGTGCCAGTGACGTGTGACTGTAAAGGGGAATAAGATTACAGAGATTCGGGCGGGGATAAAAATATATTTGATGGGATGTGGCTGAGGTGTGGCGGGTGAGGATAGGGACACAAAGCACAGTTTGCAGACTCGATATTTCGTCCCCTTTACCCCCCGAAGGCTGATGTGGAGGAGCCTACAGTGACGTCGAAAAGATGTATCGACTCGGAGTCAAACCTTGCAGCTTCGGTCCCCCCCAATCCAATTCCATTGTTGTTGACATTGTTTTAGTATGAATCCCGATATCGGCCGACTGGCGAAATGGCATCGCGTTTGACTACGACCAACGGCTTGTGTAATGCTTACGTAAGGTTCGACCCCTGCGTCGGTCATTTCTTTTTTTTTCTCGTTGCCAGTCCACATTCCAAGGCAAGTTGGCGCAGACCGACCACTTGGCACAGGATGATGTTTGCCTTTTGTGTTTCATGTTCTCATCCTCGAACCTACGCTGATGGTCCGAGCGCATATTTGGAAACTGGAGGCAAGAGGCTTATCGGCGCTGAGCCGTTCGTCCTCTCAGAGGCGGCGTATGCTTGGTTGACTTTGAACGAGACGACCTCGTCGGCGGTTGTTGGAACCATCGTTAACGGTCCCTTCGCATGTCCCCAGCCAATGTAAGACGAATTGACGCTGGTATGTTCCTCTGTTTGTTTGACCAACAGTATGGGTTGCCTTCGACATGTCCAGGCGTAGGGAACGCTCAACTGTTCGACATTTCGCATGTGATGTCTTGGATGACTTTCTCATGGACATTGCAAGAGATGGGCACGATGGTGGACGTTCGAAGGAAATGATTGATTCATATTTATGCCAAGCCCTGTAACTCTCTTTGGAATGCAGTCTCAATTTTCACAATCGTGAAGTCGTGATGACATGGCATGCTGACGAATTAAATTAGGGGTGAAATCATCGGAATATAAGTAATATCAGCTCGTCATTGATAGTTCAGGCCCTCTGATCCCCATGTTCTACTCGTCGTTCAACAGGAGTAAGTCGCCAGACGACCTAGTTGCGGTGTCAGTCCAGTGGGAGAAGGTCAAGAGCAAACACACATACCAGTGAAGGGACATTTAAGGCGACTTGCACGCGTATGGGCCATCCAGGATGTAGGCCGTGACGCTCGGGTCCGAGGTATAGTTCATCGTCAGGTACTCATACGCCTCGTGGGACAGGATAAGTCCCTCGGTCGCAGAGTCCACGACCTGGATCTGCGCAAAGTTTCCAGCGTACTCCAGGGTGTAGCACTGTCCGCAGTCACTGGAGCTGCCGTCGGTGACGTTCACGGATCCTGCGATGTAGGGGAACTCCGGGAGGGCGCTGTATACGGTGAAGTGGCCGAGCGACGACGCACAGACAAGCGTGCTGACGGGCGTGGACTGATTGTCGTATTTGGTGCTGAAGGAAACGTTGACGGCCGGTTCGGGGATCTGTGCGAGCGCGAACGAGCTGGCGGAGAGCGCGAAGATGGCGGAAATGACGGGGCTATACATCGCTGAGGATTTGGGTTGCGGTGAGGGCTGTTCTTGGAGTACGTTGAACGGGTTTTTGCCTGGTGCTGTATGTCCCAGACTAATGTAGGTCTTTATATACCTCGTCTGCTCGAAGCGCCTCGCTCGCGAAGTCGAAGAAGTTGCTTACACGCAAACGCGAAACTCAATGGGCATCGCTCGCCGCCACGGACAACTTGCCGACGGTCGGTCAGATTGCACAGCTGTGGGGCTTCTACAACACAGCGAGTAGACCGGGACGCGCTTGCTAGTGCCTACTGGACGTCAACATGCAAAATGTCAACAAGCCGCGGATTTATTTTCGTTTCGGAGCGTTCTTTTTCTGCGCTAAGCATATCAAGGCAGTTGCTGCACCACCCGGCGAATGGAAAACGCATGCGCCACGTCCTCGGCGTCATTGGGGAAACCTGAGGGAAACTTAAGGAAAACACGATCAATCGTCACAACTGTCGATGGGAGTACGTACTAGTTTGCTTCATAACGAGAAGCACAGTGCAGAAATTGATCTCATGCTGTGGTAGCACGCCCGCGATGTATGAGGTCGACCGGACTACAAGCGACGGTCTCATACGGCGACAAGTGTGAGTTGAGACTTATTCAGTCTAAAAAACCTCGTATGCCAGTCAACTAGACAGTAAGAGTGCATAAGTCAATTAAAAAGTGTGTCTAGGAGTCAGAAATATCACCACTTCCCCAGTCCTTGACAATGCTAGGGATCCTGAAGCAGTGATCACCGTGACTGGCAGTAGTACTGGAGCAGCCGCAAAATGTCTGAATCAGCGAGTTTCAACAACGGTATGTTGGGCCTCGCAAGATTGCATCACCGTAGCTCTTCTCTACATCTCAGCATCAGCATGTCAGATGCCTGCCATGTGTTCTTCTGGATGATGGACTCGGACGCGGCGACTCGTCACTGCAGTGAGAGTTGGTTAGCCTCCAGGTCACCCCAAGTGCAACGCCGGTACCTTGGACAGATAGTTTCAGTGTTCATCCCAAGGGCGCATACTTGAGGTCATAGATACTTCAAGTTGTAACTTGAGTCGTTGCAAGGTGGCTTCATGCGAATCGTATTGAAGACGAGTCCTGGCTTGACGATCACGTGAGCGCGTTTGACGTGTCGCGTTGTCGTATGAGAATAGGGCGCTTACCATCTCAACAGCGAACAACGACTTCAGAATGAGTATTGCGGACCCCTGCAACAATCTGGCCCTTCCACCCTGCGTAGACATTCTCCGGCTGATGACATATCTTCCCGCTGGCGACATATCTGTGTCATACCTCAATTCATTGAACTGTCAATACGCTCGGGCTGAACGTGACGCAGCCGTCAAACATACTAAGGGGCGAGGAACTGATACTGATATTTGACATTGACTTGACAGGTATACAACGTTCTGTATGGTCTCGTATTTGGCCAGGCAACAGTCATGTCTAGCCCTCTCCAATCATGCAAGGTACGCTCTTCGCTCGGCTTATGAAGTCTCATGAGAGCGAAAATCACCGGAACTTCTCACATGTACGTCTCTTGCAATATGTATCTCATGGCACTCGTTGAACTCGCATTTACATCCCTGACCCTCGCGTATCCCCAGCCCTCGGTGTACGTGACGTACACCGCTCAGTACGACAACTCTTCCGTCTCAGTCGACACCTTGTCATGCGGAAGTGTTCTCTCCTCAGAAGGTTACACGACCTACGGCTCCATCCCCCGCTACCCCTACGTTGCCGGCTACTACGGAGAAAATACAACCTGTGGCCAATGCTACTCGCTGAACTACGAGTCGACGTACCTCACCGTGCAAGTCATTGACTACTATGGAGGCGGGTTTGCGCTACCGACGGAGGCATACGCCTGGTTGACGACTGGATCTACGGATGGGCCGATTACCGGTGAAGGTATCACGGCGTACCTCGCCGACGGCCCTTTCAATTGCAACTGAACGAACTATATCATTACAAAGTAGGCACCCAACTGGCTGCTGAGCAGTCCCGCCATCTCTAACCCTTTATAGTTTTGTCGACCATGTCCCGTTGGGCGGTTGGAGTGCGATCGGGGACTCGAAGGGTTCGAAGGTTCAATGAGTGGTGGTGGGCTGTAAATGCACGGGCGTTACTTATGTTCGGGGATCGCGGCATTACGGAGGCAGTATATCCATCTAGACATTTTAAAGCCGGGCTGTATGCGCACGTCTCCGTGACCTTGTCGAGGTAAGTTAGGTGGCGACGTTCACTAGTCGGTCGGTTTTTTGTCAGCGAAAACTTGGCGAAAACACACATCGGTGTTTACCTCTGCATTCGAATTCTGCCTCAGTATCAAGGCCAATAAATGACGTCAAGGACAGTGCTCCCTTCGCTGCCTTCCGCATCCAAGGTTGCGGCTTCGCGTCTCTTCGTGTGCGGACAGATAATACGAGGCGCTACCTGTCAAAGTGAGACGATTGCTGTGTGACGCGGCGCTGTATTATGTCCTGCGCCTCCGAGACACGTGTGTCGCGTTTCAATGCGCGCATCAAAGCGCCAGAAACGTCGCGTCAGAATCGAACGCAGGATTCACATGGGGCCTGTTGCCCCTGCGGACTTCCCCACGTCGGCCACCATACAGCGAGAAGGCATCGCCTAGCATCGAACCCACTCCTCTCAGACCGGAACGTGTGACGTACAGAGACGCGGTGGTAGAACACCGTTCTTTTGGGCTGTGCAGTGCAGTGTGCACGAGTCGGAGGGTACATAAACTTGCCCCAGAGCTAAGGGACTGATCAGCCGTTCGCGTGACCAGCGTCGACCACTCACCTTCACTTCTGAGCAACGCCGCCTACGATGCGTTTCTCCATTCTCTCCTCGATTGCCGCGCTCTCCGCGAGCACCCTCGCATTTGCTCAGATCACGCCTCCTGTATACGAGGAAACCTCGTTCAGTTCCAAGTACACCAATACTGATGCATCCGTCGACATCCTCACCTGCGGCTCTCAGCTCGCTGCTGAAGGGTACACCACCGTCGGTGCTATCCCCGGTAACATCGCCGGGTTCGCCAACATCACCAGCGCAGACTCTTCCCTCTGCGGGCAATGTTACACCCTGGAGTACGCGGGGGCGTTCCTCACCATTCGTGTCGTGGACACGGCGGAGACCGGCGTCGTGACCACGAAGGGCGCATATGAGACTCTGACGGGAAACCAAACGCCGATCCCTACCAGTGTTGATGCTCGGGTTTTGGAGGGTCCTACTAGCTGCTGAAGCTTATAGCGCTGAAGGTGAGTACACCGAGAATACCAGACTTCCGGATATCTCTGAGCCGCTTCATGTTACAGCACTACCTACAATAAGTACAGCCTATACACACATCACAATTAATTAGGAATGTGACGTACAGGGAGCTCCGAGTCGAGATCTGATTTAGAGTATATGGTGGTTGAAGTCGGCCTTGAGTCGAGGCACAGCGGTAGTGCAAATGAATGCAAACCTGGATCGCATATCTTCTAAGTTACGCCATGACCACGCAGAACTGAGCCCAGTATAACAAGAAAGAAAGGGAACCAAACATATGATCCTCGAAGCTGTTTGACTCAAGCACGTCACCGGAAGACGATTGAGGAGCCTCCTCGTCCGCGATGTGGCTGAAGTCGGAGTTCGATCTCAGATTATGAATGTACCAACCTGCGGCAGCCACAGTACTTACTGGGCACTCTGTCAGGCCTCCACAACTCTTGTATACTTCATGCGAAGCACCGCGACAGTACACGCTCAACATCGGGCACTAGTGTTACACTTTGCGCTTGCACTCCTTGCGCGTGACTTGTGAACACCGGTTTTCGCGGAACATTCAATCGCCTTGCCATAAGCATAGTACGCTGCAACCCAAACTCTTGCTCTGGATCACGACTTCGGCGCTGTCTTCACAGGAATAACCTACTATTATGGACAGCTGGATTCTCGTAGCACCAGCCTTTCTCAACGGCTTTAGGCAACCTCACGCAGAGACACCGGCGACACCGCGTAGCGGACGTAGTGCCGCTGACAGCGCGTTCGGATTCTCGGAATACGCTATGAGCCGCGATCACGTTTCAATGAAATGTATTGACTCGGTCATGGTCCAGGCTAAGTACCTCTTGCGTAAAGCAGCCATTCCTAGGCCAGGTGCCTCACCCTTCTGTCAATTTTTGCATTAGCCTCAGTCGAACGTTTGTCATGAAGTGCTGTGGCGTCCCGCGCAAACGTTGAGCGCTGTGTTAGCGGCGCTCCTAATGACAGCCAACGCACGCTCTCCTAGTACGTCTTTGCATTCTTCACTCCTGAACGCATATCATATCGTGATGGAAATGTAACCTTGTCGGCGTATTGCGCGGGACCTGCGCGTCCCTGGTTCAAGACACCATATAAGCCTCGGTATGACAGCGCATTGACTATACCTACGACGCCGGGTAGCACACCTCGAAGCTCTGAGAGATACTCAAGCACCACGATGCATTTCTCCGCCCTCGTTGCTCTGGCTGCTCTCGTAGCGAGCCCATTCGCCCTCGCCCAGGCATCCGACACCGTATACGTCGTCTACGGCAACGGCCAACAGTTCGAGGACCCCACCGCATCCGTCGACACACTCACCTGCGGATCCGTCCTGGCAGCCGAGGGGTACGCCCAGGTCGGAGACATTCCCGGCAACCTCGCCGGGTTTGCCAACGTCACCAACGCAGACTCGCCGCTGTGCAGCCAATGCGTAGTGCTGGGCTGGCAGGGAAGGGACGTCACCGTGCGCATCGTCGACACATCCTCGGAGGGCGGATTCGTAGTCACTGAAGGGACGTACGAGGAGCTGGTGGGCAGCGACACGGTTCTGCCGGGGATCTACCAAGCGCGAATTGTAGAGGGGCCGTACAGCTGCTGAGGATGCGTCCGAAGGAATTGTGGCGCAGTCTCAGGCCTCGAAGACTGCCGGTGCTTGCGTGGTATGTCTGACTTACTGTGTTTGTCATATCAACGCTGAGCGATCATTTCCCAGTACGCATGCCGTATATGCCCCACGACATAGTGTACCTTAGTTGTATTGATTTGCATAATCAACTGCATCTATTCTTCGCTCAAGCCCGGAATGCTCGACTTTTGGCCCAGCAGCAGTGATATGCTGTTTGAGCCGATGCATTAACATCTTGTACACGTGTACAACACTGCTTGTATATTACCGTCAACGTCCGTATCGAACAGTCTTTCTGTCAATTTCGTTCCTGTACGATCAATGCCAGCTATCACTCTGCGTGACGCTCCCGCTCGCAGGCGTCGTGAGATTGCTGTTCGGGTCGTCCTCCCACGTGACGTCCCCATTATTCTTCGTGAGGTACTTGTACTCGATGGTCGTGCTCGGAGGCAAGTTCACCGTCACTGTACCAAACAAAGCGGAGATCAGTAGAGCGGAGTGATGAAGACGGCAGCTAACGTACGACTCCAGGTAGGGTAGTTCGCTGAGGACAAGAGGAGCGCGTCATCGGTTGACCAGTTTTCGAGCGCGGCGACGGAGCCGGTGATGTACAGGTTCTCTACAACGAGCAGGAGGAACGTAAGCATCAGGGTTGAGACACCGTTGACGGGATCCTTCACTGACCGCCGTACACGGTATCATACTCCACCTCGAATGTCACCGCGACGGTGTGCGAGCTCGTCGAGTGCGTTCCAGCGAGCGCACTGCAGTACGTAGTGTTGAACGCACCCGTCGGGAGGAGAATCTAGACATCCATAGTCCGTCAGCCTCGCCACCTGACAGCACATAGCCCAGATACTCACGACAGGGTTGCCTCCGCTCCCGGTGACACTGACGCTCCCACCGCTGCCCGCGGTGTACGTCGTGCACGTGAGGACGTCGATGAGTTCCGTGCCCGAGGAGTAGCCGGTCCCCGAGGAGACGTCCCATGCCGGCGTGCCGCTCGCGCCGACGTTGGTGAGGAGCGAGAGCATGGGGTACTTGGATACTGCGAGGGTGTTGCCGCCTACCGACGGGAAGGTGACCTACAAACCGAGCGAGCAGAGCATCCAGTTGGATAGCGGGCGAAGCCATGAGATATGATAGATGAGCCTGAGGGAGATGGGATGTACGTACGGCGGTGGAGAGATAGCTGCTGGAGGTGGCGATGGCGGCTTTGCGCGCTGCGTTGAGGATGCGGACGTGGTGCACGAGGGGCTTGTCCTCTATTACGTACCCTGAAAGCCAGAGGCTAGTAGCAGACATGATTAGAATAAGGGGAAGACGCGGCGTGGGGGCAAGGGAGCGACGCACGCTTCGCGGTTGTAGGGATCGTTGCTACCGGTATAGCCTTGTTCCTGGCCTACGCGGCTCCGGTCAGACTACGCAGGGCAAACATGCTGACGACGGTGGTGCGTCTGACGTACCGTAGTACAGGATGGGGATACCGTCTGCGATGAGCGGCCATGTCATCGCATTCTTCACCAACTGAGGAGAACGCCCAGTTAGCGCAAACGGAACCAGCGCCTGGAACACTCACTCCTTGGTCTGTGGTTATGCTCTGGAAACGAGGGTTATCCTGGTTCTCGAGGAATGTGCCGACTGTGAAGAGTTGGTTCTCGTATGCGGACTGTGCCTGTTGTACAACATTGACGAGGTTCTGGAGTGAGCCGCTCGTCGACTCGAAGGCGGACGTGAGTTGGTAATACGTCGGATAGTCCAACACCCCATCGAGAACCTCTGTGTAAATAAGCGCTCAATCGGAGATGTTCGGTGCGTGAGCAGTCAAATCCCTCACTGGTATAGGGCGCGACATAATTCACATCGCCCTCAAAGACTTCCCCGACGGCATACACACCCGCAGCCGTCTGGAAGTCCGGCCAGAAATCCTTCCTGACATGCTTCAAGGTGTCGATCCTGAAGCCGTCAACGCTGTAGTTGCTCCGCAGCTCCCCGACCCAGTTGTGGAAAAAGTCGATGACGCCATCGTCCTCGGTGTTGCAGTCCACGAGCGGGACATTGCTGTCGCCGAGCCAGCACTGCTCGACGTTCGTCTGGTTGTTGTAGTCCGTGACCCAGCAGAAGGTGTGGAAGCTCGACTCCGCGTTGAAGGGCGTGAGGGTGGAGTAGTCCGGCGGGAGCGTGTTCGCGGCCATGTGGTTTACGACGATGTCGACCATCAGGTACATCCCGCGGTCGTGCAGGGCTGTGGCGAGATTATTCAAATCGGACGCGGTGCCGAAGTGCTCATTTAATGCGTTCTGGTCCACAGTCCAATACCTGGCGGTGTACAAGGGAAGTGAGCGGATTGAGAGGATGTGTGAAGAACGCATTACCCGTGGTAGGAGTAGCCATCACCGGTGCTGCCCTCGAGGTTGGCAACGATGGGTGAGATCCAAATGGCGTCGAAACCCATGTATTGGATGTAATCGAGCTGGTTGATGACCCCCTGCCATGAACCGCCGCAATAGATGCGGTCTTCGGTGTCGCATGTTGGCGAGGAGCCATCAGAGGTAGCAAAACGGTCCGTTACAAGCTGAAATACAGAATCCAAGACATTAGAAGTGTTGCAGTGCAAAGCGAGAAACATACCTGGTAGATCGACCTTTGCTGCCACTCTGCCGGAGTTGCAGCGAGCGCGGAGGCTGCCAACGCACAAGCTGCGAGAACGCTGCCTAACATGTCAGCCACTCGAAGTGCAGTCCAAGCTAACAATGAGGTTCCCGAGCTTTGTGTGGGCTGGGTGCTGCGCTTTATATACGCTCGTGCGGTAGCAATGTGGCGTGTCTTCCCTGCTGTCAGCCGACGGTTGAGACACATGGTTGAAGAACGCACCACATGCACTCTGACCACCTATCCGAGTTCAATCACAGAAAGACTACAATCGAGCTCGTGTCCCTGGAAACATACAACAACCCAACGCCAACTTCGGCTCAGATCGTTGGTTGTGCCCATGTCGACACACGGTCTCGGAGGCTTTCGCCAAACTTGGACACGGCCTATATTCCGAAGTTCAGTGTGCACGCCATACTGCACACATATATGGCAGGAGTACAATGCATAGCAAGACACCATCACATCCACTCTGTCGCGAGATGCCATAGTCACGGCGCAGACCGATGGACACCACCGTGACTGGCATGTTGAAATGGGTCGCCGAGGAAGTGTCAAAGACCGAGCCCGAGATCTTTTGGGTGCAACAGTTACTGTAGCTGTAGTAGTCGCTAGCCTATTTCATCTAACACGGCTTCGAGACCAATCGGTGGTGCGCAAGGGGAACGTTAACTGCCACATCCTTTTGAATGAATGGGCGCCGCGGCGGTTGCAACCAAGTCCCGACTACAGTCAGACACAGAACCACAGAGCGGTCCGCGGATGAAAACACTCTGAGCAGCGATGATGTGGTCGGTATGCCAGTATTTCGTCAAGTTAATGTCAAGCGATAGTAGATACGCTCGCCTGGAGATCGATGCGCTAACTTGACAGAAACTGGGAGGAGGAGGCGTGGCACGTGGCCCGGCGTGATTGCCATTCTCGTCCGAAACGTCGAAATGGGCGGGTCAGATCTAGATCTCAGGCATGTCTATCCCCGCTGGCAGCGGCGGCGCGGTCGCTCCCAGCCCATGTTGACCCAACCTGCCACTGCACCGTGAAAGTCTGGTGGCAATCCAACGACTTTAGATGAAGGCCGCCTGCTGAACGGGAGCCAGGATGCTGCTACGCCCGAGATTGCTGGTAGCTCTACCACCGGCGATCATAGGATTGGCGTTCCTCCCTTTGTATCGTTTCCTGAACCTCTCGGCCTTCGGTCGTCATGTTTCTCTCAGCAGTGACCTGGCCGCAGACGAAGGTAAACATTGGGCGATAACGCCCGACGTAGATGCCTACGCGCACAAGACACTGAGGGAGGAGGGAGTTCCCGGGCTTTCTATCGCTGCAGTCCGGTTGTCGGACACGGGCGAGGTGCAGACTGACTGGGCTGCATGGGGGCGTATGACGGAAGACGCAGACCCCACGAGTGTTGATGTAAATGACATTTGCCTCGAATGCATCTCGGTTGGACGACGTTGCTTACCGCCATAGTGCTTTACGTAGACTCTCTTCAACATTGGGTCATGCTCCAAGGCCTTCCTGGTGGCAGCGCTGGGTATTCTCATGGAGGACTACGCGCTGGGACGGAATGTCACAGCACTTCCGCATAAAGTGGACCGAGTCGACTTCGAAACGAAGATCCAAGATGTCTTTCGCGCGGACGATCCACCGTTATTCGCGGATTCTTGGGCCAGATCCCAAGCCAGCTTTCGGGATGTTTTATTGCACATGTCAGGGATAGGCAGGTTAGTGATCTCAAATGAGGCTTGTCATTGGAGCACAACTGACATGCCATCGTCCTCGTAGCCAGGACTTCGTCTACGGCGATTACGAGTCACCCGTATCTATTCTAGAACACATGGAGCACTTACGACCGGCCTACGAACTCAGAGAACGATTCTCATACACTAATCTAGTACGCACATGAATCACTGTCTTCAAACATAGTCTGAGCCGAGCTAATGATCGCGTCGCAGTTCTATACCATCGGGGCTCACCTAATCTCGACCTACTCTGCCATGCCGTACGAAGACTTCGTCACTGAGCGGATTTTCCTGCCACTCGGCATGACATCCAGTACATATTCACGCGCAGAAGCGATGTCGACCGGTCGGCTCAGCCAAAGCTGGACTGCATCTGGGAGGCGTTTACCTCTCTGGTTGGGCAACAACGCATCAAAAGCATGGGACGGTCCTGCAGGGATTGTCTCCAACGTGATCGATATGGTAAGTCAGCCGCGATTGCATGGTCTGGTATTGTGAGCTTATGACAGCTGAACGAGTAGAGCAAATGGATCGCGACCCTCCTGAATGAAGGCGTAGACCCGGAGACGAACCTGACTGTCATACCGCGATCTATCTATGAGGAGATGACGACAGCTCACGCAGTCGTGACCGGCGCTCCGCGTTACTCCTATACGGCTGTCAAGGGCTACGGTATGGGTTGGGAGCGAACTTCGTTTCAGGGACACGACGTACGTTCGGTCTCCTGAATCACATAAGTATTCGCGTTGTGGAATGCTAATGTGCGCACACGCGATAGATTATTAGCCACACCGGACGCATGCCTTCTCACCTGAGTGAAGTGCTCTTCCTTCCTTCCGCCAGGCTGGGCGTCGTCGCCCTCTCGAATGCAGACCTGCCCCAGGAAGCGTACCACAAGGTCGCGTATCGCGTGATCGAAGACGTCCTGAAGCTACCGCGCGTCGTGGATTCTGACATACACCGACGAGAGAATGACACGTCAACTCTGGACGGATCTTACGAGGAGATTACCACAGTCGTGCTCGCGGCCTCGCTGACCCGATATACGGGCATATACGCGAACGCAGCGTACGGCAACTTCACCCTGTGCGCGCCGACGACGAAGACGGGGTACTGCGACCGCGTCCTCGCCGACTTCGCCGCCTGTGATGAGCTCGGGGAGCACCCCGGACTGTATGCGGCCTACCCTCGATTCACGTCTTCGCACATCCGACTCACGCCGGATCCCACTGAGCGCCCTCGACGTGACGTCGAATCTCTGGCCCCGGGCGAGAAGCTCGACGCGTGGGATCTGGAGTTCATTGCTCTCTTTCCGGATGGCTACGGCAAGGATACGACGCCCTTCGTGTACCGCGTCGAGGAAGGCTCGACGATGGACGTGCAGTGCGTCGTCCGCGCCGGAGTCGTCGTGGGCTGCGGCATCGTGAACGTTACTGGCGAGGAGGGTAGGACGCTAAGGGAAGGGCCCTTGAACGAAGTAGCAGACGTGTGGTTCCAGAAAATCGAGTGAATTGAACTTGGCACGAGCTCGAGCGTAGGCGCGTCGACTGATTCTTCAGTGAAGAGTCGCAAGTTCTCTGGGAAAGAGAACAGCTGATGGTCCGTAACCTCAAATGCAATCATTCGCCAGAATTCTCGTCGGTGTTCACCCGAGGAGTCGAAATCTCCAGATCTGAAGGGAACAAGCTTGTTGAACGCCAGGCTCATGATGTGAGCTAGCGCTCACCGGTCATCGTTCATGTACACGCCGTCGACTGCAGACCCCCGTGTCAGCAGCTGTGCAGTACCATACATGCACTTTCTCAACTGTCCCACACATCGAAGGCTGACGCAAATGAGTTGCATCTGGATCCGACATTGCTGAGTACACACGGTGGCCCACGAATCGATGATGGTGTAAATGACTACCTACATACTTCCAATGACCATGGCCCGGTACTACTACGACAGAGGGGGCATACAGAACTAACATACATGCATGAGGATATTCGGGTATCATCAGCCTCACTCAGTCGCGAAACTTCCTAGATAATGTCATACGGCCTCGCATTCTGCACGCGGTCGATGTGCTCGAGCCCGAAGCATCCGCCTCCCTGGATGCACTCCGCCAACGTTTGCCCTATGGCTTCACCTTCCGTGTAAGCACCGTGCAGGTACCCTGTCGCAGTTTCATTAACACCGTATCCGCTGCGAACCGTCAGCGTGCGCACCAAAGTATTTCCGACTGGTTGCCTCGCCCGCGAACCAAAGTCTCTCGTCCACGTTCGCGCGCAAGTTGCCTTGATGTTCGCTGAGGAAAGCCGCCGGCCAATTCGAGTACGATCCGCGGAACAGCGGGTCGCTGTGCCAGCGTTGGAAGTAGAAGTCGGTAGGCTCGGGCACATCCACCTCGGGAAACATCATTTGCAGGACGTCCATCACTTCCGATTGAACGTACGAATCGGGCAGTGACTCGATGCGCTTGGAGAAGTCGCCCTGAGAGGGCGTTATTTGTATGTCAGTCATCTCCGCAATCGCAGCGCGACTTCCAAGACCAACTCACTGTGACAGTTACCACAAGGATCCCGGAACCAGGAAGGAACGACGGATGGTCCAGGCTTTGCCAGACAGGTTACCGTCCGCGCTCGTAGTCGGCATATAGCGCCATCTGCCAGAGCGGACATGTCATCGAGAACACGATCTATGGATCGATCGGGCACTGTTGACGTACCTCCGTATCGAACCAGAACTTTTCTGGGAACTGCAGGAAGATCTTCGTATACGTACCCTGCAGATCCATCGTCACCTACATCTTCAAGGACGATCAAAACCAAAGTGGCGCGCGCTTACCATCGACATGCTATGGATGGCCTCCCGCTTCCATGCCGGTAAAGGAGGGACGAACTTCACGTCGCTGTGTTGTAGGACACCAAGGCTGAAGGTACAGAGGGCGTAGTCCGCGCGGAGTACATGCCCATCTGTGAGCGTAACCTTCACACCGTGTTTCGAGGAGTTGATCTCGCTGACTGTCGAGTTCAGTCGAACTTGGGCTGGATTCAATGATTCCCTCGCCTCCGCCTGAATCAGCGTCTTGAAGCCACGCTGGTCAACTGAGAGAAGGTTCTCATACGAGAACCCACCAGACGCCGGGTCGAACGTGTAGTTATGTGCCTAAGTTAAGAATCAGCCTCATTTCAAAGCGGCGGTACTGACCTCCGCCTAGACCTATGCGGCGAGTCTACCACCACGGGAAGGCGATTGAGTGGAATTATGCACCCATGAAGAAGCTAGCCATGAGGTCTCTTCTGGAGTGGTACCGAACTCCCAGTCGAATTGGTAGTATTCGGACGCCATTTGATGTTTGGATTCCGGGTGTGAGCCCGTGAGTGAGTAACCGCCGCGTGCTGACATATCGACAAGTCTCTTTGGAACTCGACCACCTATGACGGCACATACTGATCAAACCCAAGTGCTCTCGTCGCACAAAGATGTTAAGACGTACCCGCTGAGGCAACTAGTTTATGGAAATCTTCAATCGAAGCGTCGAAGATATCGCGGAAGTCGGACGCTCCCGAGTCGTCATATGTCGCTAAGCTTCATTCAGCACTTTGTCGTACAATACGATGTTAAAACAACTTACAAATACTACCGAAGTACTCGCTCGAGCGGGTCGTGACGTTGTGCTTCTTCGCCAGAGCCCATATGGGATTTTCAGCCCCATTGCCGGTCTGCGTACCCTGCACCCAATTCGCACCGAGCTCGACAGCGAACTTCCTGCTAGGTGCACCAAATGAATGGCTCATGAGGCGACCGCCGAGCTCGTCTCTCGCTTCTATTATGATGAAGTCGTCGATGCCCTGTTCATGGAGGGTCCGTGCCGCGGTCACCCCGGCGACGCCTCCCCCAAGAATGAGCACCGTAGCGTCTTTCCGTGCTCCGGACGGCTCGAGGAGTTCCTGAGAGGGTCGTACTAACGGCAGGTGGACGGCAGATGTGACCAATCCGAGTAGAAGGAGAGGTAACGCGAGCGTAGCGCGCAGCATGTTGGGTCGTGTGAGGAGGGCTAGTCTGCGTAGCAGCCCTGCGGGGAATGCAAACCCTGGCAGCCTTATATGCACACGATAAGCCAAGCGCATGTAGGACACCAGATACAGAGTTGAGCAACGGAACCTTCGGGGCTTGCATCAACGCGTGCGTGGTTCGCTCAGTGACGCGGTGTAACACCGCTGAGCTGCACATTTACGGACAATGAAACTCACCGATAGAACAATCACCTGACCCCTGGACTAAAACTATCGCTCGACAAGAGGTATTTGCCACAAAACATACCATTTCGAAGTATTGCAGATGTGACCACTTGGTGACCACCATCATTCATGCAGTGGGAAGCCACCGCTTCAGAGTGAGAAAGGAAGCTCTTTCGCACAGGCGGTGTCGCACTGTCGCACTGTGTAAGACCGTCTCACCAACCGCTAAGTTGCTCCGCAAGCAGAGTGGGGTTCGCGCCGCAAAGACACAATTTGAACCCTTGACGCTGTCTTCTCGGCCTGGCAGCGCTATGAGACGGCGTCTCGAGTGCCATGCCCTGAGGTAAAGAGATAAGGACAGTCAATCGGGCGGATCTCAAGCCCAGTGAGCTGAGGCCACGGGGATGAATGGTCACCAAGTAACATCGTGTGTGTCTGAGGTACCTGGCCTTCTGTCGACGGTTGACTGACACCGGCGGCCGTGGCGGATCGTATACGGCACCGGTACGTACTTGACGGGAGCAGCATGATGTCAATGAATGCTTTCATAAGGAAGATTATGTGCGGAATACTGTACCTCATGAAAGCATCGCCTATGGAGATACGGTGCCATGGCCGGCGCACTTGGGCGTAAATCCGAGACGAACTGACCGTGGCACATGCGGGATCCGGAGCAAATGAATGGGGGTAATCGAGAGACTCCCGGGAAGATAGTTGCAGTTCTCTGATAGACTTTGCAGCGCTGGCTCAGTGACACTCTGGCCGTTGTGCATGCGTTTCTCATATAAGTTGTCCTTTACAGGTTGTGACAGAACAGAAGCTAGATTACAGATAGAGTTGAAGTGGAGTTTGTACAAGGAAACCGAACAGACGTGCGCCACAACGGCAGCAACAAATAGATGTCAATTCAGCCAGCCACATTCAACATGAAGGCAAGTTCACGCTGGGAGGAGGAGCAGGCGGAGGAGGAAGGGGTTCCAAATATGTACTATACCGACATCATGACATTAAATGGTCCCTGCAGCTGGCAAATCGGCGGTATCAACACAGATGCAATTCGAGCTAGCGCAAACATGCACGCAAGTAAGTAGATTGCCTGCCACTCGGACGTACAACGGCCGGGCCACGGTTACTCGCCATCTTGCGGCGTCCGCGTCAGGCCTTCAGGCCTTCAGGCTTCGAGCTCCCATGCTGTAAGCTTATGCAGCATGTATAGCCAGACTTGCTCGAGTAATGAAGAACTCAGAATATGGCACGACGTGTCAAACAAGATCATACTTTTACAGACAGCTCTGCAGCGAATGCAGACATAGTGTCCTATACAAGCACCTGCTGCGCATGGTAATCATATGCTCGCGAAGACGGGGGGTTCTCACCCATGAATATCGAATGGTATCAGTAATGTAACAGGGAATCTTTCAAGTGTGTATGTGCGAGAACTGCGAACCGAAATGCTAAAGTGTTCCCCAAGGTTGTACACGAAATCGGAAGCAAGTATGTCGATGCGAGTGTGGATGCGATGACAGATGCGAATGCGAATGCGAATATGACAGCAAAATAGACTGATGTATACTCTACTTACAGATGACCAGTGTCATACTGGTCATCGTCGTCCTGGTCGGGATTTAACTCGAAACTCGGCATGTCCTCCAGATGCAGCTCATGTTCAGGTCGTAGGTTCAAGCTGCCCGGCGAAGACGTAGCCATCGAGAAGTCGGCAGTAGTCGGGGAGATGTTCCCCAGTTCTGGTCTCACCTTCTCCTCAAGACCTGCAATGGGAAGAGGACCGGTGCTCAGCTTCGCCAGAACCAGCGTCGGCGAGGCTGGTGATTGCGGTCGACTCGAGAATACGACGGAATGATCACGTTCGCCTGTCCCAGAGCCAGCAGCTGACAGAGCCTCCTCGTGCATGAGCATACTCATGTTACTTGGCGGCCCGTGGAACAGAGAAGACGAGGTGCTCATACGCTTGTTGAAACGGCGGGTGTCAAGGTAGGGCTCAAGTTCCGCGTGGTTGGCTACAGCTGGCACGACGGTACGGCTGTGCTCTGACGACGGAGAAGAGCATGACCCCTCAGGAGATTCGTATTCCCGCAAGACGGACTGTTTGCGCGGACTGCGACTTCCCACACGGCTCACTCGCTCTGCCGTTACAGAGCCGTAGCGTGAATGGCTGACCCGGGAACCAAGTTGCGAAGAGGGAGGTGGGGCGGACTGCAACTTCTGGACCTCCTCCATGGCTCCGGCCAACTTGAACTCTATCTCCGCTAGCCGGTCCCGAAGCTGCGTGTTCTCCTCCCTCAGTACCTTCGCTGTTCGCTGGCTATCCGCAAGTGCGCTCAGCAAGGCCCCCGTCTCGATTTGGTGCTGTTCCTGCAGAGACTGTAGCTCACTTTGCAGATGCGCTGAGGATGACGCCGACACAGACGTCGGCGCGGTCGACGCAGCCGAGAACGTCGTGCGGGGCGTCTCCAGGCTCCCGAGCTCTGATGCCGTCGCTGTCAACGCTGGAGTCCGCACTATACTCCCTCTCCGCGACACGCTCGGGGTCTCACCGCGCGTCCAGGATCCGGCAGAGCCTGCCTCCGAGAAGGCCATCCGCGAAGGGACGTAGCGTGAGCGCGAGTCGTCGATGCTGCTCCTCGTGGTGCCGAAGCGAGAGGGCGTGCGTCGGCCGAGGCTGGGGCTCTCTCGATCTCGTGCGTAGCTCTGGTCGAGCAGCCCTGCAGCAGCGAATGCTTTTGCGGTCTGCGGGCCGAGCCATTCGGCTGTAGGACGTGAGGGGTGTGCACGAGGGTACTCGCGCCCAGAAAGAGCTGACCGGCCCGCCTCGACGGCACTCAGGCTACGCTTGCGGTAGCGGAGCGGCGTGGCGGGCGGGCGCGAACCCTCGGCTGTACCGGGTCTTACATCGAGGCTCGAGCGCGTGGCGGCCTGCAGGCGGGCGGAAGAGATCCCCGCAGCAGAGGACGGGCGCGATATGGGAGGAGAAAGCGAAGCATCCTGCGGCAGCCTGGGGGAGGTCCGTGACGGTGGGCGGGACGGTGGGGTCACGTGAGGGCCGAGGCGTGCAGGGCTAAGCAGACGGCTGATCGCAGACCTGCGGAGTGCACTCGCGGAAGAGTCCCCAGTGCCAGTATGAGGTCTGCGAGATGCGTAGTGGTCGAGGGTCTCGCGCGGCTGGCCCTCAGTCGCTGTCGCCGGTCTCTCAGGACTGTGCGATATAGCGCGAGCGGCGCTGGGGACCACGAGCGGAGGCGAGTCTGATTGTGATCGTTGAACGGCTGGGCGGTCAGAAACAGAGCGGTTGTTGGGCCGAGAAGACAGTGAAGACGGTAGATTAGGAGCCGTGCGTGACTTGGGCATCCGCAATGGTTCGGGCTGTCGCGGAGGTGACGACCTAGGCGGGGTACGCGAGAACGTAGGGCGACGGGGTGACTCGGATAGAGACGTAGCGGCTGGAGTCTCGTTGGGCGACGGTGGCGCAGGCAGGCTGTCCGTGCCAAACTGAAACGCAGGCTCCGTGCTCGGGCTAACGAGTCGGTTCGGCGATAGGAGGGCTGCAAGGTCAGGATCGAGCTCGCTCAGGTTGAAGCTGACGTCGCCGTCGCCAGTGTTCCCGCTCTCTGCTAACGGGTCCCGCTCCCGATCATCCACGACCACGCCGTCCAACCAACCCTGCGTGCGGTCGGGACCTGCACCTCCCATCGCTTGCAGAACCTCGCTCGTCACCTTGGAAGTCGAGAGGTCGAGCACAGAGCTCTCCTTCGACGGTGGCGTCCGTGCCGATCGGTTCCGAGAAGATGCGTGAAGGAGCTTCGGGTCGAGCGTGTCCTCTTCAGGGTCAGCAGCATCGTCGTCAGACGACGGAGACGTGTCCCCCTCTTGAGAAGAATCAAGCGGCGGAAGGTGTTTGGACAGGCCGGAGTTCTCGGCCTCGATGATGGTGGAGAGGTCGGTTGGGTTGACCGCTGGTGAGGGCGAAGGGGAGGGCACGAAGCCTTGGTGTATAATTTAGTAACACGCTAAGATGTACTCATGTGTTGCTCACCATCTGGATGCTGCGCCTGTGCAGAAGAGGTCGGGCAATTCGACTGCACTGGGGCACCAACATTGGGAGCCCGCACGAACGAAGGCTCCGTGACGGGTCTCGAGAACCGCGAGTCCTTGGGCAGCGCATCCCGGCGCGGACGTGGCGGGCTCCGGTCCTGCTGTATGGTCTGCCGATGCTCAGTGAACCCTGTCGTCGATGGTGTCCTGAGCTGTGACGCAGAGGGTGTCCAGCTCGGAAACGAAGACGGTGGGGTTGGTGCCGCAGACTTGGAAGGCTCGCGCTGCGACAGACCGGCGCCGTGCATGAACGCCTCAAAGTCCGGTCGCGGCAGGTCGATCTGCAGCACGGGCGTGTCTTCATACGACGGCTCCTGGCGAAGGTTCGGAGCTGAGACGCTGCGGTCGCCTCCGATGGAACGTCGTATAGACCCGAGCGCGGCTGCAGGGAAGGATGCTTTTGGAGAAGCGACAGGAGGGGTCGGATTAGGTGGGTTCTTGGACGAACCTGACGCAGTAGAGAAGAGGCTGCGAAACGAGCGAAAGGGTGTGATGCCGCCGTTCGTGCTAGACGACGACGAGCTGGGACTTGGATGTGTCGGACTACCACTCACGGAGAGGTGTCGTGTAGAAGATACGAGGCCCAGCTGGGGGGTAGAAAGCGTGCTCGGGAGTGCGCTCTGCGGTTTGCGTGGGGTAAAGACAGGGATGCCCGACTGCGAGGGGCGAGACTGGTGCATTTCGGCCGTTTGGGAGCTCTTCTTCGCCATTTAAGCACAACTTCTCTGGGAAAGACTACTATTGCGGCGCCGAATGGAAATGACTTGACGGAATAGTCATGTATCGCAGTACGTAGCGTCCAGTGGTGAGATGAAGTTCAAAGGTTTGGAAACATGCCAGAAAGGTGGTAGCTTGCTACGGCTGAGAATGCACCGCGAAGACGCGGGGAGGAAGGATGAATAGATGGCGATGGCGAAGAGGAGGAGGTCGAGAGCAGGAGCAGTTTCGGTGACACTGCAAGTTCTCGGCACTTCAATCATCACAACTTCTGACACAACTTCTTGATCACAGGGTTCTGTGATAGCTCCAGGATAGCTCTTCACTGTCTGCCTTTGCCTCCTACAGTAACAGTCCGCCGTTCGAGGCAATTGGACACGTACAATACACGAGTACTGGTATAAGTATGTTGAGTATATGGTGTAATTGTCTCCACTTCAAGTAAGTAACTGAGCAGCTGACCGAGATCCCGGCCCGATATGGCGCCTGTTGGGATGTTCAATCACCATATATAGCAGGCCTAGGTAGTATATGTACCCTGCACCAATGTGCTGAGCGCTGAACGTTGAACGTAGAACGCCCACGTTGCCCCACACGTACGACTCTCTTCCGACTGTGCCAACCCATACCTGGAGCTTGTGTCGCTGCAGCCCCTTTGTCTACGACACTGAAAACAGATACGTATGTTCACCTGGTATCTAGGTCGCCAGTTCCGCTTATCTCACTATCCGTATAGTAACCGCGTGGTTACGTTCGTTGCCCCGGCGCAGGCGTACTATTCATTTCTTGCTCAACATCGACCGCTACGGTGCTGAGTGAACAAACTACGTTCAGCCAAGCAAGATGTCCCACCACCACGGGCATGGATGTCATGCTCCTGCCAGTGTCGACTATCCCCAGACCAACTATGGTACGGGAGCGAAGTGGATCAAACACTTGACCCAAGGCCGTTTGGGCACTTTCAACGGCGGTCACTACGCGGATGTTAACCTTTCGCAAGTCCTGTACCACCATCGCGTCGATGATTCTGCCTACATCAAGCTTCAGGTCTGGAGCGCGCCGGGCCTGTCGAAGCCGTCGTTCGAGGAGGCTATGAAGCAGAAGTTCAAGCCGGCCAAGAAGGGAGATTCATTTGGACCATCGTGTACGTCCTACATCTTGTACTCTGCATCACATAAGTTTGACGGTTTGGTCAGGGGTAAGTCGGTAACTTTGTCAACGGGAATGTCTCATTAGCATCGTGTCTCGCTACGCTTGTGAGCATGAGGGCATGGGTGTAACACACGCAGCATCTACCATGATTGGAAAGCGAATATTGCACCCTTCTCCCGCCAGTAGCAGCATAGGACCTCCTGCCCACAGTGGAAAGCGCTCGGATGGGAGCCAGTCAGCTCACAAGCGTCAGATATTTATGCAGGATGCATACTCACCTGCGAGGCGAGGCCTACATATTACTTCCTCTTTTAGAATGGTTCCAATCGAACAGACGCTAATGAAGGAAACAGACAAACCACTGGTGGAAGGTCTCCGTGACTCTGCCAGCGTACTGGGACCAGTATGAAGTGGTCCAATGTAGGTGTCTTCGGCCTATGAGGCATTTAGGCCTAGCTAATCGCACTGTTGTAGTCGAGTTTGACCCCGACTGTGAGGCGATGATCTTCACCACCGATGGCACACCCCTGCAGGGCATCACAGGCGGATGGGGCGGCGATCGTCGCGTCGAATTCATCCTTCCGTCCGAAGCGCGCAAGGCCCGGAAGCTCGACTTCATCGTCGAGTCGTCCTGCAACGGCATGTTTGGTATTCCCTGGAACGGCGACACCATCGAGCATCCCGACGTACGTTTTCCGCAGTATATTCCCAGCGTCTTGCTGACACCCTGCGCACAATTGCAGATGAACAGGTACTTCCGGCTCGCGACGGCCGACCTGGTAGTGCCAAACCAAGACGCGTGGCAGCTCCTATGGGACTTCACGACCTTGCGCGAGATCTCCGAGACGCTGCCCGGCAATACATCCTTGCAGAACAAGGCCCTCGTCACCGCGAACACGATCATGAACACATTCGACAAGGACGATCTCGGGAGCATTGCTAGTTCGCGTAAGCTCGCAGAAGCGGTGTTTGGCGAGGGATGGGCCAATAAGGGCGACAAGATATACGAGGAAGGCGCGGAGGAAGCGACCATTTGGGGCATTGGCCATTGCCACATCGATACTGCTTGGTCAGTCCTCTCTCCGTTGGACCATCCTTCGAGTACTGACCTGCCACAGGCTCTGGCCTTACCGAGTGACGCAACAGAAGGTTGCGCGTTCCTGGTCCACACAGGTCGATCTAATGGAGCGATACCCCGAGCACCGCTTTACCTGCTCGCAGGCGCAGCAGTACAAGTGGCTCGAGCAGCTCTACCCGCCGCTGTTCGAACGTGTCAAGACGCAGGTCCTCGCGGGGCGCTTCCATCCCGTCGGCGGATCGTGGGTCGAGAATGACTCGAACATGCCGAGCGGCGAGGCTCTTGCGCGCCAGTTCATACTCGGCCAAAGGTATTTCGAGAGCAAGTTCGGGAAGAGGTGTGAGACGGCGTGGTTGCCAGACTCGTTCGGTTTGACGGGCGCGCTACCGCAGTTGATCCGCCAGGCTGGCATGAAGTACTTCTTCACGCAGAAGCTGAGCTGGTAAGTGATACAAATTTCTGATGAGTGCAAGAGGGCGATGATTGAGGTGTTCTTTTCAGGAATAACATGTGAGCAACCCCATTACGAGCCCGGTACACGTATTTTTAAGCATTGAGTTTTCAGCAACACATTCCCGCATTCGACGTTCAACTGGGTCGGCATTGATGGAACGCAGGTCCTTTGTCACATGACACCCGTCGGTCAGTACCACTATCACATCACTGATAGTTGCTCAGACCAACTGATGAGCGTGTTCGTAGATACGTATACAGCTCAAGCCACTGTAGGCGATGTCAACAAGGGTGTCACCAACCATAAGGTCAGTTATACGCTTTGCTCCATATATGCAACCGACAGACAGACTTCTTATCTGTCAGAACCTCGAATCCTCGGATGTCTCGCTGCTCGTTTTCGGTAATGGCGACGGTGGAGGAGGCCCGCTCGCCAAGATGTTGGAGAATGTACGTTGCCTTTCCTGAAGTATTATATAGCTGCTCACAGTAACATTTTAGCTCCGTCGCATGCGTGCAACCTCAAACAACTCGCGCGAAATTCCGCCTGTCAACATGGGGCACTCGGTTGATGAGTTCTTCGACGTCGTTGCGAAGAAGTCCGATGCCGGAAAGAAGCTGCCCAACTGGTGAGTTGTTCGATATGCTGGTTAGGTGGTTGGTAACTGATGTCGTATTCCAGGAACGGAGAGTTGTACCTTGAAGTGAGATTTCCACAAATCGATGTTACTTCGTATGACGCTCAACCATTTGTGGTAGTTCCATCGGGGGACCTACACCTCACACGGTACGTACTGCAGTATAATCTGGGGATATGGTCTAAGTATCGGTGTAGGCTCTATCAAGAAGGGCAACCGCAAGTCCGAAATCTTGTTGAAGGACGTCGAAGTAAGCCTGTTAGGCGAGGTCTCGTTCAGAATCAGAGGTCTGACTATTGACATAGTTGCTGACGACACTTGCGTCGCTGTACAAGTTCCACAAGCGTGACTACGTCTACCCGAATGAGAAGATCAACGATTGTTGGGAGAAGGTCTTGTTGAACCAATGTACGTTCCATGCGTTCCTTTCAGCCAGCCGGTAGCTGACTCGCTCCATCACAGTCCATGATGGTGCGTGGTGCTCTCGCTTGCGTATGGCAGCCTCTCTGAAATGACCGACTACAGTGCTCCCGGGTTCTGCCATGTAAGCATGTTTAACGTAGCGCCTCATCATTTCTCACTGGATTGTCAGTGGAATGGCCTATGAGGACGCCGAGAAGCTGTATGCCGAAGTCCGGAAGGAAGGCACGCAGCTCCTCGAGGAGGCATGGTCGGCCATCTTCCCCGAGTCGTACCCATTATCCAAGACCGCTGCTCTGAGCAGACGTGGGACCCTCATGGGTTTCAACACTACGCATCTTGCTCGGCGCGACGTCGTCAAGGTCCCTCTCACCTCTGGTGCGGCCAAGCTGAAAGCGCAAGTCGTTCAAGCTTCGAAGGACGGAAGCTATGGCTATGCACTGATGGACTGCTCGGAGGGAGGCCAGTTGGCGGCGTCGTCAGGCCTGTTCGCCGACTGCATGCCAGTCTCCGGTGAGTGCATCTCCTCTTCATCCGACACCTGTCGCTGAGCTTATTTATCACGATCAGTCTTCACGAATGGATCGGGTCATTTCGTGTTGCGGAACTCCAGTGTGCAGCTTACCATCTCAGAGGGCAGGATCTCCAGCTTGCTAGATGTCGAACTCGGGTGATTACTCAAATTCCGATGATCTGTAGAGCGCACTGACGGTCGCGGGATAGCCGTGAGCTCCTGACCTCGGGTCAGACTGGTGGACTCGTCATTTTCCACGACAGACCGAACTACTGGGACGCATGGGGTGCGATAGTCCAACCAACTTGTGACTGACTACCGACTGACTCGTTTTTTACGGATAGATGTCGAGATTCACCACCTTGAGACTGTTCAACCGCTTGAGTTCTCCAACATCTCTGTCGTTGCAGAGGGTCCTCTGCGAGCTTCGATCAAGTCTGAGATCAAGTACCGCCAGAGTACCATCAATGTGACGGTAGGTTGCACATCGCGCCATGATCATTGTAAAACGCAGGTCTGACTACTCCGTTACAGATCTCCCTCGACGCTATCACTGGTGAGTACCATGTTTCACTCCAGCAATTGTCGAGGCTCAAACCATGTCGTCAGCATCGATGAAGAAAGACTCGCGTTCGACGTTCGTATTTGATGCCGTCGTGGATTGGCATGAGAAGCACGAGTTCCTGAAATGTAAGTATACATCTCTATCAGCTGCAATCGTGGGCTCACAATCAATAGTCGAGCTCCCGCTCAACCTTCACAATGACATGGCGACCTATGAGATGCAGTTTGGATATGTGCAGAGGCCTACGCACAACAACACGACTTGGGATATGGCGAAGTTTGAAGTGTGTGGTCATAAGGTCTGTGCGCGAGACATGCCCCTATGTACGCTACTGACAAAGCTTCAGTACGCCGACCTGAGCGAATTCGGTTATGGCGTCGCTATCCTGTCTGAATCTAAGTATGGTTTCTCTTGCCGTGGAAACGTCCTCCGCATCTCTCTTCTGCGAGCGTCTACGGCTCCTGACGAGAACCAGGACCAAGGTAGGCAATCCTTACTTCAAACGAACTTGCATGCTAATCTAGTCATAGGGATACATGAGTTCTCGTGGGCCGTCATGCCACATGCTGGTCACTTCCTGGAGTCAGATGTCCCGCAAGCAGCGCAGTTGTTCAATTCACCTTTACACAGTAAGTCCAAACAGTTGCATGAACGGCTTCGCACCTTACTTTGCATCGTAGTGCGCTTCGTGGCAGAGAGTGGAGTTCAATCCCCGATGCTTCTCAAAACACCGCCCTTCGCAGTGGAGGGGGCTCGGAACGTTTTCCTGGAGACCGTGAAGCGCGGATTAGACGATCAATTCGATTCTAAGAGCGGGCCGACGACGGTGGTTCTGCGGATTTACGAGGCATTCGGTGGTCATGCCCAAGCATGGTTGAAGATTGCTAAAAACATCCCAGTGTCCAAAGTTTTGGCGACTAACTTGCTTGAGGACGAGGAAGCAGAGCTGTCCTTCTTTGACGCTGAAGATCACGCACACCATGCCGTGAAGCTCAACTTTCACGGCTTCGAGGTCAAAACGATCAAGATTGTCCTGGGCCGATCTGACACCCATGCGTGAGTTCACTGACCTGATGAAGTGGCTGTCCTCGCTCACAGTTATGTAGTGTCAGTGAAGGCCCCGATAACTGGATCACAATCGACAAACCGTCCTCGGTCTAAGCAAGCATGATGATGCCCATCATACCTCGCACTGATCCCTTTGCGTCGATCTAGCGGCTTGCCCATCTTTGTATCTTGTAAAACAGAGGACATTACCGGTCAAGCGGCTTTGTATGGAGTTTCTTGTGTGTACAATCAGACTTTCTGCGTATCTCAACAACTAGCTACTGACTGATGTTCTACGCTCTCATGCGTGAATCTACCAATAGCATACGCACTGGGCTTCTTGAATCGCCCTGATTCGTGCTTGATAGGCTTGGCTTACACTGATGCAGCTGTGTTCAGCGGTCAGCGGTCAGATGGAAAGGCATGCCTCCAAGTGCTACTTATGACGTCCATACATACCTGTGGATGAATCGTTGGGCGAGCTGCTGACTCAACGGCGTCAGCACAACCAGTTTGAGGAACATAAAATGCGGTTTGTTGGCGTACCTTCGTAGCATGGCAACTCGGACTGACGTTGAATGCTGCGCATGTCAGGTATAAACATTCAGCCGTCTTGAAGAAGTAATGCGGGCAATACCATCAAAAGCGGTAGTTCATGAGAGCAAGTATTGGAACGCAGCGGCGCAGCCCCATCCCATGTCATTCGTGTAGTATGAGTCGCGAAACAACCACTATGTCAGCCGAAATGTCAAGCGAACGTTGCCGATCTCCATCAAACACCAATCCGACCACGGTGAGAATGCAGTGTTACTGTAAAATTTGTTCACAAAGCCATGCTTATCCCGGCATCGGATTTACCGTCAAACAGTGATCGATTGCCTTTGATTATTTGGATTGCTTCCCCCTTGGTACGACCCCCCTCTCTCGAGTCCGCATCGAGCGCAACAGGTAAGTACTGTCTACTCTGACGAGCATAGGTGAACCGCACGTGGGAACAACGGCTATAATATTTGATGCATGCCTCAACCGCCTTGAACCGCACGTTGTGTCGCGTAGTCATCAAGTTAAGGAGCCTGGTCGGGTGGCGGTGCTGCTCTAGGTTGCCTACCCACTATCGTTCCCGAATCCCCATCCTTCAAAAGGTCTCTCAACTATCTGGCGGCACGCAGGACCCTCGAGTTGAACCACATCGGTCGACTCCAGAACTATGCATCACAGTATTTCTACCTCGAAAGTCATCTATTCGATGCTCCCATACCAGCTCGGAGGCAGCCGACCACACGGTAGATTGCTGTATTCGCCTGAATATTGATGAAATCACTAATTTACAATGATTTGCCTTGTACATAGACAGGAAAACCTCTTCACCCCCACTATGGCATCCATTCGTTCTGTCGTTAGGGCCATCGCTGATTTTCGGCCTCGTTCTGCTAGGAGCTGTGGCAGGGCTAGAGGTCTTCGTCCGGCTATCAGACTTGCACGCGGGCTTCCCAGTACCGACCACCACATTGCAGAATCTAGCCACTTATCTGCCTATCGCGTCCGTTATTGTGATAGGGTGGGTTTGGCAGGCCTACGCAGTGGAGGTGAAGAAACTTGCTCCGTGGGCATCAATGTCCGCAGGTCCAGTACCTTCAGATGCCTCCGTCCAGCTGGACTATACCGGTGCAAATCCATTGGTAGCAATGGCATTAGCTATACGCAAGCGACACTACAGCATACTGGTTTCCACCCTAGGGACGTTGGCCGTCGCTGTGTGCTCGATCGTCGCCGCAAGCATCTGGGACATAGAACCCACTCCCCGTGTCCTCCCCGCTAGTTTGCAGCGCAGTGGCACCTACAACGGTTCATCCCTCGAGGGCACCGCGGACATTGCTCACTCTCTCAGCCGCTACCTCGCACGGACAGTACTACAGCTCCCGACACCCTCATGGATAACCGATGACTACGTGATTTCTCCTTTCAACTCAAGTAGCATAGAGCCAGGGATGGTTCTTTCGGGGACGACGCAAGGCTATAATGCCAACCTCACGTGCGAGAAGGCCGATGTTTCACTCTCCAACAATGGCACGAATGTTACGATCACATACGCTGGAGTGTCGCAAATGGTGCCGTGTGATGTGTTTGTCGACGAGCCCGGAAACTGGACATACACTGCGGATCCCTATCGTATGTCTTTTGAGCCGCGTTATCATTGTCTGACCATGCTAATGTCGCCGTTTGTACCACAGTCTATACGGGAAAAGTGTACAACTGGACGGTCGGGTCTAGCACCCTTGCTGTACTCCTAGCGACCCAGCTACTTCCTCCGAACAACTGCGCTTATGCGACCGCCGTCGGCTGTGTCGCGAGCTACACGGTCAGGGACGTGGTCGTCTCTGTTGACGCTGAGACCGCAGCCTTCAACCGCACGCCACGCGCGGCGGGCACAGCCTCCAGTGTATCATTTCCCGGAGGTGGATACCTTTTACAGACCATCGACAACAACAACGGAGTGACTGGCTCGCCTTGGAACTCCGAGGCGCAAGGACACGCCGACAACGACGACCCTTTTGCCTACATACCGTGGTCAACTTCTCCTCCTAACATAACCGAAGTGGGAAACTACAGTCCTTGGTTCCACCTTCTCCGGCATCTTCTCCTTCTAGACCCACAGCAGCTCATGGATGCCGAAGCCATTGCACAGGGCTCGCAGAAGATCTTTAGCGATATATGGCGGAACGTCATTCAACCAACGTCCGCATCTGGCCTGTTTCAGGGCACGGCCGCGGTCGCGGACCAACGTCTTAGTAGCCGGGTCGGCTCTGTCAGAGCCATCCAAGTTTGTCTTTGTGTTCTGACTGTGATCGCCGTCTTCGTCGTCCTCTGGAGGCCGCGTGCCTGCCTTCCTCGAGACCCGTCATCCTTGGGCTCCATCGCCCTAATTCTTGCGGAGAGCGAGGGCTTGGCCCGCAGACTGGAAGGCACGGGCGCCGCTAAGTCCGATGCCTTAGACAGTCATGTACGCGATTCGAAATACCAATTGGCAGTCGACCCTAATGGCGCAGTGGGCATCATGGTTATGTCCAATGAGACGGTACGTGATCTTCACAAAAGTGAATCGAAGTAAGACGTTTCTTACCTCCGAGCTATAGGATGCCGACTCTTCGGCCTCAGAATCGTTGGTTTCACCCAACGGCTCGAAACATCGATTCGACTGGACACCGCCCGTATTATATCCAGTAGCGAAACTCGCTTTGGCAGTCATCGTTCTAGCCCTCATTGCGGTCCTGGAGCTGCTAGTGCAGCTCAGTTCCAAGCGCAGCGGCCTGGTTGATTTCAACGGACACCGTGCCCAGAGATATGCATGGTCATACGCTGGGCCGGTCATACTCTTCCTGGTGGGTCTAGGCATAGAGATCTTCGACTCTGCAGTTCGAGCGATGCACCCCTTTGTGCTCCTGCGCCGCGCTCCTCAATCAGGCAACCGACTGACGTACGACCCGCTTCACCAATCGGTGATTACATTACCTTTCCACGCGCTCCGGCATCGACAGCCTATGGTGCTCATAAGCACCTTGGCTGTGCTCCTCCTGCTCGTCGCGAAGATCGCGGTTGCTGGTCTGTTTACCATTGATCAGGTAACGCGCGTCACGAGTGTGCAGGTCGGCCTGAATACCACGTTCGCCTGGAACAATACCGCCCTCGCCGATACCATGGCTACAGGCATCACCGCGCCCCTCCTTAACCCCAACATTCCTGGCTACGAGTCGGGTGACGACAGCTACGAGGTTCCCCCACTACAGCTCATCGTCAATGCGGGCCTACAGACACCCAACTGGACGGCCCCCAAGATTGCCGTGGGTGCGCTCTCCGCGGATCCTAACTTCCAGTATCTGCCGGCTAGTTCGAGATTGACGGCGCGCCTTCCCGTCCTGCACAGCGACCTCGTCAACTGCACTGCTCCACCATATATCAAGCGCGGCGGCAACGCTAGCACTGGTACTTTCGTCGTTCTACCGCAGATCCCCTGTGTAGCCGACTATGGAGGAGCGGGAACTAGCGGCTTGGACTACGTCGTCACCTTGGACGAAACCAGCTATGCAGGCGCTGTTTTTCCTGTCCCCGGACGCAGTGATGGTAATGACGTACAGCTCAACTGCTCAACTATCTTCTTTCTTTTCGTGCGCAGCGACGATATAAATCTCATTGCATGCAACTATACCATGACTCAGTGGGTCGTCTCCCCGTGACATTCGATTTGATTAGCTCACGGATGAACTGTTGCAGATCTACGATGGAGGTGGACTTGGCTATAGACTCCCCCACGGGTTACCACGTCTTGGCGGTCAACCGAGCTTCGGAGCAAGACATCACAACGATTGATGAGTTCAGCCAAATGCCACTCATCTTCAGTGGCTTGCCCTCACTGGACTCTATTACCGACTTGGCCTATACTCGCAACAACAGTGCCAACGAGGCATTCTCCGGCGACGTACCGTATGAACTCTTCCACAGCGGCCCGTTCGACTACCTGTTCACCGCCATCACTGCCAACATGTCAGACATGGACACCCTGCTCGACCAAGACTCTCTGATCACTGCTGTCCAGTCCCAATGGTCGCAATATTTCGCGCGCCTCGCCGACTTTTACATGCGAGTCCCTGCGGACGGGAAAACGGCAGTGTCAAGCGTCTTGGCAGCTCCGCAGCAGCGCATCTTCATCGAGCCCAAACCTGCACGCATCCTGGAAGGACTACTGGCGGGGATATTCGTCTGTGTCGTGACGGTCTCGTTCACGCTGAAAACTACGGGCGTTCTTCCGCGTCCGCCCTACTCCATCGCATCGCGCATGAGTCTTCTAGCGGGGAGCGAATTGCTTAACCTACCAGAGCTGAAGGAACCTGACTCACAACAGGTGTCGACCAATATGCTCGAGAAACGGCTGCAAGGGACGTGGTTCAAGCTGGGATGGTGGGAAGACGCTACAGAAGGAAAAGGATTGCGGTACGGGATTGACGTGGATGGCGCTGATCGTGACACGGAAGTGTTGGACGACTATGCGCCTGGCGATCTGCAGAGTCCGCAAGCCGAGACTTATGAACTGGTGAGTTCCATTTCAAGTTGCCGCCAAGTGCAGGGCGAATTGAAGGCTGACGCTTAGTCCTCTGCAGCGGCCTAACCTGCCAGTGCACCAGCGGCTTGGCCGAAGCATTTCAGATGACATTGAGAAGCTGGTTAGTCCCTCAGACACTGAACACCCCCTATAACACTGTGGGCGCCGCTACTAGTACTGCCGAGTCCACGTTTGGATCCACGACTCGCATGAATTAATACGACTAAAACGACTATTCACATCTTCCATGATACCTATTTACATGTAAAAAGCCCTGTTGCAGTCTCAATTGCGGAATCTCTTAGTACCAGTACTTCGAAGCGGACCATCCAATTTTTTCGCGCGCGCGCGAGTGTAGCGCAAGTGTAGCAAGTGGGGCGACAGTGACGGCACTCAGCCACCGATCTGCTTTCAAGCGGTATCGACTCATCACAGACGTCGGGCCGACTCTGATCCACGTTGACTTCATTTCGCAACGATTACCTTCCCGTAACCAACTTGTCAATGCCCTCCGATTTCAAGCTCAAGCTTCAAGCTGAATGTCGCGCTCAGATCAAACATACTCTCAGACCACCCAAGCAGCACCGACGCCACGGCCTCCGGATCGAGTAATCGACGTGCCGGCGGTGGCGGGGTGGGACCCGCCGGCCAAGCTGAACGGAACAGCAAATCTATCTCTTGACTACCTCTTCCTCCTGAGCTTTCTTGCTTTCTATGTCTGTTTCTCGATAGCAGCTCCGGTCTTGTTAGAAGAGGTCCTCGCTGCGCTATACTGACCAGCAGACCGACTTCCTGCTCAGCGCTCCTTGGAGAGTTCATTGATCCAGCGCTGGTCACTCCGGGTTCTGCTTACATTCCCCCTCCGAAGCGCGAACGCAGAAGGGCATCTGAAGCTTGGACCAAGTCCTTCTTTCTTCGCCCAAGGAGCAACCAAGGAGAAATGACAGCTCTGAACTCAGGGTCGAAGACCTCGCGGTTCCCAACATTACCATGGGGAGTCGCTCCCCCAGCCCCGCCGAGGAAACCGTACTCACCGGAGAGAGTGCTTGAGGACATCCCTGGCCTGAACTATGCGCTGCACCTGTTCCTGTCGTCACAGATGGTAGAATCCGAGCAGTATTGTGAGGAGTGCGATCCCAAGAGGTGCGATTCATCGTATACATATTGACTGTGCTTCACACAGCCAAATAGCGAGCACCTCTACTTTGCAACGGGCTACGGCCTAATTCAGTGCTTCAAGGGCCTGATGTCCTTCGAGGACGAAGTACGCCTTTGCGCGCGCAGGAGGTCCGAGAGCTGATCATCTACCCCTATTCTGTAGGATCTCCTTGCCGGCTTGAATCACGTCAAGAATGGCAATGCTGTCGCGAGTCAGCATCGGAAGCGAGTTGCATCCTTGCCAACGCGACTAGCAGGTCTCGTTTTAGGTTCCCTGAATACGTCTGGCGTCGGATGGATTAAGAGCATGACACCCGTCGAGCGTCACGCGGAACTGGTCTACGCAGAAAGCCTTTTTGAGAAGGTGAGCATCATTTACAATCCTTTGAACACCTCCCTTAGCTTGAATAAGGCGTTACTCGGCATTGTCTACTCCGGAGATTGGCTCGCCTTCATCAAAGAAGCGTGAGTACTTGTACCTCTGCGCACATACCCCGCCTTGATCCCCGTCGGCCAGACTGAACCTCCGCACGACGATCAATATCTACCGCCAACTCGGACAGTTCCTCGAGGTGGCCGACGCGGAGGCGCAGGCGCGCGGGGACGGACCAGAGGATGCGTCCATTGATGCGCACTTTCGCTCGGGTGTCTGCCTCGGCGTAGGCATGTCAAACGTGATACTGTCACTGATGCCGTCGAAGGTACTCACGGTAATTGAGCTGTTTGGGTACAAGGGCGATCGCCATGCGGGCCTTGCGTACCTGATGAAGCCTGGAGGGTGGTCGAAGGACGCGCCGGAGCCGTCCGTTGGTATAAGTGCGAGGGCTCCTGTTGGCTTTAGCTGGGAGTGCATCTAATGCTGTGTACAGAGGAGGAAGGAATTCGCCGTCCTATCTGCGACATGGCGCTGCTCCTCTTCCACCTCGTCTTCTCGAGCTTCACTTACGATGGTGTCGACATCTCCATGGCGCAGAAGATCCTCGACTACCACCAGAAGCAGTATCCGAATGGTCTGTGCGTTCTACCCCCGCTTTTCTGCCTTACACTGAAGCTCTCATATTTCAGGCGTCTTCTTCCTCTTCGGCCAGGGCCGACTGAGTATCTGTCGGGGCCAGCCCGCGCAGGCGATAGAGTACTACCGGCGTGCGGTGGCGGTGCAGGATCAGTACAAGAACATGCACCACATCTCGCACTGGGAGATCGCCGTCGCGAATTTCTCGCTCTGGGACGTCGCTGCATCGCTCACAAACTGGCGCGCGCTTGCTAAGGACGCGACTGTAGGCGGTTCAGAGCGTCTTCTGTGGATATTGTACTGACTACATATCAACTAGTGGTCCAAGGCTACGTATACGTATGGCGTCGCTGTCTGTTTGCTTGAGCTCGGTGACGAGAAGCAGAAAGAGGAGGCGGACAAGGCAATGAACCAAGTCCCGAACCTGCGCCAACGCATCGCGGGCAAGTCCATCCCTATCGAGGTCAGCTTTCCTTTCTCTTCATCCCTGTTCATCGCACTCATCGAGCGCTTCCTCTAGAAATTTGTCGCCCGCAAAGCGCGCAAGTTTCACGAGCAGAAGGGCCGGCTCGCGCTTGCCGCGCTTGAATTCAGCTACCTCTTCCTTTGCATCCAACATGCACCGCGAAGCGTCATTCTCGCGCATATACTCCCCCAGACTAACGCGCTCCTCGCGGAGCTCCAGGGCTACTACGGCAAACCCGCAGCGTATGACGGGTGCTTCTGGGATGATTGGTGTCTCGCGCAGTTCCTGAGAGGCGTGTCTCTGCGGTATATTGCATATCCGGTACATCCTCTATCATTGAGTCACATTGTACTGCATGCTCATCTGTGCAACTCGCGCAGGATGCGGATACGGTGGTGGACCCGGAGGAGAAGCTCGGCATGTCACAAGCTGACGCGGAACGTGATTCTGTCTTGGCTTTCGAGGAGATCTTCAAGGACGGCGACGAGATAACGCTCGACCATTATTTGAACTATTACGCTCGTATGTGTCGCTCTTGGCATGATGCGTGTCGTGTTCCGACCACTCACTACATTAGACTTCGAGTACGGTCGCCTTATGGCGTGCAAGGGCGACAAAACGAGCGCCAGGGAACATCTGGAGCTCGTCATGTCTGGTATGCCTTCCATGTGTCTTGTAGAATCGATGCTGAACAACGGTCAGGAAAATCTCTCGAGGGCCCTGGAGTACACAGAAAGGGCAAGTACAGCATGGAGGTTTGTACCTATCGTTTGTCTACAACGACCTGCTCTGACTGATCCTCTTACTACCAGAATGCGCTTCACGTCCGTACACACGCCGCGCTCGAGGCGTTGGATCGTAAGGACCGACTTTAGGTTATTGACGATCATGCTGTCACACATCGGACCTATATATGACATGACTAGCCGATGCCCGTGCTCCGCTACAGGTATGCGCTTTCGATTGCATATCTCTCAGTCAGATACATTATCTACGGCTTTGAGCGCATAGCAGGGCGACCACTCAAAAATCGTGACTGTTCTATTCTATGTTACTTGCAAACATAGGCGACTTCTGTAAGAGACTGATAGTTGAAATGCCACTTAGCCGTCTCCCTTCGGGAGTCGGCTTCGTGGCCCTGTGCCGGGCCGTGAAATATGCATCTACAGCGGTATATTGGAGGAATGCTTACTTACCGACTGCGATGAAACTGGATGTCACATCCTCACCTGTTTGCTGGCTCAGGTTACTTTCGGGTGGTACTACTTGAATGTATCTGCCTTCGACCCCTGTCTCTCCGCACAGCAGTAAGGGAGAGATGCCATTGATCAACAGCGGAACTTGGAAGATATTCAGATGTGCAGCGCACCTATGCCCATGGCTCCCGAGTGGCCACTCTCCGACTCCGACTCGTGGGTGTTATGCTTGCATCCTCGGCGTTGCCGCACGCCGTACCTGACATTCGCTCGTCCTTACTCGTCCTCGCGCCTCTCATCACCTCATCCTCACCCATCTCTGCCAGCCATTCGCCCTTCCCTGCCTACTCGTTCCCGTCCGCGCCCGCTGTCTGCTGACCCTCCCTGTTCATAGCTGAGCCCGCGCCCGTGGTCCGCTTGTCGGCTGCACTTCACGCGGGGGCTTTGCCCTGCATGCTCGCTGAAGCTGAAATTTCGCCCTCGCCCTGTGCGTGTCGTGGCTCAATTGTGTACCCGCTCGGGGCCTGCCTACGTGCGCGATCGGAGGCCGTGTCTGCGTGCAGTGAATGTTCACTCAGTGCGCTCGCGGTCGACGTATACGCTGTCACCTACTCGCTCGCTCGCCCTCCTGCTCTCCATGTACTCGCTTGCTTACCCGTCCGATTGCCCCTCCACGCCTGCTCACCTGTCCGCCGGCTCGCCCACCTGCCCGCTTGCTCTGCACGCGTTCGTCGGCCATGTCTGTGTGCCGGGCATTCGCCTGGCGCGCTCGCGGTCGGCGTGCGCGTCGCGCTTCATGTCGCCACGGCGACTGCGCCCTGCGCCTGCCCATTCTGTCTCTACGACTCCTTCGGCCACTGTGCACCCGCCATCCGTTCGTCGGCCGTGTCTACGTGCTGGGCATTTGCTCAGCCGCCTCACGGTCGGCGTGTGCCTCTCGCTGGCCTGCTCGTCCGCCCGCCGCCTATTCATCAGCCATGCCTGCATGCTTGTGATCGTGATGCGTCGGGCTGCACGTCGCCGCGTCCTGTGCCTGCAGTTAGCCCGCTCGCTCGCGTGTGTCTGCACTCACTGTGACGGTGGTCGTCTCCATCGCTCCGCTCGGTGCACTCCTGTCACTCGTTGTCTGCACCTTACCGCTGCCCTGCTGATCCGCGCCCTCCGATGCCAGAGTGAGAAATGAGCATGAGGGTCGCGCGCGAGTCTAAGGAATAATGAGGACGACTCGGAGGAGGGATGAAGTACAGTCACGGTAGCTCGGAGCGCTTGAGAGGCTCGGGCAGCGCTCGGGCGTCCGTCTCTCAGCCAATGAGAATGTCTCTAGCGTTTGTCCCGTCTTCTTGTCTTGCTTCTTGTCTCTGGTGTTTGTCTTAGCGTTTGTCTCGCGTTCCCACGTTCACGCCTCTTGTAGAGTAGATATATACGACATCTCTGCACTTGGCCCGGGTATACAGACTGCGATCTGGACTCTCTTGTCGTTCGTAATTGTTGCTGCTGCTTTCGCTGTCGTAACTTATCATCCGTGTATCCGCGGTATATGCCGCGCATCTCTAAGGGTTCAATATATCATAGCTTCAACGTCTAAACCACGCTCATTGTGAGGCTCAACTTCATCCCGCTGCTGGCAAGAAAACCCCATAACTCAACAACTGGTACTACATATTACCCCGCGATCTGAGAACCACAGGCAGCGGGCCCTTTTGCAACGCAAAATAATCCCTCAGGTCCCTCTCCCACTGTTTTACATCATAGCCCTCCACCAACCGCATCTCAAAGCTCCGCACCATCCACGCTAATATCATCCGCATCGAAAGCAACGCAACTGGGCGCCCTACGCAATTAGGCGGGCCACTCGAGAACGGGACGAACGCGCTCGTGTTCGTGACGACGTCGGGATCATCCTTGCGCAGCCAACGCTCGGGCCAGAACCGGTCGGGGTCTGGTGAGAAGTAGCGCGAGTCGCGGTGTAGGACATATGGAGGGACGAGGATAGAAGTGCGTTCGTCGATGACGAGGGTGGGGCTGATCTGGTGTGTCCCGGTGCCCGGCTGGGGTGCACGCTGCAAGGATGTAGGGATGGAGGGGTAGAGGCGGAGGCTCTCATTACTACATCGCAAGTAAGGGCACGCAGACGGTCATGGTACATCGATGATGACTTACATCACGGCATTGAGGTATTCGAGGCTCGAAAGCTTAGCCGCGTCGACGGGATCGCCGGCGCCAGGCGGGAATGCCGCGTCGACCTCCTCACGGAGGTGTTGGTAGACGTCTGGATGGGCGAGGACACAATAGAAGGTGTTGCATAGTGCGACCGCAGTCGTGTCCGAGCCTGCGAGCATCGCTGTGACTGCGTTTGTCATGATTACCGGGAATGGTGTCTGCTTTTCCGGGTTGGGCACTTCGTCGAGCTTGGACATCATGTAAGTACGATGCCATTAGTAAGGTGACAATGGGACGGACTAGGTGGTAGAAGAGATCATTCGTTACTGAGCCCTCCTGTAGCCTCTTGGTGACACACTTGAACGCGAACTGGCCTAAAGCCTTCATGTGCTTGCCGACCCAAGGCAGGTATGGTAGTACAGGCGCCACCCAAGGAATCTGCTGCGTAAGTGCAGGTAGGCTGTTATGCGCGCAATCTACCAATCAGTCATCTTGAGCCAGAGGAGCTGCGCATAGGACGGCTTACTGCAGACCTGCAACCATGGTACGGTAGATGCCATCTCTGTCGCCGTCGTGCATGAGCTCGAATCCACCTCCGAACCTGCTAGTCAATTAGCCACTTCGCCATGGAATGATACAATTAACCACGTACACCATATCGCCCATGAAGTCAAAGCTTCGGGCAGTGAGTAAGAGAATCGAACACAAGCAGCGAAGATGGGGAGTCTCACATGCAGTAACTCAACCATAACGACAGATCCACCGATCCGGTTGCACCTTTTTGCTTTAGTTCGTCGACCAGCTGTGCCGCCCTGCGCACCAGGATGGGTTCGTAGTCCTTCATAGCAGCTGGCGTGAACGCGCGATTCCACGTCTTTCGGGCTTCTGCGTGACGATCCTTGTACCGGTTGCCGATGAGGTTTCCGCGATTGTTCTTCGCGCCTGCGCCCCTCTTTCCGGAGATCCGGCGGCCCTCCCAAACTGTTCAAGCTCATCAGCGGAAACTCAGCGACAGGTTACCTGAGGTATACATACGAGGTCCTTTGGGCATGCCTTCGGAACCCAAGATACGGGACAGCAGGTCTACATCTACCACGGACAGCTCGTTGGGACCTACAGGCAGATGAGACATTTCAACAGTAGATCCGCTCATGCAACGAACCGATGCGAACGATGGGTCCATATGTAGCATGCAGTTGCCGCGTGTACTCGTGCAACTTCCCCGTGTTTGCTGTGTAGACCATCCATAGCTTCGTCACTTTGCAAAGCAGAGGTCCCGGATAGATAGTGAGAGGGTGCGTTGATGATAGGCGGTATGCTATGGTAGCTAGTAGGATGGAGCAGTAGTATGCGGAATACGCCACCAGCGAAGCTAGCAGAGTCGAGCCTATTTGTGCCCGCATGACAGCCGCGGGGAGTGCTGGGACAAGTAGCAAAAGCGCAGCCAACCACTCAGCATTTTTAGCCAGAGATTCGTGTGGTTGGAGCACCGTCCGGTGAACAGCCTGTTGCAAATCAGCTCACCCGCTCAGGAAGAGGAGATGATGATGCTCACGTATCCGAGCAATGCAGCTGTGAGGGCACCTCCGAGAATTTCAAGGGAGGGCATGTCTCGAGATCCTGCAATGCAGCTTGTAATCCGCAGTGGTAGGACAAGACGGTAGAGCTACTGGTAGTGAACGTTACAAGTGCAGTGGCTGCGTACAGTGGTACTTATCAGCCGTTCGACATGCACAATAGCAAATACTATGAATGTATTTTTCGTTATTTATTGAGATCGAGGTTGCCCCGCAAGGTTTTCGGCCAGGTTCACTCGCAAGGTAGCAGGTTTCGCGCAGGATTGAGGTTCACGTAGCCATTTTCGCACGAGGTTCAGGTTCAAGGCTACGATCACACTGTAAGGTCCGAGATTCAGCCGAGGTCTACAGATGAGGTTTGAGGTTGAGTTACGAGGTCCGACCGCGTGAGCCATGTCTCTCAGGTACGATGTATACGCCCGAACACTGGCATCTAGCACTGCAATGCGAGTTACGAGGTTCGAGGTGTGCATGTGAGGTTCGAGGTTCGAGGTGTGAGGTTCAGGTGCGAGGTTTCAGGTCATGTGATAGGCCTCGGTGACCCCTCGGCAGAAAGTCCGATCCACGGGGAGAGCCGTTGCGTGCAACGCGTTGCGCGCAACGCGCAACGTCACGCAAGTCACGGTGTGGCTTGCCTCGTCGGGCGGGACAAGGGGTTACGGGACAGTTGGTGTATACATATTGGCAAAAATAACACCAGACCACTTCGCACTTCGCTCCAGCTAGATATATACAGGCCTAGAATAAGAGCTAATACGACCTCAGTCTGCAGAGCTGGGAGTGATTCGCACTGTGACTCAACACGCCACATGTCGCTTATGTAATTTCTCGGGCAATGCATCGCGATTCGCTCGGTGGCCGCGATTGCAACTTGGCCGAGAAAACGCCATGCAAGGCCTTCAATGTCATAGCCACACGGAGGCGGGACTAGTTCGTAGGCAACATAAGTAGGTTACTTACCCGCAGTGGGTGCATGTCACAGCGTGACTAAGTGACTGTTGCACGTTGCACGTTGCGCGTTGCGCGCAACGCCCCTCCCAGTCGATCGAACGTTCTCCCCCTCGGTGACCTTGTGAAGGGGGTCGTACAGGGCCGTACAGCATCCTACATGAGCCTACTGGCCATACATGTGTCTCAGGCATTCATCTGCAGCTCACGACACTGTGGCCTGCGATATTACTGATTTCTCTGCATGCAAATACTTAGGCTTTAGGGAGATGTCGGTGCTACGGCCATCTGGGGCAATGCCGAGACATGCCCGAGGTATTACCGTATTCAGCAGTGCCACCTGACCGAGTCGCTGCCAGCCTCATTCCATATGTTGTGCACTCGCTCCGTCGCGAGCATCCTCATTCGCATGTGCTGAGCCCGAGCAGAAAGTGTGATTAGAGTCCATTTCACTCCCTCAAGGCCTGGCGACACCTCAAGTTTCCTCTTCTACCATGCTTCCCAGCACGTGTTCTGCGTTTGGGCGCCCATCCCTCGCTCCGACGCTCCCGTCTACTGACCTACTAGTAGTGCCCCTCTCACCCTCCTTACTTCCCTCCTCGTGCGTCGTCTGTAGTCGACGTGGTGAGCCGCAGCCACAGAAACTCACGTCTATCGCACTTACCATCTGATAACGCGGCAGACGTGCTGTCAATGTGCCAGCATGCACTCTCGCCTCGATGCCGGTTCTCTGCCTCTGCCATCCCGCTGTGTTCCCCATCCTCGACACTCCCGCCCCCGAACTTCTCACAGCGATCATTGCGCATCGACTCAACCGTGGCTGCTGCGGCTTCCACCTCGGCCATTGACAGTCGCTCGCTGGACGGCGATCGGTCCTCTCTATGACGGATGCCCGGCTTCATCGGAAAACAGGTCGGCCACCGGAAAACAGTTCGGCCAGCCCGAGAGGTGCACCGGGGAGCACAAACTGCCTCACTGGGGCCCGCAAGCCGCCGCACGCAATCGCTACGCACTGCACACTCCGGTCGTCCACACCCTTGGTGTATTTTGGAGCCACGAAGCGCAGACACTGAACAGAAACACAACAGATTGGGTAAGCATCGTCGCCTCGATTCGACCAGGACACACAACATTCACCTGATCCCACAGCATGCCGTTCCACGTCTCCCTCATCCACCCTGTCCGAGTCAGCTCGCCGCCGGGCCATCGATCCTGTCTTCATCGGGGAAGCCACACTCCTTGCCTCGCTCGCGCCAGGCCGTCTGCATGCGCATGCGCTGCCAGTGGCGGGCTGATTGTCGATGGTTCTGTGTGCCTCAGTGTGCAGAGGCCGGTGCGAAGGTAGGTTAGCCAGACGACGATCTGTACAGGTGGTGCGGCGTGGTGCTGCGCAGATCGCCCCGGAATCGACTTATGTCAATGAGATTCAGGGAGGGAAGGTGTGTCCTTTGTATCGGCGGCGTTTCGAGGGCGTCAGGACTATGCCCGGGCGAAGGTGGATTATCGCGTCAACACGAGAGACAGCTCATCGTGCAGGGGTACGGTGAGTTTCCTCTGGGTCTACAGATCGCCTTGCAACGTTAGGACATCGTCAAATGCCATCGGGCCAGTGTGGCCCCTTTGACGGCAACAGACGCAAAACACGTCACGTTGGTGCCGCTGTTTCCTGGGTGCTGACACTGAGTAGTGGGTATGAGTCGATCGCGGGCGCGACTGCGATTGTTGCTACTCAGCTACTCGCGCGGGCATAGGTGACCGTTGGCGGCTGCGCACCACTGTGGGTTGACGGTGTTTCGACAGCACATGATGCAGGGTAGTGTCTGGTAGCATGAGTTGTGGGACGGCTGTTAATGTGCGATTGTTCCGCATGGTGCTGTTCCGGGAAGCTCACTGCTATGTACGCTGTAAGCAGTCCTCAGACTTATACTCCAGCAGCATAGACAGGCCAAGGAATGTAGTCTCAACATGTATCACGTTACATTAAATGCGCTAGAACATAACGAATAACGATACTTTCATGACATTATCTGTCGGATATCCAGCCTAGACATCCTGCGCAAAAATTCGGCCTGACGTGCGGTAAGCCTCAGAGCACATCGAGGATCAATCAATCAGATTGGCTTGACTTGCTGTCCTCGTCATTGCTCACTCCTGGTCATCGTCACACTTGTCCACTGTGTTGTACATCTCGTTCTCCGACACTCTGAGGCAATAATTTGCAACACAGCCATTGTAAGTTAGCATCATCTGTCCCTCCGGGTTCTGCACTCACACTAGTAGCTTAGCATGGAAGCATGAGTGACGATGCTACTGGACGCGGGCCACAGTCGCTGTTAAGCGAGTTCTACCACCGCTTCAATGGATATGTCCATTCAGTCGAGACTGCCCTTGCGAATCCGACAGATTCGACAGTACTCGAGCGACTTGGAGATGATCTCAATCAGTTTGGGCAGCTCGTCACCGAGGTATGTCGCGGTCATGATACAATCAGGTGAGGTTACTGATCTCACCTACCACTGTGGAACAGCATGCAGCGACATTCCCTCCAGGTGAACTGGGCCACATTCAAAATGGTGTCGGTCTTATGCTGTACGACATCCGTCTGCAGTACCGCGAAGCCCTGGATCAGTCTCACCACGGTCGGCCTGAAATTGTGACACGGGCTCAAACTGGTCGGCCTGGTCGGCCTAGGATCACAATCGACCCGACTTGGCTAGAGTGGGCATATCAGCATCGTTCGATTGCAGGCCTCGCTCGTTTCTTGAATGTCGGGCGATCAACAGTCCGCAATGCTCTACTGGAATACCAGATCGCCGAACCTCAGCAAAATCCTTCCCACATCTGATCTCTCGGCCGAACCAATCCAGGTGTCGGAAGATGATCACGATGACCTACTAGACCCGATTCTCCCTGAGCCTTAGCTCACATGGATGGGCCTGCTATGATGGGCGATGGCCAATATGCAGATCATATCTCGTCTTTTACCGGTCCTTTAACCCTCCTGACCGATGCCCAGCTTGATGACATCCTCAAGCAGCTTCGCATGCATTATCCCCGCGCAGGCATCACGATGCTGGATGGAATGCTGCGACAGCTCGGCCACCGTGTACCTCGTCAGCGAATACGATCTTCCCTTTCCCGCATTGACCCTATCCACCGGACCTTCGAGCGTATTCGCATACGACGCCGAAAATACAAGGTGGCCGGTCCAAATGCATTATGGCATCATGACGGCCAGCATGGTGTGTTCGGTCACCAGTGTTTTGGGGCTCTTACATGACTGTACTGACGATGACTGGATATATTAGGCCTTATCCGCTGGAAGATCGTAATCCACGGATTTATAGATGGTTACTCTCGTCTCATAACTGCACTACGGGCACATGGCAATAATCGTGCAGCTACTGTTCTCCAGCTGTTCCTTGCTGGAGCAGAGATCTTTGGGGTACCTTCCCGTGTACGTGGCGATCATGGTGTAGAGAATCTGGCTGTTGCTGCATGGATGGAAGCGAACCGCGGTGAGCGACGGGGCTCGTACATATGGGGCAGGTAAGGCATCTATCTAAGGGATGGGATTTCAAATTGTGATTCGTGAATGACATCGCATGGAATTATAGGAGCATCCACAATGTTCGCATCGAGCGTCTCTGGGTCGATGTCACTGCACAAGTCGGTGCAAAGTGGGCGGAATTTTTCACGACACTCGAGGTTCATTATGGCCTTGATCTCAACAACGACAATCACATCTGGCTCCTACATCTGCTCTTCCTCGATCGCATCAATGACGAGCTTGCCTTCTTCGCTGATGGTTGGAACCACCACCGAATCCAAATCCGAGATGGGCCCAATCGCTCGCCCATAGACATGTTCGTCTTCGACATGCTCGTTCATGGAGTACGTGGAGATCAATTGCCCGATGAAGCTCAGACTATGGAGGAGCTGGAGGTGTATGGTGTCGACTGGGAGGCACTACGCGAGGATCGTCTTTTGCGTGCCTACCATCAGAACAACACCCAAACCGATGGTGCATCGTCATGGATTGGTAGGGTTGGTCCACCCGAGCGGCTGAACGAGGTCGAGGTTGAACCTCCCGAGGAGCCAGGAGTTGATGCTTTGGACAGAGTCATTGGTGTCCTAGCACAGGCGATTGAGCCGTGGTCGGCTCATGCAGATCAAGCAAGTCTAGCAGCCTGCTGGGTGAATGCATTGGCATACCTCCAGAGCCAGTATATGGATATGTTTTGACAGTCGGGCTATTGATTGCATTATCTGTACTGTACATAGTCCATGCGAAACTCATTCTCTCCGGGTGACGACTGGCTGGCATTTCGTTACTACTACGAGCCTACTAGTACGACAATAACGACTGTATTTTGTGACGAGTGGTACCGCAGTCGCGCTGCACCCAATCTGTGCCAGTGTCAGGGCGGTAGATCACGAGCGACTCGGAGTCCAAAGTTTGACGTACATCTGAGTGACCGAGTCATAGCCTCCGACTCGGAGGCGCCGCACTCGCACCGAGTCAACGGGCTCCGCTACGCCCGCTCGGATAGCGAAGACGACCATCCCCTGTATACAGCAGTAAATGTTCCCACAGACACTCAGCAATGCTACACCCAAGATCAGTGGATCCGAGTCGTACATGCGGTGAGAGTTCGTGCTTCTTTCGTGCGGATGATCCCGAGCCGCACTGCCACTGCTTCTTCGCACCGAGTCATTGATGTGGCTCACTGATAGCACCTCCCAGGATCCCCCCAGGCTCTGGCTGTCGCTGGTCGGTTGCCAATCCTTGGTTTGACGAGCAGAACAGCTTCAAGGCTGTGTGAATGGCTCGGATGTCTGGGGCTCGGAATAAGGGGAGGCAAGTCACTCACACTTTCAAGTACCTCCAAGGTGTGTTTTGAGCGATGTTGTGACTTCCGTGTCGACTCTGACTGTTCTAGGCTGTCGTTCCTCCCGATGGTAATTGATGTTCCACTGTACATGCTGCTACAATAGCCTCACAGCTCGATATGGCTGGCTTCTTCGCTTCAAAATGGTAATATCCATCGTGGTGTGAAGAAGCCAATCGTAATCGCTCAATCCTGAGCAGTCATCTGTGAGCAAATGCCGAATGAAATTATTTATGCTGACCCTGTCCATCGAGGATTGGTTGTGCTGGCCGAAGCCAGCAGAACTACTCACAGGCTCGTGGTGAGAGTCTGTATCTCCCCGACCTGGATTGCATGCCGAAGTAATCCCTGTAAGTACATCTCTGTATATAACTTGTCGTACTTATTTGCTGACCTTGTCGCATCGTCTTCCAGGAGGTTTTGAATCGCAGTAGCCCGATGGAGATGCTCGTCGAGCTGGATCTCACGATGTCAGTCTTTGGATAGAAGGGTGGCGACTGCTGCTCGTACTGCTGCCATATACCTGTGCCCGAATCGAATTGAAGACAGCAGGAATACAGTACAATATGAGAGCAGAACCCGATGCATAGCGAGGTCTGCCATAGGCCGAGTCGCCATGGCCTATGCCAGACTTGCCATAGAGGGCAAGTTCGGTTTTGGCCTCACCTTCTGACGGTGCCCACTCGCTCTTTCCCCACTATACTCTCGTCGTTCTTTTCGTCTGCTCACACCCTTGCCATTCAGTCGGCAAGCCACCTCCTCTCATTGCTTCGTCGTTCCTGCACTCTCCCAGAATTGTCTCTCCAACATTGATTGAGGTTTGTTGCCCTTCGTGCGAAGACCTTTCGGGCTGTTCAACCCAGTTGTAAATTTTACAGTCGCTCACTCCTTCGTCGAAAAATTTCTACTGGAACTGTGATTATAGGCCTGTTCTACGAGCCACTTCAGTCAACACACTAGTTACGACTGACTTTGATGTCAGGCCCAACTAGTTACAGGCTGAGTTATATGTGACTTCTTGAACTGATGTATGTGTAACTAAAGGCACATGGTGACTTATAGATTGACTTGTAGACAGTGACTAGTAACATGTTGACATTCATGTCCCAACTTATTGGAATGACCTTTACAACACCACCTAGTTTGGCTGACTCTTTCGGGGACTTAGGCAAGGCCGACTTTTCACGATTGATATATAAGTTATGCATTGCGACCACAACAACCAAACTATATGTTAAGACTAAAGCAGAAGACTTTTCTAGCTGACCCATTAGACATGACTTCGACCGACCTATTAGACATGACTTCAACGACTGACTTATTAGACGCGACTACTAATGACGACCGACTTATTGAACTGAACTACAGACAAGAGATAGAGAACAGTAAGAGAATAGGGAAGATCAAAAACAAAGAAACAGAAGCTGCCAGGCTCCGAGAACACTACAAGTACAAGTTGATGATCCACAACAGCGAGCGCATCATTTACCTTGTCGGCGTCGTTCTTCTTCCCAAGCACGACGGCCAATGTTGTATTTGTGGATCAAAGAGTGCCGCTTATCCCAGACACTCTCGAGATCCGGCCACTCCAGTGGACCGTCTACGATATCCTCGTCTACAAAATAGTCAGTGAATTGTGTTTGTTCGAACATCCATTGAGGACATACTTGATATGGTATCGACCCCAAGTAGATCCCGCACTCCCCACTTGACCCACACGACGTAGTCCCCGCCCCGCAGACAGAACGGAACATTGACGAGGCTCTCGACATGCGTGAACCACCACCGCTGTCGGGGACTCAACCACACTGCGATGGCGTCAGTGAGTTCGAGCCCCCACTCTGTAAAGATACAAGTGAACGAGTCTCGCGAGTATTTGTTGAAGTACTCGTCGGAAGGTAGCACCCCGTCCTGGACGACCTATTGTAAGTCCAGGGAACACGAAAAGATCAGTACACGTACCTCGGTGTATCCCCATACATGGATGAATTCCTCCTGGCCTTGGCTTTCGGGAGAGTTCTCGCGCGACACGTCTGACGACTCAGGCGCCTCGGAAGCGTCATGCTTCGACGACGTGCCGATGGATTTGTCCACCTGAGAACTTGCACTCGACGCTGACGGCACGCCTGTAGCCACACCCGAGGACGACGACACAGCAGCAGATCGCGCGCTTTGCGAGACCTTGGAAGGCGCGCCACGATCCTCCGTCGCATCCTCGGTCAGGTCGATCACGTCCGAGTCGTCTAGGTGGATTCGGCGTCGCTTGATACCACGCGCGGTGTGGTCCCTCGCAGTCAAAATAACGGGCTTGTCCACACGTGGACTCGCATTCGACGCTGACGGCCCGCCTGTGGCCGCCCGCGACCACGACGACGCAGCAGCAGACCGTGCGCTTTGCGAGACCTGGGAAGGCGCCCCAGGATGCTCCGGTGCATCCTCGGTCAGGTCGATCACGTCTGAGTCATCTAGCTGCGCCCGGCGTCGCTTGGTACCACGCGCGTCGACGTCCTTTCCATCCAAAGTAAGGTCGATAACCTCGGGGGGGTTCCTGTGGCCCCTGGGTGTGCCGCGAGCGCCACGAACGGGCTATAATTCAATACCTTCTGTCAGCATACACCGAGAGCCCGAAGAACACTGAGTACTCACAAAGTTGCCGCGTGCAGCGCGTGAATAATGCGCTAACCGTCGGGGGGCCAGAGAGGATTGTCGGAGCGGTGACGACGACGGTGCAGGCGACGACGATGGCAGTTCGTGCCCTGAAGGGGGATCACGTTCAGGTGGAATACTGGACAGAAGGCTGGGCAACCGATGGCCCAACTCATTCCAATACTGTTGAGAGTCGTCGGACTTGTCAGAGTCGTATGGCTTTGCACGCGCTGCTGTCCCCAGGGCGCCGTTTGGCGTCCGAGAGGATGAGGCGGCGACGTTGTTTGGCGTCCGGGAGGATGAGGCGGCGACACTGTTTGGCAGCTGTCGGAGTGGCGCATTGTATGTGGGTGATGCCGCCTGCGAGGGTCCGTCCCGTTGCTGACGGAATAGCCGGCTTTCCTCCTCCAGCTGTGTCCGTTCGCCGTCCAGTGCCGCTTTCTGGCCAGTGAGGTTTTCTTTCCCCGCATGCTTCTCTTCCCCGATACGGTCAGGTCGGTTCCGCGCTCTGTCAAGAGCTTTATCCACCTCTTTCAGGCGGGTAAGCACGTCACGCATGCGCTTGATCAGCTTGTGCTCGCCGGGGCCAAGACGGCCACTGAGGTAGCGGAACTTTGGCCTGTTCGGGGTACCACACTGCGCACACTGCTTCACCAGTCAACATCGCGTCGAAGAGAAGGATTGAAGTGACTTGCCCTTGTGTAAATGCGCCCCACGTTCTCGTCGTCGGTGAGATATTGTAGCTGCTTCGCTGGATGATGGTCACACTCCAGTGTGTCTTCATCGCGGCATAGCTGGCGAACGAACTCCTTGAACGGCGCAAGAACGGGATCGTTCGTGTCCTTGGTCTTGGATGGTGTGCCAGGAGAGAACAAAGTGTTCATCCTGCCTATCCTTGACGAGGCACCCTCATTGCGGCGCAGGGGGGATGACATGAGAGGCGGGGCTTAAAAGGTAGACAAGACTCGCGTGAAGCGGGGCCATGCGCACCTTTATACAGTCCTTGCGCTATTGTTCATAATCCGAGTGGCCAGGAACAGCGATCGGTGGCGTGATGAGCGAAGCAGGGGTCAAAGCGTGGTCCATGGACAAAGCGGAGGCTACAATGACTGCTCTTGGCCACTCGGCTACGTTGGGCCGGGTTAAAGTCTTAGCAAGTTCAAGAGAGCCTATACATCTCCATGTCGTGGCATGCGGCAATAAGTGGCATCGGTACGAACCCAAAACTATCTACGCAACATTACATGCACGACACCGCAGCACAAAGTCCCTTCCTCGAGCTACCTACTTACCTTTGCGATTCAGGTCAGCATAGTTCGTCACGGTCCTGCAGACTGTGTTAGCAATACTTTGACAGACAAGGAACATCACTGACCTTGCCCGCTTTGAACGACTGGAACCCGTCGTCGAAGGCTCGGGGAGTGGCGGTTCCTCTGTATCGCGTGTCTTCCTCTTGGTTCCTGCCGTTGTCGCTCCTTCTGGCGCCGCAGACTTGCGGGCCCGGCCGGGTTTCTTCCGGCTTGAATTGCGGCCAGAGGTCTTCTTCCGAGCATTGATGCTACTCAAGGCGTCTCCGTCACCGACGTCTGGCTCCTCGTGTGCGTCACCAGCACCAGCTTGTGTATCCTGAGCGGGTTCACGGCTGCCTTCATTGACGCCTGAGCTCTCTTCAGCGCCCTCGCCATTGGTCGCTGCATCCGCAGCGTTGCGTTCACTCCGGCTCGTCTCGACCGCGGTTTCCGGCATGTGGCCCTGCGCGTTGACGAGACTGGAGTGCTGCGGCGACTGCGGAGCGATGGAGGGATTGTCCATGTTGAGAGTCGACTGGCGAGTACGATCCTCTGCATTCGCCTCGTGACCGCCCTGGCGTACGCCATCTGGGTGCGAGGGCTCGCGTATAGCGTCGGGAATTGATTCCTCCTGCGCAAGCTCGGCGGAAATACGATGCACCTCGTTCGACGGGTCGGGTTCAGTCGCAGGCGCAACGGAGGCGGGCTGCACGTTGGCCACTTCATCGGGCAGGCGGGCAGGTGCCTGTACATCACGCTCAGCGCCGACATGATTCACGTCGTTCGAGTGCGCCACATCGGCAGCGGCGATAGCCGGCACAGCGTCAAGCTCGGAGGCGTCAGCAGGGGTACTTGCAGTCGAATTCGCCACTTCGGGAGCGACACTAGCTGGGACAGCGTCAAGCTCAGACGCCTCTGAGATATTCGCCTCGGGGGCGGCAATGGCTGGGACGGCTTCGACGCCGGACGCGTGATCCTGTACACTCGCAAGTGCTTGCGAATGTGGGACATCGTCAGCCGGGGCCTCGGAAGGCTCGATCAATGGGGGGACTGTGCTCCCTGAAGCAGCGGGTTGCGCGGTGGCGAGGTCTGTAGTCGCTGGGTCCATTGTCGGTCGTCGGGTCTCCAGGACGTATTCATCGAGTGCGTTGACGTGCACCCCATTCTCCACGCTCTTCAGATGGTTGACTAGCCGATCTGTGCCTGCAATTCCCGCGCTCACCCTTTATAAATACAAATGAGTGCAGTAGTGTTAGGGATGTTGAGGGCACTTACAAAGTTCTGCGTGGTCGTCCACCGGAATCCATCCATCCGATATACATGAAGATCTCTGTCTCCGTCTCCTCAGACCATTTGTCTACGGCCACTCGCGCGGTATATCGCAGACGCGCTTGACGTCTGCAGACGTGAAGATTCAGTTCACCGAAGCCACCTTAGAGTCGCGACTTACTGGTCCAGGGTCTCGACCTTGCTCAGATCGTCATCATCGCTGTCGTCCGCGTCCGACTCCAGCTGCGCTGCAGCATCCATTGCTGCATTGGCTGCATCAGCCTCTGCCTTCGATTGAGCAGCGAGTACCTCGTAGTGTGCCCATTTATCCGGTTCCTCTGCCTTCATGCGCTCAATTGCACGCGTGATGGCGAGGTTAGATGTCGTGGTCTGCTCGCCGAAAGACAGGCCCGCCTGCCTGGCCTCGGCTTTGGCTTGGGTCCCGAAGTGGGGGTAGTCGTGAATGAAGAGGCCGCGAGCACTCTTCGCGTTTTGCCGCGCTGCCTGAGGCTTGACAGGCTGAGGAAGAGGGATAGGGAGGAGGTCGAGAGGTCCGGACTTCCGCTTGTCGAACCAAGGCTTGTTATTCTCTATCCACTTCTTAATGCTCTAACGAGACATCTTCACTGCCATCCTGGGTGTCGGAAGAGTGAGACATACCTTGAGTCGTCCGGTAGCTCGTTTCGTGTACTCCTCATCGTTCTCCAAACGCAACCTTCCCTTCTTGAGGACGAGGCCACGTACATTGATGTCGAACTGCGCCTCAAACGCAGTCGCAACGTCGGTCGCCATCTGTTTGAAGCTCTGTTTTGGGCCAGCATCCTTCCAAGCTTTGAGGGTCTCGTTGACCAGCCACGTATGTTGGTTGATATTGTCCGGAGGGTGGATGACACAGTTCCGACACGCCGGGGCGGCGTCTGCCTGCGACATCACAAGGACGACAGTGGTAGCCAAAGGGAGCTGAAGGAGAGGTGGAATTGCAAGCGAACAGGGCTCATGCCGCCACAATTTATGAGGCGTGCCAGACTGACCACCGGGCTCGGATCTAAGCCAAACAGGGTGTAAGCCACACAACATGAACGACAAAGCGACTTAGCGAGATAGCGATGGTCAAAGCGTTGATCACATCGCGCCACACATTGAGGCATACCAGCCACAACGTCTTCCGAACGCAAAGAGTATATTGAAATTGTCCACCAGCTACACGGCTAAGACGGGACTATGCTACACAGAGACTGACGGAGAGACATATTGCACAGGCGGGGAGGGGAGACGATGATATTGCTTCGTGAAAGTGTGGACGTAGAATTGAATGGCACGCTCCTCGACGTTGTTGAAGGTCTCCTCGTCGTCGCACTCTGCTGTCGTTGTCGTGTTCACGCGCAGCGACTCTGGAAAATCCGGCCATGCACTCAGGACGTACAGGAAGGCCTGCAGGTTCGCACGACGTGCCTTCCAACCTTCTTGACCAGCCGGAGTCCAGCAGAAAAATGGTGAGCCAACATCAACAACGGACAACGCAGACTGAAGGGCAGAACCCCGCCAGACGTTGGCCAACTGCTGTTCTCGCTCCCAATGGCGGAATGAGTCGCCAGTGAGGTCGACGAGGCGAGTATCGAGCGCGCGAAGCTCACATCGCCAGTTGGTTTCGAATAGCTCCCATACGACGAGGTTGAGCAAGGAAGGGTCGCTACGGGCTACATCGACGGACACCTCCAGGCCACGATAGCTGGTCGCCTCGCTCTCGCGATATGACAGCAGGGACCCCCCTTGGGCGAACAGGCCGCGGACCCCCTGTCGTCGTTCCAATCGGATGGTCTCCTGTCTCTTCTGGGGCACTACACCACCTGCTTGGTTTTCCTCCACGATGTTCCCTTCCTCCACTTCTCCCACTTCGCCTGTGTCCGCTGGCTCGCCATGGATTGCGCTCACCCGGTCGTCATCGTCCACGCGATAGTCCCCAAACAACGCATGTCGCCAGTCGGCGATGCGCAAAGGGGCTCCGTTGATACGAGAGTCGACCAGTCGGAGTCTGCAGAACTTGCGAATGCGGACGAAGTTGTGCAGGTAGCGCGTTTTGTGGTTCTGGGCCTCGAGGATGAGGAACGGAGGAGGGTAATAATACTCTAAGGCGACCGGCGGTGGAAAGGCCAGAGGTGGTGCACTCGACAGAGCGGCTCGCCAATTCGGACTCATCGTGACGACACCTTCCGGGGGGCGCTTGAAGGTCGTCGCGGCGTGTTCCTTCTGCGATTTTGCCCCCCGCGTTTGCTCCGACCTCGCTTCCCCCTTTTAGTGGCATTACGCCCAGCGTGGGGTTTCTGTGGCGGCGGCAGCAGCGGCACAGCGGCATCGTTCCCCTTGAATCGCTTGGCCTCGGCCTCCGCGCCCTCTGCTCGGCTCACCGCCTGGAGATGAGGAAGCGCAGAAGAGCACGTCATGTTACATACAAACACCACAGAGGGGTGCGTCCAGCGTCCGGGATCCTGGTGAGTGCCGTCGGGGTCGTACCATGATTTTGGGACCCGCGGCCAAGCGGGTGTATCGTTAAGTATGTTGGACCAATGACGCGGGCTGACGACCTGTGCAATCTTCATAACACGCGACCACGGCCGGATGTGCCAGAAGGGTAGGCCGAGGCGATAGAATAGTTGGGCGGCAGCATCAGTGCGCACGAACGCCCCGAGCACTGGAAGAACCCAAGGATGATGAGAAATCGGACTAGCCATACGAATAACAACTTCGTTGTAGAAGACGGTCAGCCCGCTCAACTCCAGGATAAGGCGGTGGGCCATGCGACCCGTTACCAAGGCGTGCTGTTCGGTGGTCGGGAGCATTCGAAGGCGGTCGACAGCGTTCCTCAGCAGGATAGATAACATCTTGCCGAGTCTGTGGTGTATACCGGACTCCCGGTTGAACAGGAGGGCGTCTCGCTTCATGGTATTTCGCTCAGCGGCATCGTACCTCTGGAGAACGTCGGTCGCGATGGAGTACAACTCATTGAGGACCTCGGGCTTCAGAAACCCGAAGCCAGGAACACCGCACGAAATAGACTCTTCCCAGGGACTGTACCCGAAGCCTTCGTATACCTGTGCTCCGGGCGCGAACTCGGCGTCGGAAGTAGGGATACAGGCATGATGGAGACACCGCTCGTTATACAACTGCGGCCAGCGCGTGTACTCCTGTGGTCCCCAGAGCCCATCGCTGTACGTTATAATCTCTTGCGCGCTGATACGGGGAATTGAGGGACCCAGTCGAGAAAGGGCGAGGTGAAGATGTTGCACTGGTCTTCGGCATCCGCGGCACACTTGACGTCGAAGGCGGTTGTCGCGCCATACCACTCTACGGCAGTCCAACAGAGTCAGTCTTGATCAAGACGACAACACGGGTTGTACCCACTGTAGCCGGGCGTGGCACTGAGCTCAAAAGCTGTAGTCTGTACCACGCGATGCAAGTTCGCGTCGGCCATATTTCTGGGGCCAGACGCTGTTAGCTCGATTGGACCCCAGAAAGCGCACTGTCTCTCATACCTGACTTCGAACGCGGCGCAATAGTAGCCCTACGTGAGTACAGGCGGCACGTTGGGAGAGTTAGGCACTGCAACAGGATTGGCACCGTGTTGTGGCATTCAAGGGCATTGAGACGTACAATCGCAAGTTCGTGAGATATGAAACAAGTTTCGGGCTCAGTCGGAGTCGACGCGACGATGATACGCGTATGGGAGTGAGCAAGGCTTTGAGGCTTTGAGCTTGAGGATCGAAGGACGGGCGCGAGACTGCCGGACAGCAGATATACTGCGCCCTGGCCAGGTTCGCGCAGGAAGATCAGGATCTTCCTGTGCCGCAGAACCAGCCTCTATAGGTCCGAGCGAGAGAGGAGCGAAGCAGAGCGGGAGAGAAGTGGGAATGCCGAAGTGCTGGGAGTGGGATATGGCAGCGTAGTGGCAGAGGAAGCGCTCGCTCGACGCGCTGAGGTCGCCCAGTCGCTGGGCGTTTACCATAGCTGGCAAGTCACTTGGACTTGACTTGTACGCTCCTCTCCTCCTCATTAAGCTTCCCGTGCCCACCTCTCACCTTAGCTCAATTTGGTCCCGGCCGCCTCTGTCTCTCCTCCTCCGTTGTGGCTCCTTGTCGGGCACCCGAGCGTCCATGTTGGTCTTGACCATGCGTTGATGCTCGGGGAGGTCGCTCCTGTTCCCGATGAGCAGTTGAGCGCACCTCAAGTGCACCTCACGTAATCCCACCCATCCGTCCGGCAACCCAAGGAAGTCGATTCAAACTTTGCGAGGAACTAAGTCTGAGGGAGGCGCGCTTCCTGACGATCCGCGGCGGAGAAGATCCTCGAGACCAGCTCTGCGGGCCGTGTAGTCCTTCAAAGGATGTGAAGATGCTCCTGTGGAGTTTCAATGGGTGCGTTTTCATGACGTGCATTTCATACCTTAGCAACTCACCTGTGTCCTTCTAGCACATATGCTGCAGCGCAGGTCGCAGCACGTCGATCCCACCTCCCCCGGCAGACTCGTCCTGCTGAAGCCCATCATTCTTTACCAGACCACCGTACACGTCCCCCTACTCCTTGCGAACCGAGCGCAAGCAGTTGCCCGAACGCGCACCTGTCCAAGTAAGTAGGTTGCTTGCGGTCTTCTCCAAGTGCAGCTTCACGGACCCGTACAGCTTCCACGCACGTCGGAACGCATGAACACTTGACACCTGAGCCTCCACGATACCGATCCTTATAACACTTGACACCTGGGCCTCGACGATACCTCAGTCCTCGTCTATCGCCCTCGATGGATGCTCGTTCATACCCATGTCATTCAGCATTCAACGAACACCCTCTCCCGCACAGTCCTTGTAGCGCCACGATCTCCTGCATCTCCTTACACCTCGCCCAGGCATCGTCCTTACAACACGATGTGTACACGTGTATCGAGACGTCTCTATCTATTGTTTTTGTCTCGCTTTGCTCGGCCCTCGCGGTTCGCACCTTGGTCGGCGCATGGTGATGTGAGTGGCCCGCGGTCGTGCTTTGTCCCAGTGGCGCGAGTGGCCGATCATAGCGATGCTTGGGGGTGTGCTTCGCACAATGGCATTGTCATGACGTTCTCGCCACCTTGACCGACGCAACATAGCGAGCCCATTCAGTGGAAAACCTCGCTGTTAACGGTACAGCCGGAGTGCATTTTGACCGTTGCAAACGGTAGAGCCGCCTCCGGCCGGAGTAGTCCGGGTCTACTGTTAGCAACAATGCACCGCTTGCAACAGGCCGGCCGGGCTTTTGGCTGAGGCAATGTACCTGTTGTAAACAGTCCGATCGCAGAGGCAACAGTCCGGCCGGACCCATACAGCATCACTGCAAACAGGCCGGGTGGAGGGCAGGGTTAGCACACACAACGGAGCGGCCGGCCGGTCCACGTTGCAAACAGAGTGGCCGGACTCAGGCCCCACCACTTTAAATGTTCCGGCCGGGATAAAATCCTTTCATTGCAAGCGGACCGGCCGGAGTGAAATCTATCTGGTCCAGGATGGGTTCTCCAGCCTAAACAAACTGACTCCACAAACAGGCCGGCCGGGCAGGAGTTGTCCTGCTTCAAACGGTCCGGCCGGTCACAGTCCCCTGGGGGCTATTGAAATACTATATGTGGTATTATGCACCTATGGGGTATACCATCATTAGTAGATCACAGCATAATTTTCCCATGACTTAGGGATGCCTAGTGAAGCTGCAAAACACAAAAGAGCCCCACTGGCTGGCCAAATCAACTGGCCAGAGATTTCACTCACCCAGGTTTTGGCTTTACTGGCCATAAAATTAGCCAGGTTGTCCCTACAGGGCCAAATCAATAGGCCGGACATTTCAAACCATTGGCCGGGCATTTTAGTTCATTGGCCGAAGCTTTCAATTCACTGGCCGAAGCTTTTACTTCATTGGCCGAAGCTTTTACTTCATTGGCCGAAGCTTTCCTTCACCGCCGAAGCTTTGGATTGACCGGTCGGCTGAAGCTTCTACTTCACCGGCCGGCAAAAACAGCCAGTGCTCGGCAAAACTGGCCGGCCGGTGCGCAAAAATGGCCGGCTGGCAGGCAAAACCGGCCGGGCTGTTGAATTACTATATGTGGAAATGTGGTATTGTCTGGAAGCCCTTCATTCATAGAGTCTAGTATTGATTTCCTAGTGTCCAAAGGTACATAGTTAGGCCAGGATATGCGAGACAAGATTTACTCACAGGCTTCTTTGCAAAACATGTTATTCAACTGCTGAAGCCAATATTCTTTGCCCACACTGTTTGACTATCTAGAATGTGTTATCACAATGCATAGAGTAGATCCCCAAAAGGAATAGTCTTATTCTTTGAAGCTGAATGCAGAACATGAGATAAGGGGTAAGGTATAGTATACATGTCAAACAATGTTGACTTCCTGCAGCCAATCTACATTCCAAACACAGTTTCACAATCTAGAATGGTTCATTTACACACAAGGAGTGAGTCGTCCAAAGGAATAGTCTTATTCACATGAGCTGAATGTGGTACAGAGTTAAGGGGATCATGCACAGGCCGGACCATCTCCTATGAGGATTGGCCGGCCGGACCATTACCAACAGTGGGTAGATGTTTCTGTGCCATTCTTGATTGCCAAACCTTGTGGGCAAAGCATATTGGCTTCAGGATGTGAACACAGTATAACATGTATACCCATATACCCACCCTCACCTTAACTCTGTGCTGCCTTCAGCTTGTGTGAATAAGACTATTCCTTTGGAGGACTGATTCCTTGTGGATCAATGAACTATTCTAGATGGTAAAACACTGTTTGGAAAGAACATTAGCTGCAGGAAGTCAACATGTATACCATACCTGTATACCCCTTATTTGTTGTCCTGCATTCAGCTTCAAAGAATAAGACTATTACTTTTGGGGATCTACTCTATGCATTGTGATAACACATTCTAGATTGTCAAACAGTGTGGGCAAAGAATATTGGCTTCAGGAATTGAATAACATGTTTTGCAAAGAAGCCTGTGAGTAGTAAATCTTGTCTTGCATATCCTGGCCTAACTATGTGTTCTTGGAAACTAGGAAATTGATACTAAACTCTGTGAATGAAGGGCTCCCAGACAATACCACATTTCCACATATAGTAATTCAATAGCCCGGCCGTTTTTGCGCACCGGCCGGCCATTTTTGCCGAGCACCAGCTGTTTTCGCCGGCCGGTGAAGTAGAAGCTTCGGCCGGTCAATCCAAAGCTTCGGCCGGCGATGAAAAGCTTCGGCCAATGAAGTGAAAGCTTCGGCCAGTGATAAAAAGCTTCGGCCAGTGAGAAAAAGCTTCGGCCAATGAAGGAAAAGCTTCGGTCAATGAATAAAAAGCTTCGGCCAATGAACTAAAATGCCCGGCCGATGTTTTGAGATGTCCGGCCATTTAATTTGGCTGGTGGCAGCTTCACTAAGCCCCTTTAAAATGTGGGAACACTATGTTGGGCTCCATTAGTGATGGTCTTACATATACAATCATTCAAATCACACTCTGTATCATAATACAATAGGCCGAAGGTTTTTGAATGCTCTCGGCCAGTGTTTGCATGGCTGGCCAGTGAGCTAACAGCTCAGGCAATGTGATAGGGCATGCACTGTGGACATATACATGCTACTAGTAGGCTGTTCTAAGGGAGTATGGTCTATTGTTGACTGGCCCAGCCAATACTGGGTCACAATACTGTTGCCCGGCCGGACCGTTACCAATGGATGGTGCCACTGCCCGGCCGGACCGTTACCAGTGTGGAGTGCTTGATTATATGGCCTGGCTAGCCTGCTATCAATGTGGAAAAATGGTCCGGCCACTCCGTTGCCAGCTAGAGATGATGCAACCCGGCCGGTCTGTTATTAGCCAGGGAGCATATGCTCCGGCTGGCCCATTGCAACTGCTGAATTATGCACTCCGGCCGGCCCGTTACAAATGAAGGATCCCATTGCCCGGCCGGTTCGTTACCATAGGAGAAAGAGTATCCCGGCTGATCTGTTATAATTAGAACCCCTTATTGCCCGGCCGGTCCGTTGCCAGCAAGACACTAAATGGCCCCCCTGTTCAGACAGAACATGGGTGCCCTAGGGATACACCGGCCGGACCGTTTGAACTGGTTTGAGATACACTCGGCCGGCCTGTTTGCAACGAGGAAATCACAGCTCCGGCCGGAGGCGGCTTTACCGTTTGCAACGGTCGAAATGCACTCCGGCTGTACCGTTAGTATCGAGTAGGTACCACTGAATAATGTGACATAGCTGCCCGACAACCCTGTCTTACTCTCGCCCTCATTCCCTTTGGTTGTCTCTTCCCGTCTCGGTGACACGCAGGATGCCTAAGAACAAACGCAAGAAAGTAGATCGCTACGACTATGTCGACGATGGTGGCGAGTTAATTCCTGATGGGCCACAAACTATTCGCGTCGACGCAGCTGGCACCGAGACCGTTGAGTATTGGTCCCCCGCCCGACGTCCTGAGAAGCATCGCAGCGCCACCACTTGTCCACCCGGCGCCGTTCTTCCGTCTCTGCTGGACACCTTGGCGGACGTAGAGGCCCATGGTATTCCACCGCCCGACGTACCTGAGGCGGACAATGTGGGGGGCGAGAGCGCAGAGGCTAAGCGGGAACGAACGGTAAGCCATGGGCGGTAACACACGCGACGCGTTCTGTGGACTCACATTCAATGCAGAAGCCCCATGATATCATGCATGCTTTCGTCACTCAATGGGCGCAAAAGCTCCTCGATGTACTGCGCAAACGCGAGACCGACGTCGGGAAGTCGTGCCACACGTGCCAAGAACCCCACGCTTCATTCCGTTGCACGGAATGCTTCAATGGCCCGCTCCTCTGTCGCAAGTGCGTCGTCGAAGCGCACACTTGGACACCTCTGCACCGCGTGGAACGATGGACAGGAACGTTCTTCGAGCGTGCGCAACTCAGCGATCTCGGCCTCGTCTTCTCTATTGGACACCACGGGCGCCCGTGCCCCTCATCATCGCACAACCGTACGAGAAAACTCACGGTAGTACACACGACCGGCGTTCAATCCATGGTCGTCCAGTATTGTGAATGCATCCACGACGGCAAGTTCCCCGATGACCGACCTGTTCAACTATGGAGTGCCGGTTTGTGGCCAGCGTCGTTCGAGCGGCCACAAACTGTCTTCACGATCCACGCCCTTGAGTTCTTCAGCCAACTAACGTTTCAGGCGAAGACGACTGCGCACGACTACTATGGAACATTGCGGAGACTCACCTCGAATGCATTCTTTGACGATGTGAAGGTATGTGCGCGACGCTTGCCGGGAACGTATGACTAACACTGTTGACACAGGATCGCTATCGCGAGTTTATGACCGCACACCGCCAGTTTCACTACGTCCACACCCTGAAGCGGTTTGCGGTCAATGTCAAGCGCAAGCTGGACCCCGGTTGTCTGGCTCTGCGCTGTCCAGCGTGTCCACACCCTGACATCAATATGGACCCGGACTGGAGGGACCGACCAGAGGACGAGCGATACAAGGACGCCGTTCATTACGCCAAGGACGGAAACTTCAGTCTTAACCAGCACGACAAGAAGATGGACCATGAAGACGTACCTCTGATGGACGGAGCTGCGTACTACGTCGATAGCGAGAAGTACCGAGACTACCTGGACAAGATGAAAGTGTACGAGGACGCGCAAGACGAGACGTCTACCTGTAGCAAATTCAACGCACTATCCGACCGCTATAAGGGAAAAATCAAAACCGGGCAAGTCGGACTTTCGTGTACGCGTCACGGATTTGTTTTGCCGTGCGGGACCGTCGACCTACATATCGGTGAACGGTACGCGAACGTAGACTATGCGACACTGTCTGGCTTGCAGTGGTTCCTTTCCCTTTTCCTCATCATTGGCTCTTACGACGTCAACTGCAAGTATGGTTTGAACTGGTGGAGCCGTCTGAAGAACATCGCCTCGGCTGTCCCTTCCGTGCCTGGTGTCACACTCGCAAAGGAAGCATGGCCGGTTATTCGACGCTGCGTGCCAAAATGGCACCTAGCGTCGCATACCGGTATGTGTCGCTATTTCTACTCGTTCTATTATACGCCCGGCGTCGGTAATACCGATGGAGAGTCAGTAGAGCGGCGTTGGGCGGTGCTGAACGCCATCGGCCGTTCTGTGCGCGAGATGGGTCCGGGCCACCGCCAAGACGTCATCGACTCTCACAACTCGGATTTCAATGTCCAGAAGATGTTCAACATCTGTACGTTGTATTAAACATGTCTATGAATGACTCATTGACGTGATGCTAGCACGCCACCTTCAGAAGAAACTGAAGGAGGCCGAAACTTACCATGCGAAGAATCAGGACCAACTCGACGGCCTAGAGACTACTCTGCGTATGAACAAGAGGCCCCTGGCTGAATGGAAAAGGGAGGAATCAGCGTATATCGCCCACGTTATGCGCGGGACGCTCGACGAGAAGAAGATGAAAAATCCTTATCAGCCTGCTCCAGACGAAGGTGAGTGGCATGATCAGTCGCCTTGTTGTGTGTGCTCACGCGCTGTAGCTCCGACGACCCAAGACATTCTCGCAGAGCTCAAGAAACAACAGGCTTCCGAGCGCAATGCCGATGGCGAGGGTCACGGAGCCAAGCGTAAGGCGACCAGTATCGAAAACCCAGCGGGTGAGACAGTGACAAGGCGAGGACTAGGTGATCTGTTACTCGCGGCGTTTGATTTAGAGCGACAACAGTGAGTCTTGATGCGATGTAGCCAAGCCCACTGAGTCACGTTTTTGTTCATTGAATGCAGAGTGGCGCTCAAAGCAAAGGTTAAAGCGTACGAGACGGACGAGTCCTCAGAGCTTTACAACGAAGTCGAGAAGGAACGAGACGTGTTGGAGGGTAAGCTGAAGGATTGGGCGCTATGGCAGCAGCGGGAGATGGGGGTGAGCCTGGCGGAGGTAGAGGAGCAGTTCGGCGACAGCGAGTGGCCCACAGGCGTGGCGACGAATCCAGAGGAGGCGACGATCCTGGTACCTTCTGCATATGCCCCTGAAGTCTTCAAGCATGCGGCATTCAGTCGCTATACGTCGGCTGAGCGACGCCTTCGCGAGGCTCACGCCAACGACACCCTGCGGAAAGTGCGTCAGAAGCTGCACTTCGAAGCCTTTTACAAGACGCAGAATGCGGGTTCGTTCGGACAGCAAGCTCACACAAGATATACGACACTGAGAGCGGGAGAGAGGGCCAAAATCGATCGATTACGCGAAGAGTATGAATTCTTCCGACACAAGGCGGTACGCATAGCAAGCACTGGGACACCATGTACTCTACGACCACTGATGGAGAACGACTGTCGACCCCCGATCATTGAGAGCGAAAAGCCAGGGCGGAAAAAGGAAGAGGTGAACTGGATTTGGCGCGACAAGACCTATCACGGGTCGAGTCTGGAGAAGTGGGCACTTGAAGGTGAGTCTCCGGTTGATTATTATGGGGCGTGGGTGCTAATGCGTTCGTCAGCAATGCGCGTGGAATGGTTTCGTGCAAGCGCACGAGTAGCCAGATGGGGCGAAGAGGTTGAACTTCTCAAAGAGGAGATGCGACGTGTGCAGTGTTTCTTTCTATACTCGATGAAGCTGTGGGATGGGCGTGCCAAGGTAGCATGCAGCAGCGTCGAGGAGCGCGGTGCTGCTGCGTATGCGGCAAGGTAAGTGATGCTTCGTACAACCATTATCATCATTGACCGAAAGAATAGAACCGCGGCGATGTATTCGCGGCTGTTGGACGACGGGCGAAAGAAGTTCCCGGCATCGGAGCTGATCCCATTGGACCACTGTGTGGTGCCGCTGACTGTGGATGTACCCGATGGCGTAGAGGGAGATGCGGCCGGGAATAGTACTATAGAGGAGTAGCTATAGATGCTGTATGTTGGGTAGACCTTATTAGTAGGAGTGCTGCTGTGCAGGAGCCCTCGGCAGACTTCTGTTCGACGACTTTTATGTGGTGACTTTCGGTAGCTGACTTTCGGTAGCTGACTTCTAATCGCTGACCTGTGGTGGTCGACTGCTGGTGACTTATTGGCCGTTGACTTCTGGTGTCTGACTTTATTCTTTGACTTTCATTGCCTGACTTCGGTTGCCATGACTTCTCAGAGGTCATGTTCGCCCCTGCGGGGTGAATTTAAGTCACAATTAAGTCAGTATCTACCTAGTTATGTGTGACATTTTCTTCACGTATAACTAGTTATGTTAGCTGATACCATTGGTTCTACACAGCCTGTTTCACTCGTCAATCCAATATATCCAGTATGTGCTTCCCGACACTGTCAAAGACGATCAGGCGACAGCTCACTGCCTGTCCCATAGTTGTTTTCAGCCCTGTTACCTGTATGCCAGTATCCCCTGCTCTTCTCGTTCTGTGCTCTTTCTGACACCTCGTGCAGACTTCCTTTAGTGTCTCACAGTCTCAGTCGCCATTCGTTCGTCAAGGTAAGATACTCACTTTTTGCTACCGATTCGCCTATTCATCGCTATGGCCCACAGATGGACTTCAGTCGACTCTCGGCTCAGCAACAGGCCGATCTCATGGCTCTCATCCAAACTGCCTCGAATACAGCCCCAAATTCGTCGCTACCTGGCCCGAACCCCTCGCAGGCCTATGGCGAGACCCAGCCTGGAGTCTTGCAGCAGCACCCTGTGTCGGTCACTCCTAGCCAGAACACGACCTCTGCAGCCCCCTATACTGTCGCAGGTCAGCCTTCGACACAGTCGGCTTGGGTAAGTCCCTGTTGTCTGACTTCCACTGACGATGCATCTGATCTCGCACTCTTCGGAGCAGTCCTCATCGCCTACTCGGCCGAGTGTTCCCGGACAGCCTCACCGAGTTAGCCAAACAGCTGGGGCTTCTGAGCTGGTGCCTGAAGCAAGGCCATCGTCGCACCCATCCTTTCAGGGCCACATCGTCTCGGCTGGCGAAGTAGCTGGATCGCCCTCGCATCCCAATATGCCCCCATGGGCCATAACCCCTGGCAATCCTGTCGCACAGAGGTCGACGACACCTTGGCATGGCATGCCTACCTCTGGTTCGTCTCTGCGAGTTTCGTCAGTGAGCTTTGTACTGAACACTGCACCTCGCAGAGCAAAGTAGCCCACCTCCGAGTCTTGTGTCGTATCACAGTGCTCGGACCAGCCCCCTCGGTGCCATGGCCCCTCCTGGTTCTTCGTCGCAGGTAGCAGGCCCATCGTCGCTGTACAACACCACCGAAGTCACTCCGGGCCCCAGCCCAAGCCGTAGCCTGACACAGCCTATCCTGGGATTGAACAGGCTCCGTCCCCAGGCTTCCAGCCAGGTCAATGTAGCTCGCCTGTCATCGTCAGCTCGTATGCCTCGCACGGCGGGCTCCAGCCTGTCAGCTCGGCCCCGCCGCACACGTGGCTCGGCACAGCATCCACCGTCGCTCCCGCATCTCCCCCATATCATACGATCCCCTATACCACATGCCGAAGACCAGGTCAAAGTGACCTGTCTGATCTATCCGCAGCCTGTAAGTGACCATCGTGGCTATAATGTGCCCGGTGCTGACCGAAAGACGATAGGACCCTCCCTCAGCTCCACTTATTGCCTATAACTTCGGACGGGACAGCTTCGTCGATCATCTGCGAGGGCATGGGCTCTGTCACGACTTTGACATCCCGCTGTCAACACCGCTGCCCCGCCTGGCGAGAATGGTCTTGCTTGAGATGCGGGCCTCGTCTTTCCACTACGAGGTCCCCATTGCCGATCATCTCGCCTTTGAGCATGAGCGCCTCCCTCTCGGCATTTTAAGCTTAAAAAACCGTGGCATTCATCGTGCGGATGGCCAGGTCTATCTCGATCATAAGCCCCTGTGGGCCGACAAAACAGTCGAGACGCTCCTCGCAGATAAGCACCGCTTCGCTCACAGCGACCACGGCTTTTACAACGGCCGTTTTGTCCTGCGATTTGGTGAGCAGTGTTCGCCAGTATGTGGCGAGCTGTGCCTAATAGGTCTTCCCTGTAGTGATATGTACGAGCCCCCTGCTCGCTGTCGTCCAGCCATCCACAGTCGCTCGTGAGCATACATGCATTGCTACTGCGTTATATGGGCGATTCGCAGGGGATGAGTGGCCACAAGCGATCACCTCTGCCCCTCTGTGCATTGGCTGCCTTGACGATGTTCGAGAACCTAGTCGTATGGCACATCTCCCCGAGCCTCCTGAGCCTCTGATTGCTGATGCTCAGTCACGGTGTAGCTGTACCCCCTCTGTCACCCATGCTAGGAAGTCCTGATCGCCCGAACAGCAACCCGGGCAGCCCAGCCTCCACGACCGACTCGGATATTGGAATGACAGATGCCACGACTGGGCCCAGAGCTGGTGCTCAGCTGAATGTGAGCTTCATTATGTCCCGTACTCGCCACAGTTCATCATCTTTTTTTTCCTGCAATATTCCAGGGTCGTACAGTGCCAAGTCTTGCTCGCACATCGTCTATGCCATCGGCTGTAGCTGCATTCATGCCCCGTGATATCTGGCAGTCGCCGTGGGAGCCAGAACTGCCGCGGGACACTGTCGGTGGCCAGCAATACAGCGAGCTGAGTGGCTTCGCTGAAGCTGTCTATGCTGCAGCCAGCCGCCACCCTGAGGCCCACGGTAGTGGCAGGGCGCGGGGTGCACAGGCACGGCCATTTTCACTGCGAATTGAAGGGACTAGCATGGATGTGATGGTCGATGCCCTCCGGGAGTATCTCATTGATGCTGCCCATCTCGGCGATTACACAGCCCTACTGTCGCCTGATCGCGTGTTCCGAAGGTTGGCCAGTACCTCGCCCTCACTGTTCACTAGGCTTACCTCCATGCTACAGGCTGTCGCCAGCTGGAGCAGTAGTGTCATTCGGTGCAGGTGTCGAGCGTGAGGTTTTGTGGACAGCACTCCAGAAATACCAGGGAGATCCCAGGTTCTGTCGGCCTGGCCTAGATGGGACCTGGACGATCGCTAACAGTCCCATCACTCACTTTGCTGCTGAAGAAAACAGGCTCGCCCGCAAGAAGGAGCTCACGATCTTCGGGGCCCTGACTGCACTCCTCATGGTCAATGGCCAGTGCCCGAAGCCCCTCGACCCTGTATTCCTGCACTACCTGATCCATGGGTGCTGCATCGAATCTGTCACGAAGGCGATCATGGCCGAATGGCACCCAGCATTCACGACGCGGCTGTCGGCCTTCCTGGATGCTGGTCCTGCAGGTGACATAACCCCCTTCATCTCGGACATCGTGGAGTATGCCGAGGTTGATGTAAGGCTATAGCCTTTCCTATGTCGTCACCAGTGCTCATATTCTCGATAGGTCAGAAGTCTCCGTGACCGGGATCCTGCGACACATCGTGGTGTCGCCGCCCTCATACTGTACAAGGGACTATTAGGCAACGAAAGCCCCCAGCACACCGATACCCAGAGCTTTCTGCGTGGTCTCAGGCTCCCGTGTGCCAATGGGTTCGATTTCACGAAGGTATGACCTCGCCGACTGCCCAGGCCCACCATGTACTCACACCGACTCCTACTAGGCTGTTCGCCTGTATGTAGGTGGCTCTAACACGTTTGTCAACGAGGTATGGGCTGCATACATCATGGCATACAGCTCCATCGCGCCGCAGCTGGACATCCGCACTGCGAGCACGGTGCCACAGGAGCAGCGCACACTGAGGGCTGATGGTCGCGACTACGCACTCGGCGACCTCGTCAGGACTTTCCTGCAGGGTACAGGGATTCCTTGTGAGGCTCGGCTGGACGATGCCAAGGCGACATTTAGCGATGCAATCGACTTATCACAGGCCGGCGAACCCTTCTTCCGCCCTCGCATGTTCCACCTGGCCATCACAGGCAGCGAGACAGTGGACCCGGTTGAGAGGCTTACGGCGAGTTGTCAATGGCAGTATGCATGCCTGTGCTGACAGACTATTAGGTGTGGATCGTCGGCGACACCGATTCACAGTATTATTGCAGCAACGCGATCCGGCAGCACTGCATCGACGAGGGCCGCATCTCGTGGAGAACGTGTTTCCGCGAGGCAGCGATCCCCGCCAGCTACTTCCACCGGCTCGCCGAGCTTTCCTACAGCCCAGATACAGCGGCTGCGGGCATGCCAGGGTCGCTCGGGGCAGCCATACAGAACTGGCTGCTCCTCGAAATCCTGGGCAGCATCGGTGGCCATACCTTCCTCTAGAAGGGCTCGCCCATGGCCTGAGGCAGTTCCCGCGACACGCCTACGATACCCCTTCTCTCCTGTTTCGGCCTGTAAGGAAGACCCATCGCCCACCCCCCTCACCCTACTTTTCTTCCTGCGACACGTCGCCTACGATACCCCTTCCCCCTGACATTGGACTTTTTCGATACTGACAGGTGCCACCACAGCCTCGCCTGTCCTGGGGACGGCCGGACACAGCTGGTCCCTGGGCGAGCATTATACCGCGGGCACCATCTGTTTACCTGTACCAGGATTCGGCTGGGACTTTCTACGGTACTGCATGGACCATGTCGGCTGCATGCCCTTACTTATGCTATGAGAACTATACTCCGGCTGATTTTCATGTGTATTGGATCGGCCGACCACATCGCTATTCTACTGCCTTACATCGCCC